AACTGACAACCCCTGATGAGTCAAAATAAGTAAGATAGTCCAGGATGGCAACAAAGCCAAGATTAAGAATTATAAGGAGGATATTGACACTCTCCTCATCTTTGTGAGTAGCATGAGTCCTAACAAACATCATCATATTGATCTCAAGTGATAGGGCAGTCTATTCTCAGCAGTAATAACATTACATTCTTGATTACATCATATAAGAACCTTAGTCAAGATCCTATAAAAGCATCACTGCAAGTGTTGCTGCACATGTCACAGCAAATAAACAGCTTTATTGTCAATAGTTCTTATGCAAACACTATAGTACCTGCACTTACCTCTCTTTCTCCCTTTTAGGTGTCTTCAACTTTACTTATCTTCAATGCACTTTGGTTTTTCAGCTTGATTGTTAGTCTCATGGCAGCGTCATATGACATGCTTATAAAGCAGTGGCTTTGCAAGTTTCTTGCAGGAGACTACACATCTCCACTTGCATATCTTCATATTTATTGCTTTAGGTATCCTATTCTTGGACAATAGAAGGTCTTTGAAATTGTGGCAGTTCTGCTACTACTTTTACAGCTTGTATTAGGTCTATTCTTTGGTGAATTATGTCTCTTTGCATTATCCATATATTTAAGTCTTGGATGAATAACTATTTCTCTTGTAGAACTACTCGCATCTATAATAAGTAACTGATGTTTAGATGCTCAGCATGTTGCATTACATATGGATGTAGTTTTGTTTAGTTTGTACTTCAGCATCAACCTATAACACATGTACTTCTTATGCTCATTACTAAATCTTCCCGCTCTCAATATAATTCTTCTAAGAAGAACCAGCTAGTTGGAGCTATTCAAGCTGGCATAAGCATCACTAAAGCAGCATGACTTATAGGCATTCCATGCCAGACAGCATCAGATATCTGATACAAGTATATCAAAACTGGCACTATACATAATTGCCCCCATTCTGATTGTCCACACAAAGTCACAGATCGCTTGAAGGCTCTGGTGGTCAGGAGGGCAGTGAAAGAGTGGAGGGTGATATTTGCAGAGATTGGAAACTAGGTAGACCTAAAGATTAGTGAGGGCACTGTTCAGAGCATTCTCAAGGAATGAGAATATAGTTGTTAGATTGCTCGTCAAGTGCTATTTCTTACTAAGAAGCAGAAGAAGGCTCACATGCATTGGGCACAGAAATACAAGAGCTTTACAAGCCAGGATTGACAAGAAGTTGCATTCTCCAATGAGTGCTATATTTACTTGAAAGATGATCAAGGCTGAATCTATATTACACGCCATCCTGATGAAGTCTTGCAAAAGGAATGCCTAGTATCAACCTTCAAGCAGTCCTCTATCTGTATTATAATCTGAGCTTGCATTATTCAGAGGTGCAAGGGGCTGTTGATTGTGTTGAAATATCTAGAAGGAAGAGATGGGAGTATGAATACTACTAGATATTGGAAACAAGTGTTGAATGGGATTTTTTTAGATTGGTATAAAGAGATAAAGCTACAGAGGGATTTCATTACCTTCCAACAGGATAATGCTCTATGCCACATTAGCAAATCAACTCAATGATAATTCACTGATCATGAGATACCACTTCTTTTCTATTCTCTCAATTTCCCAAATCTCAATCTTATTGAACATATTTAATATGAGCTCAAATCTGCTTGTAGGATGAATTACCTATAGAAGATATGAATAAGCACATCAATCAGATGCCAGATAGAGTTGAGGCTATCTTGGCTGCTCATGATAAATATACGAGTTTTTAAATACATAGATAGCTAGAATAGATATCTAATATATTGTATATATAGTTGTAGTGCCATCTATTTCATAGACAGTCTGTTATCTTCTCCTCAAATTGATGCAAGTCATGTAATGCAATGTGCTGTGCATCTAGTGCCAGTTACTTATTGTGGGCATAAGTATGGGCATTTCTACTTCTTGCTGCCACTATTGCACCTGCATTTTCTGCAAGATGTCTATATAAGATAATATTTCTCAAGAATATTATGAGACATCTTTGTCAATATTTATTTATACTCTGTAATCCTTGTGCACTTACTGAGAGCATGTTAATAGTCATCTGCTACTATATCTATTTGCTTGATCATAGATTCAAGTTATTTATTCTCACAATTTGGAATAATCCAATATTGATTGGCCAAGACATCATCAAATTCTCAAAAGTTATCATCACATTTGCATCATTATTTTTGACAAGTATTGCAAAACTTTTGAAAAATTTGTTATCTCAATTAATTCAGTATCTAGAGAAATTTTTGAAGAATCTATAAAGTAAGATTTTAGAAATTAACAAACAAAAGGATCAGTATTTTCACTATATATTTTAACTACTGTGGAGGTATTGATGAATTATCTGAGGAGAAGAAAATTGCACAAAATGATACTGCAGATCACAAAATACTACTAGAGATAGATGCTTTGCAAGCAGATGACAACTTAATATCAATAGCTCTATCTGATTCTTTATTTGCTTTCAAGTCAAGTAGTAAGAAGATTCTATCACTTATTCTAGGCATTTTAGATCATAGATCTTCAAAACTAGAAGAGTTTGAAATAAAAACTTTTGTGAATATGCCACAATTGTCAAGATCACTATGGAATGCAATTATCAGAGTTGCAAGTAATTCTCTGTATTATGAGATTAAAAAATATATCTCACAAGATATATCTACTTCCTTAGAATAGAAGCCATGAATGCAAGATGCTATTTATATTCTAATATCTCAATCACAATACTCTCTATCTAAATATGCAGAATCAAATTTGATATATTGTTTTCATCATAGTTATTCAGAGATTCTCAATATTATTGCCACTAAGATCACATCAGATATTATGAGTTCTAAAGTGTTATATCTCAAGAATCTATTGTGAAAAATCTTTTAAAAACTTGATTATAAATTACAGCTAACTGCAATTGCTATAAATGGCAAATATAATTTCAAGCTCACAAATGAGCAAATATTATTTATTACTGGTGTTCAAATAGAACTTCTAAAATAGGCTGCAAAGAATATAAAAAAGATAATCTTTGAGACTCTTTTAGATACTCCTTCTGATCTTCTTAGCTATAACTATATTGAAAACATCATATTATATCAGATATATGAAAGTAATAATTTTAAAGATGTTTCAATTTTTAAAATACTATATCTATATCTTAAAAATGAGCAAACACATATAGGCACTATTAGAGCTATTGCATCATATTTCTTATGACCTACAGCTGAAAAATGGCCAGCTTGAATGAGAGCCTCTATATTGCCTGAAATTTCTTCTAATTTTGCCAATTCACAAGAACTTTTTAAGAACTTTGTTATATATTATCTAGCAATCTCACACAATTTGTCAGTCTCTTTATAACATGTGTCACTCTATATTCTAGATTTGATATAGAATAAACACTGAGATATTTTGATAATGCAATTCAGAATCTTTCTAATGTTACTCTTCAAGATTTTATTCAATCTCTGATCTCTACACTAGATTTTTTTCATCAAGAAATAATTCACTCAAGCAATCCTCCAAATAATAGTATTAACTATATATTGGCTATAAGTAGCTATTTATATATAAATATTTCTATCTTCTTAAATAAATGTTAATGCAGATGCTAGAGAAGACTTCTCAACTATTTCTAAGACATCTACTGGTTCAACTTTGCAGATCTTCATCTAATTTGGAAAAGTTGTTATATGCCTATGAAGCATCATCAGAAGTATCTAGCTTAAGAAGAAATAATTATAAAGTGCATTATTCTTTTAATAAAAATCTTAACAAGATATAATTTTAAGCTCTGATATATATCAGAATAATACTAACAGTAATATTCTTAGATACAAATATATAAGATTATTATTGAAAAGTCACTTAGCTGTTTCTTTATTTATTCTTTCAATGGTATATATAATATAATGTCTGATATTGACTTATCCACTCTCAAGCATATTTCTTTAACTAAATAGATATGTATTTCTACTTCTTTATAATTGCTTATTCTAAAAGCTTCACTTTGCTTAGTTTCTGCAAATTGCAAAGGGCTTAGAATATCTTTATTGTGAGAAGCAAATAGTTTATGGTCATTTGTGATCTTTGAGTATTTACATTTTCATTTGCTATTATATACTATAGACTTATAAGTGAGATATATAGGATTCAATTTATATTGATAAAAGAGAGAATGCATATATTGGGAATTTCTATATGGCAGCATTTGCAGATACTACTGATCATATAGATCACTTTGTTTCTTTATCAGATACAGCATCAGAAGTTATATCAAAAAAAGAATGTACATTATATATGAGTAATATTTGTGCCTTTGAATGTCTCTAGATATAGGTGTGGCTTTTTTTATAATTCTTTAACATATGTAAAAACTAAATATACTGCTTTATTTTAGATGTATAACAATGATCATCTAGAGTATATTGATTCTAATGGTAACATTGTATCACAGCTGCATGCAGATGTAGAAAAAAAATATAGCTCTTCACTAGTCTATTTTAAATGGCCTAGTTCATCTACAGATCCCAGAATATAGCTCAATCTAGATGAATGGACATTTATAAAAGACTGTTGAAAGTATGATCTATCTGCTTGACCTACAGCATTCCAGCTTGTAGAGAAAATACAGAGAATCTATAATTTCATGCCTTCTGAAAGTGAAAACTAGAATTTTTATTATAGATATAGACAAAGCTTCAAAAATACTTCTTCTCATTGATTGAGAGTGTCTCTAGAAATTGATCTCTCACATTGCTTCAAATATTATTCTATGCCACTTTTTTTCTACTCTGTATTGTACATGCACACATGCATCTGTATTTAGCTTGACTGAGTATCCACAAATTATGTTTCCAATCTATAGCTCATTTTCTGATATTAAAATGATTATTTATCCCATCTCACTTTATATGAGATAGATCACAGTTGATCAATACTAGCACAAAGGCAGTCTAACACACTCCAATAAGCTTTCAAAGACCCAGCATTTTATTGACACTGGACCAACACCATCCTAACACAAGGTTGAGCTTTAAGAAATTCAGTGAGGTTATATGATTGAATCCATACTAGTGGTGAAGCAGAGCACAGGTGAATGGTGAAGGTATGGAAAACAATGTGAAACAATGGCAAGGTGACTAATTATTGAGATCGAAAATCTACGCCTGTCACTAGAGTAATACGACCCTGGGTCCAGAGGTCTGATATAACCGACACGAGATGGATCGGCAGACGGTGACAATACAAAGAGTCATAGTAAACGACGGAACAGTAGCCTTCGACGTGACTTTTATAGCAGAATGACTTCAATTAATATAAGAGGATGCGACTAAAGTGATGATAACTGTAGACACAGCACCGTCAGGACAAATGCTGAGGGGCAGGATGACGAAACAACATACCATAGATTGCACTACGGCCAAGCGAAGCGTGGATGCTCAAAGCTGAACGACGATCGGAACGCAACCGATGTTGACAAGACCGTCTATCAAGCATGAAAAGTCAGGCGAGGCATCCATCAACGATGGAGTGAAGTGAACATACTGTAGGAGTTGTTCTCGCAGCAGACGGGAGTCGCGGCACTGAAAACGGGGCATCGAAGTCAGTAAAAGGTTGTATATTCCAAAGTCTCGGAGCGTGGAGAAAGTAACACATACCAGTTGCCACCACCTCCAGTACCAACGGCGGTGATAGGTGAGCACGTCAAGCCGACCGGAGTGTTCAAATTACCCAAGACGATGCCCAACAATCCAAGCTGTTTGCTGGCCTCAGGTGAACCAGCAGACTGCACGCTGTTGCAGCACTGAACTGGACCAGTGTTGCAATGACCCCCATCCGATCCATAGCCACCCGACCCAGATCCAGATCCGGAGCCACCTGAGGCAGGTTGACTGGGCTGGGTCAAAGGAGCGGAGGATACGCCAGTCGCTAACGCGGAAGTGGTTCCGGGATACGACGGAGAGGTAGGCTTCGAAGGAGGGTTGGTGGGTACGTTGGGGATTGTACCGCTCGGGTTGGTGGGAGGGTACGACGGGTTACCACCAGGGGTACCGGGAATGATGCTGGGCAAGGGAGGAATGCCAGGCCAACTCGGGTAGTCAGTACCGGTGGGCAAAGAAGGCGGGCTGCCATCTGTGACGGGAAGTGGAGGCCAAGAGTCGGAGCCTGTAGGGAAAGGAATAGAGCCCGTAGGCAAAACTGGTGGAAAGATGGGAGGGAAGTCAGGTGGGGAGCCGGTGGGCAAGGGTGGAGTGTTGTTAATGGAAGAAGAGGAAGTGTGCGAAGGATCGTTGCAAGGCAGCGAGGCGACGAGAGCGGCGCTGGTGGCCAGGAAAAGCAGGGACGCGCGAATGAACATTTTGGATGTCGAGTGGGGGGTTGGAAACGAAAGTGTGGGTTGCGTTGAGAACGAAAAGAGCGACGAAGTTAACGAGGTAGTGAACGTTGTGAATGTTCAACTGGAGAACCACCGAAGGTAGGAGAAAGCTTTATATTGGAGTGTCTGGTCCGTGCGTCTGGCGGGTGAAGTGCGGAGGTACGACCGGAGAGTGAGTTGGAGCAATAGACAGAGGTCCACGCACCAAAACCAACAAGCGAGACGGAACACATAACGAAAGAGAAGGAGCATGCATGATACTGGATATATCGGGTCATTTGCATCCCCAAACGGGTACCTTCTTTTAAACACAGCTTAGGACGTGGAGAAGTACGTTAGAAGTAGTTCGCTGCCGAGCAAGCTGGGACCGGCTTATGAGTTAGAAGACAAACCGTGTCACAAATAACCGGAGGAGCCAATCGGGTGGGTTTACGAGAGCCCGACTGCACTGCTTGTTTGGGAAAGACTGGGAGAGAGTCCGGGGTTTGCGGCAGGAAGAATATTGGCAAGATATTGAGTGGAGAAAACGCACGACGAAGCCCCATGCGTTGTTGCACATGCCAGGAGGAGAAAGCTACTGTGACTGAGAATCAAGTTATTCTTCATTTCGCCGTTCTACAACAGGGTATGGCAAGTTCAGTCAAACCTTATCCAGGGAATATTGGCATCCCTTCTCATACTGAAGGTCGCAAACGAACTACACGCGTTACAAAGATTAGCCTACCTCGGAGCAAATTTAGACAGCTTACTTCACAGTTACCATCTAACATGAGGGGACCGCGGATATCAACCATTCTGACAGGCCGCAAGTATCGCACGAAGCAAACGACAAGCTGAATGTTGGACGTCGGCGGAGGTACACACATCGAAATCAATGGCAATTCAACGACTCGTCCATTTTAGCGATGGAGCATTGTATTGTCTTGAGCAATGCGAGTGGTGCTGGATGACAAGTGAAACTGCGTCCCAGACATACTCGCCGAAGTGTGAGTGATATTCGAAGACAAGATGCAAAAACAGATCTGCGAGAAGAGAACAAGGAAGGGAAAACAAGGTTTTGGGAAGTCTTCAGGCGCTTCCACAACGTCTAACGGATCAATCGGTCATTGTACCGACGTATTGTGTAGATTGGATCGCAAACAGCTTTAAGCTTCAGTTTGCATAGTCACCTTATGTAAAATCTGGCCCTTCCCCCTTCAACCGGATACCATACCTTAACCATAGCCTATGTTTTTAGGAGGTATCTTGCAAAATCAACGTACTTAAACCAACCCGCATCAGCTGATCCTGCCCCAAAGAAGTTAGCTTCGAATAGCGAACTGATGTGGCGATCGTAGAGAAGTTGAGGGAAGGACGTACAGTACGTCCGTCGTTGCTTCCTTTTCTCCTTCCTCTGTACTTCGGTCCAAATTCAACTTGACGTATATTGCTGATGCGCCGTTCGGGCTTCTCGCCCAACCACCTGCGAATCGCGCTCTAGCGTCTGTGTCCTGAAGCACCTGAGTAAGCTATCCATTGGAAATAAATGTTTAATGTTTATGGCTCTTCTATAATTTGTATACTTTCGATTCGCTTAGTTGGTTTATGTCAAGGCGTTGAGACACATCGGTGAAATATTATCTGACGTGGACTAACGAGACACCACAGGTCGAGAGATGGCTAAGGTGCAACCCGCGGACCTTCCATTCCACCGTCCGGGGTTACGCTTACGAAAACTCAGCTAGGGCGAAATGTATTCGCTTCTACTTTGCCTCAAGGGACCACTGAACAACTCCGACGCTAGCCCCAATGTCAGAGGACCGACCGCTCCAAACTAGGACCATCGTGTTTTGGCATCGTCTGGAACAGACTCCCCCTTCGATTTACCCCGGAGCCCGACGCCTGGCAAATGCCTATATAAACCAGCCCTCTGGTTTCACTCTCTCCATCCGCTTCCTCACCAGAGTTCCAGCGATCCTCCACACTCATTCTTTCCAATCCTCTCTCTCACCTCAGCCACTCTTTCGCTTATCCAAAGATGTTCCGTCTCGCCACCCTCGTCACTCTCACCGTCGCTCTCGTAGCCACCGTCTCTGCTGTCCCCACCTACCCCTTCTCCAAGCGTGATCAATGCAACACCGGATCTGTCCAGTGTTGCAACACCATCCAGCCCGCCAACGCTCCTGAGATCGCCAAACTCTTGGGCGGTATCCTTCCCATCGTCATCCAAGGAACCAACACTCCTATTGGGGTGACGTGCACGCCTTTCAACATTGGTGGTGCCGGCGGCGGCGGTAACTGGTTAGTCTCCTTGCAGTATATCTCTGCCATTCGCTTTTGGGGGACGGTGCAATGCGTGCATATGCTGATCCATTCATTTTGTGTCTAGTGCCGCTACGCCTTCTTGCTGCAAGGAGACCCGGGATGCTCACGGTAAATACCCAATTCTGCTGTCCCCGTGAGCATCCACTGATTTTTGAGTTTCGCTTAGATGGCACCACGGTCGGTATCGATTGCAGCCCCATCATTACCCAGCTCTAGAGGCTGTCCTATCTTTACGTTCTCACTTCGCGTTTCTGTAAGCCATACTTTCTTCGACTCGACTCGATTGGTGCAGGTACTCACACTTCTCACCTTGCTGCTGTCAGATCGTACCTGTTATTCACTTTTTAGTTTGCCGCATCTTATTTCGTTTTCAATCCGACGTCGATGTCGTTGTCGTCTTTTCATGGATGCGGCAGTTTAGTTTCGTGGCAGAAAGGGTCTACGGCTGATAGGATGTAGACAGTCGATCTTATAGTAATCGTAGTTACAATTGAAGTTCACTTGTTGCACGAGAGCTCTTGTCTCGTTCTCATCATCGCCTCCGACGTGCTTAAGTCCCTCGAAAAATTTTATTCTGTCAGCGGAATGTCTACTTCCTTGAGAGGCTTTGTTGCACATGGATGCGTGTAATACAGCCCTGGAGCGGGCACAGAAGCGAATATGCTCGAAACGATGATTGAATCTCTCCATCGCGGATCCAGGTAAACGTATTCCTCGACACCTGACGTTGATATCGACTCTGTGTACGTCCGCCCTCGACGAAAAAGTTTTCGCTAGACGTAAAATCCGCATCTCATTCTTTCTAAGAGGTCTTTATGCTTTGACCCAGTTTCGGCGATAATGGTATTGAGCCATATCCCACGACAAGCAAACCTTTGGAGTTGGTTTCGAGGTCTCTTCTATTCATATTTGGTTTGAGCACTTCCCTCCACAGGCCCAAAAAGTCTCTGTGATGCCACGCCTTCTTCCGTGAAAGAAGCAGTTTGCTCCGAGGCAACGCAGAGAAAAGCTTGATATATTTGCGCTGGATACCCATATCATATTCCTCTGGAGATGCAAAGTTCAATCCAGACATTTACAGAGCGGTTGTGCAACTATCGTCTCTGTATCCCTCCCTTCGATATAAGAATTCCACACAGGTTCGTTCGGATTCCAATAAGGACCGTGCGGTTTACCATACTCTCTGTGACAGTGTCATTCGTGGAGATAAGTTGATGACCCGCAAGTGAAATGAGGTTGACGTAGCAAGGAATGGGCGTAGTGCGTAACGGTAGTAGGCATTTACGCCCCGAGTTCTAGTGTATGAGTAGACCGTAAGTTTGACTTTGTGCGTGATATTCCGGGAGAATTGAGATAAGGCTCGGAAGGACGCACGGAAGATGGGGTTTGGGGAGAACATGCGGGTCACAGCCTGCACCATGTGCAAGGTTCGCGACATACCTGATGCAGGCGCAGGACTAAATAAAGCTAAAAGAAAGGCTTTCTTGGATTATCACTTCCGCCAATCAACGGAGAAGGAGTAGACACCACTGTCCTGCGCTCCGCTGGAGCGACTACCAGAAGTCGAGTCGACTCTGGGGTCACCTAGGGGAAAGACAAAGTTATGGACATCGATGCGAGAGAATCATCTGTTTGCAGATTTTTCTGTGCGCTCCGTAGTGAGTAAGTGTTGATGCCTCCATAACTCTGGCGACAGACTCTTGCTTACACAGCGAACACTGAACGCCTCAGTAGTTCACAAAACCAATGTATTTGCTTCAATTTTACGAAGCGAGCATACTACGTACAATTTATTAGCAAGATGCAGACGCACATCAGAACTCACTATGTCAAGAGTGTTATGTTCATTTGCAATATGAAAGAGAAGGACGAGAATGAGGACGACTGAACATCGGACTCGAGCTATCTTATCTTTCATAGTCTGTAATCTTATCTTATCGCATCTCGATAGATCGGATTCGCTTTGAATTCGACTCGCTGGACTTTCACTCATATGCATCAAGCTTTGACCAAGTTCAAGTTGATTAACTCATTACCTGCCCTTGGGGTCGCGAAGGAGTCAACTGACATCGTTATACACTCTTTCTCACCGGCCTCTGCGCTGTCATACAGTTTTTTCGTTGTCTCCTTTAGCTGAGCCCCTGGCACACAACGTCGTTAACTTCGTCGCATACCATTTGCTTCCGGGCCCTTTATCAAGCCATCTGTTCACGCGCACTTCCTTCGCTCGCGCCACGGTGTTATTGGTATATCAGACCCATGTCAACAATAGACGTTCTGAGGTATAATAGTGGAGTTCATATATCACTTATTATCCCACAGAGAAAGTTGTATGTGTGTCATGCTAACGAAAGAGCTCAGCGTAAGGATGCCGCTATTCGCCGCATCTCATTTGCACCTGAGTTGCCGAGAACTGTAAGTAACGGGGAGATGACCACGGGACGTACACATGGTCGCCGTTCTTAATGAAGACCGTACAATGCCCGGGTATTTCAAGTCGATCATGTCGGCCTACGATGATCTGCTGGGCCTGCCACGGCGAAAATCTTACGTGACTATATAAATGACACTCCTGACGCGGGACCAGGCTACATTCGCAGGTCATCCCCACGCAGTCGTTTACGCTATTGGCTCCACTCCGTGCGTTCGCACTCGTTCTTCGACCACTCACCTGCGGGTTTTGTGGTTCCTGTGCGCCGAATTTGGGAAGATGCTTTCTATGTCCGCTCATTTCATTTCGCTTGGAAGGGAATGACAGATGAGGGAGGCTGCAGGGAAGCCATTCAGCGTAGGGCATGACCCTGACACGACTTTTCCGCCATCTTGTTCTCTGCCATATATAGGCCACCATTAGGAAAAGTACTTCGCTATCAACCTCATCCAGACTCTGACTATCAACTCTCAAGCAACATCTCGTTCACTCCTACGTTCATAATCGTCCGCCCATGAGCTATTACGAGCGAGGGAATCCCTCGACCTCCTCTTTGCTAATCTTCCTTGCGGCCGCCCACCTTTCTGGTTTTGTGACTCATGTATCAATAGAGGAGACGACCCAACGACATCGTGTGAGTGTCGTCTTCACACCATTTGAATAAAGAAAGAGTGTTCATGACATCCATTTGCAGCGAAAGAATTCTCAGAGGCATCGACGCTAGAGTGATCCACCATTCCGCCCTGTACTACGAAACATTGCGTCGTGAGTCGATCCCGGAACGCTTTATCGCTGTTTATCCAGATCGCAGCCCCTGATCACTTGGTTAGGGGTACACAATCTCAAACAGGGATGTTGGTTGAGTAAAGAGGGCCATATAGACGAACAAAAGAGCACCATGTTCACATTATCGAAGCACGAGATGTTATTAACTGGCATTCTATATCCTTGACTCATAGCAAATATGCGTCAAAACGTTAAAAGCGCGTAGGGCAGGTCCGACGGACTAGAACGTGTGGGAGGAACGATTACCAACTTTGCTTCCAATTGCAAATGGGCGTGAGGGAAAGAACGTGGGACGTGCCACTCTTGCTTGCTGGCAGACTCATGTCTATCTCCCTCAGGAATTCTTGAGGCAAATGTTCGAGGTCTAGTGCGTCCCTCTCGAAAATTACTACACCTTCCTAAGAGGATATTACTCTCCCTTCATCATCGTCATAGGTATCCCAACAAGCTGGGTGTGTCAAAACCCTCGATGTCTCACTAGCTCTCCAACCTACTGAGGTGTTTATTGAATACGACGTTTTCTTGTCGTCCGAGTTCGTGCACATGAATTTCCAATCTGGCAGATTGACATGCTCTTGCTCGTATGTAGCCAAGTATCCTCAGCTCCGCGTGGCACGTCATTCACGCAGCCATCCACCTTTCCCCAAATCTAACTCATTCATATCGTGTTCACATGCAGGTACAACGGCGTTCGATGTTTCTGTTCGGATTCATTCATTATTCATAACACAGATGATGCTCCTCCGCACAAAGGGAGAACAAGTGCAGTGATGATTTCCCATGTCATTTCACGCAGTCTGTAGAAGGCCGCGAGGCACGTACTGAGATTCTGATGTGTCACTGTTCACACTTAGGATGAATGAGTTCCGATATGAGAGATGAATCAACAGTGTATGTACGTATTACCCAGTCCTGCTGGAGAGGAGTGTGCTCTAAGGTGTCGTCTAAATATGTGGATCGCCTCTAATTCGGACTTTATGCCCTCCGGCTTAGTGGGACAAAAGATTGTGTACTGGACACAGGGATGTATCGGTCCCGTTTTGATCTTGACTTTCTACGATGGGATTTCGCTGGAAGCCTCATCATTAGGGCGCCTCGAAACAGTATTGCAACGCGCACTCACATTTACGAGATTTCGGGACCATGGCTTTAACCACTGAAGTTGCATGCGCATTTATGTAAGAAATTGAGGCAGAACTCGGTCACAACGTGTTTGGCTTACCATAATATACCCCTGTTCCGACGCAAATGATGGCGTCACATGTAAGTTCTATTAAGTCGGGGATGCAGCACAGAACAACTGGATGAGGTTGACATTCAGTTAGACGATACAAAAGCCCTGGCCCTGAACTAACGTTCTGCCACGATGTTATCATTACTGTCATCGCTGCAGTCGGTCAGTTGTTTGAAGCCTATGCAAACGATATAAAACTCACTTTATCTTCGTTTGAAATCGTCTAGAAGTCGTCATGATGCTTTGTTGCGCTATGTCAGTATGCTGTGGCATTACCTTTTATACACGCAGAGAGCCTCATTTTGAAAACAACAAACCCAGCCTGTGACGGGTGGTTGTCAGGAAACATGAAAGCGACAATAGCAGGTTTTTTGTTTTTATCCGTTGCTGTTGAATGGCATTGTAGTGATGCCTTTAAATTAAAACAAAGGTGCTGTCATTCGAATACGAGATAGAACTCGCAATCAGACAGTCGCGATAGGGATGGTATTGTAATAAGCAAGTCCCCTTCAATAGCAAAAGTATCGTTACCACACCTCGGCGCTAGACATTGTATAAGAAAGCCGCCGAAACGACAACATGCCACCGCCTTCAAAATCAACTTTCGTTCGAGCTGAGACGTGCACACGCTCTAGCACTGTAGGGATGGGAAGGCATGAGAGTCATCGTGTAATGAGATAAATACAGACCGGTGTTCCTCATAAATCGTTTCATTGGATCGGACTGAAGTGGCGACAAAACAGACATGCCAATGAGAGCAAGATGCATATAAAAATTATGCAGCCTTCATAAAAGAAAGTAGCCCGAAGATCACAAATATACTCACCGCTCAGACAAATCTTGATGATTTGTTTCAACGGTTTATCAAGGAGACGAGTTAGGAACGAAAGTAACCTGAACAGATACGTAGAAATCCGTACGTCCTATTACACCTCGGGTCCTCCCAAGTGAGAGTGATGACAGAGAAGATCTAATGTGAAAGAATCATCGCTTGAATGAGCATGAAATGATGGAAATAACGGAACAAACCCCATGATGAGTTTCGAAAGATGACAAACGCATGCTCCTTCATGGCATCGCAACTATTTATAGGTTGTTGCCTCAAAATTCCGAGTACGGGGATTTGACCCTGTTACTCATCAAGCGGTGTGGTACTGCCTCTTTCTTCTATCTGTCCGCCGCATCACAATTCACAAGGGAACTCAGGGAACTCAGGGAACTCGGTAACCTGCTTACCACACATAATCCCGAAACAAAGTGTCAAGCACGATGTACATGATCCAGCTGGAGAACACGGAAGATGCTACAAATGTGAAAAGAGGTTGAGAACTATTAACACATGAGGCTAAAGGCACGTACAGCGGTGTGGGTGTTCTGTCGAGGCAACATCGGCAACATCGGCAACTTGTTTGGAAACTACGATTTCGGAGAGTGGATGCGTAGAATGAACTGTCTAGTACGGCGGCCACCGTAATTGCATCGTAGAGAACATCAAAGAATATTGGAATGTGGTATCGTAGAGATACTTGCATCCGCATTCCTTCATTTGCCGCTCACGTTGGAATAACATCAACTAATCAGAGCCAATATTCCTTCGAAGCATTCGAAGTAGATTCGAAAAGAGCATGACCTCTCATGATCCTGCGATTTTGAGGTGCAGAACGAGTGAGGTCGTACGTGGTGATCGCTGCCGTAGAGTGAATAATTTGAATCACGAGCATATCACGGAAGCGCGTCAGTCACTGAATGTCAATTTCTGTCAAGTTCTTCCACGTTCACCCAGAGTAACATTTCTACCATGTACCTAGGACTCGTCATTACTCAAGCACAGCTAGCTATAGGGGACCAGTCAGAATACCTTATGTAGTCACGTACAGAACTATAGCAGTTGTCGAGCAAACCTAGTTGTCTGTAACATCTCCGGTGTGGCTGTTGCCGATGCCTTCGACCGTTCTTTTGACTTCTTCCTTCCGACATCCCAGTAACTCACCACTTCGCGATGCCCTAGTTGCTGCGCTGGCTCTACCGTTTGTACTGGTGGAATGTTATATCATTGACAACGTCCTTATCTCTGATCCTATGTTGTTGATACTCATCATCTCATCGACTCACGCTTGAGCTCTTATTTTACCCAGGTCCAATCTTACTAGAAGGGATCTCCCCTACATTCACATTGGAATATGGGCAACGATTTTTGCAGGGGTATTTGCCAGGGTCTGAGATGCGATATCAAAGATGTGTGAGCAGAACATACTTCGATAGTAATCATCCCGTCAAGTTCTCACCATCTTTTCATCACAGAAACTTTTTTGATACGTACCCTCGTCCCAAGAAATGGCAATTCTGAGATCAAATCGGCTTCCTGAGTTGTTGATACCTGAATGTTAAGTCATCATCTATCGATCTGATCACTGAGCTGTCCAGACGGGATTTCGGTGCAATGGGAGTTTGAGACAGTAGACTAGATTATCCTTGAATATGGGCAACCGGTTCACGTAGGCCTTTCACTGGCACGCTGCGGTATTGTAAGTGTTTTTGCCTAATGGATAAGAGGGGGTGTCCAACCTCCGTGGTTGTTAGTATCACGTTTTTGACATTCTATCATTTTCCGCAGCTTACGCTCACAGCCTCTTTAGGTACCTCCCCACATACTTGTAAACGCTAGGAGATCGACCCTGCAGCTACGATGATCCAACTCCTTATGAAGCTCTTTCATTCACAGCGCTTCAGCATTCACCGACCTATGTTTGCATATCTCGAGATCCTCTGTGCAGGGTCCTCGTCCTCCGTCAAGCATTTATATGGGAGGCTTGGACTCGTAGTCACTAAGGTTCTCCTACCAGCCATGTCCACATCTCTTTGGTTCACACCTGCAATCGCGCAGCAGTGTCGGACTGCAATGTATATTGCTTTGGCGGTGGTCACGGTATTGTTGTTTATCTGCACTCATTCAGCTTGCTTACCTGGTCCTATTTCTACAGGCATGGTTGTATGACTTTGTGTTGGCGATTCCAGAAGAAGTGCGCATGTTCATGGAGACCCCTGTTACATTAGCCGACATAGCTTATATCTGCGCACGGTAACATGATGTACCCAATTGCTGTAATACGCACAAGCTAACAAGATCTGCTTTATAGTTTTTTTACCGCTGGGTGTGTATCTGGGACACTCATATTCGCCGGTAAGTATTTTGTTGAATAGTAAGTTTATGATAACTTAAAAATGTGAAGTATCTTCTTCAAATCTTTGTAACACCCTTCTTGCTGTGGTGACATGGTTTGGAGCGCTTGCCTTACCATCTAATTCTCTGCTCTTCTTGATTAGGGTCAAAGGAATCTTCCACAATTCACGGTCGGTCGTTATACTATTCGGACTACTTTGGACGACAACATTCCTGTCTTTTTCCGCGCCCTTCAGTTATGTGGCCAATAACGAAGAAGCCCTTGGTGTAGAATGGTGCTGGGTACCCAGAATCAGTGCACTCGGTTCGGCACCATTTATCGCTTTAGCTATATTTGATACTGCCGTATTCATTGCCATCTCTATGCGAGTCATATCGTACAGTCCGGCTCACACATGGAACGAGAAGTTCAAGTCGTTCATTTTTGGAAAGAATCTTGGGCACATTTCGAGAGCGCTCCTTCGGTCTGGCCAGCTCTACTATATGCAAGTCTTGCAATCTGTTTGTTGTTCTTCAATACTAAACTTTTGCTGTTAGGGTTACCGTCACCATCAACATATGTATCGCGGCCGTGGTTCTTTCTCCCTCAATCTCGCCAATCATCTCCGCCACAACCGCGATTGTCAATATTGCTTTGCAGAACATCATGGCATGCCGTGTATTCCGGCTGCTGAAATTTGGACTCATCGAAGACGATTCTTCCGCGCCTACATTCTTTCAAATGCACATTTCACGAAAGGCTGCGCATCTGAGTCTGCTTGAGATGTCCTCAAGTGATACCATACAACAATGCACTATGGATATGGAGGGTATGGAGGATGAACACGATGTCTCTGTGGTCGTTTCATCGGGGAACCGGGCTTTGCGGAGTGCCGCACCATTAGCTCCCGTGGAAATTTCAATCACACAGGAAACGGAGGTCGTTGTTGATGCAGTAGAGGGGTCTCAATTGGGCGACCATGTCTAGATGGAAAGTAAGTTGAACGGGTTCTCTGTGGCCTGCAAAATCATCTGATCCATAATCACTCAAAGCGATGATCTTTGAAAGATTATGAATATAGTAGCATCTGTCCTGCACCGCTGTTCCTCGGAGATCTTCGGTGTTGAACCATGATGCTTCTTGTATGGACTTGCTTCCGCTCAGACATGGCTACGTTTTGAAGGAATAGATTGCTGAAGTAAGTATTACAAGTTCTCATAAGCAGGTGCGTTCCCAAGCAAAAGATAGCCTCACCGTGCAGGCAAGGTGATCAGCTCAAGTCCTCATTTTCACGATCATTCAGGGGCCTTTGCTTTGATCCAACTCCGACCAGCTTCTTAGATAGATCGCTTTCAGTGTTCGACACGTGTAACATGGGTCAAGGATGTATACGATGCAACTTTGATGAGTTTTGTTACAAACCTTCTCCCGTGCTCTGGTCTAATCATCCTGCATCATCGAACCAAAGATCTTCGCCCCACCAAAATTCCACCAAAAAGTGAACTCGGCAAGAAGACAAGGCTTTCACCGTGGCATGTGACGGTCCACAGACATTTAACATGCCTTCTCAAGGCGTGACTGCTTGACAGAACTATGCATGATCCGCTTCAGGGTATAGAAAGCGTAAAGTTGAGAGGACCTACTTAGAAGCATTCTCACGAGGTGTAGTTCTAGGCGAACTCTCCAAGTTGTATCAAGGGTCCCAGCATCTCGCAAAAGGGCTTCTTGTAACATCGGCTTACGATAGAATACCGGAGATGGAGACATTAAGGTGAGACTGATATTTCATCCGCTGATAAGCTAGTAAATAGTGACCTCTCCGCAAATCTAAGATTACTCCTTCGGCCGTCTATGACTGTGTTGAATAAGAGCTTCCCGAACTAGTTCACGTTGAGCTTATAGCATCCGTGGTATTGGATCTCAACCTGTACGTCTTTTCTACCCTCACAGTTGTTCAGAAGACATCATGATCAACAGCACTCAAGAGATTCGAACTGTCACAGCTGCGCTCTTCTTTCGATTTGTGTAGGTGAAGCCCTTTCATATCATTACCATCTGGAGTAGCGCGGTTGGTGCCAGATGGTTTTTCCTAAGCTTCGAGATCACATCTTCAGGGCCCTGTACAATAAGGTCAGCAAAGGGCATCGCTGTTTGGGACTAGACCCCGCCTCCAAACAAAATATGCCAACCAGTCCGTGCTCAGGATGGGGCCTATTGGCATATCTAGGTACACGCGCAGGTAGTCTGGCTCATATACATGCGGACACATAGCTAGTCTTCATTACGACCTTCTCTTCACCGTAGATCATTAGCCGGTAGTTATGTCGCACGATACATCATAATTTGAGATGCTGCAATGGTAATTCAAGTCCCGATCATATGCAAACTGATAAAACTTAAATCAAACTAGAAATGAGCAGATGAAAACCATTCGAAACTTGGAGTTAATCTGAAGTTCGTCTGGTGTATATATACAACTATTATCTAAATACATGCGATATCAATGTGTTCATATATACTCATGGTATCGGTCAGGTTTGAGCATGGATCAATGAGTGTGTTTGGGTAGGTTTTAATATGTGGTTACAAATGAAAATAATAAGGGAAAGTCGTGTTTGTAGATCCGAAATGAAAGTGATCATAACATTACCCCCTCCTCTAGAATCGTGTCCTCACAATTAATTATGATAGAGTATGAAATTGTTCAATCATACCATGATGATCCATTCTTCTGAGTTTTCTCTCTCCCGTTCTCATAACCACACAACCCAGAGTATCACTCCAACAGTGCATAGGATTATGCCGCCAAAGATGCTAAGGATGATGATTCCGTCTTTGTCCATTTCTACCAAAGAGCTTTCATTGGTTGAGTGAATGATTGTTCTAAGATAGGGGAATCCATACTTGGAATTGATATTGGTTCGATGAGTTGGTAGAAGGAAAGAATGGGGTATTGCCATTCGAGTTTGACTTTCGTAGGCACGGATGTGATTGCCACGTGTGTCAGTTTGAGCATCTGCTCATTGATGATCCATAACTCGCCGGCATTCAGGTAATGCTGATTAGATATGATTTGTGCTTTTCTTCAATTTTCGAATAATTTAATCAAATTTGGATCCACAGATATCATTGCTTTTTCTTTTTTACAATGTTCTGCCCATCGCTGTACTTTCTGATCCCAATAATCCCATTCTTCTTGTGTCGCTTCTCTAGGAAATGACTGTTCCATAATTTGTGCCTTTAGCAATATTCTCGTGGGTGCTTTTGGCGCATCGGGATGATCTTTATGGAATTTGTCAATTATCTTTTTGTCTATGTTTTTAATGATTTTATGATGTGGTTTCCATGTATTTTTGGAATGTGGTTTTCCAGCCCACTTGATTAGATATTGAAGGTCTCCATGTGCCATCTTGGAGTCTAGTACAGATTCGGCTTTGTCTTCTAAAATATCGATAATTATTGGAATGTTTTTGTGTGTTTTCTGATTAGGGAATTCTGGTGCGTGATATGGCAATAATAAGGTTTCATTGAATACGGGATATACGCCTTTCCATGATTTTGGTAATTTGAGCTTGTATGTGCTAGCTCCAATTTTCTTGATAATCGGGAATGGTTCGTATCTTTTATCATCTAATTTTTGATTTGATCTGTCTATTTGTATGTATGTAGCTTCGAGCCACACTAGATCTCCATCTTTATAATTTACGGCTTCTCCCTTATGTTTATCATATTGTCTTTTCATAACATCCTGTGCTAGTGTCAATGATGCTGATGCTTCTTCTTGAATTTTCTTCATTCGTGCTACAAACTGCTTAGCAGTTTTGTTACAAATTTCTTTTTTGGTTTCTACGCCAGTGTAGGCTTCTTGTCCATGATTCATATAAAATGGTGAAAATCCAGTCACAGAGTGAACTCTATTTCGATATGCAAATGTTGCCAATGGCAACCATTCTGGCCAATCAGTCTGTCGATGATTGATGAAGATTCGTAAATAATTTTCAATTTCCTGATTGATTCGTTCTGTTTGTCCGTCTATCTGTAGATGATATGCCGTACTAGGATTTTCCTGAATTCCTAGTTTTTTATATAAGTCTTTTATGAAACTGGAAATGAATTGCAGTCCACAGTCTGATGTCATCTTTTTTGGTAATCCGTGCAACGGATATACATTTTTGATATAAAGGTTAGCCCATCCTTCTGACGTCAATTGCTCCGTGGTTGGTATTTCAATGTAGTCTTTTGATTTCATGTCCACAACTACTATGATTGCATCATGCCCTTGCGATTCTGGTAAATGTGTAATCATGTCTACAGATTGATATTCCCAGTTGTATTCCAGAATTGCATTCAGATGCAATAGAGCATTCTTCGGTTGATGGTTAATCTTGGTTTTTTGACAAGTCTCACAGCCTTTTACATATGTTTTTACATCTTTTTTGATTGAAGGCCACCAGTACGATCAATAGATTAGTTCTTGGGTTTTTGCTTGTCCAGGGTGTCCAGCACTAATCGAATCATGATGCGAATGAATGATTTCTCCTCTAAGTTCTTTATTGAAAGGAATAACAATCTTCCCCCTTCTCCAGATAAGACCGTCCTCGATCTCGTTGAAATCAGCATCTTTTGTCAATAGTTTTAGTCATACATTGTTTTCATATTTATCAACATTTTTTATGATTTTCTCCCGTAAAGCTGATGATCCGAGGATTTCGTTGGCTCGGAACCATTCTGGTTTCAACAATATAATATTTTCATTATGACTATCGCCGATATTGTGATGGGTCTGTCGCGATAAAGGGTCTCCCTTTGTCATTGTGTTTCCGGATTTGTGAGTCAAATTGAAATCGTATTGTTGTAATTCTTGGATTCATCGCGCCTGGCGATGATTCAACTTCTGGGGTTTTTTGAAATAGCCAAGGTTCTTGTGATCAGAATGAATTTCAAATTTCTGTGCAGCTCCCATCAAGAAGTGACACCATTCTTCTAATGAGATCATGATGGCTAGCATCTCTCGATCATAGATTTCATAGTTTCTTTCAGCCGGTGAAAGACTTTTCGATAAGAAGGCGATGGTGCGCCATTGTCCATCTTGCTTCTGTGCAAGTTCAGCCCCAATAGCATATTTTGATGCGTCGCATTCAACTTTGAACTGATCTTCATTGTTCGGAATACCTAATACCAGTGCAGTGGTAATGGTTTTCTTTAGAAGTTCAAAAGCTTCCTGCTGTTCTGGACCCCAGGTCCATTCTACTTGTTCGGTTAATTTATTCAAGGAAGTGGCAATTTTGGAAAAGTCTTTGATGAATCGTCGGTAGAAATTGGCAAATCCAAGGAATGACTGTAATTTCTTTTTGGCTTTTGGCACTGGCCATTGCGTAATGCTGTCAACTTTGGCAGGATCCATCTTTACAGTTCCTTGCGAAATAATATGTCCGAGATATTCTGTTTCTTGAGTTTCAAACTTGCATTTTTCTGGTTTACAGGTTAATTTATTTTCTTGCAATATTTTAAGAACTTCTTTTACAATATGTCAGTGTTCCTCCAGGGATTCAGAAAATATGAGTATATCATTAAGATATATGATTACTTTTCCTTTGAGAATGAGATTATGGAAAATATCATTCATCATCATCTGGAATGTAGCAGGACTATTTGTCAGTCCGAAGAACATGACAGTTGGTTCATATAATCCTCTATTTGTGATGAATGCAGCTTTTTCTTCATCTCCTTCTTTCATGTGAATATTATTATATCCCCAGCGAATGTCTAGTTTCGTGAAATATTTAGCACCTTTGAGCTTATCAATAAGCTCCGAGATCAATGGTAATAGATATTTATTTTTCTTGGTTATATCATTGAGTTTTCAGTAATCTTGTACCAGTCTCAATTTGCCATCTTTCTTTTTGACAAAGAAGAAGGGTGCTCCCCAGGGAGATTTCGATGGTCTGATTCTTCCTGTCTTTAGGTTTTCTTCAAGAAAACCATCTAGAATTTTTTGTTCTTCAACGGTTATGGAATACACCTTGCCTGCATATGGTGATGAATCTGGTAACAGTTCTATTGCATGGTCCCATGGTTTCCTTTCTGGAAGGACATCGAAAGTGTCTTCAGTGAATATGTCTGTGAATTCATGATACTGTTCAGGAACCATTTCTTTGAAGGTCTTTTTCTTTTTCTGTTTACTTTGTTCAATTGCTATGTCCATGGCTGTTACGCGCATTCTTTGAATATATTCTCCCCATTCTTTATACCAGGTATTGGTATTGAGTAAATATACAGTGTCTCCTTCTTCGATCTCTTGTTGTCTTATAGTGATGCACGTGTGCGGGCATCAGTTAAAGTCAACAAGTTGTAATTTAAAGTCTATTGATGAATTATGATATTCAATCCATTCATATCTGAGGAATATGTCTGACTTCCCCAGATCGGTAACTAGAAGCATGATCTTCTCTTGGTGATCACTGATTCGAAGTGTGAGTCAGACGTATTTTGTGATCGGTCCCTGAGAATTCTCACTGTTATCCGCGTTATAGACTTGGATTAGTTGATCAAATCTAGAGGTTTTGATTCCGTGCCTTTTGATGAAATTATAATTTATGCATGATCCGGTACTTCCGGTGTCTACTAACGCTATTGTATCATGGATTCTTTCTGTTTCTGGTATGATCATAGTGACCGGTAGGTCCATTTGTTTTCCTCTTCCAAGTCCTTTGACAACTCGGAGTAATGGTGGTCCACAGTCTGTGATGCTTTTTTCCGATGCACTCAGTTTGTTTTCAAATTTTTTTGTATTTTGTTTAGAGGAATCAAGCACAGGTTCCACCCTGCCATGCTTCTTGGTAGAAGACGCCTCTGCATTAGATGAAATATTTACAAAAGGGAACTGTCCGATCGATGTACTACAGGCATGTATCGAAGATGTTTTCATAGAACCCTCCAGGGGTTTATCCAAGTCATTGTTCATATCCGGCAAGTTACTTTGTGCATTTAAGCCTTGCCCGAGCCAAAATTCAGCTTCTTCACCTTCTCCGGGTTCTTCTCCATCCATCGCCGAACCATGGCGATCATCTTGTCATCTTCATCATCATCTGAGTCGGGGATCTCCTCGATCTTTGACTCTGATTTTGTTTCATTCTTTCGAATACGTTGAGTGTTCGTGGAAGGTCCCGATCGATTGGGGACATGCCATGCACTTCCGCAAGTGCCCTTCTCTGATTGCTTAGCCTTACACTTAAGGCAATTTCTATCCAAGTCCATGGGTTGTCCACACCCTGTGAATGTTGTTCCAGTTCCATCCTTCTTTTCTCCATAGTCCTTCTTCGGACTCTGATTCTGGTTCTGACCTGATCCTTGGATTTGCTGCTGATAGGCAGGGTACTTCTGCCCATAGTTCTGGTTCGATCGGTATAGTCGATATCTGATCTTCTTCAAATGCTTCTCTTCTTCCCGCTGCCTTCGCGAGGAATCAATATCAATAATGGCTTCCTTCCACTGTGCATAGGCGGTCAGTCGCATGTCTCTGTCGAGAGCCCTATCTACAATGGACTCATTGCAGTTGAGTCTGACAAGGTCGATAGTATGTTTATCTTCCTTTTGCCTGCCTGCCTGTGTGATGTACATTTCCAATTTCTGGAAATATTCCTGTGCTGTCCCATTGCCTTGGGTCAAGTTATCCATTTGGATAACTGCTTGTTCGACTCAGTTTGAGTCGAGGAATTGTTCATTAAGATCTTTCATTAAATAAAGGAAAGTGACATTCCAGCTATCGGTGGTGATGTCAAATTCATTTTCGAAGTAGTTATTGACCCAATCGTCAACCTTCGGACCCTTCATGTATGATAAAGTCATATTGACCTTCTGTTCATCAGTAAGACCGATATTCTTGGGTGTTCGGAACTATAAGTACAGTTGTCTTTTGAAAGATGGGAATTTGTCTTTGGTTTCATCAAAGTCTACAGGTTTCCCTCCAGATGCTTTGGTGTTTGGCTGTGGTGTAGCTGCTGGTGGGTTGTTTGGCAGAGGTGGTGGTGAATTTCTGGGTGAGTTTGGATTTCCTCCTGGAGGCAGTGATGGAGGTGGGTTTACTCCGAGACTACCTGTTCCAGATTCAGTAGAACCCATTGGTGATATCGGTGATGGTGGTGTGAAGTATGTAGGAAATGAGTGTGGCGACGGTATGAGTGGAGGTGGAGATCGATGTGTGTAGTATTGATAGAGTGGTGCAGAGAATTCAAATGAAGACATGATGTGTGAACAGTAGTGTCTTGTACCGGGCGCACGACCCTGTTCTGGTACTTAGATGAGTATAGATCCGAGGTAAAGATACTCCTTCAAAGTGTTCCAGTCAATTGCCAATCTGGACACACAAGATAGGTAGATATAGTAACTACGTAAAATGGTTCAGCCTTAGAAGGCGTGAAAAGAGAAGTTGATCTCCGCGGTAGTTGTCTTTCGACGTGCAGGAGAGTCAAGGAATACCAGCGAGGTTCGAAACCTCCTGCCGTACACTCAGTCATTTAGGTCTGAGCAGGGTAAATTCTGGTAGGATTTTTTCAACGGCCCCTCTGTCAAGAAGGTTGCAGCACCGCCTACTTCCTGGTTGCTTCAAGAGTGGACTACCAGGTGAGAGTAATGATTTATGTACTAAGGGAATACAAGGGTTGCAATCTACAGTTGTAGTCACGTGATTACCCAGGTGGAGGAGTGGAGTGCGATATGAGAGGTAACTAGGAATGTGGAATTCGGATCCCTCCGAATGAGGTCTTGAGCAAGTAAGAGTAAAGCAGAGTAGAGTGAGGAATGAGGTGGTTGCCGTCGAGTACAATGGACTTTGAGTGAGGTGAAGTGTGGGTGGAGGATGAGGCAATGCCTGTCGAGAGAGTGCGGAGGGGCAAGTTTCGAATTATGATAGAACTCAAATCAAAGTAGAAATGAGCAGATGAAAACCATTCGAAACTTGGAGTTAATCCGAAGTTCATCTGGTGTATATATACAACTATTATCTAAATACATGCGGTATCAATGTGTTCGTATATACTCATGGTATCGGTCAGGTTTGAGCATGGATCAATGAGTGTGTTTGGGTAGGTTTTAATATGTGGTTACAAATGAAAATAATAAGGGAAAGTCGTGTTTGTAGATCCGAAATGAAAGTGATCGTAACACAAACACGACTAGTAAGCGTTGGTCTTGTGTGAAGCGTCGAAGTTACAACTCATGGTCAAGTCAGAATGTGGGCGATAATGAATTAAATAACCTAAAATAGTCCCAAGGGATAGACTGCGACTAGTGTGAGCTCGAACCAAATGCTACTAGGTTCTTGTCTTTCCAAAACCCCTGAACGCGAGCTCGTCACCCGAAACTTCATCGAGCACGATCGCGGATGACTTCTTCCTTGAAGATGACCTCGTCGGTTTGGCTCCGCGTTGCATAGACTTGGGAGCTGTGCTCTGTAGTGGCATGTCGAGATCGTCCTGGGATGACTTGGTAACATCTGGAGCCACATCACCGCCAGCGTCGTCATCATTCATGTCCACGTCCTCGTCTGATTCAAGGAACAGCGGCTCGTTGGGCATGTATTTTGGTTGTCTCTTGTACCTCGTGCGAGCGGGAGGGACTTGGATGTGAACAGGAGAGGGTTCCCGTTGGCTCCGTCGAGCATTTATAGGTTGCAGTATGTTCTCCTCCGACGAATCTTGAACGACAGCCTGAGTCCCCTGAAGTTGTGTTTGCATTTTACGCTCCTGGGCGCTAGCAAGGTTGAATAGGTCGTTCTGAGGGGCATTCTGCGATTGAGATGCCTTCCGCATTTCTGGTCAAGAATTAACGAAGAAGCATTTACAGTCAAAATAGAAAAAAGCTGACGAGAAGGGAAAGAATCGTCTGGATCGACATTGAGAACAAGTTCCACTGGTTTCCTCCGTTCACCAACAGCTTTCTGCATTGCGTGGCTCAGTAGTCGACCCATAAAGAAAAAGGAATCGCCTCACCTTCTTGAATTTCTTAAAATCAGGCCGCCCTTCCCATTCTACACGTCCCTCTCCATGTCTGTAAGACGTTCTTGCCTCGCGCCTTGGTACATCCATCTCGACGACGACCATGAAATTCCCTCGCACATCGCCATCGTCACCAAACTGTTCTAGAACGCCCCACTCCTTCTCAGCTTCCTCCTTGCGTAGGTCTGGCTTCGAGATCTTCAAGTTGTTGAATTCGCGATCAAACGTGTCTTCATGCTTCCTGCCTCGCTTGGTGGAGGCGACTGCCTTCAAAAAAGCCTCGTCTCTGTCTGGCTTGCCCGGTGCTGCGCCAACGCCAGAAGACGATTGCTGGCTTTTCTCTGCCTGGGATTGAGCCCTACTGGAAAATCCTTTGGCTGAAGGCGGCTTAGTAGGAGCGGAGGACTTGGACTGCGTTTGCGATGGTGGAATAGCGGTAGCAGGCTGTACAGCATCTACGCCTTCCACTGCACGTCGCTTGGGTCTTGGCTGCTCAGCGTCCTCCATCTCAACATCTTCTGCGGGTTCTTCCATCCGAACTTTTCTTTTCAACCTCGATCCGGCCTGAGTCTGCTCTCCAACAACAACACTCTGTGAAGGTACAGTTGAGGGTTCCTCCTCTTCCTCCCGGACAACATCCAACCTGCCCTGCATTCTTGAACTACCTGGCATTTGAGTCTCGCTCTGGGTCATACTCCCAGTAGAATCCAGACCTCTGTACATTGTCAAGTATTCTTCCATACCAGACTGGGCGATTCGATCCGGGTCACTCTCTTCGTATAGCGCCTTAAATTTCTTGAGCGGAGGTTCGACGGCCTCCGCTTCCAGTGCAGACGTTGCATCCACATCATGATCTTCCTGGCCTAGGAGAGGCGCCCCGCCAATTACGCGACGTTTGGGACGTCGACGTGGAACAGTCTACATACAGCTAAACCATTGCGCCCTGACGACATATAGGGGATAACACTCACTCGACTAGAGGAAGGCTTCTCGGGCGCCTGAGCACTAGATGGTATTGGTGCAGGAGTTACGCTTTCTGCAGTCGATGATTCTCCATCTTGCAGCACAGAATCATCGTCCCCAAAGAGCGGTTTCCTGTTTATAGGCCTTCTCGTAGGTCTCTATCATGAAGTCAGTCCAATGGTTCGTGTTCGTGGAGATAATTTGGAACGTACCCTTCGAGGAGGTTGGGGTACTTGCTGTGGCTCTTGGTTCTCCATTGATGCTTGTTCATCGGCAGCCACATTGCCATCTCTTGAAGCCTTCCCTGATTGTTCCTCCACTTGAGCAGAAGGACCTTTCGCACTTATAGTGGTCGTTGACCCAGAAGCCGCTGCGTTCGCCACCGCTTGATCGAAGCGTTCATCGCTCGAGTCATGCCGTACAAGCCTTCTTGTCTTCCGTCCCGGAGGTTGAGAAGGTGAAGGTGCAGGAGGAGGGGTGACCGTTCTGAACTGCGAAACTGGTAGAGAGGGTTCATCGAGATGAGTGTTGGGAATAACGTCTGGAAGTGGGGAAGCGAATCTATGGGGATCTGCAGGAGCATATTAGAGAGACGTATAGAGGAAAGTGATGGAGGGTATTCGCACCGTTTAGAGGTTCTTTGAGCATGCAGTCAACGTACGATAAGTCTACGTGCATGATTGCCTGAGCCAACTTCTCTAGGCGGATAAAGTGAAGGTTATATCTGCCAAGCCGTCAATTCAATCCGCGAGAATTGTTCACAGGGAATTACTCACTCGGCGGCCTCTCGAACAATCTCCATCCATTTGTCTTGACCCACAGCAAGTCCCATGTCATGTTCATCAGCAACAAGTATCAAAGGCTTGCCCTTGCCTTGTCCCTTTGCAAGCACTGCATGGAAGCTACTCCATCCGCCTTCTACGGCAAAACACTCATACTCGCCTCCACCTCTCTTCACGACTTCCCGCAAGTCGACACTAACCTCTCGTCCCCTTTCCCCGACAAAGATGAACCTACGTCCGTGAAAGAAATTCAACCGACCCTCGTTCGGTTCCCACACTTTGAGCGAACGCATCGAAGACGCTATAGCTGGGGAGTAATCTGGCCTATAGTCGGCTATGCGAGGAAGTGCGAAGCTGGCTTCCAGGCGAGATGGTCTCTCAGTGGGTGGTGCGTCGATTTGAGTGGTTGCAGTAGAGTGGACAGAGACTCCGAGCTGGAGGACAGCAGTAAGCCAGTCAGGGCGAATGAAATGCGCCAGGGTTAGTAATGAGCATGCAATTTGCGGGGATAATGAAAGAGTCGGTGTGATATGGTGAGTGACAGATGGGTGCGGAGTGAGTACAACAGATATTCCTGCAGAACGTGTGCATAAGCAATGTGTAGTCCAAGGCGTCGTCGAATACAGCTCACCGAGTTTCGCACAGCCAGTATATGGAATTACAGACGTGTCATGGGTAGGAAAGTAGCAGCAAACAGTCTCCCATTTAATACTGTATCTATGTTCAATAACAATCTCAGTCATGAAAAGGTATACGCACCTGAGGGTCACATCGTTAAGCACAAAGATCTTGTCACCATCCTGAAGCTGTAGTGACGATTGTGCGTTGACATTCAGTGCCTGGTCTTCTCTTTCTACCCGCCTGGACTTGGAGCCGGTATTATGAAGCTCCAAAGTAGGTTTCGTGTCCGGGTCAGACTATGAAAGTGGAACGCGCCTCAGAGCAGGCCAGCGTATCATAAGATTATACTCACAACATCCTCTTCAGAGTAAGCACCAACCGTGAAAGACAAATGATCTCGTGAGACCGACTTGTGATTCACGACCAGAGCCCTATCCTTCCTTCCGAGTACATATGTTCTTCCTGGCTTCAGGAGCTTTGACTCTGGGCACATTGAGTTTACCAACGCAGCTAAAGGAATAGCAACTCACTTTGGACGTTCAGCGCGTTGAGTGCTCCATCAAAGGGTCCGGTAATAACCCACATCCTTTACCTTCTCAAAGGATATGCATGAAAGTGGGAGCTATGAGGGGTGTACGATATGGAGTTGATTCTCCTAGTTTCAAGTGTCAGTTAGAGCGCTGAGATAAGACGGTAACTGTTTGGGTATCAATATTAAAGACCGCTGGAGAACAAGGAAGATGAGAGAGGGGGAAAGGACGCGTCGATTAAGCGCCGTTCAACGCGACTACGCGCCTCGTGGGATAATTAGTTGATTACTGCAGTTCGACTGCCCTGCATCCATGGACCATAACCGCTTTCAGCAACACCTTCATGACCTTAATATCTGGAATATTTGCCGCATATGAATTTGACGATGTTGAACAGTCGTCAACATGTCTACTCGACTATCCCCACAACATAATACTTAGTCTATTGTGTTTCGCTTGACGCCTCGTTCGCAAACCTGGTGGAGATATCGTGAGGCACGAGGGTTTGCGATTCTTCTCTGCTATGTGGCGATGAAGGAAGTTTTCATACTGAAGGTACACACTAATGGAGCGTTTGATCTCCAGGACGATCCCAGGTTTTGTTTTTTTATGTTCAACTATTGTTATGGGTCTCCTTATTGTTAGTACAACATTGCCTGTAGCTCTATGATCCCCTTGAAGACGGTTCCGAGGTTATAAAAGGTCGCATGTTGTGCGTTCTCAAGCCCCAACCTCGAATCTGTCCAATTGACCTACTCACCCCTCCATCAGTCCTCATGTTGTGAGTCCGCTTACTCATATGCCACGCTTGTCTTACCCTTCAGATAGGACCTTGATCTGGGACGTTATTACTGGTACACTTGTGTTCGAAATGGTGGTGACGTCCATACGATATATACTCACTCATTAACATAGGCTTTCTTGCCCTAGTCGCAGGTCTAATATTCTTAATTCTCTCACTTACATGCAAACTTATCGTCCGTGAGTGATCATGCTATTACTCGATCTCAGGAGCTAATCTACCTCTAGTCGTTCTGGAGCTTTGTTTCATGATCATTTCTTGTGCGTATTCTCACTAATCGTAAAGACAAATCGTTGACAAGAAATTTAGTCCCGTTCCTTTGCATAGCCGAGGGATTTCTTTGCCTGATGAGTGACCGTGACGTCGCAGATGGGTTGCTCGAAACTCTTGTGGGCATCGTCCCAATGGGTTCAGATGACGATTCCGTGATAAGTCTCGTGTAACAGTCAAGGGCAAGCGCGAAGAAGATACGAAAGATGGGATTCTTCCGATTCTCTTCCTGGTTGCTACTCGATACTTGAAGCTTGAAACTTAAAACATTCGCTTCACATGTTCTTGCTTGACAATACTTAGGGAGCTCTGTGGACGTACTTACTATGTACGGATAATATTGAAATATTTCGTCCAAACAAATATGTTCTTCAATCTGCTGGGTTACTCTTAGGCTACCCACTGTAGGCTATGGCCACAATCAGTTTAACAAGCTGATTAGCGTAGCAAGAAAGATAATCATGGGCGCTTGCACTAAAGCCGTCTCGCTTGCGCGTTGCGCGTTTGTGGCAGCATAACGAACTCTGTCCGTACCACCACATTCTGAGCATATACTCTTTGCCCAGTTATTCATCATAATGGACCACTTTCCGACCAGCTGGGGACGTCCTGTACGTTGATAGACTAACCATATAATGGCAGTGAACTTGACGACTGTATAGAGAACCGAAGCATATGACGCGTACAACACTTTCCCTTTGCACCAGCGACCGAATCCTGGACACAAAGATGCCTTCGCGGAAGGAGTTCAACGCACACAGTATGCCATTCTATTTGATTACAATATAGCTATGGACTAAACAACGTTCCTTCAAGACAACCGATTGTAACTGGAACGAGTGTGCTAGGAATTTTGTACAAGGACGGGATTATGTTGGTAGCCGATACACTCGGTGCGTCTCCAGCGTGACCTGACACGAACAGACATATCTAAACCCTTTTGCAATGATAGCCTCGTATGGCTCTCTTGCCCGCTTCAAGTCGATCCAACGTCTCCACCCAGTGGGAAGTTCCACCGTCATTGGTGCATCAGGCGACATGTCCGATTTCCAATACCTCCAAACGCTTCTGGAGGAACTGATTATAGAGGAGTTCGCTGAAGCTGATAAGCACGAACTAGGCCCAGCAGAGATCCATGAATATCTATCACGCATAATGTACGGGCGACGATCGAAGATGAACCCTCTTTGGAACTCATTGCTTGTTGCTGGTAAGAAGGATGGTAAACGGTGAGTAGAATGCCCCCTTCTCTGTGATCATGCATTCAACGTTAATGTCATTAGCTTCCTTGCATACGTTGACCTCCTTGGTACAACATACTCCGCGTCAACCATTGCTACTGGATACGGCGCCTACATTGCCCTTCCTCTCTTACGTACCGCCGTTGAGGGCAAGGAGGATACTTTGACTGAGGAAGAGGCACGCAAGATCCTTGAGGATGCTATGCGAGTACTCTTCTACAGGGATGCACGGAGTCTGGACAAGGTACGAGCGTCCGCCTGTCCTTACATTGCCTATTTTAATTGTCCGTCTAGTACCAAATCGCCATTGTAAATGACGAGGGTGTAACGATCTCTGAACCCAAGAAGATCGAGACTGAGTGGGGTTTCGCAGAAGGTATTCGAGGCTATGGCGCTCAGATTCAGTGATCTCAATTTAATACATGTCCGCCGGCTGTATCCCATACTTCTTCTCTTGTACACCTCGCATACGAATGAATTGAGATATATGGCCTTCAATGAAGCAATTCATGTCCATGAACCAATGGCATTAGTGGCTATATACAAAGGAGCGAAATAGATCACAGTCGAACCATTACAGAGCTGAACGTCGCTGAGAAAACATGGGAGGCCATGACGATGCGAAGGTACTAGTAGTACATTTCGACGCATCGGCATTGTCCCCACAAATGGCCAAAAGTAAAACATTTAGGAATAAAGTCAGAATCGTAACAGGTCATCATGTGGTCACCCACTCTACATCGACTACCACATATCACCAGTCCGGAAATATATACCTGCCATGCCATCACTCGGTTTCAGATTGTCGCTTTCCCGCACCTCCAGCAGATCTGTCGATATATGGTGGCGGCAACTCGTGAACAACACCTGCCCCTCCGTCGTGATGCTGAATGATGATATCTGGTTGCACATCTGGATCCAGGGACGCCATACTCAGGCCCGGCGTCGCAGCTGGTGATGCACCAGGAGGAAGTTGCGAACTTCCTGAAGCTATATGGCGTAACGACGCTGAGGAACCCTGACTATGAAGACCCGATAACCGCTCGCCATGGGCTTCTAATGCCTTGCGTCGAGCAGCCGAGAGCTCTGTTGTAGCCGTAGCAGCTGAGAACCCAAAGTTCGAATAGTCGCCGGAAGAGGGACCAGCATCTGAACTTGACAATGCAGGGGAGTAATCGGAAGTTGTGCCGGCGGATAGTGAATGCGACAAAAGAGGGACTGTATAACCATTCGTACCAATGTTGGCAGCATAAGATGACAAGTTCTTAGCCGATGGCGAAGAGAATGGTGGTGAGGGCGCCTCACGCATTTCTGTGTGCCCGGTTCCTGGCTGTTCGCCATCCGGTGCGCGAGCCGGCACGTCCCAAGCTCGTACGACCGTGTCTTGACCATCCCAAATGCCTCGCGAATGATCGGTGAGCAACTTGCGACGACGCCACCACCAAATGGCAACTGCGGTTATTAGGATTAAAGGAAGTGTGATACCAAGCACCACCCCAAGAATCAAAGTCCTGCGATGGCTTCGATTCTCAGCTGCTAGTTGCGCAGCAGCGTCTGCTTGCTGCTTTTCTACTTGAGCTTTAGTCTTCGAATTGGAGATCAACCCAGGACAATCCACATCAGTCGATCCAAAGGTGTGAACAGTCTTCGTTGATACGCCCCAAACACCGGTACTGTGTAATTGACATGTCAACTAACTGTCTGACCGGAGCAAGTTGGAAGATCACTCACGCATCATATATGGAAGCTGTCAAGGAACGCTTCTTCATCAGCGCCGAACTCGGAACCGTACTTGACAAATTGACTTACCCATTAACTGTCCGTTTGGATCAGCCCGATTAGGGAAAGTGTAAACGTCGTCGCCATCACCCATCGGTACCGTGGTGATTACGGGCGAATCGAGAGCAGAGAGTACAATGGTATACGGTTTAGTGCCGCCAGTGACTGTCAGACCCCAGCACGCGCAGGTTTCCAGGTTATCGGTTACATTAGGAGAGAGCGATGCAACAGAGGAGAGATCAGGTTTTGACGGAATGCAGGAAGTCGATGAACCGTCTGTAGATAGCAGGTTAGTACTTAGAATACTCAACAGTTGTCGTTCACATACCAACAACGTTGTACAGCTGCATTGGGATGCCTCCAGTATCATTCTTGGAGTCGATGATGGTTAACATTAGTGTAGATCCTGCAGAGAAGATCATCAATCATATTTCCAGCGTCGCGTAGAGGACTGAAGCATGGATGAGGACCAACCTGTAGCATGGTTCACTTGCCAAGTCAAATTCTTGGGATCGGACCCGATGTTCTGAACGGTAGGGATTCCCCCAAGCTCGAAAGCGATCATGGTATACGGAGGAGTTCCTAATGCAGAAGTGTCGTTCGAGTACAGTGACACCACTTCGATGGGTACATTTTGGCAAGTAGCAAAATCATCCGTGGCCAGCTACGATCCAATTCACTTTGAGCGATCAATGAGAGATTATGCTACGACGTACGTTATTGGCGAATCCCCACTGGAAGGTATGTTCAGGGTCTGCCGCCTCGCACTGCTTGATGCACAGAGCGAGACAGACACCAAACAGTGCAAGTGCGCGGCCGTACATCCCAACAGGCGAGCGCGACGCGAACATCAATCGTTAAAAAGTACCCCAGAAATCCAAGGCAGAAAAAGAAAGGAGAAAAAAGAGAAATGAAATGGCCTGCGGGGATGAAGATGAGGTCAGGAAGGAAGGGGAGGTTTGGGAGGTGATCTCAGGACGGTCTAACCCTGCCTCCGGCGCCGAAAGGATATTGAGGGCGGTCGAGTAAATGAGCAAATGGGCGGCTGTGAATGCCGACCAAATAGCGCTAACTCGTAAACGGCAACACCCCACGAGCAGGACAGAGTGAGACGTTGACGAACTTTGCAAGTTTCCTGGCGCCCAGCGATCAATGTCTTCCGATTAGAGCGCGAGATAGACCTCCCGTACACGAGGCGATCTGTTGAAACAATATAGCAACAATGAGGGTTTGGGGAGATGAAGGAGAATTTGAACCTGGTAAAATAGACACAGTCTGTGGGGGGAAGGACAAGAGGAATTTGATGAGAGGGTATTCTGCAAGATGGCACTTGGATTGCCCGCTTGGGGGTATCCAAGACCGGTGCGGCAATCCAGCATGAAGTCAGGAACAAACATCATCATTACATACTCGAGTACGCAGTTAGCGTCGTATGTAGTTAGATCGCCGAACTCATATCCTTCACTATAGTAATTCAAGCCGCTCTAGGGATATAACTTGCACACTCTCGTCTCCATGCATTGAGTATCTATCGTCCTTTGAAGTGAAATATACCTTTGAATGTAATGGAGATCTTTGACAATCGGGCACAATCAGCGCGGAGAATGAATTGATGATGGACCCAACTTCCGATCGTGCTGATGTGAACGAACGCTCGTCCTCTATTGCGTCAACTTGAAACAAATCCATAACAATGCACAGGCCCTAAAGCAGCTTGAAGCTTTGAAGGCCGCCTGTGCCCATAGCCTGCAGTCCAGATTAGATGAGGCAAATCTTGCTCTCTCTGAACGACACATGTCGACAGAATGAGACCGGATAACCAGTCCAGATGTGACAGAACCAGATTGAGAACAAGGACCACATCTGAGACCCCATCGGATGTGAGAATTCTGTTGACCCTGCATGGTGGCCGCTGCATGTTCTATCGAGCGCAGTAAATATTAAGCAAAGTGTACGGTATAATGACGGGATATCTGCAGACTGCAGTGAGTGGCGATACACACATCGGATGGCGTATCGCTAAAAACCGCCCTCGCGCATTTGTGACAGTCTCTAATCAATAACAGACTTCGAACAAGGAGCAACTCACCATCAAAAATTGGGTTTTGCAGGTATGTCACCTCTAGGAGTACAGTCTCATATAACATGTAGATTTGCGATGAACGAGGTGGAGAGCTTTACTGGAAACAAGTCAAATGCAAAGAGGGAAGTCACGCTTCTCGCGCATGTCACAAATGCCATGCGAGACGTGACCCGGGACATCTAGGGCAGGCCGCGCGATGGTTAGCATCTAGCTTAACCTAGGCTGGTCGTTGTCGGCGACGACCTCCAACTTGGACCACCCAGTTTTTACCTCTATACGTCTGGCGATCTATCGTAAGACATATACTGAAGTTATAGCGAGTCTTTCTGCCTCCCTTACGAGGTCCTACATTGAGCTGTTGCAGCGGCGGCGGCGTAATTCTTGTACTATCTAATAGACAATACGGTCATAATGGCCACTCCAACGAGCAGCACACCGTCTCTTACTCCCTCAAGATCACCAAGCCCAGAGCCTCCTGTCCAACCAGACCATTTCTACGGCAACGACAATGCCAATATATCCTCTCCGAGCTCGGATGGCAAGACTTGGCTCGACCCCGCTGACGACCCTCTCGCGCAGCGTGGTATACCCGTGTTCAAACCTACCATGGAGGAATTCCAGGATTTTGAAGGATACATGAACAAGATCGAGTGTTGGGGAATGAGAAGCGGAATAGTCAAGGTGATACCCCCTAAGGAATGGTAAGTTCTGCGTGACCACATTCTTCCATGTGCTCACTCCACCGCACACGACCCAGGACCGACGCCCTTCCACCTCTTACGAATCAGCTTGCAAAGGTCAAGCTGAAGAATCCGATTGAGCAGCACATGCTTGGCCGTGGCGGCCTCTTCCGTCAGGAAAACACGGAGAAGAGACGTATCATGAGCGTGCGAGAGTGGGCTGAGCTTTGCGCAGAGGATGACTATCGCGCCCCCGGTGTTGACGACATTGGCCTGCACGCTCGCGCGACGAACGGAAGTGCAAGGCCCAGGACGAGGAGAAGTAGACGCAAAGGCAGGGTCTCGGAGACTGCCGAACCGGCTATGACGCCAGATGTGCAGGTCAAGGACGAGCATGAGGACGACGACGAGTTCATCGCAAGCATCTCTCATATCCAAGACAAAGATAAATCGCCATCGTCCTCAAACGGCGGGGCTGGTAGTCCCGATGTTCCCAACGACACTGATGGCCGTAATCCGTCAGAACAGGAGCCAAACGACCCAAGTGTCCACATACCTGCTGAGCAGCCGCCCGTTGATACCCTGGAAGGTGACGAGGAAAAACCAAAATCAAAGGGAGGAAAGAAATCGGGGCAGAGCAGAGAAGCCCGTGAAGCCGCACTCGCTCAACGTGCTGCATTGGACCGGGCTTTTTTGGAGTCGTTTGATCCTCACTCTGATTGGCTTCCACCGAACACCACTCAGTTTGACTACACCGTTGATTTCTGCAAGGAGCTTGAACGACAGTATTGGCGCAATTGTGCTATCGTAAAGTCTGCGTGGTATGGCGCCGACATGGCAGGTTCTCTGTTCACAGATGAAACTACTGCTTGGAACGTCGCCCATCTCCCCTCAACACTCTCCAGGCTACTTCCCACCTCCTCGAAGGGTCTCCCAGGCGTCAATACGCCCTACCTTTACTTTGGTATGTGGCGAGCGACCTTTGCCTGGCACGTCGAGGATATGGATCTGCTTAGCATAAATTACATCCACTTTGGTGCCCCCAAGTATTGGTATGCGGTACCTCAGGCACGAGCGGGTGCCTTAGAACAGACAATGAGAGGTACGCGTACGACCTCAGTTGACTCTTGATGTTCAGTACTAACGGTATTGCATGATCAGGATACTTCCCCAAAGATACATCTCAATGTTCACAGTTCTTGCGACACAAATCCTTCCTCGCCTCGCCAACGTTACTTTCCCAGTCATCATGTCGACCTAACACACTTGTCCAATCCGCAGGTGAATTTGTCATCACCTACCCGCGCGGATACCATGCTGGCTTCAACCTGGGCTTCAACTGCGCAGAGAGCGTCAACTTTGCACTGGACAGTTGGTTAGACTTGGGTCGGAAGGCGAAGGCCTGCGAGTGTGTCAGTTTTAGGTAAGCGGGCTTATTTCCACCCACCATTGGTATATATTGATTCCTGCTACTTGATAGCGTACGCATCAATGTCGATCAGCTACTGGCAGATCGTGAGGCTGAGCGACTGGAAGCTGAGGCTAAAGAAGCTCAACCCGCCAAATCCACCAAAGCTAAGACTTCGAGAAAACGCAAACAGCAGCCAACTGAGGGCGACCAGCCCAAAGCGAAGAAGAGCAGGATGAAGGCGAGCAATCCCGAAAACCCCTCAAGTTCGGCGTCGTCTTCCAAAGCCGCACAGAAAGTCACTCTAAAGTTAGGACCGAAACCCAAGGAACCCGAAACGTTCCCTTGCTGCCTATGCGTTTCTCAAAGCCGAGATGGTCTTCTCCGTGTGCACGATCCACCGCTGTGGAGGAAAGAGGGTGAGGGCGGTGCAGGCGACGTTTGGATGGCCCACGAAGAATGCGCAAATGTCATTCCCGAGACATGGGTGGACGAGATTGAGGCACCCGCTCCAGACGGCTCGAATTTCAAAGAACAAGTTGTGTTCGGAGTTGACGCCATCGTGAAGGATCGTTGGAATCTGGTAACTATCATCATCTTTTGGTTTGTCGGACGGTTCTGATTATGCATTTCCCGCAGAAATGCACGGCTTGTTCGAAAACGAAGAGCAAAGCTCATGGGGCTCCTATACAATGTACCAAAGGAAAATGTCCGAAGGCATTCCATGTCTCTTGTGCTCGCGATGGAGCAGCTCTTGGTATCATCTACTGCGTGCTACGTGAAGTCGAGAAAGAAGTTGTTCTTCTTGATACTCAACTGGTGGATCCCCCACTTGCAGTCCATGAGAACGTCGACGCGATGGCTGTGGACCCTGCGCTCTTATCTGTCAACCATAACATGGCGGTTGATAGCGAAAAATTTCAAGGACCGTTGCAAGACTCCCGGGAGCCCTCTGCAACTGTCCTCAAACTCATCAAGAAATGTGAAGTTCAAGTGCTCTGTCCGCAGCATAATCCTGTATGTTTTCTCGCTCTATTTACATCTAATTATCTTGCTCAAATACTCCTATTGCAGGCTATCGCCGAAGCTAAGAAAGCACAGAAACAGGACAGAATACGGAATGATCTGCTTGCTCTACCTCCGATGGCGCGTATCAAATTGAGAGTGAGCGCAGGTGTTTTCGAAGTCACGCTCGTACGAGTGATCGAAGAGACCAAGTCTGTGGAAGTTCTATGGGATCGTGGAATGAAGAGGGAGTTCAAATGGGGGAGTGTGGTATTTGGTACGACGGAGACTGTCGTTGGTCAGAAGCCTTCTGAACCAGCGGCAGAGCCAATACGTGACTATTCCCCATAGACTTATTTCATAGCGTTGCCAACTGACGCTCTGATATAGGACCTCCCGAAGCTAATCCACCTCCTCAGTTTGCCCCTTTACGAGGCACAGCTCCTACCGTACATATTCGACAATCATTGCACACGCCAATGTCGACCCCTGGGGCAGGCCCGTCACAACCTACGGCGCCACCATCATCATATCCTCTACCGCCAACCCATTCTGCATACCATCAACACACTCACCAACCGCCCATGTACCCACACCCATCGCATTACCAACACCATAGCACGTCGACATACCAATATGCGCCTGGAAACTGGGCGTATCAGTACCCACATCCATCTCAGCCATATTCCGGTAACCATACGCCTTATCCTCAGTCCCAATCTCCGTACTACCGTCCAAGCTACTCTTCGTACCCTCAGTATCATGGATTCAGCTACGCAGCACCCGCACAGCCAGGTCCCACTGCAAACATCTACACTCATACTCCGCATCAGCAAACACCACCTCAATATCAGCATCCTCCTACGCCACAGCCTCAGCCTCAAGCGCAAGCTGAAGCTCAACCTCAGGCACCCCAACAGACTCCTGCCCAGACAGCTACTATGCGGAGAGAACTTCAATGGCAGAGGCCGTACACGGGGCCTAAGGCCCCCGCGCATCCAGGCGCAAATATATCACCGTCAACTGAGACGCTCACAGCATCTCAATTGATATCTAATTCTGAGCACTCGTCGCAAACTGGAACCTCGAATACAGTATCCCCTGCTCCTTCAGCTTCTCTGACCTCTGATGTGTCGACGTACCAGGTAGAAGCTCCTGCCTTGCCTCCCTCGTAGTTATGGACTGTTTTCTTTCACGCTTGCCGGCTTGTTTCGTTAGCTCTGATCTTACGTTTATCGTCGTTTATCCTCTGTATTGTACTACTCCCCACTTCGAAGAAAAATACATCAATGCTAATAGACTATAATCCAAGGATGCTGGACGTGATTATGCATGTTCGCTGATGTATGTGACTCATTCAGGTGCAGCCAGATACGGAATCTGGCAAAAGGCATGAGTCGACCCAGGCTCGAACTGAGGACCTTCTGTGTACATCACAATGTAAGACAGATGCGATAACCGACTACGCCATCGACTCTTGGAATGAGCGCTATGTTGTTATCATATGACTCGGGAAAAAGTATAATAAAACACAATATCATATTAGTATTCAATAGACAACGACACAGAAAGACACGCTCGGTAACATCAGGTTACCCTCAAGCTTCGGAATGGAAGACCCCGGAGACAAACCCGATCCTGAAGATTGTTTGCGCACGTTTTCCAACGGCCCCCAACTGCTTGCTATATTGGGTAAGCACCAGTTGTAGTAGCCCAGCTACTGCAGCACTTGAGATCTTTAGATCCTACAGTCAGGCGACAGAATAAATTAAGGCAATTGTCTGTGTTGCCTATTGACCGACGTCTCTTTAAACCTATGCAGTGAAGTTCGCGGTCGACGCCGATCTTCTGCGCACACGTCAACGTTGTTTGTTTGCATTTACTTTACAAGACCTTCTATCGTCGACCGGCTAGGGACCTCATAGTGTCTTTACTGGTAGGGCTTGAGGCAGGCACATTCAGTTTAAGAAAAATTTCAAGTGGGGCCAAAAGTGGAAGGAAAGATTAGATTCGACTAGTCCACATAGGGCATGGCCCTCAGGCGATTATAAATGAGAACCCCTTCAAAAAGAAACATACAGATTACCCGAATATCAAGGGGACCTTCTAGGTTGCAATATAGGCGTTCAGTGATAGGTTTCCGATTCTCCATGTGTCAATTCGGTGTGAGCCATTTATCAAAGTATGAATTTCTGAGAACAAAGTAAATATTGCGTATAGAGGCGGAAACAGAGTGAACGCAAAAACGAATAAACGTGTCTGAGTGATTTTTATCGAGAGCTGGCGAGGGAATTACTGCCAGTAGACATGATACAAGCTCACTGCAGTGATTGGCAATATTCCGAAAAGAGCAGCGACGGCGATCTAGGATGAAGATGAATGTAAACCATGAGATAGTAAGTAAATAATCAGCACAGTCAACGTCCGATGATGCCTACACACCATTTTGTAAAGTCTCCTAGACGCTTCCATCCAGGTTAGTTCTGGATCAGGTTCGAGCCTGCCAGTCTCCCAGATGAGTTCAAGTACAACAAAGAACGGGAAACAGTGGTCGAGGAAGACGAGTATGAGAATGAATATAAAGTTGCTGATGAGGTTGACGATGACGTGAGTGAGATCGTCCATGCTAGAGCCTGCGCATGAATGAGCATCCGACAAAGACAACAGCAATGTCTGACATACTAACGGGGGTAGCGCGATCGGATGAAAGTCAGTGTTTCGAGCTGGATGTTGGGAGGTAAGAGGGGTAAGCAGTGAACGTGGGGAAGACGAACAAAGGATTTTATACTTGAGGTTGATCACCTGACGACGAAAGGCCAAGTGGCATGGTGATTCAATTGTGCAGGTGAAAGCAAAGCGTCTCGACTACCGGAGTTGGAGAGAGCACTGGGGTTTGAGAGAAAGACCAGCGGTTTCAAGGGAGGCGAACATGTATTAGACAAAAAAAAAGCTCATGCATAGACAACATACAACGGAGCAACATAAACTACCCGTGCTCTCGCAGGCAAGTAGTGCAGTCACAGGGCTAATTTAGCGGTGAACATTTTATGGATCAATTCAAACGCCGCAATACCTTTGCGCATCAAGAACATCAGCAGAACCAGCTGAAGGCCGAAATGGGTCCCAGGGCCGAACAAGTCGGGGTTAACTGCATACGCGAGGAAAATGGTAGTCATCACTACGGCAATGACGGCCATGTCTGAACATATTGACTATAAGGCAGTATCGAAAAGAGAAGTCGTCAGCCTCACGATCACTGGAATCATATTCCTCTATGACTCACCAGAAGCAAGTGCTCAAGGACAGGATTGCGAAAATCAAGCTTTGAATGTGGCTCTACCCGAGGTGGGTAAAGGCTGTAAGGTGGAGGCGGCTCCTCTTGCTCAGGCATAACATGTAGGATCATGTCGGAGAATTCTGATAGAGACATTTATCACGGTGTTCCGACAAGATGCAGGTGTAAGTAACCAGTTAAAGGAACTTGGAGAAAACAAAACTGCGTTCTACACCGTGCAGGAGACCTGGGGGTGGGGGGGGGGGGGGGGGGGGTCGGTACGGGGATATGGGTAAACAAGTATGAAGGACTTGCAGCTATATATACAGCAGCGTACGGTTGAAATTCTCTACGGGTCAATGTCCACAAAGCCTTTGTCTGCGTGTGGCCAAGTTGATCAGCAAACCACAGCGTGTTGCGCCGCACAAAAATCATGCTTCAGTATGCATAGCAAAGTTTCAAGGCGTTTTATCAATTGGACGTTGCAAATTGTCAGAATGTGAACTTGAATATACAGGACTGACTGTGCAGACTTCCGGAGACCTGTGACGTTCAACGGGTGTCAGGACTGTTAGAGATAATTTCAACGGTTCTGAAGTGGAACTAGCTGCAGTCAAGAGGCATGGCCACAGCGATTAGAATGACTCAATCCAGAAACTTTCAAGTTCGACAAGAACTCGAACGGTAGCGACTCATCACCTAAAAAGGGAAGGGCAATGCTGACTCAGCAGGTTTTCCTCTGTGCGCGCCTGCGTACACGGCACCGATTGCAAGTTAGACTGCCCCTCCTCCATCATACAATTTCAAAGGGTTGAAGATGGCCAAAAATCCTTATACGAGCGCACCGCCGCTTTCCTCCTCCTCCAATGGCTCGATAAAGGAGCCATTCTTCGGCTTCATCCCTCGCAAAGTCGCAGCTAAGGATGCTCGGAGGGTCATGGTGAGTTTAACGTTGCTTCCAGCTAACTTCAAGTCCTCATTGACTCACATATACGTCTATAGGATGGAGATGTCAATCCCTTCACAAAGCAGCCTTTCAGTCCTCAGTACAAGAAGATCTTGGAAGTGCGAAAGAAGTTGCCAGTGTACACACGGATGGACGAGTTCTACACGATGGTGAGTACATCTTTAATTCGATCTCTGTGGAGGGGAGGTCAGAGTCTGCTTCAGGGATGCGACGACGCCTTTTCCCTCCGAGGATTGAGGACACAGTAGACTGACAGCATGGAAAAGTTCAACGAACACCAGATTATCGTAATGGTCGGAGAGACAGGTTCAGGAAAAACGACACAGTAAGATTGCTATGATATTGCGTTTTTAATTCTTTGAGACACCGTGCTGACCATGCTCTCTTCATTGCGTTTTTGTTTCTTTCAGAATACCCCAGTTTGTCTGCTACTCTGATCTACCGCATACCAGGGGGAAGTTGGTAGCGTGTACACAGCCTCGTCGAGTGGCAGCCATGTCCGTAGCGAAACGTGTTGCCGACGAAATGGATGGTACGCAATCACCTTACTATGATTTCAAGCCGCGGAATTGACATTTCTCCTTAGTACCCCTCGGGAGGCAGGTTGGTTATTCAATCCGTTTCGAGGATATGACCGAACCGGGAACCACTTTCCTCAAATACATGACCGACGGTATGCTTCTGCGAGAAGCTATGAATGACCCCGATCTTTCTCGTTACTCCACTATCATCCTCGATGAAGCACACGAGCGCACCCTTGCCACTGATATTCTCATGGGTCTCGTCAAAGCTCTCGCCAGACGCCGACTTGACCTCAAGATCATCGTCATGTCCGCAACACTGGATGCTCTGAAGTTCCAGAAGTATTTTGGATTGAAGAAGGATGTACCGGCACCTTTGTTTAAAGTTCCTGGCAGAACACATCCTGTCGAGGTGTTCTATACTCAGGAGCCAGAGCCCGATTACGTCGAGGCGGCGATTCGGACCGTGCTCATGATTCACCGAGCGGAGGAACCTGGTGACATACTGCTGTTCTTGACTGGTGAGGAGGAGATCGAAGATGCGTGTAGGAAGATCAAGCTGGAGGCCGATGATCTTCTGAACCAGGACCCGGATTCTGTTGGTCCCCTAGTTTGCATCCCCCTCTATTCATCACTCCCTCCACAACAACAGCAACGGATTTTCGATCCTGCGCCAGCTCCTCGTACGCCTGAGGGAACACCTGGCCGCAAAGTCGTAGTCTCTACCAACATTGCCGAAACCTCACTCACGATCGACGGTATCGTTTATGTCGTCGATCCTGGATTCTCAAAACAAAAGGTGTACAACCCAAGGATACGTGTCGAGTCTTTGCTTGTGTCACCAATTTCGAAAGCATCTGCGCAACAGCGTGCAGGCCGTGCCGGTCGTACACGTCCTGGGAAGTGCTTCAGACTGTATACGGAGAAGGACTTCATGACCGAGTTAGAGGAGCAGACACATCCCGAGATTCTGAGGAGTAACTTGGCCAATACTGTGCTGGAGTTGGTCAAGTTGGGTATCAAGGTAAGCTCAGATCCATGATGCGAAACAATCCAGGCCTGACACGTTCCTTAGGATTTGGTACGATTCGACTATGTCGATGCGCCTGCGCCGGAGACTTTGATGCGAGCGTTGGAGCTATTAAATTACCTGGCCGCGTTAGATGATGACGGAAACTTGACTCCTCTTGGTGCCATTATGGCAGAGTTCCCATTGGACCCACAGGTATGTTCATTCTAATTCAGCGGATAGCCCGGGATCCTGACGCGCTATTGTTACTAGATGGCGAAAATGCTTATCGTCAGCCCGGAGTTCAAATGTAGCAACGAAATCCTTACGATCGTGGCTATGTTGTCTGGTACGTTGGGAAAACGGTACTTTTCGTATTGATGCTGATAGGCTCTGTTCGCAGTTCCGAATGTGTGGTTGCGTCCTGCAAACATGAGGAAGGAAGCAGATGCTGCGAAACAAATGCTTACCGTGCCCGATGGCGATCACTTAACATTGCTCAACGTCTATAATCACTATGCACAAAGTGAGCCGCTAATTTTTTCGATACATGTATTGTCGTGCTGACGACTTTGACAGATATGCACGACAGGAATTGGGCATGGAACAACTTCCTATCACAACGAGCACTCGCTCAAGCAGACAATGTCCGCTCTCAGCTTCAACGCACCATGGAGCGATTCGACATCGATCTCGTTTCAACGCAGGATGAGAGGAAGCTCTATACATACATCCGCCAGGCGCTTGTCTGTGGATACTTCATGCAGGTTGCGCATAAGGAGGGCGAGAAGAATGCGTACCTGACAGTGAAGGACAATCAGGTGAGTAGCTCTGGGGTCACATGTAGACGATCATTGAATTTCACATGTTCATAGGTCGTCGCATTGCATCCTTCATGTGGATTGGACTCGACACCTGACTGGGTGATCTTCAACGAATTTGTACTGACGACAAGACCGTACATCCGGACAGTGACTGCTGTCAAACCTGAATGGTACGTGCATTTCATTCTGTCACTTCTAGGGTCTTGGATTGACTCATGTGGCGCTTCCCACGCAGGCTTCTCGAATACGCGGCGAACTACTTCGACCTTAGTACACTCCCGAATGGCGAGACGAAACGCGCATTGCAAACGGTTGCGAAGAAACGTGCTGGTGGTTCAAGGTCGCAGTCAAATGAGGTCGATGAGAGGAAGGCAAAGAAACGAAAGACCAAGGCATAGATAGTGTGCTTTATTCTGCTTGTAGAAGATCTGTCCGATGTAGTGTTACTTGTAGATAAGGTTGTAATGCGTATGGGTTCGCGTTCTCATGGACCGGTACATATCAACAGTGCATTTCGTAATGCCGAGTCGCCGTCGGCATACCGAACATGATTCGCCGCTGGAGACGGCATCGTGGGCATCGTTGGCGACGGCGATGAGACCCAAAAACGACACCCTCGTAGAAATCGCAGAGTCCATCATCCAAAAGAGGCAAATTACATAAGCGCCGAAAGTGGGGTAACTGCCAAGCGCTTTGACATAAAAACGACCCACCTCTGGCCACAACTGTTTGTATGCTTCCCCCTCTCTTTCCCTGACATTTTCACCATTTTCCTACCCATTTTGCTCGTCGTTCACCATGTTACAACGCACTGCGAAGAGGCTCATCTCCACTAAGGCAGCCGATGTGTATGCTGAGCGCCAAGCCGCAACTGCGCTCAGGCAAAAGGCTGAACTGCTCAATGAGCCTCCGCCGCCGAGTGGTGTAGAGGAAGTCAAGATTACGAAGCGTCGCATAGGCAAAGCAGAGCGTGACGAGCGTATGGACATTACTCTCGCATTAACGCCGGTCAGGACGTACGTTCTATACATTTTCATTTCCGGACCGGTTATTAACAGCGATACAGGTACATGGGTGGTTTTACGAGACCAACAGATCTCCGTGCCAGCAATTGGACGTCCGGTGGTCGTTACAATGAAATTGGCAAAATATATCACCCACCACCAGCTGCTGCATACGAGCCACACACTGTTTTCCTACTCGAATCGCGATATAACGTCGTGCACGGTATCGGTCGTGCCGACTGTCATGACCATATTGTTGGCGTCTGCCGCGAATCTGACTTCCCTGCCGTGTTGAAGAAACTCAATAGCAGTGAATGCGGGCATGAGTACATGGAGTCCATGGACAATGCGCGCTGGCCGTTTTTACCTCCGAAGAAGGTCAAGCACGTCAAGTGGTGGGAATCCGGAGAAAACCCTGAAGAGCTCGTTCGTCAAGCCCTCGAAGGAGAGGCAGATGGCGAGACCAAACGTTATTCTGAACCAGAACCTCCAGTACTGCCGGGCAACCGGTCTGAACGCAGAGCTCTGAAATTGGCTATGCGTTCCCGCAAGGTTCCTACCGAATTGCTTCCGGTTTCGGGCAGCTCTGCTGTCCAAATCCGCACCTTTTATAGTTCATCTCGCGTTCTTGCTGACGAGAAAACCTCGCGCAGCGACCGTGCCAGCATTCCCGGTTCATCCTGGGCTCGTCCACATAAACCCTCGCAGGACGCCGACGATAACGTTGTGCCTACATATTACGTCGAGCGTAAGAAGCAGCGCGCTTCCATCTCCGAGCGGAAGGAAGAGGAAGGAGGTTTGATGGCTGAATTGAGTGCTGGTATTCTTAGCGACGGTGTCGCAGCACAGACCAGGGTCATCCCTGAGAAGATCCCTGTAGAAGTCAGGGGTCCAGACGGTTCTGTCAGACACCCTAGCGGTTTCGAGCCCCCCACTCCGGAAACGGAGTTCCACCCTAGCGCATCCAAGATAGCTACCGAAGAAGATCCTATGTTGACGACTATCAAGATTCCTTGGGATTCTGCTCTGGCACCCGAGCCTGAGGTTGAGTCTGAACCAGCCAATGCTGAAGCTTCCTCCTCATCGTCTGTTGTGAAGGGCATTCGAGGCTTTCACACGAGTGCTGTAGCGCGCGCATCCGAAGTGCCTATTGAGTATGAACATGTTCCTCAAGATGCACCAGTGGAAGAGGCGAAAGCAGTTTTGAAGAGAATACGCGAACAGTATCTGCCTACGCTCTCCAAGGAACCCTTCTGGCGTCCCCTTCTCAGCCTCACCTTCTCCACCCGACCCATTGCATTGACCATTTCCCGATTGGCCAAGTCCCATCCTCGTGGACTGCCCTTCTATGCATCTATCAACGACCACGATAGGAAGTTCGGTCCTTCATATGATGCCCGCATCCGAAACATGCGTTTGGAACGTATGGCGGGACTCACCATCGAGCTTGCTAAAGTCATGTCTGGTGAACGAGGTGGAATTATTGGTGTTCGGTTTAAGCCCGAGGAACGCGGCCGTGGTATTGACGGCGAGGGTCTGGATGACAAGATCCCATTGGAGAAACGGATCGTGAAGATCGGCGTGGGTGAATGGTACCCATTAGCTAACGAAGTCAAGGAAGCGTTCCAACTCGATGGCGAGGCTGCTGGTGACCACGTCACTGAGACCTTGCAGATCTTCGGTTTGGACGAGTTTGGTAACAGGACGGATGGTGTTGCTTGGCCGGAGAGTAAGACGATCAGGGAGGGCAAGGAGTGGTACAAGTCGGTTGAGAAGCGAGCTTTGGCGAACCTTTCTTCCGAGGAGGTGGAGAAGATGACGCCGAAGCAGAGGAAGGAAATCATCGGAGACTACTGCAGGGAACACAAGGTGCAGATCGCATATGACACCACTGATCGTCACCACAGTGTCTACTATCCCTGAGTTATCTTACTCTTCGTTTCTCTTTTGATTTATGTTTCCTTGCACGTCATTGATCATTCTCGCTATGTTTTAATACTGTTGTCGATTGTTCACTTGTCTTCATACCTGCTACCCACCTTTCTGCCTAGTTTCTTACGTTACCCCCACTAAGCCTTTTTTTCCTCTCATCCCCTGTAGCTGTTTGCGTCGCACATTGTACTAGATGCTCAGTATTGAATACACCCCATGTTCACCCCTTTCAATGAACCTCATCAAGATTGAAGAAATGCCACAAGGCAGTCTGTATTATCCTCAACAGTGGTCGCAAGGACCACCACCAGAAACAAGAGAAAAACGAGTGACGCGATAAAATGGATAACTAAAAAGAAATCGAGTTCTGGGAGTACGGCGATAAGAGGCAGTAACCAAGTCCGACAACAAAGGAGTGACAATGGCCAACAGCGCAAGCTGGAATACGAGGGGTATGGTAACGGGTATATGTACGGTAGAGAGGGTAGAACTAGAACTAGAGCAAATCAGAGAACCTTGTAGGAAAAGAGTGTCAATCGAGTGCATGGATCTCGTTGACTCATCGCCTGTTGGTTCCACGACCGTAACCGGCCTGAAGGTTGTCGAGTTCCGCCTCGAGAGCCTTGATGGCACTGTGTGCCAACTCGAGGTCCTTATTGAGTCGGTCACGCTCTTGGATAAGCTGACAGACGCCAGCCATCATTAGTATTTGCCTTTACGAGACGCGAATAGCAAACAGGAAAACGTACATGTTGCTCCCATTGCCTGAATCTGGCTTCCTCGGCTTTGACCTGTTCGGTGAACCTCTTCCTGAGCGCCTCTTCTTCCTCCTTGAACTTGGGGTTCTCGAACTTGCGGGGCTTCTGTTCGCCAAACTTGCGTACTTCCATTTGTGCTTGACGGTAGTTCTCATAGTGAAGCTCCTCGGTGGTGGAGATCAGGTCGAGCATGTGTGTACGGATGAGGAGGGAACGGAGCTTGCGGAAATCGCAGTGGTTCTCGTTCTCAACTGAAGATATTCAGAAAGTATTCGTCAGTGTTGTGATTTGGAACAGAGTAAAAAGCCAGATGACCCACCCTCGGCAACACCCCAGAGGTATTCACGACCCTTGACAACACGGCCATCTGGGGTGGTGACGTCTTCCGTAGAACCGATGATAGAGAAGGGCATGGCTTCCTGCAAGATACCAGCGTGCTCAGCAGCAGCAGGCTCGTCATCAGGCTCAACGACGGGTTGGTAGATACGGATACCCTGGGCCTGGATCACCTCACGAATCTAAGATGGTGTGTGTTAGTGATGTGAATGAGGGATTAGAAGAATGGGGAAACATACACGCTGCTTGAACAGAGCGAGGTCGTTTTGCGTGAGGGTGTCCGCTTTGGCAATTACGGGGATCAGGTTGACACGAGTGCCAAGGCGCTTCATGATCTCGATGTCCAGAGGCTTCAGGCTATACACCAACTCTCAGAGTGAATTGTGCGTCATAACAACGCAGTTACATACGTGTGGCCAGTGGGTCGGATGAAGTACAAGCAAGCATGTACTCGGAGGTCGATCTTTTCTTTCCTCTGAGGTTGCTGTTCCTGTCTCATGTACGCTTCATGCTGGTCGTCAATGAAGTCCACAATGGGAGCCCACGAGTCACGGTTGTTGACGTAGTCACCGAATCCCGGCGTGTCAATGACGGTGAGCTTGGTCTTGAACTGCTTCTCCTCGAGTTCGGCTTTGATGATCTCCACCTCCGTCAACTTGTCGAGTTGCTTGCCGTGACGACGGTTGTAGTTCTTCGGGGGAGCGATCTCCGTCGAGAACAAGGTGTTGACGAGGGTGGTCTTTCCCAGACCAGACTCACCTATTAATATAAGAACCTGGTAAGTATCTAATCGACTCAAGAATGTCCGAACATACCAACTACCATGACCGTGAAATGAGCTCCACGCTTCGCAACAATTTTGTGCCTCTACAAGTAAATGATATCTCAATATCTTCCTTTTTCTCGACATAAGTAATGCGCACCTGGTTGGGCAAGTTGGCGATACCAATACCGTCGGACATGGGAGGTGCAGCAGCCATTGTGTGAGGAGGAGAGGGAAATACAGACGATGAACAGCTGGCGACCTCTCGCGACTACTTCCTCACAACCACACCGCTGTTTGTACATGCTTGGCTATCAGTCTCAGAAAGGCATAACCTCTTCAACTTCACTCAGTATGTCGAATTTCTGTCTATAATTATGGTGCACTTGATAACTGTGATAACCCTGTGGTTGACCTAGCGTCGTAAGGTCTGGTCCCTTCACCGAATCAGTTTCATTGTCTCAACTTTCACACTCATTCAAACTCAATCTTTTTGGCGTGAGTTCGCAATCATCCAATCACTGAACCAAGTGGTCTGCTCAGGGTGTATCATCATTTCAGTCATACCTCCCGATGCTTCTCGACGCCGTAAGTCTAAGCGACCTCATGGTCCTTCGGATGTCCAGGGTATGCTGTGTCTTGTCAACGTTTCAACGGTAGGTGCTCCGTCGAATCGTCACGATGATCAATGATCACGGAGGGAAACTTAACATCTTTCGTATGGATTACTCCTTATCTTGCACCGCCGTGTGAAATAGTCCCATTTTCTACATAGCCGTACTTGGGTATGAATTTCCTATGGTATATGATTTCGAGAACGATTATAGATTTTTACAGAAGTACTAGCCAAATACATATGTATTCAACGGTCATTGGTTTGCCATATGGCCCGGCATTGATGAAGTACATACGGTTTGGGTAAATATACATTACACAGAAAGAATTGAACCCCCACACTGATCAGGCAAAACTCGATGGTAATGTGGATAGCTGGCGATTCCGCAAACTCCTTTTCACTGTGCGGAAGCTACCACATCTTCCTCCGAACCACCTTGAGTTTCCTCAGAGTTTGCGAATTCTTGGTCCATAGATGTTGATTGTGAAACTGCAAATTGGATCGTACTAGCGGGCGCATGCGATGAAGGGACATTCTGAATGACACCAAACTTTAATAGCCTGAACACCCTGCATGCCATTGCATTTTGTACCGCAGAGCCGAGCATGGCGAGGACCGAGCGATGGCTTGATGAAATGGAAGGCGTGAACACGCCAATAACCACGAAAACGTGTAGACCAACAGTTGCTCTAGAAAGTGACGTAAATAGGATGATGTCTGTGCAACAGAACAGCGTACTTACAGATAGTACAATTGACCAGTGTGCAAGAGTGTTCTCGATATATGACCTAGGTTCCTTCCACTTAGGAATGATTTTAATCGCGATCCCCAGGTTTCCGTCAAGCTAAAAGATAGAACCCTCATGGTAATGGCTATGAACACAGCAGTGTCGAAAATGGTGACGGTTAAGAAGATAGCCGCGCCAAAGGTCTTGACGTCGGTCATAATACATACATGATCGACGAGATCGAGATCGAGCCCATTGAAGCTGAAAGGTGTTAGCACTGAAGCACATGTGCTCAGCCATAGTAGGCCAAACACTGCGACAACAGTACGGGATTCCCGGAAGATTCCTAGAATCCGTATGAAGAAAAGCAACGTATTGCACGGGACAGATATTGCACCGAACCAGCCGGCCGCCTTTATTAGAGAATGACAATGCTCGCCAACAGGAGCAACTAAATGATAGGATCATCAGTGGTAGCAACAGAGCACATTCTGGGGGTGTTACCAAAGAATGTAAGTGCTGTTGTTAGGAACGCAAAAGTCATGATCCTATGACGCAAAAGAAAATCAGTATCGGTTGCGCGGAGGAAAGTGATACACACTACCGTGCTACGGCATAGGCAAGATTGGGGATTGTCAATCGTTTCTCGGTAAACAATCGAACTTCTTCCGGAAATTCAAGGAATATGTCCCAAAGCCAGGCCTAGATTATAGGCATTAGCGATGTCTGGTATAACGAATTTGCAGAACATACTGACCGCTTCTACAGCCACCGTAATGTAATTTGCGGTCTGGACTTGGGACGCAATGTCTGGTCCAAGTCCCTCAAAAGGACTACGTTGACTCAGAAGTGGTGCCATTTCCTAGTTTCCTTGATGGTTAGTCGTGCGCACACCATTGGAAGAGAGGTAGGTTTATATCCACACATTTCGGGGCACTGCAATACGCAACTAACCTCCTGTAGTAGTGATGCCAGTGCTGGCTGTTCGGGCGAAGATGAAAGTGATCCCCGGCCGGCGCATACCCAGGGTTAGAGGCAGTTGGCCCAATGCAAAGCCTAGGTAAACCGGCGGTGTCGATCTGATTCAGACTACGCATATATCGTAATGAACCTGCATCTGAACGACGCTCGCCTTGAGACTCCGCTACACATATACGGGTTGTCTTTCAAGCAGGGCTTCCAGTCCCGATCAGCTACGAGCTCACTCCAGCATTTTCCACCAAGCGCTTTAGCTTGATCTATCGATGCTGTGGTAAAGGCCATCTAGGCTTCAACAGCTTACTGTTGAAACATGGTACCGGCTCCCCGCAAGTGCTTCTAGTGAGTAAGCCAGATGTGAATCCTTGCACTCCCGGCCACCTTCGTAGCACCGCTATCAAAAGATTGGATTACGAGCCATCAGAACCTGCAGATAATGGGATGCAGGGTACGAAGATCAGTCGTCCAAACTGCCAGAGACAAGATCCCTTACTATCGGACGGTTCTTCCATATTACTCAGCTTGATGTGATACCTGCGGCTTCTGCTATGCAGCCCAACTTTCGGTATCTGTTGCCCATGCGGACGCTATAGAAAGCCGTACGGAAGATAGAAGTCAATAGAACCTTATGATCAGGTGCGCAGCGCACCGGCAACTTGATCTTAAGCTTGAATAGTGAACAGCTGAGTTGGCGTCTCAAATTGGATTCATATTAATCCATGAACCTGTTCTGGTTATGTATGACTGTCTGATGGAATGACGGTACAGAATGAGAACTAACCAGAATGTGCGAAGATAACACTGAGAATCCCATTGAGAACTTTCGACGCGCATCGTTGAAGGTAAGCGCTGTTAAGACGATGTTAAGTTAACTGCAAATGACAGAATGACGGGCAACTTGTGGCCACGAAGGTGAATCTCAGGAAACGGATATATGAAACACTGTCCAACACTACCCCGCTTTGTTTTGGCTTATGGATAGACATTCGATTCCTCAACCTCCTCTTACACTACGCCAGCCGCGGAGACCATGATATCTTCCTCAGCATTCCTATGACTTTCCATTGAGGCTGCGTATTCTTGGTCCATAGACACTGATTGTGAAGCTGCGAATTGCAGTGTTTGGCTACCAGTCGGTGCATGGGACGAGAGCAACGAGGAAGGTACATCTTGAATGACACCGAACTTTAGTAGCCTAAACACCCTGCATGCCATTGCATTTTGTAAGGCGACCATGGGTACGGTGAGGGTCGCACGATAGGTGGATGAAACGGAGGGCGTGACCAAAACAATGATCACGAAAAAGTTCAGACCCACAGTTGCTCTGGAAAGTGAGACGAGATGTGACCATGCTTGTGGAGCAGAACTGTGTACTTACAGATAATACAACTGGCCAGTGTGCAAGAGTGCTTTCGACACGTAACCCAGGTTCTTTCCACTTAGGAATGACCTCAGTTTCCCTCTCCAGGTTTCCGCCAAGCTGAAGGATATGACCTTTATCGACATAGCAATGAACACGGCAGTGTCGAAGAAGGTGATGGTCAAGAAGCCTGCCGCGCCAAATGTCTTGACATCGGTCATAAGACATACATGATTGACTAGATCGAGATCGAGCCCATTGAAGCTGAGAGGTGCTAGCACTGAAGCGCAGGTGCTCAGCCAAAGTAGGCCAAACAGTGCGACAACAATGCGCGATTCTCGAAAGATTCCTCGAATTCGTATGAAGAAAAGCAAAGTATTGCATGGGGCAGATATCGCGCCGAACCAGCCGGCTGCTTTGATTAGAGAATGACAATGCTCGTCAACAGGAGCAACTAAATGTACGCTCGTCAGTGATGACAAAAGTACACATTCTGGAGGCTTTACCAGAGAATGTAACTGCAGCCGTTAGGAATCCAAAAGTCATAATCCTATGCCGTAAAAGAATATCAGTACCAGTTGTGGCCAAAAAGGGAATACACATTACCGTGCTACAGCATAGGTGAGATCGGGGATTGTCAATCGTTTCTCGGTAAACAATCGAACCTCCTCCGGAATTCCAACGAATAAGTCCCAAAGCCAAGCCTAGATTATAGGCATCAGCAATGTCTGGCATGACAGATTTGCAGAACAGACTGACCGTTTCGATAGCCGCCGTAATGTAATTTGCGGTCTGTGCTTGGAATGCAACGTCAGGTCGAAGTCCCTCAAGAGCACTACGTTGACTCAGAAGTAGCGCCATTTCCCAGTTTTCTTGATGGTTAGTCGTGCGCACACTGTTGGAGGTGTAGGTTTATATCCACACGTTTCGGGGCACTGCGATACACACAACTAACCTTCCGTAGCACGGGTGCTGGCGTTAGGGTGAAGTTGAGGGTGACCCTGATCGGCGTGTATCCAAAGATAGTGGCATCAGGTTCAACGCAAAGCCTACATAAACTATCCGCTTTAGCAGATTCGGACTAGACATATATCTTACTAAATTCGCACCTGAACAAGGCTCACGCTGAGATTCCGCCACGCATATACGAATGGTCCTTCAAGCAAATTTGATATCTTTCCGGTCAGAGAGCCTACTCCAGCATTTACCACAGAGTGCGTTTAGTTTGATCTGTCGAGGCTGTGGCAAAGGCCAGTTCAGACTTCAACAGCTGAAAGATAATATGGGCTTCTGGACGTCTGCAAGTGTTTCGGATGGGCCAGCTTCGCAGTGCCGCTAACGAAGGGTTTGATCGTGGGCAATCAGAAACTTCAAGTTATGGACTACAGGTGAGGAAGATCAGTATCCAAAATTCCAAAGACATGATCCCTTATCAGACAGTTCTTACACGTTGCTCAGCTTGATGTGATACTTGCGACTTTGCTGTGTAACCAGACTCTCGGTATCTGTTGCCCTTGCGGACGCTTTAGAAAGCTGTATGGAAGATGGGAGTCAATTGAACCCTATGATCAGGTGCGCATCGCACCGGCAACTTGATTTTGAGCTTGAATAGTGAACAGGTGAGTTGGTGTCTCAAATTGGATACATTTTGGTCCATTAACGTGTTCTGGTCACGTATGACTGTCTGATGGAACCAAAATGCGCGAAGGTATTGAGCGTTAAGAACTCTCGAAGCCGTTAACTGACCAGCGAGTTGTTCACATGCATCGTTGAAGGTGAGCGCTGGTAAGACGATGTTAAGTTAGCTGCAAATGACAGAATCACGACAAGCTGGTGGCCATGAAGATGAGTCACAGGAAACGGATCTATGACACACTGTCCAACACTACTCCGCTGCTCGCAGTTATAGTTCATTGATCTAGACAGAATGGCTGTGACATTCCTAGGCTTGATGTCCGTGGAGATACAGGGGACTCGGATGCAGTCCCTTTGCTTCTTTTCCCCTTCAGTTACCCTGGGATAGTAGATAAGGCGTCAGATAATCTATCTCAACTTACGAAACAACTTGCATATAAAGAATGACAGGATGAACACTCACTTTTTGGGTCCTGCTACACATCTTCGCTTTTACTGCTAGTACGAAGAGTACTCACGTATGCATCTTCTATGGAAACCTCGATTTCTTCATTGATGGATATTTGCATGGGTGACTGCGAAGGTCTCATCTTCCTCTGTGAGCGGTTACTTGACAAATTGACCATGCCGATGCTAGTGAGACGGCCATCTTGATCCCAACCATCATCGTCGCCTGTGGGCAAGGTGTGACCTGTGGCATAATGAAGAGATCGGGAACCACCATAGGCTTGGGCAAGAGATGTCCGAAGTATAGAGGGATCTTCTTCAATGAAACCGAGTTTTAGAAGACGATAGACTCTGCATGCCATCGCGTTTTGCAAAGCCACAGTAGGCATGGTAAGAACAGCTCGGAGAGCAGGTGGAAAAGAGGAGGTAACGAGTGTGAATAGAACAAAGATATTAACGCCAACCGTTGCCCTAACGAAAAGAAACAGATATGAATTGTCATAGATACAGGTAGCTTATACCAAGATAGAACGTCACTTACAGATAATACAGCTGCCCAGTTTTCAGGACCGCTTTTGACAAGAAGCCCATGTTTTGCCCACTAAAGAATGAGAATATCCGCTCTTTCCATGAGTCCGCCATGCTATACGACACAAGACGGATAGAGATCATGACGAATACAATAGCGTCAAAGATCGCAACGGTGAGGAATCCCACGGAGCTGATTGGTGTGACATTGGTGGTGACGCAGTTATGACTACCCAAAAGGCGTTCTCCAGTCGTACTGAATGGTAGAGTAAACGATCCGAGTGTTGATAGCCAAAGAATAGCGAAGATGCCGACGAGAATTGGCGATCGACGGAAGACAGCTTTCACCCGTAGAAAGAAGAGAACGAAATTGCAGGGGAGTGCAAATGCCCCGAACCAACAGATGACCTTTCCGATTGCTCGACAAGTATCATCATCACCTGCGGCTGAAAGAAAACCGTAAGAATAGCACGTTGCATGCTCGACGATAGAGAGCGGCATACACAGGAAGGCTAACGAAGCTGCTAAAAACCCACCCGATGTAAACCTATGAGTTGGGAGCATGAGCACGGCGGTGGTGTTTTCACAAAGCGCAGAAAACGTACCGAGCAAAAACGTATGCAACGTCAGGTAATGCAAATTTATGCTCAGTGAACATCCAGACCTCATCCGACGTGGATATGAAGTAATCCCATGTCCAAGCCTGAGGGATGGTAAGGGTTAACATCACAAGTAATACAACGACGAAGTTCAAGCCTACTGCGACAACGGCAACAGCCATATAACCTGCAGTTTGCATGTTGGCAACCACATCGGGTGGAAGAAGATCGACTAAACTCATCCCTACAGATGCCTAGATGAGGACGCCAGAAAGGCAGGTGAAGTAGGAAATCGTCGTGGCTTAAATAGAGCTCGAGCTGGCGCCTGAGACTATAGAGAGTTTGATAATACAGGGATAGACTGGCTTAGAAGCATCGTCCGCGCCAGCAAATCTTACTGACGCCTATGGTGAGACCGTGGAGCACTGGAAGCATACACGGAGTCGATACTGTTGACGAATGAAGTTTGAAGTACATACCAGGAAGTCGCTGATCATGCTATCATCCTTCCCCTATCCGGACGATCATGCATCAGATGCGAAGTCTATTTTCGCTTCTCAATCCCACAGTCGTGGAATGAGATCAGCCCGTCACTTTAGTTGAGATCATGAAGCGATCAAAGGCGCACTATTCAGCGTAGTGGCAGGAACTGGAAGAAAAGAGAAAGGATTATCGCTGACAAATATCCACCATGTAGACTTTCCAGGAAGCCGAGTAGAGAGTTCCACTGCACGGTAGAGGACACCTTATGCTGCATGTGCCGAGCGCTATTTTGAGACCTTCATGAATGAACCCTTTGTGGGCATAGAGTCAAAGTCGCCTACTACAGCGTCATAATAATACCACTTGACAGACTAGCCTAACACTTACAATGAATTGATGTACGGATTCCACCTCGGGAGGACTCTAAGGCCGATATGACTGAATCTACAGGATAGACGTACTTGTCAACTTAAAAGGGTTCAACGAATGAGATAGATCGATGACTATATGATATCTCGAGGAGAAACACATGAGAGAATTAGAACATACTCACTTATCAGGCAATCCTTTGAGCGACTACTTCGAAGTATAAGCGGACGAGATGAGTCGATTACTCAGTAAAACCCAGGCATATCAACCTTCCAGTGTACGATCCATCATCATCGCAGTCGATTTCATTTCATCTTTCTTCAGAGGGATTTCAACTTCGATATCATAAGTCATTGCTAATCGTCATTGCCCAGGTACTACGCATCGGCTATAGCTTTTGAGGGACATTTGTTAGGAGACCCAGTGAGTACATGGTCGATGATACATACTCACACGATACAATTTAAGCACTCCATACATGCTACTAGCCATAAACTCCATAGAAAAATTGCATAGGTATTTCATAGTCACGTTCATGAGGGAAAGGCAAACTGTCAGTGTCTATGTGCATGCCAGGGAGGCATAGCCCGTTTGGGGGAGCTGCTTGCCTGATTTAGACATGTCTGCCTGTATATGGAAAACACGCGCACGCGTCTTGTGGCGCGTCTCTCCTCGCATCCCTTCCCACCACCACCATCATCATCACCACCGTTCGTACAATTTTGTATCCTACCAGGTCATTACCAAGTCGTCGACATATTTTTCAAACGTAAACATGCCTCGAGGCACCTCGACTGCTCAGCCAAATGCACAAGCGCAACAGGACGCGAACTCAGAGGGAATCGACGCGTATGATCTGCCTCGCAGTTTGGTTACGCGAATTGCACGATCAGCTGTGAGTTCTCGTGGTGTTCTGCACCTCTCTCTTCAATTTAAAGTTGACAAAGTCAATTCTCTCAGCTTCCAGATAACGTGAAGTTGCAGAAAGAGACTGTACTTGCTCTATTGAAAGGGTCGACAGTCTTCGTTAACTACATAGCAGCAACGTATGTCACATTTCTGCCATGCATCCTGTACTTGGTGTACTTAAATGTTTATTAGAGCACATGATGTCGCTGCCTCTAAGCAGCACAAAAGCGTTTCAGCTTCGGACGTCCTGAAAGCACTGGAGCTGACTCAGTTCGGTGACATGGTAGACAAGCTACAAGAGGAACTTAAGGGTGTGCCATTACTTGTTCTCGTGTGTTTTAATTAATCTAACAAATGTGCAGCCTACCGCGAGATCCAAAAGTCCGGTCGCTCAGCAAAAGGCCCTAGTGCGGCTTCCTCTGCAAAGGGCAAAGGCAAAGAAGCAGCCAGCATTTCGGCGGCCTTGGCTCCCCCAGCAGTAAATGGAAAGGGGAAAGAAAAGGCCGTTCCTGGTCCTACTATCACAATCCCCGGTGCCAGTTCACGAACACCAGTGGATTCGGAGCCGCTACCCCCAGAAGACGAAGACGATGAAGCGGGAGTGACGATGATCCAGGGTGATGATGATGAAGAGATGGGTGAGCCAGATGACGAGGTTGTGGAAGAGGAAGACGAGGTGGAGGAGGATGTCGAGGATGAGGACGAAGATGAAGGGGAAGAAGTGGAAGATCCAATAGCGCTGGAGGAAGAAGAGCTCCATAGAGATGCAAGGACCTTGGATGACCCTCATGGTAGAGGAATACATGATGATATGGAACCGTAGTCGTCAACGATTGTGAGTTTTATGTTTTACTTCCGCGACCGGGTGCAGAGACTTATGAAACCTTCTCCTTGAACATAGGTAGACGCTGAGTTGCATTTGGTCATTACCGTTCGACAGTTCAGTATTCTTCACGTTTGGTCCACGCAGGGTCTCTTTCTAGAACGGCACTGGCCTTGAGTGGAATATCTACTCGTGTAGTCATGCTCACTCGATGAATTCGTTATCTTCGTCTAGATATATTTGTGAGGGAGCTCCAAACTCTGACCGTGCATGGTGATACAAGCACAAGAAAATAATATACCTAAGCAATGTCGGTAGTGTTGTCCAAATGGCTTGCCCCCGTATCTCTTTCCGTGTACACGCGTTCGTGCAAATTGCACCCGGCCTTCCTCCCCTTCGTGTCTTTTTCCAAAAGAGTCAATCCAATCCCTCCTTTGCTCACATTATCACACAAGTGATTCTTGTGTTGACACCATTACTTGCGATACCGTTAGGCGCGAACCGCAACGTTGATCGAGCAATTTGGCTTCGCGCGACAAATGATGGAAGTGTGGAAGAGTCGCCTTGTATTATTCCAAATCTTAAGAGGCGAAATACCCTGCATGCCATAGCATTTTGGAGGGCGACGTTCGGACTGGAAGAGGTAGATCGAATGACAGGGGGGACGGACGAAGAAAGAAGGGCCACCACAACGAGGAGATTTAGACCGACAGTTACCCTGTAACGGTTCATTATACAGGTCGAAGTTCGCAGGTCTGTGGGAATACACACATATAGTACAATTGTCCCGTATGAAGCAAGGCCTTTGACAAACACCCAAGATCTTTACCACTAATGAACGACTTGAACCGCTCTTTCCAAGTGTCCGCTAAACTTAACTGCAAGACGCAGACGGAATCGCCAGGAACACCATAGTGTCGAAAACTGCAACAGCGACAGTACCTGCGGAGCTGGCCAGCTGGACTTCACTAATCATACAATTTTTCGTTGCCCCGATATGAGTTCCGTCCACACTGAAAGGCATGGTGAGTGCGCTGAGCGTGGCCAACCACAGGATACCAAATCCAATCGCGATGGATCAAGAGGAGAAGAAACCGGCTTTGACACGAAGGAAGAAGAGTAATGAGCTGCAAGGAAGGGCCAATGCCACGAACCAGCCGATGGTCTTGCACAACATATGACACTTGTTGACAGGTGCAACTGCATCCAATCACTCAGTATAACATCTACTCAAACATATGAACAATACGAACTCACCTATGAATGTCCAGGAACACATAATATACCCGCCTGTCAAGATTCTGCAACCACTTGGGCACATAATCATGCACGTTGAAGGCTTCGACAAACCTGGAAAGCATGTAGATAACGTCAGACAGAGCCACTTTGTGTGTGTTTAACATGCGAACTTCATCCGGGAATGTCATAAGAACGTCCCATAACCATGCCTAGTAAGCAAATTCAGTTTCAATTATCATTGAGAAAATCATACCACACTGACACCTATCATCGCTGAGAAGAGACATCTGGCAACCTCTACTTCTAAGGCAATCTCTGGCTGTAACCACGCAAGCGGCGTGAATGGATTGGGAAGGGCGGTAGTATTGCTTACCGTCGGTGCGAAGGCGACGTGAAACCTGAAGGGTGTTACGGAATGGAACGCTACAAGTACCATTTCAAGGCTGCTTTGACCGAGGAACTGACAATAATCAATGTCAGAGAAACATGTAAGAACCGAGTAACGCGATCATGAATCAGAGCAAAGATGCGCCAGAGCTCCAGTCCATGGACACCAAAGGTCCTTTGAAACACGTAGTGTGCTCTAGGAAGAGAAGGTCAGACAGCACGATCACGAGAAAACATTGAAGGAATTCCTTGCTTACGAGGCACCTGCTCAGAATAAGTAGCGTTGAAAAAGCACCGTGCATGTCGGAGACACGGAAGGCAAACCGTGGTTTATCTGTTAGTCTAGAATAACGGGATTCGTTCTGCATCTCTCATGGAGCGAACATCTTCAAGAATACCTGACTAAGTTCCACTGCTTGGACAGCAAACGACATTGGTCGTATAACCCCTGGTGACTGTGTCAAATAAAAGGTTGAAGCTCATAGATGTAGTGAGAGAACTCGGGTCAAAGTCATCACGAGAATCTTCTTTTTGTCTTCTAGACGTAATAACGGAACCATTGGTGGCGCTTGTTACTGGCTGTTCTTAGGGCGAAGAATGAGATGCATTCATGGCAGCTGCTTCAAAAATGGCCCTAATCCGATCGCGAGTTTTCTCTCAGCAGCTCTCAGCAAATAACTGCCTCCGACAGGAGCCGCCATCTTCAACGAAGGGGTTGGCTGTCAATGAGGAGGTGCAGGCGGTCTGGGTATATTCAGCCATGTGAATCCGCCGCTAGTCGCAATCCCTCCAAGGTATGTAGTACAGAGCTTGTGGTTAGAATGACGCGATCCTCAAATGGAGGTGTGAGACGCTAGTGACCTCAATTTTTGTGGATTACGATGAATCCAATTCGAGCCCCCTTGCGTCAGAAGTCGGAGTCAGAGCTCAACGTTCAACTCCAGTGAAAAGTCCGTCTACTGACAGTCACCCAGAGTCACCAAGATGTATCGTACCGCAGACAGACGCCCAGACGGATAACTGTATGTAGCGCTACTAATAGATTTCCACTTCGTGCTCTGTCCGGCAAGGGTTTGACCAACGCAGTGACCATGGGGCCGCTGTTAGATTGTAGCACAGTATTAATGACATATTTTCTATATGTCGGTGTGTACCCAGCCTGATCGCAGTATATAGAGGTACATGGAATCGCCCGCGATAACACACAGCCCCTAAAAATAAACTCAAATCTCAACTTTTCTACCCATGCGGGTATATTTCAGAGTATCTTGGTAGCTCCTGGTAGCCGGACCTTTCACTAGGGTTCAACACAGGAGGGACATATGGTATGGCTTGTGCCCAATCGTCTGTATCTTCTGTCCATCCTTCCAATGGAGTATCAGAGGTTCTGGCTGCGAGCTGTTTCGCGACCGCTGGTGATGAGTGATGAGTGAAATCCTGCGTTCGACGGCGGGAGGAGGGACCGACGGAATGGAGAGAAATGTGGGATATAGAGCTGGATATATCCGAAACTCTAGCAAATGAGCTGGTACCGGAGGAACGTCCGGATATGAATGAATATCGACCTAGGGATCCTGAAGATAGCGCCGAGCCCCGCGAAAGATCAGATGATCTTGTATTACGTGCTGAAAATGCTGCAAATCCTATGTCAGAGTTGCGTTTCCCCGTGTAGTAGGATGAACTGCGATGATTCGATAACCCCGCGCTACTCCATGAGGATGTATTGCTTTTTGGTACCTCTAGGGTCCAAGAATTAATCGTCAGAGGTTCATCTACCAGCCCATCGTGGAGATGCGGACCTGGCTGGTTTTCTACATGAAGTTGTGGGGAATTAGAGTATTCATCGCTCATCGCATAATGGTCTTCATCGGGAATGGTGAACGCGTCACGTATCCACAAGGTATCGGAAGCTATTGGTATAAGATGGATAGTCTGAGGACGACGATTAACGTCGACATCCAGACACTTGCTTATTGTTTTCCACGTATCTAGGGATTGCAATTTTGAAATATGGCTCGGGTCCTTTAGAGCGAATTGAGGCCAATCGGGGCGTTGGCCCTGCATTACTTTGGCTAACACTTGCAAGTTTCCTGGAACATTGGCAAATGGAGGACGCCTTGTATGCAGCTATTCACAAGCAACGTATGTAGTGAGTTGAAAGTAGACTATTCGAAAGTGAACGGGAAGTACCTCTAACCAAAGACAGGCGAACGAATAAATGTCACTCGGAAACGGGTTGTGCTGAATGTACAACCTCAGGCGCCGTCCATCTTGCGGCGCCGCCAGGGTGTGAGCCAGTAGTCATAGAGCTAGGGTCAGCAAACCGAGCCAAGCCAAAGTCCGATAGCTGGATAATGAGATCATCCGTAACGAGGACATTGGCCTACGTTATACAGGAACAAAGTTAGTAAGTAAAAAGGGTCCATAAGATCCGAACGTACTCCTCGAAGATCCCCATGGACAATGTGTTCATTATGTAAGTACAGCAGTCCAAGCGCGATCTGAGAGACCTGTCGTCACATCAGCATGCCAGGACTAGTTATGTAAGTGTACCGGAAGGCAGAGGTTTGCAGCGTACCCATGATTTCAAAGGAATTGTTTGACCATTCTTCTCCAGCTGTTTCATGCAGTTGTTGATATTCCCGTAATGCATCCAAGGAGAAACCATGCAGGGGTAAGGATAGAAGGTGGTTCCGACACCTAGAAACGGTAGGATGTAGAGATGCTTGAGCCGTTGCCAAATAATGGCCTCCCTGTAGAACTGCTACAATGCAACATCAGTAAGCTTGTCATTAGTGCATGAACATGGATCGGTGGCGCCTACCGTTGTTACAGAGCCTTGACTTGTCTGGAATACACGAAGTCGTTTCAAGGCAACCTTTCTTCCTTCATGGTTTGCGAGAAAGATATCGGCATAGCTTCCTCCCGCTACAGCATTTCTGGATGAACTAGTTATGTCATTGATGAATAGAGAGGGAGGAACAGACGAGGATGCTGCAGAGAGACAAACAAGCAGACGACCTAATTTGTATCGCCATTCTCGTGGTAGGTGGATACCATGAGAAGCCGGACTGTCAAGTATCTGGAGATCCTCATAGTGAGACTGGGGGAGGGTCTATACTCATACAGTCAATGAAACGTTACCTTCAGCATGCATTCCATGTATTCTCCTGCAGTTTCATTGCGAAGCTTGAGTATTCTATTTCTGGCTACGTCGGATATCAATGCCTCTTGTATCAAGTTCGTCATATACTGCCATTCATGCCCGCGTATGGTATCATGTTTATCTGAGGGTACGCGTGTACCACTGCTAATATAGCCTGGATTCTCCATGATCGCCACTAGAAAAAGTCCATGAAGCGTCCACAGAACGAGCCTGCGAGAGAAATAGACCAGATCGCTATTCGTCAGAGTATTGGTTTGCTGGGATTGAAGGGGAGAGGGGACAACGATAACAGGAGGATGATAGTAGGACGACAAAAGGCTAGGAACACCCACGCTGTCCATCAGAATATGCAAGCGTGATATTCGAGTCGGAGTGTTGTCTCGGGGACGAAACAGGCCATGACTTTTGAGGAGCGCAGACTACACCAATCATAACAGCGAAAATGATAATACTACAATCAGTGATTTGTGTGTAGTATCTCATACGTCTTTCACAACAAGTAGTTCAGGAAAGGCCAGAAAGGTACCATGAGAAACGGTGGAGACAGTGTGCATGATTGACGTTAGAGGCAATGCCAGAGCGCGCCTATTACTCGTTTCTCGGATGAAACACAGTTGTACGGCGCCAAGGCAGATATACAGCTAGCAGTATGGCGCGCAAGAACATCGTACAGTTGCGGACAAGCGAAGTCGACAATTTCGGGGATTGAATGATGGGGGCGCGGAGAGTGGCTGTAATTCTTCAAACCGCATATTTAGCTCACTTGGGACCCAGGGAAGATAACAAGACTTCTCAAGTCTTGGAGTTCATGCGAGACACCAAACAAGGCGGCTCTTGTGTCAATGGGTTCTCGCCAACTCGACGAAAAGCCTCACCTTCATCCTTTTCTGGTATGTGACCATCAGTCGCATCACCGGAAAGATAAGTTTTTCTGCGTTCCCGAAGGTTCGGGGGAGGCTGCAAACTGAACTCTAAGAATTGAAGAGCCCTATTAGCACGAGCCGATCTTCATTAGTGTCACAAATTGCCATTCTCACCTCGAAACTTTGGCCGGCCCCCCAAAATAAGTGCTATATCTTTGAGATATAGCGGAAAATGATTGTCTTGATGAGCTGGATATGTTTCTGTGAACTTTGAAGTGGTTAAGGAAAATACTTGACTGAAGTACCATCAAATGAGGTGATTCCGGTGAGGCTGGACTCAGCCGCTCGGCGGCAGTATCCGTAAGCACTTTTGCTGTAGACTTTGGTGCCTCGATTTCCTTCATATTGTTGTTCAGCTTCCACGGCTTGATGAAATGGGCACGGAAGCGGAACATTGCAGCACCCCTTTCCATGTCCACAAGTCAGCCTTCGGCGGCCTATGGGTACTGAATTTTGCGGTGAATTAGGCCAAGAATTTCGCCGCTCCAGTAGCTCTTGGGAAACACTTCGGAGGTACGTTTTTGGGCGTTTTCAGTCTCCCCGAGTTCGAATCCGAGGTGAGTCTGGTCCCAGAGTCTACTGTAAGAGCGCTGCCAGATTTATAGGCTTCGCTTGTCCGCAACTGTAGGTCAGCATAAAAACTCCATAAAAACCTTGGAGAACAAACGTTCCATAACGGACATGGATGCTGCGTTAAAGGACTGGGGAAGCGCCCTCCACTGTAGATCTTGCGTGTGGAAGGAACTCAATGAGAATTAATCTCCCACGGGCAGTGTACACAGAGGTCAAACCTTCGTACCTCAGGATATCTCTGTAACTCAAGAACAGCTGCTTCGTGAGGGAACGCAGTCGAAGTCGATGCCAAATAGGCGCAAACAAATGGCTTGCACGACCCAGGTCCCAGGTGCATGGTCTTTCGCACCCTGCCAGTCAACCAGTAAGGACACGTCAAGGGGTAACTGTGAAGTAAGTCCTCTATAATATTTATTTCAAAAAGATCCGCGACTCATATACATATGCATTCCTTGTAGTTCCTAGATCTCGCTGCATGTTGGGTATGAGAGGATATTTTTGATTAGGCAACAGTTAGTACTTAATCCTCAAGCCTCAATCGTACATAGCCTCTCCCTTGCGTGTTGTTCAACATATCGGACTCTCGTGGAACGTTCTCGACTTGCTAACATCAACGCGTTTGTTGACTAAATTGCCAATGCCTGTGGAGCATCCCTCTGCTGTCGACAGGGCGAACTTTTCGCCAACCGAGCGTACTCCCAACCCGATTGGATGGACGTGTTCTCCCTGGCATCGCGTGTCTGCCAGCTTGCGACACGGGGCCGAGTTGTTCGTTGCGTCTGGAGAAAACCCATTTTAGGAGGCATATGTCAAGTATGGCGCTTGAGTTGCTTCTCTTTCGTTCTGCGGCCTGTCTCGCTTGTTGGTATCCGTGCATGCACTTCTGTCTATTGCTCCATCTCGTTGCTCCGCTTCTCAACCCCAAACGCACGGACCATATACTCTGGTATAAAGCCTTCGTCTGGTTTGCATGCTTCCTCAGTCGAACAATCACCACGTTCACTGTCCAGTTACCTTCGTCGCTCTTTTCGTTCTCAACGCAACTTCCACTCTCTTTTTCAACGTCCCTCTCGACATTCAAAATGTTCATTCGTGCGTCTCTCCTTTTCCTGGCCACCAGCGCCGCTCTCGTCGCCGCCCTCCCCTGCAACGATCCCTCGCACAATCACCCTTCATCCGTCAACAATCCACCAACCTTGCCCACCGGCTCCCCGCCCAACTGGCCCACAGAGTCTAACTCCTGGCCTCCAGTCTCCGTCCCAGCTGGTTCTCCGCCTTCTTTACCTAGCGGTTCTTCTTACCCAGGCTGGTCTGGTATCCCTTCCTTGCCCACCGTCATTCCCAGTACGCCTGGCGGCTCGAGCGGTCACCCATCGAACCTTCCTAACAATCCTAGCGGTACAATCCCCAACATACCTACCAACCCTCCTTCGAAGCCTACGTCCCCGTTGCATCCCGGGACCACCTCCGCATTGCCTACTGAAATAACTTCTGCGCCTTCGACCCAGCCTAGTGAACCTGCTTCAGGTGGATCTGGATCGGGGTCCGGTGGCTATGGATCGGGTGGGGGTCATTGCAACACTGGTCCAGTTCAGTGCTGCAACAGCGTGCAGTCTGCTGGTTCACCTGAGGCCAGCAAACAGCTTGGATTGTTGGGCATCGTGTTGGGCGATGCGAATATCCCGGTTGGCTTGACGTGCTCACCTATCACCGCCGTTGGTGCTGGAGGTGGTGGCAACTGGTATGTGTTATTTTCTCCACGTTCCGGGACGTCGGGACATGCAACCGTTTATTGACTTCGGTGCCCCGTTTTCAGTGCCGCCACTCCTGTCTGCTGCGAGAACAATTCCTACAGTATGTTCACCTCCTCATTGCATCGTTCATGCGTTCGTCGGCCGACTTTTGATGTTTTATAGGCGGTGTAGTGAACATCGGTTGCGTTCCGATCGTGATTCAGGGTTGAGCTCTCGCGCTTCGCCTGTCGGCAGTGCAATCTATGGTCTGTTGTTTCCTCGCCTTCTTTTTCAAAATTTGTCCTGACGTTGCTGCTTCCGACAGTTATCATCACTTTAATCGCGTTCTCTTGTGTCCTTTGATGTCGTCCTGCTCTAAAAACTACGTCGAAGGGTCTTGTACTCATGTTGATCGCGACTCTTCCCACTCAGCATGCGTCGTCTCACTTCGTATCGGTTGTACGCGACTTGTGCAGTCAGACTCGTAGTATCCCAGTGACATATATACATTACATTCTCGATCTCAATAATCAATCATTCTATCATCAATCCTCACATTTATATTCTATTCATCTGTGCTTTCTCTTTCATTCTGCTATACACTCAACATCGATGAGGTTGTACAATCTCACTGTAAACTTTGTAAACTTTAACTTTGCGTTGGAATCATGTTTGCTCAGAGTGGGCAAAATGGTGAGTCTATGGAGGTTCATTGGAGTGTGTTAGTCTGTCTTTATGCTAGTGTTGATTCAATAATGACCTATATCATCTCATGTAGGGTCAGATGGCATAGATATTCATTTTCGATGTCACGAGATGAGCTAACGGGGACAGAATGGGAGATCGATAGAAACGCCAACCCAAGGACACCGTGAACGATAACAACAGCTTCAACTAAACACAGCAGAAGCATTCATGACATGGGTAAAAGGAAGGGAAGCCGAGCCACATAGCGCCGTCTTATCAGAAGCGGCCGTAGACTGTGCATTTGTAGCAGATTCAGTTTGACTTTGGACATCGGCCTGGACTACAAGACCTCCAGGTTATGATGTGTGAGCCCTATAGAGGATGTGTTACAGTCGTCGTCACTCATGAATTACGATTTGTTAGTCTCGAACCCAGACGTTCTAGGGAGACAGCAGCAGCCGCACTGTGCAAGCACAGCTGAGCCTGAAAAGGAACTGAGATTTAAATTTTGACTGCATGCTGCCTCCCTAGAACCACCACCCGTGCGTTCAAACCATTCAATCTCAGCACGGGTACGTCCGGTGTGTGAACGTCTGGTCGAGACTAACGATTTGTGTAATGTGAGGCATGGATGGATGTAATTAGGATGAAGGGTGTTCTTCCATCAGATTCATCAGGCCAGCGATAGAGAACCACCTCACGAGCGACAATACATGTGTCTTCTGAAGAATCTTCGCACTATGCATTTGTGGGCGAGATGCCTGATGCGTCTGATTTGACTCATAGTATGGGCGAGTCGCCATCTATCCGAAGCTACGAAATTGCAGTATGCTCCTATGGTGAACAAGGGATGAAACAGACCTGACACCTTGCATATCGGCGGCGAGTTGTACCACAAGAAGGTATTTTCTGTCAATACACTATACGTGGGAAGACATCTAAGCAGTGACGCGAGCGTACCACATAGCCCACCAAGTATACGATTCGAGAGTCAGCTCGAAGGGAAGAGCAGCTAAATCAAGTAATTTGGCCAAGGGGGGTAAGAAGACTGAGCATAAGCATTGCAAAGGCCGCATGTATTAGCCATAAAGCAAGACGTCAATACGACTTGATATACAGAGTATGCATATGCGTTCGGAGTCGAAGCTGAAATCATTCATCTTGATTATTCCGCGGGGTTCGCGGCAAGTGGCACTGGCACCCGGTTGTGATATGCTATATATAAACGTCAACGTCCAGCACGCAGACACAGGGTTTGGGGACGGGGAAGCGATTGAGCAACGAACGATCCACCTGTTACACACTGGACTCACAATCGACAATGATACCACAATGCGAAGTGGCAACCAGCTTGAAAGCCGCGCTGAAAATTGTTTATGAACAGCGATAGAGCCAATAAATTCTACGTATGCAATTGCGAACGAACTGGTAACGAAAGATCTCATGTTTCCGGTGGGCAGAGAGTAGACGCGCATTGTTTAGGGCAGGCTGTTACGCGACTTGTTTCATTCCAAGTGACGCGCCTGTCAGGCTGAAGCGCTGACATACGCTGACCGTGACAGTTTACTTGCTTCCGCATCACAATACCCCATGCCATGTCTTCTGTATGCTCCTCACCTCCCTTTTCATCGTCGCCTCTGACATATTCAGTGTCGGCGACGACGCCCTACCCTCCATCCAGTACGGCAGCATCGTCGCCCCCTCCGGTATCGCAGGTGACTCATGTGTTGTATTTCCACACCGGAACTGCTGTACTGATAATTGTGTTGTTATAATCTCTATAAGGAAACAACTATTGATGAGCATGACGATGAAGATATCTCAGTAAGGGCTATGTCTATTAATCGAGTGAAGAATCACTGACCCTGCCTTTAGGAGGAAGACAAGCGAAAATGGGACCAACTAGCTCCATTCCTTGAGAAAGTCACTGTCTATGCCCGTCTATTGAAGGATAAAATGGATGAGGTAAAAAAGGTGCAATCCCGACCTAAAGGCACCGCGACACAGCGTTCTACGATTAAACCCAAATCTGCGGTTGGCTCCATACCCAAATTCGAGACCGGAAAGAAGCCTAAGTCTACGCGCGGAAATAAGAAGCGTGTCCTCATTGAATCTGACTCTAACGAGCCGGATACCAAGAAAGCCAAAGTATCCACAGAGGCCCCAGACGAAGAACATGAAGATGACGGTGCCGTCTTTACCCAACCTGCACTCGTCACCGGAGGCAAACTCAAGGATTACCAGTTGGAGGGTGTTGCCTGGATGACTGGGCTCTTCCAGAATGGTATATCCGGTATTCTAGGTATGTGGGCTCATACATTTCCTTTGTTTCTAGCTAACACGCAATGTGTTGACAGCCGATGAGATGGGACTCGGCAAGGTGATACGATAGACATCATTCATGTAGCCAAGGACTAACATGTATCCTTCCCAGACACTGGAAACCATTGCGTTCCATGCTTGGCTTCGTGAACGTTCTTCTGCCCCGTTTATGGTTGTGTGCCCTCTTAGCGTATTGCATAACTGGGCAGAAGAATTTAAGAAATTTGCCCCCGAGGTCAGTGGTTTCACTATGGTCATTCGATGCTTCTGATGAGATGTCCAGATACCCGTTTGTGTATACCACGGCTCGCCCGAAGAGCGTGCCAGACTCCGTCGTGAAGAAATGGTCGTCGTCCAGGACCGACATCGGTATTGGCTAGGACCTAACCACGGTCCTTCGACATCTCGAACGAAAGCGAAGGGCAAAGCTACCAAAGGAAAATCGTCTAAACATGACCGCGGGAGGAAGACAAATGAGTTGTCCGCCCGTTCTTCCCGAGCCGCTAGTGAGCATGAGGACGAAGATCTACCACCTCATCAGAAGACCACATTTCCAGTCGTGCTCACTACCTATGATATCCTAATGAAAGATAGACCATACCTTGCGATGTATAGATGGGGATTCATCGTTGTAGATGAAGGTCACCGATTGAAGAATATGGATTGCAAGTTGATCCGGGAGATCAAGATGCTTCACGCGGATGCTAGGATGGTTTTGACAGGAACGCCTCTACACGTAGGTCTTTCACTCGTAATGATGCAGTATTTTGTTCAGCAGACTGACTGATGATGCCAGAACAACTTAGCTGAATTGTGGTCTCTTCTCAACTTCGTGCTCCCAGACATATTCACGGACTTGGACACGTTCCAGGAATGGTAGGTCTTTATGCGTTCTCTTCGTTTACTTAAGTCCACAAACCTTTTCCTTTAACTCTATCATAGGTTCAATTTACCTTCAGTCCAAGCTTCCGCTTCTTCAGAGCGCACATCTAAAGTGATTCACATGCTTCACACCATCCTTCGGCCATTCCTTCTTCGTCGACTCAAAGCAGACGTCGAGGCCGATCTTCCACCGAAGAAGGAATATATCCTCTACGCCCCGCTCAGCCGGAGGCAACGCGAAGTGTATGACGCAATCGTCCAGGGTGGCTTGCGTGCATTGTTACTGAAAGAACGACGCTCGAAGACAGAAGCGCCCAAAGTCATCGAGATATCTGATGACGAGGGAGAGGGTGGTGGCACGAAGACGCGCAGTAAGGCGAAGGCTCAGAAACAGAGTGGGAAGAAAAAGTTCGATGTCTTGGATGGTGATGACGAGGAGTACTTTCAACGCCTGGAAGCGGGTGATTTAGAAGTTCAAGGTAGAAGAAGAAAGCCGAAGACGGCGGAGGAGCTCGGCGAGGAATGGTATCAGAAAGCGCAGTGTGAGTATCTTCGCACCTCGATTTGTGGCACAAGTCCGCTGAGTCTTTCGATGCGTTCTATCCAGTGAAGAAGATCAACAACATGAAACTCCAGAACACGGTCATGCAGTTGCGCAAAGTCTGCTCACATCCCTTCCTTTTCGACTGGCCTATAGACCCTGATACCCACCAACCTATCCTGAACGAAGAACTAGTGAGCGCGAGTGGAAAGATGATGGTTCTTGATCGACTACTCGAAGAACTATTCAAACGCGGTCACAAAGTGCTACTCTTTAGTCAATTTACCACGATGCTTGATATCATTGAGGTCCGTTCATCTTACTGGTACTCTGGCACTTTTGCTTACCGGTTGTTTTAGGATTGGGCGGTTGAGTTCAAGCACTGGAACATCTGTCGTATTGATGGTTCAACGTCAATGGCGGACCGAACTGAGGAAGTTGATAGGTTTCAAAACAGTGGTGATTCACCCGATGCTCCGAAAGTATTTCTACTGAGCACGAGAGCTGGCGGTCTTGGTTTGAATCTCACCGCTGCGGACACTGTCATATTCTATGACCAAGACTGGGTATGTCTTCACCTTCGTACTTGTGAGTTGGAAGATTGACTCATCTACACTCTCAGAATCCACAAATGGACTTGCAAGCGCAGGATCGCGCGCACCGTATAGGCCAGACGAAACCCGTTCTCATCTTCCGCCTCGTCACCGCTCACACTATCGAGACCAAAATCATGCAACGAGCAACAGAGAAGCGGAAGCTAGAGGCGCTTGTCATCGCCAAAGGCAAGTTCAAAGCCCCCACTCAGACAGGTAACGGCAAACCCGAGACCATGGCCGAGATGGCTGCTTCGCTCCTAAAGTTGGAAGGAGAGAAGATCCAGGTCGTACCGGATACGGCTGAAGGCAAGGCCAGCGTCATCAGTGATGAAGAACTGGATATGCTCCTGGACAGACGACCAGAGGTATTCTCCGATCGCGTTAAAGGATGGACTAGTAGGACGAAGAGAGAGACTGAGAAGACTGCGTTTGCGGTGTATGATGCGCCTGTTCATGAAGGCAGTCACATGCTTGCGGGTATGATGGGTGAACCTATTGAGTAATAGACGGATTTTTTTTGTTTTTGTTTTTGTTTTGTTTTTGCCGCATCATGTTGTTGTTCGTGCATTTCTCATAGCTTGGTTCTAAGATTGGACGACATTAGATGAATCTGTATAATACCCTAATTTCTTGGATGTATAATAGCTAGTGTGTTGTGACTGCAACTCGACTCAGAAAGGAGTAGATTTGATTAGTTTGATCTCAGCGGACATCATGACCAAAATCAGATGGTCCATGTCTGCGAAACCCTTGAACGATGGCCTGATCATCTCTGCTTCTCGTCCAAGCGTGGAATGTATGAGACAGGTATGTAATTAGTGTTGCCGGGAGGTGAGGGACCTTGAGGCGACCTTGACCTCCCCTTGATTAGTCAGCACCTTGACCTACCTTGAGGTGGATCAACCTCAAGGTCACCTCAAGGTCACGCAAGGTCTACACGGTCATGTACGATTTTGCACGCGTCCTATGCCTCGACGCGTTGACATACTATTTCATTTTCACTTGTCTGTCCATGGTCGCCCTCGATGTAATGCCTGTGCAAGCTTCGGCGGTTGCCTGCGAACGTGTCTTCTCATCTGCAAAAGAGACTGATACCTTGCACCGTCATTGCACATACCCCGTTTTCTTCAAGCATTTGCAACTCATGAAATATGCCATCAAGAAAGCACGGTATCTTGAAACTCTCACCCTCAGTCACTTAGATGGTGAGGACGACCTGCAGCTCAGGTTCCAGTCGAGTGACAGCCGTACTCTAGAGGCCGTTCTTAGCTTTCTGGATGATGATGATTATCATTCGGATGCGGAGACTGACGATGACAGTCGCGACGTAGATGATAGCATTCATGTATAGCTAGTATAGTAATGTCACCAACTTAAACAGAAAATGGTGAAAAATGTTTGCCTATTTGAGGATGCCGTACTTCGGCTTGTCTGGATTGACCGACCTTGAAGGTATCTCAAGGTCACTTGACCGACCTTGAGGTATGTTAAGTTGCTTAAGTAATCACCTTGAGGTACCTTGACCTCCCCTTCCGGCAACACTATATGTAATATGCATGACTAGATCTGTCACGATATTGATTGATATCCACTGGGTCATGTCGCCGTAGCGTTTTTGACTAATTCGTCATAGATACCATTAGAACAACGTATCTAATGAACTAGGTTGCACCACAACTATCATCACGTACATAATGATGTGTTCGCCAGCTGACCGCTACAGACTTTTCATCCTCACCGACTCAGGGTTTCCTGCCGGTATATCGTTCTCAACTTGAAGACTCGAGTCTGCGAACTGGGCAGGCTCCTATAGAATCTGTTCACAAAGTCATCCTGGGAAGGTGCTGAGGTGTGCTTACCACAAATTCGAAGTGAAATGTCAATAAGACGGTCCTATGGTAGGTTTGTTCTCGGGCTTGATGTCGGTCAGGGTCTAACTTCTCTCTATTTGTGGTGCGATAGAGAGTAGCCTTCTATCTGCCAATGAAACGCATATAAGGACTGCATGCCTCACTGCCCACCTTCGCTTCTCGCAAATCCCGTACCACCCCCACCTCCCCTCCCACGTTTCGCCTATGAATCCCTCCACTAATGGTCAGGCTACCGATTTTCCCGAGCGTGATCCAACTATGGCCGCATTCAACAATTATCTTACGGTCGCAACGGCAGGCGTGAGCATGTTCGTCTAGTGGACACTCTTTGTAAACTTACCTATCTTTGGATCTCCAGACGTGGATCTGGGATCTACTCACATCTCTTCCCACCGAGCTGCGAATGCTCAAGAAACACCGACTGAATAATATCGCAGATGGGGCGTATGTGCTTGCTCGGTATGCGGGAACAGTATTTCATGCAAATTATTGGCAGTTCTGAAGGCATCGTTTCAGCATCACTTGCTTTGGATACGTCGTTGCTTCAGTTATGTACGCAGGTTCGTCAACACCTTGCTCAATATGATGGGAATCTCATCATAGATCATTGAAGTTGCTCCTATCAACTGTTCTGCCACCGTGAAAACTGTTGCATGGTTCACTGCCCTTGCATTACCATGCAATTCCTTCTTGTTTCTCCTCCGAATCAAAGCTGTATTTTATCGGTCGAGGATCATTGTTGGGATCTTCTGCTTTCTATGGCTGAGTACACTCTGTGCATTCTCAGCGCCATTTAGCATTGACGCGAGGAACGTCGGATCGAGCATATTCCTCTGTACGTCCGAAGTCAATGATCTCGGCGTCCTTGGCTTTCTTGCCGTTGCTATCTTCGATACCTTGGTCTTTCTTGCCATTTCCATCAGGATTATGACCTATTGTTTGGCGGATACATGGAAGGGACGTATACGGACTTTCTTCCGTGGAGAAGGCATGGGCTACGTTTCTAAAACCCTCTTACAAACGGGACAACTCTACTATATGTATGCTCGTCCCAGACTTTTCCCCTGCGCCGTCGAAACTCACTTAGATTCGCAGGATGTCAGTCAGTGTGAACCTTCTCGCTATCGCACTCTTGTTCGTGCCTTCAATTCCGAAAGGCATACCGGCTGCATTGACTGTACCTAGCGTCGCCGTCCAGAATGCGATGGCCTGTAGAGTCTTTCGACTTCTCAAACTCGGGCGCATCCACGAACGCCCATTCATATATACACAGTCTACTCCTACAGAGGCTCATCTGCGACCTCTGAGATTTTTCAACGGCGAAACTTCGGGTACCGACGTAACCTACAGAGACTCCGAACAGACACATGATGATGTATTGGAGATTAGCCTTGATCATTCATCGACACGTTTCCAGGGAAAGGATTCGCAGTTAGACTTACCTGCTGCCCTGCATGTCGCTGTAGCTCAAGAGCCAGAGGTTGTTATGGATGACGATGAAACAAAGCGTCGGAACAACCTGGCATAGAGACCCTCCGGGTGCAGCAGGGCGGTAATTTTCTTGATCACATCGAGAAGCTTCAATGCAACGTTCGATGTCCAGGCAAATGAGCTACGCACATCCGTTTCGACCGAGATCCTCAGAACACTTATTGTACGTGCGGCCACCATTTCTTTTGGCTTGCATATTTCTCGTTTAGTCCCGGAAACCGCTCCAAGGCTTTGCCCCTTTTTGAACATACATAGAATAGGTAGATCCGATGCTCTAGGTACTATCATCACTGGGAATGTTTATATGGATGTTTTCTTGAACTTCCGTCCACCGGCAAGTGAGTGAGTGAATGAAGCTCTACTATTTCACTTGCATCGCTTTCATCAAGGCTTCAACTCCTGGCTTGATACTGTCAAATAAATCCTCTGTTCTCTTGGTTGGCTTCCAACCAAGCGCCCTAGCACGATTTGCGCGACATCGAGCATTAGTACCCATGCCGTTGCCCATTTCCTGAAGAAATTCATACACATCATTAGACCATATAAAACAGACATTCAGGAGGGGGAGACATACCATCGATCCAGCATACTTGATGAGCTCTTCGTCGCTGAAGGACGTAGGCTCCGAGCTTTTCGCCAACCCGGCTTCTACGAGAGCTTCCCCAATAGCTTTAGACAGGTCGTACCACCTAAATTCTCCGTTCTCTACGAAGAAATATCCCTCTCGGCCATGCCCGACATTCTCGGGGTTCGTTAGAACGGCATCGAACAAGAGGATATATAGGTCTACAACTGTAGTTTTTTCAGTATGATAAAATAATACCAAATGAGGATCAACTAACCGTCATCCAGAGATATATGGGGCCATATTGCTAATCCCTTGCCTACCATGCCTGGCTGGCCGCGATCGAGAGCAGCAAGAGTAAGACCGGGAATCTGAACTGAGAACGGGTGTTGAATACCGGCCTCGACAAATGGACCAGAGGCGACACCATAGATGGTGCCAGGAAAAACGATATATGACCGCAGATAGCCTTGAGAACAATATGATGTGAATGCTGTCATACACAGAGGTCGAGTTGCCCCTACCTGCTTTATCCGCTTCTTCAATTGCGAGATCAAGATTGTGATGAAGCTGGGTAGCAGGCAATGCCTCAATCTGCTCCGGTTTCATGTCATCGTAGATAGTCTCGCTGGCATATGCGCCTCTGGCGTCATCATGGAGAATGCCAGTTCCCGACTGCGCGATTATTACTGAGGTCATGACAGCTACAACTGCATTAGACAATACTTACGGTATGAATTAAGATAGGAACGTCGCCAAGAGCGTCGTGTCGTTTCTTCATACCGCTCAGGACAGTTTGGATTGCGGGAAAGTTATCTGCGCTGGCCTGTGTATGGTCAATGTGTGTTATTAGACAGAGCATAGTACGAATCTGACCCACCATAGAAAGCACAACGTGAGCTTGCAATACGAGGGCCTCTAGCTTCTCCTTTTCATCAGTAGACCCTGTCACGGCATTGATGCCAAAGGCCTGCAGACGTTGCGCCTTCTCGGCCGAACGTACGAGCGCAGTTATGTCGAAGGTTTGAGAGTTGGGATGGGCAAGAAGGCGAGTCAATACAGATCCCCCGATGTAGCCTAGACGGAAGATCGGTTGTCTATCACTTTTAGCGTTAGCAGAACGCTCACCTGTTGCACCAAGAATAAAGATAGGGATCTTAGAGGAAGACATAGTCGGAAGGAAAAGAGGCTGTCTGTGCTCCACTCCCAGACAAGTCACCTTGGACTTTATACTCGTGCGAAGGCCAACGACCTTTGACCTGGACACCCATGACTCCAATGACAGCTGACAGGGCTTTGAAATGTAGCCGTTGTGCCGACCCAAACGTGTGTGTGTATCGAACTCCAGGGCGAGCTACGTAGATAACAGACATGCTTGTCATGGATTGGCCGGTCGCTATCTAGGGCAGTGCAACATTGGATCCACACTTGTCAGTGTCTCTCGGAAGTTGATCAGTCTACGCCAAAGGAATCGCCGACGGGATAACCTGTTGTAAATAGCCGAAAATCTATGAAACCTTCGTCTATGTAGTTGGTATGGCCCGTATGCGATGGCATGCGACCTACCTTCAGATATCTGCCTCTTATAGGGGTGACTGGTACAGGGATCAGTATCCTGCTACATCACACTTGCCAAGGTCGCTAGATACGTCGCTGACAATAGGACTGAAGTAAAGCCGGGACAAGAGCGTTTGCATTTGCATCTTGATTTGCATGAAACCTCCTGCCATGGCATCATCAAAGCGCCGGATTCCGAGTTTTCCGGAGTTACCTCGAATGGCAGCTGTTCGGGTATTAAGTAGTAACCGGCGCCGACGCCGAAGTGATGGCTCCACAGTACTGTACCTAAGTATAGTCATCTCACATTCCCGTCGGCTCGCTCTTCGAGACAAAATTCGAGTGAGTAACCATCCAATTCATACAAGAATCCGAGGTGATGAGTGTATCATGTATCACCACCGAGAGTAGGTTGAGAAAACTCAGAACTGGCATTACATTCGTTGCCAGACCGAAACCACTGCATCGAAGAGATTATGGACGTGTCATAGTGATCGACGAATGCAACATTTCGTGGTGGAACTATCGGTGAGGCAGTTGTGTACATCATGTAGAAGCCTTCTGCTGTTTTGCCTGCACGATGTTGAGTAATGCGCTCACCTCCAGGCTCAAGTTGTCGAACATGTCCTTGTTCGTCTTCGTTGGCTTCCAGCCAAGTCCTCGAGCGCAATTTGCGTGGCACCTCACGTTCGATCCCATCTTATGGCCTATTTCCTAAGAATGCCCAACTATGTGAGCTCGACCAGTGAAAATATAACAGATGAACAGCATACCACCGAGCCAGTATACTTGATCAATTCCTCATCAGTCAGAGTAGTGGGCTCCGAGTCCTTGGACAGTCCGGCTTTTACGAAAGGCCCGCCTATTGCTTTGGAGAGATCATACCACGTGTGTTCCCCATTCTCCACGAAGAAATATCCCTCCCGTCCATGTCCGACTTTCTCAGGGTTCGCTAATACAGCGTCAAAGAGAATTAAATAAAGGTTCGCGGCTGGGAAATCGAACTGCATCAATACGGCAGTACCGAGAGGCACCGAGAGTGCAAGACAAAAAACATACCATCGTCAATATGAACACTTGGCCAAATCAAAAGGCCTTTCCCGAACATGCCCACGTGTCCTCTATCAAACGCGGCCATGATGAGTCCTGGGATTTGCATGGAAAACGGGTTCTGAATCCCCAGGTCGACGAATGGACCAGATGCCATTCCGTACACCAAACTGTGGAGGATGATGTACGACTTCAAGTATCCTTAACGAAAGCTAAATTCAACTACCAATGGGTTGGTAAGCGAGGAACGTACCTTGCTTATCAGCCTCCACAATTGCAAGATCAACATCACGGTGTGGTTGAGTTGCAAACCGCGCAGGACCGCCTGTATTGCTGGAAGGTCATCCGTACTGACCTACAACTGCCATGTAGGCCATATTCACAATGTCATTAGGAAGGTAAACTCACAACGGAAAAGACGATATGGGCATGAGAAGCAAGGGTCTCGAGCTTCTCCACATCGTCCGTCGATCCTACGACGGTTTTTACCCCGAACCCACGTAAACATTCAGCCTTCTCAACTGAACGAATGAGGGCAGTGATCTCAAAGCTCTTCGCATCGGAATGAGCAAGAAGTCGGGATAGGACGGACCCGCCAATATAACCTTGCATCAAGCCGTCAGTACGTCAGGCAGTCATGAAGGCCATTGAGGCTGACCTGTAGCCCCAAGAATAAGAATAGGAATATGAGTAGAAGACATGGATGTTTAGAGCGGTAGAGATCTGAAAAAGTTCTGAGGCGTTCCGAAGGCACTCTGACTAGTATTTAACTGTTTGCCAGTAGATGACCTCCGGCATAAATATGCCGCTGAAACAGAGTAGTCGTTGCGATATGCCCTGCTGGACAGATAATCGTATGTTCCTGACTTCTCGAGGGATGCCGCACTACGTAAGTACTATGTAGTCGCGGCCGGAGGAACATTTCGAGCACTACCGCGTTCATTCATCTGATTGGTCTGAATTCGTATCTCCGAGTTTGCTGCCGCTGACCGATTCCGATGGCACACTGAGAGATGTTTCTCGACCTCAAGTCAGGCAGCATCACAACTGTTTGCAGAGCAATATAGCCACTCACGCAAGAGTAGGTTGCAGGTAAGATCCGCAGTGTGACCTCGATGGTAACGCCCATGAAGCAGTGCAGCGAGGCAACGACTTAGTAGCAGCATGCATCAGGTCCATTAATCCTCTGCACGGCAGTCCAGTCAATGTCATCTTTATGCCGTTGGGTATGAAAGGGTTTTCAAAACGAGAAACCGCTGGATGCCACTCTCGTAGAAAGAGGATTGGCGATTCACCCAAACAGACATTACGGACAATTGGCCGAAAGTTGAGGTTTCCTAATGCAGAGCCCTCGCTTGCTCAGATAGCATGGGCCCGGACGCTGTATCTACATCACTTTAGAGCATTAGAGTGTAACACTGACCTCCGATGGCCGAAGGATTGAGAATGTCGCCGTTGCAGCCAGTACCACTCGGCCTCCTGAGTACGCGTACATGCCCTGGATTGCGCGTCGTTATAGCCGAAACCGATGGATTCGCAAGAGGCCCAGTTGTTGAGGGTGTTCATTCAACACTGATAAGACTCGGTTAGATCATGAGGCGAATATATAGGTTTATTGTGATTTTCGTGCTTTTGCTGCATCATTAGCACCAGGCATACTTCCAAATACCCTTCCAACAGCCACACTAATCCTCCCAAACCCAATGACATACCCAACGATCACAGCAACATCCACCGCCACCAAGCATAAAGCAGCCAACATAAACCTCGGGGCAAAGACTTTCCACACCATCAGATGTCTTCTTAGCCACGCTGAGCTAATTGCGCTTCCCAGTAACAGGGAAGTGAAGTACAATGAGATACCTAGACATGCGCGTAAGGTTGCGTTCTGTGCTGTTGATGGTGGATATGGAAGAGGTGGTGTATTCCAGGTTGCAATCAGAGGAACAGCCAGTGCAAAGACGAAGACGGGGCCAAGACTGTTCAGGATGACCAGGAGTGGGGAGAGAGGGTAGGTCAAAGAAGATGTGAGAATGAACGCGGATTTCCACTGGATGGTGGATATGACAGCTTGGTGCCCAGTCCCGAAGAAAACCTGAAGCGCCAATAACGCGATAGGCGTGACTTCGGAGAACCGAAGGCCTACTGTTGAGAGCGTGCTTCGAGTTTCTTGAGACTGAGCAAGGAACTCCGATGGTTTAGAAGATGAGAATGCGAGGTTCAAGGCTCGTACATCCCGAACGCTATCTACCACCTCTAAGAACGATAGCAAAGCTACCGTTGCTAAGGCCAGTATGACCTGACCAGCCAATTGGGTAGTGGTAAACACCAAGCTGAAGAAGATGAGCCAGAATATGAGGTACGGCGAACCAAGCGCGTTCGCGAAACCAATGATGGTAACTTCTCTCCTTTCGTTGGCAGCAGGTTCGCTTGTCTCCACCTTGATACAGAGTGGAATAAGCCACCACAAGGTCAGAGCAACCACAAGGATGGTTCCTATCGATAGCCAGGCCAGGGTGGTACGCGTCAAACGCAAAGCACCTGAACACGATGGACCCAATACCTCCGATGACTCCATCCATTCCAAGATCCATACGAAGGAGGAAGACGTCAAGACGCTGGGGAAGATTGTCGGGAGCAATATATTCGCCAAACCTTGATCCGACTTGGATATCTTCAAGTATTGTCGAATGGCTGAAGGCAACCCAAATGCTATGGGTACAACGATGGCAAGTATCAAACCGGGAGGTGTCGTGATAGTGGACCCCGAGAAGAACGTAACATGACAGTATGGCTGCTGTTCTTCTCTGCAAACTGTGCTTATTGCGATGAGGCGAACACAGACTGCGAAAAGTGAGGAAAAGAACAGGATACGAGTTCGCAAGCGTGGCGTCGGGGCTGTGAATCCTGTGAGGACGAATGGGGCGATAGAGGTAAGGAGGAGATAGGGTATGACGTGATCCTCCCAAAACGTGTATGAGTTAGACATGAAGGACAGGGTATGCAGAACGAGAGGAAGGGGTATCGAGGAAATAGAGCCGATTTCTAAGCGTCTGGCAGGAAGTGCTTGCTTTATGACGGCGAAGGAGGAAGCGATGGCAGCACCGAATGCAACATAGTCAAAGATTGCAACATCCTTTACGTACGGACGCAGTGGAAAAGCAACGACCAAGCCTGAGACCGTGCCGATTCCAGACCAACGCAAGGTCATACTTGCGATCCTATCCAACCACGGTTCCCATTGTACAATACGACCTAACGAATCATATACCGCGAATGTCGCCAAGCTGCTCGACAGTAAAGTCGTTAATCCCAGTCCAATAAGGGTGATATTGAACTGAGCCCAAAGCATCCGACATGCTTCCAAAGCGTACCGGGTGAACATGTTCATTGTCAAAGCAGGCACCTGTCCTTCCATGGCTCCTTGCCACGCGCTTTGAATGTCTTTCCAAGCGGAATCGAGTTCGCTACCAGCCGGACTTAAGCGATATGCATCCAGGTAACGCTTCACCTGGGCAGCGTTGGTTCGTAAAGCATGCTCGAACGATGTTGCTTGCTTTCCTGTCCAAAATAATTCAGGGATCACAGTGCCGAGGTTATTGAACGGGATGGGAAGACCAAGAAGGAGGGATAAGGAAGGTACCAGGTCGATTTGCTGCACAGAACGGTGTGCAGTTGACGCGCCAGGGTACGTACGATTCGTCAATAAATGGGCTGGAATGTCAGCTTGAGGGTCAACAAGTGGGCGAGTCTTGCTATATAACCAGAGTCCAGCTGAAGTCTCGAGTTCTCCATCCCCGCCATGGTCACCCTTCCTGTCCATTCCATGGTCGCCAAGCAAAACGAGAAGCGTATCATCGTCAAGAAGCTCAACGGTCTCTCGAAGGACGTTGTCCATCTGCTGTAATTTTGCTTGCATGGTTGGATGGTCAGGTCCAAGGCGATGCCCAACGTGGTCTACTCCGAGGAAGTGACCAATGATAAAATCCCAAGACTTCGTATGCTCACGTAGGAGCGGAAGAAGATGTCGTATGACACCCTCATCCACGGAATGGAGGTCCTCAACGTTGAATGAATCGTAAGGGAAGGTCATATTAGGCGCGAAAGAAGTTGGAAATACCGACATCCATGTGTCGTCACCCATGAAGGCAATCTACCACTAAGAAGTTGTAAACTGACACCTGAATAGACATATTGACGATGCTCACCTGTTTTCCAGCTTCATACAATTGTCGTATAAGGGAGTCTTCCAATATAGAAGACCCACCGAAATTAGAGCCCATATCCACGAATGTAGGAAGTGAACCAGTAGTTATTCCTTTGATGCGCTGTAGAGTAGTTGTAGGTGGGTCCGGGAATGCATAATAAATGATAGAGCGATCCGGTTGCGCTTTCGTCAGTTCCGCTGGGAGACTGAGGACATTGTGATAGTATGGAGAAGAGGGAAGTGGTGGGTCAGGTGAAATGAAGTCAAAACGCAAGGCATCGATGATCAGGAATACCATGCGTTTGTAGGAGGGAGATAACGTGCAATTCGGGTCGGAAACATCGCAGGAGTTGACCTCTGAGAGTGCGAGTCGAGTAAGCAAAAACCCTCGAGTAAAGAGCCAGATGCCTATGAGGTGAACCGCAAACACCCAGCATATGAACTGCGCTCCTCGACTCCACATCTCAGTGCCGGCCGCGCTGTTGGACCTGACCAGACGTCAGTGCTTAGACACATTGCGAAGTAAAGTACATACCGTCACTGCAGTGTAAAAAGAAGCAAATGTAGGTAGCAAGGGATCTAATAGTATGCAGCACAATCGTAAGCAATGTGCCAGACTATTGAATTCAAAACGCCCCGATATGCGCGCCTATAATGAAGCGGATACAAACCCTAATATAAGGTTAGTAGTTTAGTTACTCCGATGTTAGGATCAAGATGAACGCGCTCGTAGAGTGGTGGTTCTGAGCAGAGATGCAATTACTTACTCACACTACACAGACCCTCGTCTCGTGAAGAAATGGACGTTAATCCTTTTATCTGCACTTTATGAGTGTAACCGTCCGACTTGCGCGCTTGCGAACTTGTCTTTAGCGCCTACAGTGGAAAAACACTAAATTACACCTTATTAATAGCTTTGCAACTATAACTTGCAGTCTATCCTCAAGCTTATACAGTACTGTAGCTTCAATCCCAATATTTTACGACAAAACTGTTGACCACTATACACCAGTACGTCTCGTTGCATGTCAGATGCTACATGAATTGCGTCTGACATACGTGATTTCTTGCAGGTTTCTGTGTCCTCACAAGTCACGGTACCCAATTTATACTATTCACCAGTAGTCCCACCTCGACGATCTTTGGAACCAGAATACCGAAGGGGTTCTACTAGCCTCTACCCGTTGTGGTCCGACGTTACGGCGAAATCGCCAGGAAGGCACTCCTACTCGAGGCGCCTGGATCGGGGTTTTCTTTCTCTTGACCGGTACACCAGTACTTACTAACTCACTCGCTTCAACGTCCGCCTTTCTCTCTGAAACCATGAAGTCATCTACGATGCACCCCAAAGCCAGCATCCTGAACATTCCCCTGGAACTCTTAATCGAGATCCTGAAATGCTTGGATTATCGAACTGTATTAAATTGCTCGCAGGTGAGGGCATCGGAACATCCGCGCGGAACATCCGAAGTGACGTTAACTACTTTTTGCTCCCATCCAGGTTTGCAAAGAGTTCCATCAAATCATCAAGGATTCCCTCGAATTACAGTACAAGATTGAACTCGAAGCAGATGGTATGATTGACGGCCCTAGGACGGTCGGATCATGGTCCACTTCTGAACGCCTGCAATTGCTTCTTGATCGACGTGCACGATGGAGGACCCTTGATTGGACTCGGATTGTTACGCTACCACTTGTTGGTTTTTGTCATGCCTATGAACTTGTGGGCGGTGTGTTTGCGAAGACCATGGGTGTAGGAGATAATGTGGGTGCTAGACACCTTACTGTTGCCTCGTTGCCTACGAGGTACGATGATGGCGATATGCGTATACTGGAGGACTTGGGTGTTACTTCGAGGGACTTTGCGATCGATCCTTCGCAGGATCTCATCACTCTGGTGGATATTGACGACTCGTAAGTACTACAGTTCAAAATGCTATTTTCAATCTTTCATTGACTGACTATTGTTGTAGAATACCGGTCAACGTTCGAGTTACGCTACATTTACGCACGATCAGCACCAATACCGCACACAAGCAAGCATCTAAGCCCGCCCTTGAATGTCGCGCTCCGGGACGCATCACAAGCTGTTTCATCCAAATCGTCGACGACATTGTTGGCATGTTCTTCTGGTTGCAAGGGCCCACCCTAATGATCTGGAACTGGCGCACAGGCAGACTCGTCGTGCACTGCGTTGCAGACTATAACGAGGGAGGCCAACATCCACGACCGCATGAGCGCGCTCTCCCCCAACTCCCTCAAGAAACATGGGACTTTGCTTTCCTCTCAAGCAGAGCATTCTTGCTGAACAGCATACACGGCAGGGGGTTCGTTCACCTGTTTTCGTTCGATGGTAATGGCGACCCTGAGATCCCTCCGACACTACATGCCACTCTCACTATGCCTGCCCTCGAGCCGCCCAATACCGTACATCACTTTGCTACTCACTCGGCCCCGTTCTTGGGCGGTGATAGTAGTATGGGCAAACCTTTCACGACAGACGAGAGTAGTAGGATCTACATGATGACGATAACATATGGACAACGCGCTCGGTTCCATCTATTCGTGAAGAGCGAATTCTTGATGAGCTTCTTTCCCTCGAAGCCCAGTGATGCCAAAAAGGGACGACCTCCGATGATTGATTGGAAGGACTGGGGACCGACGAAGACGAGATTCATTGAGAACGACATACATTACCAGTGGCTGAGGTGGGCTACGGTCTTATGCTGACCTCCGTATCAACTTGCTTATCTTGCTCTATCGTTAGATACGTACATGGACACCGTGCCGTTATGCCACCCATTCCCCGTCCAATGAGCAGCTGGCCAATATCGCATCACCGTCTTTGCGTCTTTGATTTCAAAGTCCACCCCACACGGCTTCATGACCCATGCAAAGCCCCAAGCTCTAAACGCGCAAGATATCACATAGTTACCATTCCGACGCTCATCGAGAGAAAGGAGCTGTTCAAGGAACGCGTAGAAACAAGACTACCGTATAGTGTGTCATCCTTGGAGGACAAGTTTAATTATTCCGGCTTTATGATTGATGAGGAGAGATTGATTGGGATGAAGGTGAGCAAATGATTTGTGTTGGGGGTACGGGGTTATTTCTCATGTTTCATAGTCGTCGTCATCGTTAGGAGAGGGAGACCTAAGCAAAATCGACATCTTTACTTTCTGATTTTCGCCGCCTCGACTCGGCGCACACTTTGCTTTACTCCTTGCGATACTTTGGAATTCCAGACTTTGTCCACCCGGGGCGATGAATCTATCAGCGACAACGCTGAATGGAATCTTCATCTAGTTGTCTGTATTCCTCGGTGATCTTTCTGACTACACAGGTTACACCAGTTGACTGCGCCAGTCGGAACGGGGAGTGTTCGGGCAGTGGACGATGAAGATATGTTGGGTAAAGCTTTCGTGGGTAGGAACTGTATTATAAACACCATAGAACACATTGTCTATGGCTCTCTAGCAGACTTTCGAGTGATACTGGCAGTGGGTTTTCCATGCCGATTTTCAACGCAGGTGAGTATGGATATCGAACATCGCCCTCTGACCGTTCTGACGTTTTGTATCCCTTTTTCATCCCCTCTCGTTTGTAACTTACCCCTAGAATTCCTTATCCGCACTTGGAAGTGTTGACCCCTTTAAGAGTTGAGACTGGGACTGGGCCCTAACCCTAATCTAGGTCTTCATGACGACATGCCTGGGGAAGGACGTGCCAGGTACGATGTCCAGGAACGACGTCTTGACCTGCTTCGACCCTCGACCGCCTCTCTTCCTCTCCCACTCCCCTCGTCCTCGACCCACCCCGACCCAGAAATATGTCTTCTGACCTAACTTCTGCCGTTACAATTCCCAACACCATCGTCAAGCATGTCCTCGGAGACTCTGACATCCTGCTCGCCGAAGCAGATCTCAACCTTTTTGTTCTCCCAACTCCCAGTGAACCGTCTAGTCACGCTCAGGCAGAGGCAAAGGACGAAGAGCCAATCATGACTTTGACCGTCGGAAAAGCTGCATTTCCCCTGTTCAGGACGACGCTGTTTGGAACATTAGCGGATGACGAAACTGCTTATATCTTTTCCCCGCCGATAACGGAGGCAGAGGGGTGAGCGCTTCTTTATATTCAAAGTGAAAGCGCTTGACCTCACCATGCTCTATTGAAGATACGTGAAGATTGTATTGCCGCAGGGAGTCAAGGAGCCGGGCTCCGGCCTTTCGAAGTTACGAGACGCGTTCGAGGGAATTCTTATCCAGTATGGGCTGTTAAAGGAGGGTATTGAAGCCGTAGGAGATGAAGTGGGCAGGAGTTTTAGGGAACATACCCAAACGATTACGCAGCGGATTCAGGAGGCTACCACAGGGTTATTACATCCTCCTCGTGACTAAGATTATTCTGAATGTAACGTCTGTTCAGATACCTTCGAGAGAATCCACCTACGAACGCACCTGCGGAAGTTTCTCATACTGCCCAGACGGTTGCTGCGACGAGTGCTTCGGCTACCGACTCTCTCTTCCATGCGGCCAGTCTTGTAACTTCGATGGTTGGCTCTGCGGCGTCATCGACAGGTTCTTGGGTCACCGCTCATGTTGTGCCCACATCCGAAGAGAATACCGGGAGACTCAACTCACTTTCTAATGCGTATGACTCTGTAGCGGACGGCGTCACCAACGGGACAGCTGAGGTCAAGAATGCTACAACGGATGGGGCAGGCTCAGTATTGGAGAATGATTTAGGTCCGGATGCACGATCTGTTATTGGAAATGCAGCGCAAAGCGTCGGGAATGTCGTCGGTGCGGTTGGGCAAACGTCCCAAGTGACGACTGCTATTGCTGTTGGTGGATTGAAAGGTGCCGCTGTGACAGAGAACCAGCAACAGGCTGAGAAGGATCGTAAGGAGCAGACGGAAGCCTTGGTCCAGTGGGAGGAAGTGGTGATTTAGAAAAGACCTCGTACGTATATCATGCATTAGACGCATATAGTGCTATATAGTACCATTCTATACATCTATGCCATCAAGTGAAGGGCAAGTACGTCATCGTCTGTTCTATCACAGTTTTAACCTTGAAATTCATGTGAGCCCTTCGTTCTCATCAGGTACTCTTGGCACTAATCTTTGTGCATCTGTTTCTCAGGTCTAATCTGGTCGAACGCCATCACAAACCCTAGATCTATGTCATAGGTGTATATTGCCCACTGTCAGCTGCCTGTCCTGCGGAAGATCTAATTTGATTTCCAGTCATATTGACGCTATGTATGTGGTTATATAGACGAGTCCATGCATGAGCAAGGGAACCAGATACCTTCAAGAAAGCTAAATCATGGCCACTCCTGCCCCTCTACCGGTTCTAATACTCGTTCTACTGGTGAGCGCAGCTTATGCTGATATTACCCTTCGGGCTACGTTATACAGGCACTAAACCTGCTCCGAGTTCAGGTTATATCGGGGGATCCATCCTTGGTCGTCTACTCGCACATCCGAACAAGAGAAACTTCGAGATTACAGCTCTGGTGCGTTCTCCTGAGAAGGCGGAACGATTAAGGATATTTGGCATAAACATTGTCATCGGGTCTACCGACGAAACCGAGAAATTGAGAACGCTAGCATCTAATGCTCATGTTGTTTTCTCAACCGTGCGTGATCCGTCAATATTTTCATGTTTAATCTTCCGCTGACGTGGACATAGGTAGGCTCACTGCGACGATGTTCTTGCAATCCAGGCTATCTTACGTGGTTTGAAGATGCGTTAAAACACAGGCGGAGATGTTCCTCTCCTCAGTCATACCGCAAGCAAATCATCTTTCTGCTGCGTGTTCCCTCATACTCACACTCTTCGGTTGCTCAGTCTGATACATGGGTCTTGAATGATGAGGCTAAGGGGATGCATTGCTCGGATGTCATCTACGACGACGTGAATCCAGCTCAGATCGAAAGTCGTCCGCCCACTCGACCTCATCGTCCCGTCGATCTCGTTATCACAGAGGCGGATAAGGAAGGTTAGTTGTTATTTTCCTACGTTTAGAATAGTGATTGACATGAGATACAGGTTATGTCAAATCGTACGTTGTCATTCCTGGCATAGTATACGGAATCACTACAGGCCCATTTGTCGAAGCAGGAATCCGGATTTCTTATTCCATAGGAATTCCCTTGTTTATCAAAGGAGCTCTGGTCCGGCGTGAAGTCGCTATGATAGGAAAAGGCCTCGCCAAGTGGACGAATGTTCACATCGATGACTGTAAGGCACGATATAATAAAACATGATAGGAGTCGTTTTGAATTTGAATTTTACAGTGGTGGAACTTTTCATCATTCTCTTCAAGACTATCCTTTCAAACCCCGAGAAAATCGGACATGGACGCGAAGGTTATTTTTTTGCAGGGAATGGTGAACGCACGTGGTTTGATCTACCCTGATCTACCCTCTGTAATCGGAAAAGCTCCGAGCCAACTGCTCTCACAGACGAGGGATCAAATACGCTAGCTCGGTGGTATGTGTGAATCATCCACTCAAAGGGCGTCTCTGAGCAACCCTTTTTGCAAACTGTATATCTGGAGCGAAGAAACAAGTCTGGCGCAAATGCTGGATGTTGCGGTAACCGATCGAGGGCATTGGGTTTGGACCCGAAAGCACTCGACGAATGAGATGTTTGAGAGCGTACGGCCGCAAGCTGAGGCATTACTGGAGATGATACGAGAAAAGAAGTAGGACCGACATTGGTGCAAACTGATATGTTGGATCACCTCGACGAAGTTCGCATGTCGCTTCATACCCACAACGTGCCTTTTACTCAATAAGTATGCGAAGCGTGCGCATCTAAACATAATCGTTTCACAAACCTCAGTACTCTTCTCATTGGAGCACTGAAATCATCTCCCGTCAGGAAATGGCGCCAGGAAGTTTAAATTTGTCGGAAGCGTTTGCGTCAATTGGAACGTCATGAATGTCTGTTATCTCCATGAACTCCATCGTGTCTGCCTGCTACCTTGACTATACAAATACGGGATCCCCTTCATCCTATAGCGCATTCGAATTAACTACTCCAGCATAACTGCACATCATTCGCCTTCCTATCTTTGACACTTTCAGAACGTCATATTATGACCTACTATGCAGGCTCTAATTCAGGTGCTCCCATGCCGCAGGTAATGTAATTAACTTCGTTCCAGCGATTCGCTCGCTGAGAGCATATGCATAGAGTCAAGTTATCTCCGGAGTCCCCAATCAAGCTAGTTTACCAGCTCAGAATACAACGGCGTACTCGCAAGGGACGACTGTTGGCCAAGCACCTGTGGTCGTTCAAGCCAGCGTACTCACACAACCCGGGCCTCAGGGCATGGCTGGAGGATACAGTGCAACACAAGCACCTGTTGTCGTACAAAGTGGAGCCGGCATCCCTGATGGGTATGGCACAAATGCGTACCGCGGTCTGGGTAGCAGCACTGCCCAACCTAGTGTAATGGTTGTTCAACCCCAGTCACAAGCTGCGGCCCCATATGCGGCAGGTTCTTCTGGGTATGGTTATGGTTCAAGTTATGGAGGGGGTCTCGGAGGGGGTCATGGAGGGTCTACAATTGCTGGAGGATCAAGTGGTTATACGTCGGGTGCTGGTGGGTATCCGGGTGTAGAGGCAAACCGATCTTGGTCCAATGCTGCAACCGTTGGTTCTGGCTCGGGATCACAAGTAGTCGTGGAAAGACCGAGACGGAGACATCATCATCATCATCATCGGCATCACTATCCTCGCTCTCGCAGTTTGGACGGTTACGGGTCAAGGTATCATAGACATTGTACTTCTCCCTATTATGACAGTGACTATTGATCGAAGCATAAGCACAAGCTGCACTAGAATAAGTACTGTATATCTTAACGGTACCGCTGCCGTCGTTGCCAGATGAAACCGTCCGTCGTTTCGATTGGTACAAGACTGTTTACCGCATACCTATTACTTTTCCTTAGATATTAGCCTAGTAAACGCAACACATTTTCTGGCCGACGCCAAGTGAGAACAACATCTAAAAAAAGTTTGTTGACATTCCCCGTCGGATCGCTATTTCAGACCTAACACCTTGGTGATGTGAGAGGTTTGACGTACGACAGTGACCAAAATCTGGAACTTTGATGCCGCATGTGTCGATGTTTCGCCTATAATAACCTTCCTCATGTATTTGTCATACAAGTTGAAATTAGAACCTTTCGATTCGCCGCGAACGCTGTCAACGCCGCTGTATTGAAACGTTGAAGAGATCGTCGCAGTTGCGCCACAGTCGAACGATGAACAAATGGATTCCCCATAAAGTCATTACGTACCCACATATGTATTATACAACAGAACATCTAGTCGATTTCGGGTATATGATGAAGCGACGTAGAAGCCTTCTGCTGTTTAGCCTGCATAGCCTTGACTAATGCGTCGACTTGCAGGTTCAAGCCATCGAACATATCCTGACTCGTCTTCGTTGGGTTCCACCCAAGTGCTCTTGCTTTATTCGCGCGACATCTCGCATTGGTTCCCATTTGCTCGCCTCTCTCCTAGAATGCCAATATCAGTATACACTCAATCAACGAGAATATGGTGAGAACAGCGTACCACTGAGCCAGTGTACTTGATTAGCTCGTCGTCAGTTAACGACGTAGGTTCCGAATCCTTAGATAGTCCAGCTTGTACAAGAGCCTCGCCTATCGCCTTGGAGAGGTCATACCACGTATGTTCTCCATTCTCCGCAAAGAAGTAGCCCTCGGATCCATGTCCGACTTTCTCGGGGTTCGATAGTATAGTATCGAAGAGAACCAAGAAAAGATTCGCGACTAAGGTTCGACAGGGCGTCAGTATCATTAGCACCAATGGGGAAAGAGGACTGGACTGACCATCGTCGATATGAACATTCGACCATATCGCACGGCCTTCCCCGACCATACCTACTTGACCTCTATCAAGACCAGCCAGAATGAACCCTGGAATTTGCATGGAGAACGGATTCTGAATCCCGATATCGACCAAAGGCCCAGATGCAATTCCATGTACTAGACTGGGGACCACGATATAAGACTTCAAGTATCCTGGTGAATGGATATAACGTAAATTCAACACGTAGAAGAATCTGGAAGTGTAAGAACACACCTTGTTTGTCTGCCTCAACAATTGCAATATCAACGTCGTGGTGCGGTTGACTGGGGGGCAGTGCCTCAATTTGCTCGAAATTTGTGTCGTCGTATATGACGTCGCTGTCATGCAGACCTTTAGCTTGGTCGCCCAGAACGGCGGCGCCAGACTAATAGACGACAGGTAATAAGTTCCCTGTATACTTTAGAGGGGATGTATCCTAACTCACGGTGTGTATTAGGATGGGAATGTCGCTGCTGGTATCATGTCTCTTCTTCAAACCTCGCAGAATTGTCTGGATTGCTGCAAGGTCATCAGCGTCGACCTGTGCTATATGAGTCATACTATATACCGCGTCATGTAGTGTATAAACGCACCATAGAGAACACGATGTGGGCTTGAGAAGCAAGGGTCTCCAGCTTCTCCGCATCATCCGTGGACCCAATAACAGTCTTAACTCCAAGCTCGCGCAAACGTTCAGCCTTCTCCGCTGAACGAACGAGGGCAGTGATCTCGAAACGTTCCACGTCGGGATGAGCAAGAAGGCGCGATAGGACAGACCCGCCAATGTACCCTAGATACACCTGTTAGTGAACTATGCATGGCCATTGAGTCGTGAGAGACGTCGGAAAGCTGACCTGTTGCTCCAAGGATGAGGATAGGAATCTGAGCAGTTGACTGTGTTGAACGTGATAGTAATTGGCCCATGATGGTTTAGTGTCATAGCACGAAGGCACTTTGGGCTGTATTTAAACTTCTGGGCAACGTCAACCGGAGTTTACCAATACGCCCAACTAAGGGGCTGGACAAAGCTGGCCAATCATCGAAGGTGGGATATTGTTGCCGGAGATACAAGGCTTCGATTTCTCGAAGTTACTGGGCTGCGACAGTACTTACCCAGTAATCAGTGAGACATTTGAGGATCGCCCCACGCACAACCACCTGATCGTCGTAAATTCACACTTTGGACTTCGTTTGTCACTCTTCGGTTCTGTGCAAACACACATTGCGCTATCTTCGGATTCCGAGTCGAGGGAGTCGGGGACATTCAAATCACATTACGATAAGAGCGGAAACGGGGAGATCGCCCGAGATTTGCAGCCTTGAAGAATAGTGTTTGTCTCCGTTGATCCAATGATGTGTAAACGCCGTCATGTCTACGTCACTTGTGTGGATAGAATTCGATACTCGCCTTCGATGAACGGAGGATTCAGAAGACCTCTCAAGGTTGCTCCTTCCATCCTTCGGCATCCTCGACGCCAGAACCGAAATAAATCCCGGTTTCTCGGACTAGTATTGTTATAACCGAGACCGATGGATACGCGAGAGCTATCGTCGATTCTCGAAGGCGTTCGCTGAAAGGAAATGAGCAAACGCTAGGATGCAAGTCAGCCAGTCAGCATAAGAGGGAAGTTGGCAACTTCGTTGGGACTCTCGTGCTTTAGTTGCTTACTGGTTCGACCGTGCGAGGCGGAACTTTTCTCAAACACCTATCCCACTCCCAAACGTGTAAGCCCGGAGCTTGACTATGAAGCCGGCAAACTAACTGAGACTCGGACTTGCCTGGACTTGCTCACCTTGTATGTTCGGGTTTTCCCGACGCGTTTGTTCGTCCCACAACAAGTTGCTCGTTGTCACCCCCTCGTCCAACAACCTTCACAGCTAGGTGGTCTGTACCTGGGCGCGCAAGACTCCTGCTCGACTGACGTCGACGGCCACCCTCGGACATTACGACGCGTTTGCGCACTTTATAGCTGCTTGCGGAACGATAGGCCACTTTAAGCAACAAATACAGCACAGAGGCGTTCGAAATCCGTCCTGGGCTGAAGTTGGCACTCATGGTCACTCAGGCTGAGACGCTGCAAGCTCTCCTGCTCCACAAATCTCCAGGTCATGTTTGTAATTGGCTCGGAAGACTGCAACTAGCCTTCTGAGATCGAAACTCGTGTACTGGATATTTTCAAAAGGTGGCTATCATTCCGCAAATAGCTGTACTTGCGATTTCATTCACTTATAAAAAGGTACTAAGTACTACTTGGCTATTGCTCAGGTCCTTCCTTTTGTCTCTGGAATCCCCCGGTCAATCCTTCCCGGTGACTACGCTAGGAACTACCTGCAGCTTTACTGTTGTCCACTCTGACTCTGGCGAACTGCGGGATTCGGTACCGTCTGCAATTTATGATGAAGACCTTTAAGGGGACCACCCATAATCACTCATCTGACCTGTCTTTACTGCGGGTACTGTCATGAGACTGCCTGCATATAAGACGTTGTTGTACATGTCCAGCCACGCCCGCCGTCGCAGTACCAATTGGGACAGCAATATAGCTTGTTCAGGATCTCGGATCATGGCTAACATGAGTACTTTCTTCCGCCTCCGTCCCTTTCCAAGCTGCAGAATATACCTCTTACATTCTGCTAGAATCGTACAGGTGCATTGCCTGTATTTTACTGACATGTAGGAACAGTGGGGACCTGCCAAGCATTATGACGATCCCTGGCAGAAGTTGTGCTCTAAACACGGTGTGCCATACTCACGGTCGCCAGAAAAAGCCTCTTCTCGGCCGTTGGAGCCTCCGACTATTGCCTGGCGCTCACTTCCAAGTGCATCTACATTCTTGGCTGGGTTCTCGTTGGAGTTCTCTGCTATTGCCTTCCATCACGAGAACGTTGGCCGACGACCCATCGGAGGGCTTTCATCGAACCGAACGTCATACACGGATCTTGTCCCCGCTAGCACTATAGACACCGCTTTGGCTTCGACCTGTAGTCAGACACCTTATAAAGACCTTGTATCCAATGCTCCAGACATAATCCGTTCACACGATCTTTTAACACACACGTCACCATTCAATCAGTATTAACTCTCTTCACATCCTCCAATCATGACCTACTACGCAGGCTCAATACCAAATTATATGCCACCGGTAAGTAATCATGAGATGTAGTTTCTTCGAGGTATCTAGATATCCCATAAACAGGTCCAGGTTGTCTCCGGAATGCCTGCTCAGAACATAGCATACTCACAGGGGACTCCAGTAGTCGTTCAAAGTGGCTTACCAGGTCAACCAATGACTGCTGGGTATGGTGTTACACAATCACCAATGGTCGTTCAGAGCGGTAACCTCCCTGTCTCGACTTACAATACGACGCCCGGTTATGGCATGAATGCATACCCATACCAAGGTACTGCTGGCCCATCGATAACCGTTGTCCAGCCCCAACCTTCATACGCTCCCTCTCAGTACGGCTATGGCGGGTACGGTGGTTATAGTGGGTATGGCGGATATGGCCGACTGTCATATTCAAGTTCATACTATCCCCAACGACCGTGGACTAGCGCTGTGCCTGTTAGTGGCTCTCGCGACATAATCATTGAACGACCACACCGACATCATCATCATCCTCATCACCACCACCATCGAAGAGCTCGAAGTTTGGATGGGTATGGGCGCCGTAGTCCATATTATGATAGTTACTGAATCAGAGAAGTCAACCGACCGGTGTAATATTCTACAATCACTGTAATAACTTCGTGTTTCTGTAATTAACAACTTGTTAATATTGCGCATTAAAGTCTGTAATGAATGATGTAAACGTACACTTGATGCGTCACGCAACGTACGTCGCACGGTGCCGGAGTACTATGCATCGGTGGGACTGACGTCGAGGGTACATACCTCACCGTTGCGAAAGTGGCTCGTGACTCGAAACCTATCATATCATAACAACACTCCCGGCTGAGGAGAAGTCGACCATGCTAGAGAAAGGACTAGAAAATCCAGAAATCACAGAAAAGGGACCGGATCTTCCAGAGTCTGTAGCACCAGGGGATTGTTCTGCGGCTGTCGATGTGGCTTCTTGCATATATTGATTCACCTCCAACAGGTCAAATGTTGCGCCATCAAGAGACTGTTCGGCGAGACTTTGCGTTGTATAAAGCGCCGAGTATTGCGGCAAATCCATGAGAGAAAGTGGTATGAGTTTCAGACCTTTGTAACGCGATAAACATGCTGATGCGAGGGCGTTTCCATCGGGTCTGCGATTTGGTTCATCATTCCAGCATGATTTGATGAATTCCCAGTCGGAAAGTACGAGGTGAAGTCTGTTTGACGCGCTCTCAGACGGCCACATAGGTCGTGCCCCCATCAACTTTTTCGCAATAACTTGGAAGTCTAGTTGAATGTCATGGAACGGGTGACGGCGAGTATATATCTGTAATGGACAACTGTTACTACGGCAAAGTTAACGACGACACATTGGGCTCATACCTCGATAAACAGGCAACCAAACGCGTATATGTCACTTTGGAAGGATGGTTTCGCATTCTCAAGCTTGAGGATTTCGGGTGCTACCCATCTCACCGATCCTCCGACTCGACTGTCCATGCTGGCAGAAGTGGACCCCGCAAATTGTGCCAATCCGAAGTCAGTTAGGCGAATTCGTGTGTCGTTTCCTACGAGGATATTTGCCTATACACGAGCGTGTCCGCGATCGCAAGTGTGAGACTACGTCATGATCATGCATATATTTCAAATCACATACACCGCGCAAGTCCCCATGTACAATACCTTCGCTATGGAGGTATTGCATACCCTCCGCAATCTCCGTCAGCTGAGTTCGAGGCGAGGCTTAGCCTGTGAACGTGTGTTGAACTGTGGAAAAACCAACCCATCGTTCCAATGGCAAAGGCTGCGCACGGGAGCTTCTCAGCTCATCTTGGATGTGCTGTATTAGACTCCCTAGATGCATCCATGGAGAGACAAGACAGTAATATGGCTTGAATGTTTCTCGATCCATGCCCAAGAGTGGAAGGATGAAAGGATGCCTCAATTGCTGCCAAACCAACGCTTCGCGACATATGTCCTGTACTCAATTGTACGAGTCAGCGAGCGGAAACTAGTACCAATGCCAAGAGAGCAGGGTGCGTACCCGGTGAAGATCTTCCTGACTGGTGGAACTGCTGAAAATCCGTAGTCTCTTCAACGCAACAGGTATTCCTTGAAAGGTCATGTGAAATATATCTGCATATCCACCTCCGGCCGTTGGAAATAAGAACAAGCCCTCTGAACGTTCCACACCTTTGGCGAAAATTGAGTCCGGTATTCGACCGGACACTTTTGAGAGCTGCACGAGAAGACGGCGCAATTGAAAGCGATAATCATGCCCTAAGCGTAATTGGGAACTTTCGGGACCCAGGCCTTCGAGAATCTGGGGGCCGCTTCAGTCGGTCTCATATGCTACGAGCCTAAGGTTCCTTCCTCCAAGTTGTGCTCACCCTCAGGATCTCCTCCATGCAAGATATTGCCAGCTCATCTCGCAAAGACAGAACCTTTTCTTTCGCAGAATCGGATGTCAATGACGCAAAAACCAGCTCATGCGTATCTGTGGTGCTTCTAAAGGCAGGATCGATCTTCGTTCGCCAAACATTGATGAAATCATGTAGCTCCGACCGAGAGGATTTTGGCATGAATTTGCTGGTCAAGAATCTGAGAACTACTCCTCCCCGGGGCTTTGAGATGGGAGAGGTTGCGTTCAAGAGAGAGAGGTCCACTGTTCACTTTGTGTGAGTTGTTCAGGAACATCTATCAAATTTTGATTCGAACGGTCATATGGTCAGACTAAGCGCTGCCAGGAATAGACAGCAGGCTGTCAGCAGCTGAGAGCAGCATGTCATTGGAGTGCAACGTAGTCCAACGAAATTTGAGGATATCTGTAAACAGTGACTGAAACAGCGAAAGGAAACCTATTCTAGAGTCCAAAATTTCAAAAGTTCGAAAGTTCAGAAGTCTCCAAAAAGTCCAAAGAGATAATCAGGAAACGACAGCAATTTAGTAATCATGTGTGCCCGCCTACCAGTAGAAGCGAGGTTTTGTAATGGAGCAGAAGAATGTAAAGCAAAAAAGTAGCACCTAGAGTCGCAAAGTTCCTGAGCTATTGTATATATCACGCAACGATGACGAAACTCTCTGATGGAGAGCACCTGGAGGGACCAGATAAAGCTCCCGAGACAAAGGAGAACGGACTTGAGCTCATCGCACCAATGAAATGCGGGGATGCATTCGCTAGAATTGATGATTCTAGAGGTCTAGCCGCTCCAGGAGAAGACTTGAGCGAGTCGCCGATGGAGACGTTGTCACATACGTCATGGGCAAGACTTCGTCTTCCAAAAGGTTCACTACGCCGCCGAGAGATGCCATGACCATGAGAAATGGGTTCCGTCGAATCTGTTGTGTCATAGAGTCGAGCTAGACATAATGCTGCAAGCCCGGCGGCTGCAGGTCGCTTCGAAGGGTCATCCGCCCAGCAGGACTTCACAAACTCCCAGTTATTGGGGTTGAGTGTTATTCTGGGATGGCCGGCCTTTGATGGCCATGCAGGTTGACCATCGACAAGCTTTCTAGCGACAACTTGAAAGTCGTGTGGAATATCAAAAAAGGGTCGCCGACGTGTGTACATCTAGGAACGTGTGAGCCTAGGTCACAAGAGTGGTGAAATGATCGTACTTCAACCCAAAAACATCCGTACGCGTAGATATCATTTTCATAGGACAGTCTTGCTCCTTGGAGCACTTCGGGAGCCACCCATCTCACTGCACCTGCGGAGCAGGAACCCAGGCTCGCAGAGCTTGAATCCGCAAAGTGTGACATACCGAAATCAGCGAGGCGGATATGTTTATCAGAACCTATTAAGATGTTTGCCTTCATGCCAAACGATTAAATGTCAGAGCTTAGTAATGAGAAGACCACTCTTACCCCACGTATGTCGCCATGTACAACATGTTCGCCATGTAAGTAACGTAAACCCCTCGCTGTTTCTATAAGCTGAAAGACATCAGACAATTTAGGCTCTAACTCTGTGAGAAATTGCGGGTACGTACCCATCGTTCCAAGGGCAACGGATCCTTACTATCGTTTTGCAACTCTTCATCAATGAATTGGTTAATGTTCCCAAGAGGCATCCATGGAGTAACGATACAATAATATGGCTTGAAAATATCGCGTTCCAGGCCAAGGAAGGGGAGGATGAAAGGGTGTTTGAGCTGTTGCCAAACCAATGCTTCACGACATAAATCCTGTGCACCTATTCATTAGCGATCAGGAAGTCATACAAAGCGGCCCAACCTAGCAGTTCTCTGAACGTACCGAATACGTATCTTCCAAGGCTCTTGAATGTTGAAATATACGCAATCTCTTTAGAGCTACAGGGTTGCTTCCCACTGTTGCACGGAAGATGTCGGAGTATCCACCGCCGGCGGCAGCATATTTCTCTGCGGACTCTATGCCATAGAGGAACAGGGATTCCGGCATTTTGGAAGATTGTTTGGACAAACGCAGAAGAAGGCGACGCAACTCAAATCTCGATTCGTGTAGTAGTTTCGGCGAAGAAATTGGCTGCGATTCACCCTCCAAAATCTAGTCAAGATAGAGTCAGTCCAAAGTGTCAATATCAACGTATGAAATAACGTACTTTTAGAATCTCTTCCATACAACAAAGAGCTTCTTGGTCACGAAATGATAAAATCTTCTCTTTCGCCTCCTGTGATGTCAAGGATTGGATAACTAATGAATGTAGTTCATCTGGAGATTTGAAGGCATTCCGCCGAGTCTGTAGTCGTGCAACGTATCCTCGGCACCGCTCGACTAAGTCTGATGTAGAGACGTTACGACCCCTAGGCATGACTGGAAGAAACTGTTCCTGTCAGCCGTTGTCTGAGTGTAGATGAAGGAGAACCGAGCAGGATAGACACCTGAAGCTGTCCTAGGATCGTTTGCATAGCCACTGTCCATCGAAATCGGCTAACCCGGGGAATAGCCGCCCAATACCTGCACTTGAATCTTGAAGCTTGAGCAACGACAAGACTGAGAGAGACCGTTGCACGTCACTTGTGAACTCGAGATTATGATGTATGACTATCATGAAAACTAAGACAAATCACTGCCGTCACGAATTCCGCTCACTCCCTTACTTGCTCTGATCCGAATGGAAAAGGGATTTGAAACGTACATAGCAGTGTTCATGCCGTGCACAATACGTAGTTGTATACACAGCAGATTCTGTACCATAGGCATAGGTTGCAATTGTCGAAACCAATAGGAACAGAGGAGCAAGAGTCCTCCGTCGTAAAAACAGCTGCGACCGGAGACCGAGTATCTCAATCAACTCCGTATTCATGAACACGGTCGATGAAATACGACCGACCTTCCCTTTACGATATGAGTGATCGTTGAGGAGCGTCCTCGTCGATTACTCAGGATAATTGTGAGACGAGAGCTAGTAAGGAATGGCGTGCCTAGAGCTCAGAATTATACGACCGGTGGTATGCAAGTATCAAGGACCAGTGTCAGCACAAGTTAGCTTAAGACAGATTTGTATATCTTGATGAGGCGAAAGCACAAACACCATGTGGTTTGCAAATAACGCATCGAAGGACTTTCGAAACAGCGTCGGGTTCGGGAAATGAGGGGAAAGGCAGTATTGGAGCCACCGTCAACCATCTAAGCGTCGCCTCGATATGCCGAATATTCGTCACGCTGCTCGCTAAAGGGGAGAAGAAAACACCGGCAGCATGAAATAGCAGTGAACAACTGTGACACGTATTGCGCACCCGCAAGGAGGAAAGAAGCGTGGGCTTTTCCAAAAGGATATGCATACATTTGAAAGCACACAAGCCTAAACGGATGCTCAACTTCCAAGCACGAAAAATATCTCCGGGGTCCCTCTGTGGACCACGACCAAATGCAGAGGATAGCTTCCAGTTGGTTCTAGCGAACAATGATCAAACTTTCCTCAAGAGTTCGAAAGATCAAGCCTCTTAACACTCACCTGGACCATGATTCAGAGAATTTCAGACCCAACAAGGGTAATGAGAGCCAGTGATGCGATCGCGAAGGCCCTGAAGATGGTCCGCGGCATGTCGATGGCATGAGAAATCGAACCGATCCTAGGCGCGCATCGCGGGATGGAAGATGAGCTGTGTTATGTTCCCGAGCGACGGAGTGCAGTGCTCTTTTTTGTTTTTCACCCTGTCTACCTCTAGGCTGCGGGTATTTGCAGACTCAGCTGACAATTTGCCACAGGGAATGAAGTAGAATAAATTCACAAATCTACTATGGAAACTGTATAAATATGGCCTGATGTCAGCATGCCACGAATCAATCAGGCTGTTGACTAGCACTCGAACCAACTCGATCCTCGGTATCAGGATGTCTACTCGGATCCCAATCCTCGTACTTGGTGCCACAGGCAAGATTTCTGTTGTGTGCAGCACCCACGACTATCATTGATAGCCTCTTCCAGGGTATATTGGCGGCTCTGTGCTTGCCCGTCTTCTTGCTCACTCCGACCGGGATGAATTTGATATCACCGCGCTAGTACGCTCGCCTCGAAACGCGGCACGTCTGGATTCATTCGGTATAACCACGGTAATTGGGACGTTGGAGGAAGCCGGCAAGCTTGAGGTGCTCGCTTCCCAGGCTCATGTTGTTTTCTCAATGGTGTGCTTTCCACATGAGCATCAAAGAACGCTCGACTGATTGCGGATTGGTAGGCTGATGCAAAGAACCTTCGTGCTATCCAAGCTATATTACGAGGCTTGAGGAAGAGACGTGAAGATACTGGCGATCTGCCTCTTTTGATACACAACGTAAGTAGGACTCTCTTCTTCACTTGCAGGACCTATAGTGCATGGTGGCGCCACATTGCGCAGAGGCCGATCCTCGTCATGGATGCTTCAGGGTGTCATGTTCAACGTACATCCATACCTGGGAAAACATTTCCTGTGGCTCGGCTTCGTAAGGGGCACAACGAACATTCTGAACTCATCATGTTTTTTTCGTGCAGTCAGGTACCGCTTGTTTGAATGACGATGCTAGAGGCATGTATAGCTCAGATGTCATTTATGATGACATGAAGCCTGAGCAAATCGAGGCTTTGCCCTCGAGCCAGCCTCATCGTCAAGTTGACATGGCTATCGTAGAGGCCGACCAGCGAGGTAAGCTCGCTCATCTATAATCCTTGTAGTTACTCAAAGCCCCAATTTGTAGGTTACCTGCGTTCCTACATCATTCTTCCCAGCTCTGTTTATGGTATTGTTTCTGGACCTCTCGTCAACGCTCGTGTCCAGAATCCGTACGCCCGCCTCATGCCCCACTTCATCCGCTGTGCTCTCGATCGTGGCCAAGTCGGTATGGTCGGTAACGGGGTATCTACCTGGAACAATGTTGAGATTGGCGAGCGTGGGTTTCTTCACTTGGTTCCCGCTATCCGCACAGACTGACCGACTTCGTCACAGTTACTGATCTCTACATGATACTCCTTGAGACCCTTCTGGCCGAGCCCGAGAAGGCCGGGCATGGAAGCGAAGGCTATTACTTTGCGGAGAACGGAGAACATACGTGGTGCGAGTTATCTAGAGCAATAGGTGTTGCACTGAGGCAACTCGGTATCTCCAAGAACATTGAGCCCACTTCTTTGAACGAAGAAGAGGTTGCCAAGTATGGCGGTACTTTGGTAAGTCTTTTTCATCTATATCGTCCACCGACCTCGTTTCACACGAGTTTATGAATCACAGGAGGGAGGGTATGCTTTGGGTACAAACGCGAGATGTCGTGCCAATCGCGCTAGGGCTCTAGGGTGGAGGCCTACTAAGACGACCAACGACATGTTGGATAGCTTGAAGGCTCAGTCTCAGGCTCTCATCATGGAGCAGCAGGCCAAACAACAGATGATGATGTAGTCCACTAGATGTTCTGGATCAGGGCTCCGTAGACCCGTTCTTCATTATCGCTAAGGGTTTCTGTGTACTATATGTTCTGCTTCTTGTTCTGATATATAAGCACCCTAGCCAAGCATATTCTGACCTCATTCAACATCCATTGCCCCCACGTTTACGCTTACGCTCCAATATTCCCCTCAGCGTGGGCCGGAAGCCTGGTAATTTGGTCCTTTCAAACCATACGCAGAACACGCCCGGTTATCCATTCCTCAAGAGGGGCCGGACCGCTATGCTCAGCCGCAGCAATGCCGCGCCCAGGGTATTGAGTGGTATCGGCGTTTGTTTCGTTCGTTTATACGCTGTTGATCAGACTAGTCTAATCTATATGGAAGAAGAGAGGTGCGTTAGGTCCAGAATTCAAACAGCGATCTTAACGTTTCACTCCGAAACGGCTGCCAGATGTCTCGGGCCCTGGTAAGAATCATTTCGACACATGCATCTGTGGATCGAATGGGTAGCCGAGTTTCTCCTACTTCGCTGAAAGGTCGGTGTTTCAGTGGGTGCCCTGGAGAAAATGGGGCGCTGTGCTTGAAATTTCTCGACATCATTCGGTTTGGCCCCGTTTTGATTCTCAAAGCTCGTGCCTCGATGTTGTCAAACTACGACCATGTCAGTCTGTAGATTTTGTGGTGAGAAACCGTTCGGAGAAGATCATGTCTAAATATATCGTTCACGGGAACATTTCTCACGCAATGGCCGCATTGTGGTCGATGCAACTTGGCGACATATACATGAAGATGAACCTTCATAGCGACCCTAGGAGCATGAGTCTCAAATAACATGACATATTTTGTGGCGATTATGATGCATGTTACATTATTGATACAGCAAATAGTCAAAGTCCGTAGCGTTACAACATTCCCGCCCATAGTACATCAAAGGCATTGGTTCAATAGTTGGTACCAGTACCAGTAGCGCCAGTCGTTCCGCCATAGGCGTTGCCGCCGACGTTCGCGCCATGCTAGACAAGATAATTAGGAAAATACAGTTGATATTTACTTGGAGATCATACTTTGCGTTCCTCTCCCTGAATGACAAGACCAGGATCACGAGTTACCTTTCCCGCCAATTTCTCCGCTTCGCCTATCCCGAAGTTATTGAGTGTATCGACTGAAGAGACTAGGTTACTCACCTGCAAGTTTCTGACCAATTGGAACTTTGCCAGTACTTACGCCTCCTGAAGTCGGGCCAGCAGTTCTGGTGGTGGCTCCCGTAGGTGCATGTGCACCCGTGCCTAGACCAGCACCAATACCAGTACCAGTACCAGCACCCGCGCCTAAACCAGCACCAGCACCCGTGCCTACACCAGTACCTGTACCAGTGGTGCTAGCAGGACCCACGCCCGCTGCGTTCTCGACATGTTGAATACCGCGACTAATAGGTCCTTGACCAGCGGTGGTTCCCGCAGGATTAACTGTTGAGTCTGGACCGAAGTGATGAACTGATGAGTTGGTCCCGTGCCTGGATGATGTGGGGGATGGGGAGACGTACCCGTGCCGGCTGTAGTGCCTGTACCAACTGGAAGGATAGTTGCATGTCAGGTTGAGAGACTTTGAACGAATACTGGAGACTCACCTGTATTAGCGGCGTTGCTTGTTGGGTATGTCATTATGGGAGTTCAATGATATCACTAGTATGCGAATAAGTGAAATGAAGGGTTAGTGTGAGCTTTGGGTTCGAGTTGTGAAATTCAGGATACAGCAAGAGCACTTATATACCCATTGACTTGCAATAACTTATCAGTGCGTCATGACAGCTATGATGGAGTAATCTACGGGCAACTGACAAGGAGCTCCAGTCAAAACTTTCATACGACGTTAAAATCGTCACAATGCCTATAGGAAACGCGCAGCTGTGTAATAACTTTTCGATGACATACATACCAGTCTATTTATAGAAATATGGACTGCTGTTTGCCGTTTGCGGTCCAGGAACAAGACTTGGCGCTCCCCAAGGTGGATTAGGGGGAGCAGCATGTTCCTAAGGAGCCGGGTCAGATTTAAGCCTTCCAATTGTCACTGTGGAGAAGTAGCAAATTCACACGCGATAGGTGCGTGCGATGACAGACATCAAGTAGAACAGCAAGGTTATTAACTGGCTTTCCTCGGTAAGGCTTCCCATCCTTTTCGCAGGCCTTTTGACTCTATAAGGTTTGCAGGCATGCAGTACACTGGGTCAATATCAACTAAGCCCGGATATCCGAGAAGCGACAGTCCTGCAACAAGAAGTCAAGAAGTAGATTGAAGCAAGGAGCGAAAGCAATCCTTACCGGCTACACCAAAGATAGTATGGAAAACATCAGGCAGGTCACCAGGTCTATCGGCAATGCCACCGTTCTCCGTGTCCTAAATCGAGGTCAATACATTATCAAAGAGCATCCAATTAAGTGAGAGTAATACCTGAGCGGAGAGAATGAATGAAGTGAGCTTATCCGCATCAATCCATGATACCTTCCGAAGGACCGATAGTGACGACAGAACCCAGAAACTGTAGCAGACCTACTTGCATTCCCTCGTCAGCAGGACAGCAGGGAACACAGGGATATTATGCGCACATCTTCTAGTTTCTGAGGTCGGCCATTTAAACCTCCGTTTGGAAGTTGTCTCTCGGCAAGCCACCACGCTAGTGTGTCTTGATCTATCACATCGAGTCGATCAAGGATCGCAAGTGCAGCTGTACAGACCCAGACTGAAACAACATTGAGATTAGAGCGAACACACGTGGTCATTGAAAGACTATACCTTGTGCAGCATGACTCTCCGCACCAATTACTGCCCCAAACCCTCCGTCGAAATTCTTACACTGTTTGATATACGAAACAGTCTTCTCGACGTCGAGTTGGTGGAGTTGATCTAGCAACGAGAGAGCATTTACAGCAGAGTAAAGGAATCGTGTATCGATCTCGCCAAACTGGTCACCAGCGAAGACGCCCGATGGTTGTTGTAAGGACAAAATGACTGCGGCGTTCTTCAGTCAATCGGTATGTGCGGATAGAGGGCGTTACGCACATTTGGTCACCCGAGGTACGTCAATGCGATCCAGTGCATCGTGAATAACCAAAATTTGGATCGCACTCAGTGTTGGTAACAGATGAGGATCATGGTCAGGATGTGGGCCGAATGCACCTAGGGTCGGTCAGCCTGTGCCTTCCTGTAATGCAACTGTAAACAGACCTGCCTCGTCGACCCAGCAGCTCATAACGTACTCAATGGTCTCGTCCTTGCTCAATGCATCTTTGTGATCCATAATACACAAGGCTGTCAGTCCCCAATATACTGCATTCATTCGCAAATGCGCAGTCAAATGATAGGTGAGATCATCCTTGTTCTGAAAGAAATATGTCAGAAGAGAAATTTAATTATAGTGCGTGTACTCAATAATTACCTCGCCCAGAGATTGAATGTAGCGAACATGGAGAGGTATCAGCAATTGAGACGAGGAGGTCATTGTCGTAAGTGGGTGAGCAGGTATATCCCAATCGGGAGATATCACAGACGGCCCTGCCAAACAGACTCAAACACGGTCATCAACACCCTTCGATTCTTCTCACAGTCCCAAAAGCGTGGCAGTGAGATAAATGCGATTGGACCCGATAATACGATAACCTGTTTACTCTTCATTAAAACCTGTATTTACAGGAATGATAGCGAAGTTCTAGTCTTTCGCCGCGATGTTCACCCAGCCGTTGTTGCCTTTTTGAGACAGATGGAACTTCTCTCGGAAGCGAAACGCTGTCGAGCGGTGTTGTTGTTCTGGGTGAGACCTTCTATAGCATGGAAGAACTCATTCAAAAACGTCTGAGGATGAGATCAAACGTTAACCTCTCCTTGTCTTCCTTCATCTTCCACCTCCTTTGCCCCTTTATCTCCGCCCCGCTACTTGGCAAATGAAATGTACTAGCAGAACACATAAAACCCCTGAGGCCATTGAAAAGGACTGCTGCTCATCACAACTGATGTCGCACACGCCTTATCTGGCCTTATGAACAACGAGCACTCCAAGGGGAACTTAGGTGCATTGACAGGTCCGTCATACAGCGATGAAAGCTGCTTCTCGATACTTCGGGGTCTTTTGGACATGACCGGAATAGCCCAACTTTACAGGTAATATGTCCCATGATCATCGCGTCTGGAGGTTTGTTCAATATAGCCCAAGTCTGCATCATGAAGTCGTGTCTACATCGAATCAGGCAGCTGAACCCACAGCGGAATACAGAGCACAAATTTTCCACGAAAGAAGATCGCCGGACTGGCATGACAACGACGAGATTTGGATGGCCTCATTGCAAATACTCTTTCACTTATACCACCACCTGAACGATACCACGTCAGAACACATTCTTTAAAACTTGCGAAGACCGACCTTGCTGGTTCAGGTCACCCTCCGCTCCTTTCCCACTGTCATTTCGAGACGAAACTTCTTCGCTCTTAAGCAGCTCTTCGCCTCTTCTAGTTCAGAAACAAACAGGACCAAACCGATACTTCGGCTATTTTACTTGTTCCAAATTGGGGGTACGTTGATCTTTTTGAGCGCTGAATATTTCGACCGCGTCTCTACGAGGACTTGCCAACACGAGGCTTTCACCCTCCTCTATCAGACACGCGGCTCTCGCGTTCATCCAGTGATCCAGCACTGTAGAGCCTGTTCTCTGCTCGAAGTGCCTGATCCTCGCTGCTCATCTGAGGGAAACTACCTCTTCGTCATCTAATCTCGCCTTGCTTTCTAACTCTCTACTCTCGCCTTTAATCTACTTTTCTCGCTTGGCTTTGTATGTCCGGGCTTACTTACGAACATGTCACGACAACAGTACGATCACAATAGTTCTGCGGAGCCTACACCAAAATCCTCTACCTCACGACGCAGCTGGGAGGCTCAGCGACTCAGTCAAGCACTATACGGAAGCGAACAAGCATCTTCAAGTCCTCGATCTCCGCCGGCTGTACCTTCGTCAAGTTCGGAAGGTTACCCGAGTTGGCTTCCAAGACGTCCTCCCCCACCTGCACCCCGTTCCACTGTGCATTCTGCTTCAGTGGCCGGTATGTTCTCAGAGTCAGGACCAAGCGCCGGTGTTCCCGACCCCTTCGTTGGCGGGCGCAAGCCTACCCCACGCTCAGTGCGCATTGTCAGCTTGCACAACTCGATGCAAGGTGACAAGGATCCATACACACGTCGCGAGCCTACCGATCAGTCTCGCATCTCTGCTGCTGCTCACGCTAGGGTGTGGTCCCGTGCTACAAGTGCAGGACTGACACCTACGGTCTTCTCTACGACCCCACTCCAAACGAACGTTCCGAAGGCACGATTTAGGTCTACGTCATTTCATCCAGAACTTTTGCGACACCCATCGTGGAAGATGCGTCTCTGCTTCTACTCGTTTCCTATCTTCGTGCTTGCGCACTTACCTTTACAAACTTTCTTCGACTTCAACGCTGTATTTATATTATTGCTGTGAGTCTGTTTCAAACATGCCCGTGTTTCAGCCCAGTTTGACATCTCGATTCACAGGGTTGCCAAGTTCCCCAATCCTGCCGCCCCTGGCGTGCCTGGCACTGGACGGAATTGGGCTTTGGGCGCTGCTGCTTACATTGCTTGCTGGTTCACCCAAATCTTTGTTGTCTTCCTGTTGTACGAACTTGTTTACTCCTTCATCCGTCGTTGGAGAGTTAGTAAGTACTGTCATTCATATTTCTCTAATCTAGATACTTATCTTTATTAATCAGAGCGTCCTCTCATCTTACCTCTGTATCTCTCGTCTCCTGGTTTTAACTTCGTCTCCATGACCTCCTACACCAACTTCTGCTTCATGTATTTCATTCGTTCATCTGCTTTTGCGCCCTTCGCATCGACTTCATCATCTGTCTCTCAGCATGAGGAACCTCCTCATAGCGGCAGCCTCCGTGATGGTCTTGCCGAGACTTTTTACTTCTATTCTCAGAATCTCCCAACAGTCGCTCTACTGGCGCCGCGTGCAACACTATCTCTCGCACTCCTGCTCGCCTTCTCCTCCCCATTGCCTTTCCCTCAAGGAGATACAGGTATCTTCAGTAAACGAGACGGCACGTTCTTCCGAGCGGAGGACGGAACGTTAACTAGTTATGCTAGAGGAGTACTCATCGCTAACGCTGCTTGGACAGCCTGGCGAATCCTCGTACTACTGGTTAGCTGGTGAGTCTCATAGCCTGGATCAATTACTTCCCTTCCTTCAACGTACCCTACAGGATTGGCCTATGGGTCCTGAGCGGACAAGGCTGCGCCGGTCTCTGTGGGCCTCGATATAGATGGGAAGAAGAAGATATGGCAGACCATACCGCTGGTCCTTACTCCTTTGCGGATAACGCCTCAGGTCACTTGGATGCGCCTCTTCCTTGGACTTGGAGAGAAATTACTGTGGTGCGAGTGTACGAGGCTTGGGACTTTTGTCTGACGAATAAGATGCCTTTGCGGTCTGGTCGTGAGCTGAGCGAAAAGACAGATGATGGAGAGCGAGGTATGGCGTTTGAGGGCATGGATAAGGTATTCGCTGCTGTCGGTTTGGGCGGATCTCCTCATCCTGCTCGGAGAGGTGTTCTATCTGGAGAGTTATTCGAAACCCCACAACATGATGAGAAGGAGGAAGCCGATATCGTACCTACGGAGAAAACGCAAGCCAGTGTCACACCTCCCCCTGCTGCACAAACAAGGGAGAAGAGAACGGGGTCAGCTGGCACATCTGGACCTCTGATGAAATTACCCTATCCATTCACCGGACATGGTGCTCAAGTATCATCAGAAGATGTTGTTCCCTTCCCTCCATCTCCCGTTCCAGCAGACGAGCATTCAGGAGAGACGGCGGATGAAGAGGTAGAAGAGGGAGAGGCGGAAGTGGAAGGCACCGAGTCTGGTGATGATGTTCCGTCCTCTGGGCGTCGAACTTCGGAGTCAATGTCGAGTCTTGGTCGCCCGATAACCTCTCGGTATCCCTTCCAACATCGCCGTCCCGGACGAGGTGGCAGTATGTCCTCTGCCTCGCAGTTGGCACCTCCGACCAATGTATCCACTCCGATATCTCATCACACTCACTCCTCCAACCCCTCGAGTTCTACTCAGTCTGATTCAACGCGAAACTCGAGATTCACTCAGTCCACTGGGAATCGGGAGTCGTCGGACTCTCCGATGTCAGCGGGGAGCTTGAGTCCAATTCCTATGCCCCCGGGGCACCCACGGGCACGTAGAACGAGAGCGGGAACAGTGCCTGCGTTTGGTTCGCCGCAAACGTCACCATCTCCCGTGGCATTCCCACTCGGCAGACCTCGTGCGCGTACTCGTACTGAGAGTTTGGCGACTGAAGCATCTTCCACATTCGGCGCAGGACCTATTCCTCTGCCTGCATTTGACTATTCGGACGAAGAGGACGACGGTCACTACCATCGGAACGATGAGTCTCTGATGGATGTACCTGAAGCTGAAGGAAGTGTAGAGGAAGCGGAACAGCACGATAGCGTTGGCTTACTCTCCGTTGGACCAAGTCCTCGGACGTCCTTGGTGAATCTCCATCAGTTTGGAAGCAGAATGTCTCTTCATCGACGAGCGACTGGATCTCGGTCACGTTCCACTCACTCTCGTTCGATGTCACGATCGAGAACAAATTCGGCAACTTCACGTTCGGACTCTGCTCGTTCCAGAGCACAAAGTCTCATTCAGTCTCTGAATGCCGCTTCAAGGAGTTCTTTAGACGTAGTGAGGTCTCGAGCTAGCTCGATGGCGCGGTTGAGCGACTCACCGTATTACTCGACTTCTCCCGATCCCATGCCCAGCAGTCCAGAGAACTACACGTTCGGTCACCCCATGCGAGAGCAGTGGCGTGCAGCCGAATCTTCTCGTCCGGAGAGCAGGCGAGACGACATATCTGAGGCGATGGCGATCCCTCTACCTCCCTCGGAGTCTAGTTCTTCATCGGACTCGAGTTCAGATGGCGGTTCTGATGTGCAGGATACTCTGCATCAGGGATATCAACCTGCATTGCGACCAGCACCATCTGATCTTTCGGGACACGCACCTTCTGAGCAGCAGCCAGAACGCAGCGGTGACACCCAACGCCTTCGGGTTCCTATCCCCATACCTGGGCCCCCACGTCAAGGTCGACCGTACTCCGATAGCCAACCTGATATAAGTACGGCCAATCCATCGTTCGTCACTGCTCCTGCAACGATCGAAGGACGCACGGATACATCTGGTCGCACACCGTCAAGCTGGGGTGGGATAGAGCATTATGCCCCAGGCGGAACGTTGCCTCCTGCGTGATATCGTTTGTGCCTCGAGGAACTCACATGGTGTTGTACTAACTACCCTCTGCCCTTGGCATGGACCTCATTTATCGTATTACATTCATCTGTATATTATTCGTTCATTATGGTGTTTGGTGTGCGTATAATCACTGAACTATCTCTTGCTACTTTCGGATCCATGCTTTGCATCTTCACCTTAAATTACATATCCCTGTTTACCCTTCAGCCGCCTTTCCCCTTGCGAAACCTTAATTCACGCTCATGATCGTAGTAGGTAGTACTCGAGCATAACTCTTTGATGTGTGCCAAAATATACCTTCTACTTCCGTCCAACCAAGCGAGCTGTGAATCGCATTCCTTATAATCGTAAAGCAATTGTGTTCAAGTAATTTGTGAGGCTACAATTGAGTATCTGCACTTAATGACTCTCGGAGTAGGCACAACAATAAAGGTCAAATGGTGTAAACAAGGACTATATATTGCTATCGGATTTCGAGTCACAGTACATACGAAACCAGTCCAACGTTCATAATCGATAATCTTCACTTCCTACAGCGTCCATAGTACGCGAGATTTACTGATACGCAACGAACACGAACACTCGAACAACGTCTGGTGAGAGAAACTTTACAGTACGAAGGTCAAGAAATATGGAACCCATTGTCCAAGATCATGAGACCATACCTCGCCCTGAAGAAAAATCGTGTCAGCGCCATGTCATATAAAGCAGTTATGGGAGCCATACCTTCGCCCTTCGACGAAATCAGGCTGAAGCCGACCCTCAGTCACTGTCATTGTCGGTATCATCCCCGTTGCGGTGAGGCCGCTTGCGCCAATCGGGCTTCTTCTTGGGAGATGGCTTGCGATGAGGCGACTTTGGACGTTTATGCGGGGGAGCAGGCTTCTTGGGAGGTGGCTTTTTCGGAGCGGGCTCCTTGGGCTCTGGCTTCTTTGGAGGCGGTTTTTTGGGCTCTGGCTTCTTGGGGGGTGGTTTCTTGGGCTCTGGCTCTTTGGGTTCTGGCTTCTTGGGCTCTGGCTTCTTGGGCTCTGGCTTCTTGGGCTCTGGCTTCTTGGGGGGTGGCTTTTTGGGAGATGGCTTATGAGAAGGCGGCTTATGAGGGGAAGGACGATGATAGATGGGACGGTCTGGTGCCGCGTAAGGGTGCGCTGCCGCATTAGCCTCAGCCTCGGGAGCAGGGATGGCTCCAGCGATGGCCGCCCAAACCATGACGGTGAGGACTGCGAATTTCAACTGCATTGTGAGGAAGACGAAGGCGAGAGTGTGTTAAGAGGTGTGTGTCTGGTAAAGCTCGCAGCGACGGCGAATGATCACTTTGTTGAGGGGAATAGGGCGATTTAAGGGAGCCTTTTATACGAAAGGACATTGACTATGATCTCATTCATGATCGACACCAAGATCATCGGACAAGAATAACGCAAGGATAGCGATGAACACCATTCCAGTCAAGCCTTCAGCCATACCTCTATGCCAAGTGCTTCGAAAGGGGGTTCACCGTCGTCGCATGTGGATACGTACGGTTCGGCGTGTCACGCATTGACATCCAAGCTTGCATGTGCGTTCGAATTTTCAATCCTCGACTGATTCCGCCGTTTAGCGTCTCCACATCTGACATAGAGGGTGAGCTTCAGACCGGGTAACATTCACCGAGACAAGCCCTCAAGAATAGACTGGTGCCCAGGGTCGCTTCTGTCATTTAGCCACAGAAAGAGGATTCGCTGACTTTAGGAGAAGTTCCACAGTATTCATCTATAATCCGTTGATCTGTGAATGTCACAAGGACGCTTCGGAACCAAACCGCTGACCTTGCTGCTCGAAGGACAACAGCACACAGTGAGGTATAGGAGTACCGACGAACTAGGAGCATGTTTTCAGCGAAGACATTAATTGCCTATATCGGTCGTCTCCACACTCACCCGCATGATAATTACTTGGGGTCTAGGCGCCAGCCACTTACATCGACGGGAGTTGGGGTACGATGCACTGCAGACGCGATCGGTGACGCGATCGAGGGTTCGTTGTCCAGTCTTTCAATTGACGAAATAGGAGATGGTTTTCGGCCTCCACAGCCCGGTAGAGAAACTCCTCGTGGCGGTCACAGGAGACTAGATCATGAGTCAATCCCAAGTTCCTTGAGAGGCCAGAATGCTGGTGGTGATAGCCCAGGTTTTTGCGCAACCCTAGAACACAGGAGATCAGACCGTCTGCGCAACCCCCACTATAGAGCAGATCGATCGAATGTGGCAATATGACCAAAGCAGTCGATGATCCCCCTTCAGTTCCAGGAACCATGGGTTCAGGCCCCGATGATAACCTCCCCCCATCGTTTAATATGGCGTATCCATACAACGACCAACCTGAGTGCAGCGGAGAGAGGGGTGAAGGATAAATGATCGCTGCCGAATGCCATGTTGATCGGCCTGGGCCATTACGTCTGTCGCCGCAGAACGGGGCCTGTCTGAAGAGATCATTCCTTATGCGTGAGTTTTCTGCCTCACTAATGAATGCGATATGGGACCCGGTCGGTTGCCTGTGAACAACTTAGGATTAAAGGGCGAAATAGACCGCGGCCGAGGGGTAAATGACCTAGAAGTGAATCTGCACAAATCCGCCGAATGTAGCATCGGTATGCTTTATGCGGGAATGTCTAGGGCTGCAAGAACCCACGGCAGTGATCACCATACCATACTGTGTTAGCTTGAAGCTATTCGCTTCGACAGTCAGTCCAGGTGTCGAATCGGAATAGCTCCTGAACGTACCAAAACTATTGCGGGTACGCACATGTGCCATCTCCCCAAGTATCACAGTTGGGTATCGGAATGGCCACATAACGCTTTCAACAACCTCAATCAGGATGAGATGGGCATGGGGGGCATAAGGTGACGGGATGTGTCAGATGCTGATGAGTGGTGAAACACTGTCAACCACATGAAGATATCTATGGGAACGAGGCGTCATCATGTCGGGATATGCATTGATTAGAATAAACCTGTGTGTTCGAGCGGCCTTTACGCTACGGTTTGAACGTAAGAGGGTAAGTTGAATATCAATGATCCTTAGAAGGATGAAGCTTCAGGACTAGATCAAATCTTTCAGTGATCATAGGCATGGTATTATAGCATACGTTAACCGGCTTACTGAAGCACATATACTCAAAAATATACCGCGGCCTTAGGTGAGGGTCCTCATAGTGTCAGGCCTGACACGGGTGCGACATGGTGTTGTCATCTGCCAAATCGAAATGTCAAGTTGTATCACTTAGCTCAATTAGCCTCTCCCTTCGGTATGTTCTTAGCATCCGCATACTAGACATATCTCGTCGAGGCAGGTTATGATACACAGAAGCAACTGACTGGGAGGCGGGGAGCACGCCAGCACGAATCAGCCAGCGATACTAATCATGACTTCTTTGTGAAGCAGCGACACATGTTGAAGAGCATCATGCATGTGAACCAACACCCGCAAGCTACTAACCGATGTACAACTTGCAAGTGCAAGCCAAAAGCTCAATCTTGCGTTGGAGAACTCGATAATATTGTGGCGTGGGAGACAGAATCCAAAATACTGTATAGTGGATGGGCGCCAACCGGTCCAAAAGGCTACAACCGCGCTCGAATTCGAAAGTACATATCATCTTGCTATTTTCTTCGTTTTGGAATCTCTATATATGCTGTGATTCTTTCAAAGTGCAAACACCTGATCTCTGTTCTTAAGCTGTCCGTATTCTGCTCGATTAAGCTATGGGGCAGTATTGGGATCTGTAAGTACTGATCGAAGTGACCTGTTAGCGATGCCAGTATCTGACTTGCTTCAGTGTGAATACAGACCGCCATGAAGGGGTACATGGTGGAAAGCTAGGAGAGATAATACGGAACAATGAGTTCTCATGGGTTTGGTCTCTCCTCGTTCGGCCCGTGGGTTACAAGCCGATGGAGGCTCCGAGATATTATGATAGCTGTGGGTAAGCACGAATTGACGTCTTTCTCTCCCGAATCCATAGTAGGATTCATGAAATTTGTTGTGACCGCAGAAACTGTCGAACGCCAAAGCTGATCTCCCAAAGGCACACATTAGGCCTACTGCAGAATGTGCCAGATGAAATATTGCTCACGATCTTCGAGCTGGCAGACACAGCTGATCAGATGGTCTGTCTTGGTCTCACGAACGTCTACTTGTTTTACTTGGCCTATGACTGTGTCCAACACCGTCGCATGATAGAACAAGCTCGGTGGGCCGGGCAAAGACTCACGTGCATAGGCGACTACTCTCACCTTGAGGACACTGCCGCCGGTGTCTTCAGCGAGGAAGAGAAAGGGCATATTATGAAGACATTAGCTGGCCCCCCTGACATGGACGACAGTCTTTATTATTACTTCACGGATGATCTTCGAAGACCGGTTCCACCATGGATTCGTCATTTCGGTGTTAGCTTTGACTACAATTACGAACTCATGAGTCTGCTGACGCAAATTGTGTCAATGCCAAAGTAATCCATGCGTGCTACCGTCAACTGGGCCATCCAAACCTCGTTGACGAATCTGAGGAAGCCTGGGTGTTATGCAATCTTTCCAAGAAAGCGTACGTGGAGGTAGATGCGGTGGAGAAACTTCACGAAGCTCATCCTTACCGACATGACCACTGGGTGAACATATTCAATCTACTACTGTCCAAGATCTGCTGGTCATCGGGCGATTCGGTAAGCGCGACCTGTCGGAAGACAGGGCTTCATCGTAGTGCCTGGGCTGGCGACAGGTTTGAAGTGACTAAACTGGACAGACTGGCGGCTTTAGAGACAGATTCTGCATGGACCAATGTGACGGCTGAAGCAATCGCAGACTTTGAGGATCTGTCGTATGCTAATGCAACTTAGACTGGTGTACACAAACTCGTATTGGCTGTTTTCAGACGAGCTCACACCTGAAGGTGCGTGTCGCTCATTGATGCTTCTTCGATGTGACAACGCTCAACTGAAATGCCATTAGACGTTCCGTCCGACCCATGAGTATTAGCGTTATGCTGCCGCTGTAACTCAATGTACATAGACGTTAACTGATTCGTCATTCTTGAATATGTATATGTCGAAACCCCTTCAGTAATGTAATCCCCTTTGCTTTTCATGATGTCCTCACTACATTTGGGTCTTCAGATGTGTCCTGCCCGTCATCATTGGCTATTTTCATCATCGGCATCTTGTTCGTCAAATTTGCAACCTTCAGTACCGCCTATCGATCCTGAATAGGTAATCCGTACACATGGAATTCATCAGATCTCCCGGTGACTCGCTGGAGTGATGAAGCCGTGGTACTGTGACAAATGCGCAGTGAAGCTTACGTCTGCTCAGAATGCCTCTCTTGTTGAACCCCCTCACCCCTCCCCCAGGACTTTCTCTTGAACTTGTGTCTCAACTACAAACAGCAGGATATATCGCGGTTTCGGTGATAACGGTATGTATCCGGCGCCTTCGTATTGTCATATGAAGTCAGCTGATGAGCGTTCTTGCTTTAGGCATGGCTATGGGACGTTGTACTGTCGTCCTCGGAGGACGCACAGATGTTCATAGAACACAGAGTGGGAATTCCTGAGCTCGTATACATGCTAGCACGGTGAAGTGGCATGTCTTTTAATACTATACTGCCTCTGACCCCGTAGGTATTGTAGTATTGCGTCCGGTGGATATGTCCTGACGGCTATTGGTTTCATTGGTGAGTGTTTGGTGCACAAGTTACATACTTCGGTTTGTACTTAGTCATGATAGTATCATCCAAAAGTGGATGCAATGTTGTTCAAACCGCCATTGGCTGGTTCGGCGCATTTGCCGTCCCACTCAATTCTCTGCTCTTCTTCCTTCGAGTTCGAGCAGTGTTCTTAGGGTCGCGGATCGCTTTGGCTGTTTTCGGATTCCTCTGGTTATCCACACTCACGTCGTTGACAATGCCATTTGGTACTAAACTTGGATCGACCATCGTGTGCGGAATTGGAAACGTTAAGCCATACACTTCGGCAGGGTACATTACTCTCGCGGTCTTTGACACAACTGTATTCGTCGCTATATCGTGGCAAATTCTGAGCATGAATTTGGCCGAAACTTGGAGGCAACGTGTGAGATCGTTTGTTGGGCGGGATAATATGGGTCAGTTGTCGAAAGCACTCCTGCAGACAGGACAGTCATACTACTTGCAAGTATTTTTTTTTCCGGCCAACGTCTGTTCACTGCTCACATTTTCATCAGAGCTACCGTTGGGATGAACATCTTCGTTCTCATCGTCATCCTCACCTCTGCATTTCCACCTTCGATCCGTGCGGCATTGACGATACCAAACATTGCATTGCAAAATGCCATGGCTTGTAGGGTTTTCCGACTTCTCAAGTTGACTTACGTTCCTGGCGATGGTACCACTGTAGCATCATCGCGTTCTCAAACACAAGACCTTCATTTTGCCACGCGGAAGACGCTCCAGAGCCAAACTACCAGCGATAGAACTTTGCACCGTCACGAGGGTGCAGAAGAGATTGAAATGATTCCGATTTCAAACCCTCCTATACAGGACGAAGAGGCGGCATCTTGCTCGCCAGATAGCACCGTTCGTACGGCCATGCCAACATTCGCAAATGTCGAGGACGTGATCTAGGTATGTGATGCTTGGTTCATCCACATAATATAGCTAACCGTCAGTTACGCGGACTTGATAGTAGACATTTGAAAGCTTTGTTGTCGATTGGAGCTGATAAGATTTGCCCGTGATTGCCCCGTTCGCCGTTCTTCGATGCGGCAGGACTACTCGCGATTATACGGCTTAAAAGAGTAGAGCCTTGAAAGACTGTTGAGATCCTATCTGAGCCCGGTATGCCACGAACGAGCTTCTGGAAGCAGGTGGCCGAGATCCTGCATCGGAATGAGGCGTATCATATAAACGTGTACACATACCCTCAAGTCAAGTCATTGTCTCTTTAGGACGTCGAATCATGGAGAATACATTCACACAACCCCACCACCACTTCGTTAGACTGGTGCTCACTCAGATCTAGGAGTTGCATCGGAATCGTAACCTCAGGTGTCAAGGACATCTGCATCAAACACCTTTCACCAAATATACCCTCAATGGTTCCAACATCCGCAACGTTAATTGGAAATGCTACCGAGAGGTAAATCCTACATACCGTCACTATCAGTGCTGTTCTAAAGAGTATTTGTATGTAGGCAGACGATAGCTACAGTTTGCCAGACTTGTACTACTGGTCTGTTTTCGCGAGACTCCTTCTCCAAAGCTTGGTCTTCCAGAAGTCTCTATGATGGGTTTTCCTATCATACGACGTGGGAACAAATATGTGCTTCATCAAGCCAAGGTTGTAGCTGGTGTTCTCTACTTCTAGCTTCCAAAGATGATACGATGGTTCGTGAAGACTTGCCCCAAATTACCGTGGGCATTAGTCCGTCTAGAAACAAAGGGGCCACGCCATATGGGGTGCAAGTACTGAAGTTAATGTTTAACAACATTCCAAACTCGACATTCTATATATACACAATTGCTAGTCAGTCTACCCATTGTCGCGGCCTGTGTTGTAGTTGGATCCTGACTAATTCCTGTCATCAAATAGACAACCCTGCTTCGGACTACATCATCGCTAGAGATATTCTGCTCAAAGTTTCGTCCCCGACAACGTGTAATCTCGCCTTCGAATGCATGAATGAGTGCATACTTCATCACAAACACTGTCCCAAACCCCAACACGGCGACCTCCCCACCCGCGTCATCGATTGTTCTGATCCAAAGGGACCCACCTTGGTGATCACCGGAGGACTGAAAGACCTCTACGTTGCGCTGAGCTATGTGTGGGGAGAATCACAACCAAATTGCACGACCACCCAGAACCTCAGTTCCTATTTGAAGAAAATCAATGCCGATCTGTTACCACAAACAACCAAAGATGCAATCACAACTACATGTGCTTACGGGCTACGCTATCTCTGGGAGATTCTTTCTGTATTCTACAGGACTCGCGCGCAGACAAGGATCGCGAGATCGCGCAGATGCGCAGGATCTTCCGAGATGCATACATCACTATCATAGCTGCGAGTGCATCCAAAGTGAGTGAAGGATTCCTGCATGATCGACCTCCACCAGCAGCAGATGTTTGTCTCCCTTTCCATTGCCCTGACGGTCAGCTAGGGATTATGATGCTTTCACCTGTCTGGCGGCAATACAATGGACTCTCGGAGCCAGTTAATCAACGAGCCTGGTGCCTTGAGGAACGCCTTCTTTCACCCCGTGCTTTGATATATGCTTCGCATACCCTACAATACCACTGTCAATCCGCCACGGTGAACGTCGGCAAATCCGTTTATGGGATGATGATCGGGCAACGACTACCCAATCTTATGTTCCCATTGGGCTCCGATTTATCTCCTGCTATTGGAGCTCAGTCTGATTTGCGATGGGCTTGGAAAGAGGTTGTTGAGGATTATACCCAGCGTGCAGTCACGAAGCCCGCAGATAAGTTGCTGGCATTGGCAGGCATTACGGAGCAGTCTTACCGCATCTGGGGTGGGAAGTATCTGGCGGGTTTATGGGAAGCTACTCTCCTCGAGGATCTGTTGTGGTTCAAGGACTATGAGACCATATTCCCCAGGCCTGCTAAGTACCGCGCACCTTCTTGGTCATGGGCATCCGTTGAGGGTCGCATCATAGCCTATACTACTGGCGACTCCCGCTTGGACTCCAGATTTGTCGACGATATCAGGACTTGCGACGTTGTACAATGCCATGTAGATCTGGCACGAGATGAGCTTCCATTGGGAAGGGTTACGGCAGGAATATTGAGGATACGCTGTGTAATGATGAAGACGGGGTGGTTGCCTGATATTGAGAAGCCAGAACTCTTCCTTAACCGTCCTATATCCGTGGAAGGCCCATTCACGTCTCCGAACCCAGTGACATTTGAGCGTGTCGTGATAGCTGACGCGTATCCAGACAGCGTGGAGGCAAGCACAATCGAAGATGTTTGGGCGGTTCCCCTTCGATGGAGCAGAAAATCTCGCTATGCCGTTGGGCTGCTTTTGACACCCACAGAGAATGGTGTGGTTGATTCATATCGTCGTGTAGGATACTTTGCAACTAATGAGGGTTTTGAGGTTGGGTGGTTCGATGATGATGATTCTCCTTGTCTCAACTTCGAAAGGGAGGTCGTAATTATCTAAAGAGTTCAAAGGGAAATTGGTCTGAGTCTGGCTGTCACTGTTCGTCCTCCCTGCAAACACTACCTATACATTAGTTACAATCTGCGCAGAACAGGTATAGACAGTCCTCATGCTTGCTTCTCGACATAGCCTTCTCAGAGAGACCTAGTGAGTATCTCTTGAACTCGTGCGAAAACGTTGCGACTGCTGAGGCGGACTACAAATCGCAATTTACGCATCTGTATCAGACATAAAGGTCATGCCGTCCAAGAACTAAAGCTTGCAAACGTGAGAGCACTGTCGTAGGAAAGGTTAGTGAAGGAGGATGCTCACATTCGCAGCGAATGTATCCATGCGAGCTTTCGTCTCACTCTAGAAAGAAAATAGATAACCTGGCGTGTGAGGTTCACACATTCCACAGCCTTCCGCCTGTGGTAGCGCATCGGATGAAGGCTCTCTTTCTGCCGTAAAAAAGGTTGCGCGACGTTTCGGGATATGTATGACTACTCTTTGACGTACCACTTCCCGCGTGAGATATGTCTGCTCAGCGAGAGCTGGCGGACAGCGCAATGGCTCCCGGCAGAAGCGGAACAAGATCGGCGAACGTGGCTGCAGCGGGGGAGGTCAAACAGATGTATACTTGTAAGACCGTCAATGATGTGGGCGTATGGAATTTGATCAATATGGAAAGTTTGGACGAAGTCGCGACAGATCAAGCGGACACTACTCAGGAAACTCTTAGTCGTTCTCTGTTTGCAGGATTTGAAGAATCACGGAGATCCATTAACATAACTGCAATAAGATGTCTAGAAGGCGAAGTTACTCAAGAACGCACCGAGAGGAGCGCTGGACAGTCTTCCCGCTGTGTCGGCGATTAGGTACCGTAACGTGCCATGATGGTTTCGTAAAGACCTTGGGAAACACATCATCCTCGAAAATCGGAGAGACGATTCTAGAAGGACGTATCTGAGTAGTGGGGAAGGAGAAGAACGGGGAGAAAACGTGTCGCATTGGGTCGACACTTCGTGCATGATCTTAATACTGTATGTATCATATCAGTGAATGCTGTCATTCTAGACTGAATACACGTATGTTGACACATTGCTTGAGCTACGTGACTAATTCTGCGAATTTTCGAGGGGAACACCAAATGTGCATGATATCATCAGTTGTGTACGGGAACTTCGTAGGCTTAGAAGAAACCACGATTGATGAAGTCGGGCAGCCTGACTGAAGAGGAGACCTGCGATTAAAGAAGCAAAAAAATAATATACAGAGAGCGCAGATACGAATAAGAAATGATCAGAACAAAGACACGACAGGGACTGGAGAATTTCACCCCGAGTCGTAGTGCGACGTGAGTTTTTAGTTTGCTTCGAATTGTGGTTTTATCTGTACAGGACTAAATGAGAATCATGCGGAACGTAAGTGCAGGGTCAAATACCTGCTTTACTGCCCTGGTGAGTCCAGGTATGAGATCGTATCGAGCGAAACTAGTGAGCTTAGGCAATGCTTGTGGACAACAGGTTTTGCACTCTCCAGCGATCTTTATGGCCTTAAAGAACCTCTCCGGTTCCAGAGCTTTGTCGATATCAGGAATTTCCATCAGGGCCGCACGCACGTCGTCGATGTAAGCGAACCACCACTTCTTCACGTACAGGCGCATGGCAGGTAGGCCATATAGGTTGAAGGTCTTCGTCGAACAACAGAAGGATGGTTCGGCACTGAAGAGTGAGTCTGGAGGAGGTGTCATGTCACCATCGTCCTCAGGTCCATTGAAAAGCTCTTCAGACCAGAAGTCCGCCCAGTAGGTGTCGGTCAGGACATTAATCATCGTTTCAGTGCACATCGTGTGATACATCCATAAAGGCTGCATTGTCTGTGCAGGTACAATGGAGAGTCCAGCGTTGTACGACGTGGTCAGTTTACCGAGTGGAAATTTCAGTGTTTGGTGTGCGGCGTGTTCGGCCTCCTCTTTCCAGTTGAATCGACAAGCCTGGACGTAGACTGCCACTGGTTCTTCTCCCACAAACTTCATTATCTCTTGCCTCGCCCACTGTTTTCCTGGCTCCACGAGGAATTTATCCAAGATACGGTACCATTCAGCTGCCTCCTGAACTGACTTCGCAGTTGGTAACGATAAGTTGGGGTGGCAGAATGTCAAGAATACTGTCACTAGGGAGGCCGGCTCATAGAGCGGTACGATGGATACCGCTTGGTCGGTTGCGCATTTGGATGATGCGAACATTCCAGTGAAGACGCTTGAGGCCATGCTCAGCAAAAATCTGTAAGTCCGAAAGTCGACGCCATCGTCCGAATGGAGGACAATGTCAGAGTCGGCGGAATCGAACGGTGCAGGAGCGGGCTTGCTTTGAGCATCTGGATACTCTTCCATGAAAGGTTGCATAGACATATTCCGACTATTTGTCTTGAGGATGAGAGAATGCGTTGTAAGTTACTGTAAGTCTGTACAGTGTAAAGTGTTCATAAAGGAGGCGTCGGAAGCAAGTCCGAAAGCCAGCGTTCCGGGCTGACATGCAGTGCTAAGATCTGCTTGCCGCTTGCGCCAAATATGTTCTCAAGCCATAGAACTTTGATGAAGCTGACCTCACAACCACCTATCCTTCTCATTTCCGGCCTGCAATAACTTATCAGACCACCATGCAGCTGCCCGTAATTTATAGGAAGCATTGTCTGTGGCTTTGGGTCGTGCCTGTTTCCCTCAATAGACCCATCGTCGGTCCGCATACCAGGAACTAACCCAAACTTCAACGTTGAACGTTGGAGCTTGAGTGGAGAGATACCGTGAGTCTATCTCATACAACATTATTGTGGCAAACTTATGAACACAAGTAATCATCAGCTCACATCCTTAAAAAATGGAACCAGGTTCTAAAGACACACAGGCACCCTCACCCTTCGGCGATCCTAGCGCAGACCTCATCCTACGTTCCTCCGATGGTGTTGAGTTCCGCGTACATACGCTTTACCTCAGAAAATCCTCCGATTTCTTCGACGACATGCTGTCATTACCTCAACCACCTTCCCCAAATACACCCGTACCCGTGGTAGACTGCTGCGAGACTTCCACAACTCTACACGCGATCCTCAGCTTCTGCTATCCCTCGATGTGTCCCCCGACCACATTTCCCAACGCACGAGATATCCTGGATATTTGTTTCGCATTGGAGAAGTTCCTAATGCTAAAAAATGCAGAAGACTGGATCAAGCGACTGCTCACAAACGCAGTGACATCGAATCCAGTTGCCGTTTATATCCTCGCACACCGGTTTGGTTGGGAAGAAGAGGTCAAATTGGCCGCCAAACAAACATTGTTTATCAACCTCTATGAGTTGATTGACTTACGAAGTAACCTGCCAGTCGAGGTACTAGACCGGATATCTGCACTGGCAATGCACCGATTGGACGCGTATCACACAGCCTGCTGGAAACTGGTACAAGAACGGCTCAGTGCCCAGTATTGGGTTGACCGGATCCTCTGGGAGCTCGTTATGAATGCAAACCCAGATAGTGATCCCTACAGACACACCTACGTTTTCCAGCGCAACATTGCCACGTGTTGCTCAGAACTTATTGTAGCCGATTGCGAAGGGAACACAGTAAATTACTACGTCAAGAAATGGTGGAAGGCGTACATGGACGATGCGAGAGCAGCGGTGGATGCGCCTGCCTACGAGAAGGTTTTGACGACGGAAACTATGCTAAGGGCCGTTCGTATGGCCGCAGAGTGTCGGACTTGTGCACCGGAGGCAATGAAGGTGTTGCATGTTTTCACGGAACAATGTTTGAAGGTGGAACTGAAGAAGCAACTGGATAAGGTAAGATCAGACTTCTCAAATTCTTTTTCAGCCTTGCCTGAATAAATTTCCAGGTCGCATTAAAGATAGACTGAGCTCATTCTAGCCTTCTTCTCTTTGTTTTCAATATCAGGTCCTCTGGCAGTTCGCTTTCTATCCTATTTTCATACCTGCAATGGATCGACTTGGCTGATCACACTGTGACTGTGCCGCGGAACTGACTTCTAATTGGTTCCCTCGTAAGCTACAAAGTGCATCACACTAAGAATGTCTGGCTATACTGATACAAGAACACACCTCCATGGAAGGCGGGTATAGATTTAAGGACAAACAGGCAGGCGTACAAAGCAATAAAGCATGCTCACAGAAAAAGAAAAAGTGCAACATAGAAGATAGAAAAATCATCAAAAACCAAATCATCATCTACTCGCCTTCTTCGTGTACGGGTACACAGGTGGGTATGATTCTCCTTCCGTACTGTCTAAAGATCCACTTGATGCTGGTGTCATAGAATACCCCTCATGCTGCGATCGGGGTTGTGGTTGCGGGACCTGCCGACTGCTGGCATCGCTACCATAAACGTAGGGAGCTAACCTGATATCCTCATCGTAGCTCGGTCGTGGTCGTTGACGCGTGCTATTGGACTCACTACTAGGTGCCCTTCCACTTCCCTCCACACCGAATGCTTCTCCAAAGTTCATCTTGGTATAAGTCTTGCCCTCGTTGTCAATCTCGGTGAGACGAGGACCATGTGCATGTGGTTTGCCTCTGAAGTAGTCGACGAAGAATTTCAGGGAGCCGTAGATCTCGATTGCGAAGTCGGCTATAATATCGTTAGTAAGTAAACAGAGTTTTCACGAATATGACAGTACTCACTGTAGTTGATACTATGGAGGGAAGAACGAGCGTGAGCAGTCAGGAATGGTTGATAGCGATCAGTACAGACCTGTCCCAGAGGGGCCGCCAGATACTCGTCCTTGCTTCACCCTTGACCCTATAGTCATTCCACGAATACGCCCACATCATAAACAAAGAGAAGAACACCATCTGCAGGAACGTAACCCATAGTTAGCACCAATACTGAGAATTGGGTGAGTAGGTGGTAGGGTTACCTCGATGCAAATGGCAAGAGCATTTAAACCGTCAGAGATGTTGGTCTCAGTCCAGTACGTCGTGGCTGAAGGAATGTTAGTCATGTCGCACGTTTCAGGGAAGGACTTCGTCACAGACCCTTGATGACACGCCCTTCTAATGCGCCAAACTAGACACGAGGAAGTGAGAGGTATGTTGAGAGTAATATGATCATTGTGACTTACGATCAATGACTGGTAGAACGTGAACATGACGATAAGTTTGATGGCTAAGAATTTCGCAAGTGGTCTTCGGCCTTTGAGTTCATCCTTGGTGAGGCCATAGAATATTATAAGACCATACAACGCAATTCTACATCGTCATGTCAATTAGGATAAGGACGGACGAAAACAGATGAAATAAATCATAACGTACGTGATACTGATACCGTCGATTACAGTGATATACGCTTTTGCAGTGTGAAGGCTCCACGCCCCAGATTCGCAAAGTACGCCTTTCCTCTGGCAAATGATGCCTACTATCGAGAGGACTTTGGGAATTGAAAATAATTAACGCTTAAAAATCTCTCAAAGATCGGGAAACGCAGTGCTTACCTGGTCGGATTATGACATATTGCAGCACAGACCACTGCATGATGTGATAAGACTTCAGACAAAAAAAACGCTAACAACCTTGCTTACTTTGAGCGTGTACATAAAATACGCCTGAAACCGAACAGATTAACACTGAGACAAGCTCGAGGTAGTTTGGGTTATTCTCACTTTTGTAGGTCTGTACCGCCAAAAGCAGAACTGTTCGATATATGATTCATCAGGTCCTTGCAGTATAAAATCGTGTAGGTGATACTCACTGGAAAGGGAAGCGATTGTTTGTCTTTTCGTGCGATGGCGTTGTCCACATTATGTCCAGAACCGGTTGCGGCGACGTACTCAATGAGCAAGAGTCTGATATTAAAATAAAATAAAAAGAATTCGGCCATGAGCGGGATGTGCTAAGCGAAGGAACTTACAGGAAAGCACTGAGCGTTATGGACTGTCGAGCGTGGATTGAGAATGTCAGAACCTCGCAAGTTGAAATGGTTTGGTTGACTTGCCTCGTATACTAAACAAAATTTCTAGTTAGATGACGAGTAGAGGATTCGTTTCCACGCACTCACTTGTCTCGATCAGGTCATAGTATGTGTAACTCCGGAAAAATCGGTATGAAAAGAATGATATCACTCCGTACAGCGGAGGCATGTACAATATTCGAAGTCTGTCCGAAAGGGACGGAGCCAAGTATTCAGAGGTAGTCTTGGCAATAATAGGCGTAGAGCAGCTCACATTTGTCGTTGCTCCGCACGGTTGTTATAATGCCTACAGAAACGTATAATGGGTCTCAACAGAGGAACGGACTCCGAGGTTGACTTACATTGCATGTTTCAATACGCTGACTAGTGATATCACCACCGACTGTACCGGACACCGCATATTTCAGCCATTTACGGCCACCTAGAGCCAAGACTATCACGTACCGCAGCAGCACATGATCCAGCAACGACCCATCCAATCCTATGTGTGTCCCAATTCAGACCATCCGGAGACCAAAAGCTGCTTTGGTCTATTACTTGTTGGTTGTCTGACGGACAAGACATGACGTCCACTCCACTACTATCTCAAGCCGCTGAATTCGGGTCGCCAAGAGACAACAAGAGAAAGCCAAGTGTGGGGTATCGTTGAGAGGGAAAGTCTAGTGGCGATCCAGGCGAAACCGAGCGGAAAAGAAAACCAAGGGACTTGAAGGGGGTGTAGGATGATAAATAGACGGCTGAGGGAATGTGGCCAAGGTCTGTGACTGCGCTGGGCAGTGTATGGTCTGAAGGGAAGGTGTGCCGATGCCTAACAAACGTCTGCCGTTTTGGGCGGTTGATGTTCTTTCTCCGTACTTTTGTCACTTGTCCTTACGTGTTTCCTCTCTCTTCTTTATCTACAGCATTGGCCCTTTGAACGAGTATTCGGCCTGACAAAACTCAAGACCTACTTCTGACACCAAGATGGAAAGTTGCGTGCATTTGAACCGCTTGGTCGTCTCAACCGGGTTATGGTGCGGGGTTTAACAACTTCTATTGTTTAACAAAACTCATAAGTACATTTGTAAACCTCGATGCAGGGCGCAACACATAATACTGAAAACGTTGTACCTCCAGACTGTTCATATCCGCTGCGGTATCATGCGTTCTTTTCAACTTATGTTCCCCATGTTGCAGCGTTAGGCATGTATCAAGCAGTTTGCCCTTACCGACCCCGACGGAGTTACGGTCAGATAACAGGCCGAGGTCGTATGACATACAGTGAGCTTTCCCTCATGTTGCGCAGCACTGTTTGTATGCATTGCCGCCAAACCGCTCAGGCCAGGAAAGGCTAGCAGGAAGAATAAACTATTGATAATCACGACGTCTTCTGCTTGTGTTGAGATACAGGTACAAATATGCCTTCCTCATCCAGTTGTTAGCCCATACCGCTACGCAAAGGCTCTCTCTTGAGTATGGCCAAAGCCCGTCGTCTAGCGGGCTTCTAACCTCTATGACTCTATGACACCGTGCTCGCCCGGAGAACCCTTACGAGACGATAACAGGACTACTTCGTGCTCTTAGGAGCCTTCGCTCCCGCAGCCGCGTTAAGGCCCTTTGCAGCGGCTCCCTGGATTCGCGAGGGAAAGCTGCCCTTGCCGGTATCGTTGCCACCTTTGGCCTATGACCCCCCAGAAAAGTATATATTTTCAGCTGGGTGCGCACCCGGATTTGAAGGGGAACTTGATAACTTACCTGGGTGGACTGTATCCGTGAGGCCTCGTTGGGAGTGGGCGTGTTCTTGGCAGCACCACCAGCTAGAGGAGACGATGGTCAAAACGACGAGCAAATCAATGAGAAGAGGTCGAGTCAGCAACGCGTGTCGTCGTGACGGCGAGAGGTAGGGTGTGGGCAAAGGTACGTACTAGAGCGAGTTCCCTTAGCCGGCATATCGAGGTTGAAGTAACAAAAACGGAGAATAGAACGAGGTTACCGGTGGTGGGGTAGGCGACGAAGGGCAAGCGAGTCTGCTAGCTTGCTTTTCTTCACCTGCTGCTTACGTCCTCTTTATACCGTTCTGCTTTACCCTCTCACTGCACTCGGCAGTGTCGGGCCCTGTCGGCAGATTTGCGGATAGTCGAAACGTCTTCGACTGTATCGCGAGAGCGTCGATCGTGCATTTTGAGATGGTAGGTTCTAGAGATAATCGCGAAGCGTTGTCTTGATAGAGTTGGTGTAGCAACGTTCGTCAAAGCGATTTCCGCTTGTGATGAGGTGAACTCCATACGGGTTAGTCATTTCCGCTGGTCGAGTGACTGTCTTAGACACTAATGTCCGGTTTCTTCGACTTAATAGGATAGGATGTAGAATTCTGAGTACTCGTACTTGGGTAATCCCGTGCGTGTAGTACTAGTAGATCAATGCTCGCACTGGTCGGACCGATCGACTTGGAAGATGAACGGGAACAGCTTCAATCACGCGAGCCGAATTCACGCATTCGCAAGATATCGGCACAACGTCGCAAGAAAAGTACGTACAATAACGAGTTCTCACTCACATTCCTATAGCAAAACTCTCTCGCAGGGCCTGAAAGTTCCTGACCTTTGTGAGCCAAACTGGCAAGTCCTGAAATAGATCATCAGTTTATGCTTCTTTCATGATAATTGAAAGGCGGATGTGGGCCGACGGGATCTTCGTTCCATCTAAAGATAGTTCGAGGTCGAGGGTCAGGAAGGTCATTTTTAGTGGGAACCTTTTTTTGTAGGTCTCGTTCTCACTCAGCATAATTCTAGGTCAGGGCGCCGAGTCTTCTACTGGCACTGAACTGCTTGTATCGCTTCCGAAATAGGTTCAACTGTACGGAGACACTCTAGTTAATGGTGGACTGAGTCCTTCGGTTACGGATCCGGACCGGCCAGCAAGATATGGACGATCTTCATTGTAAGGTGTTGGGTCCTGGAGTGTGGATGTCTGGTACCACTCTGCCTAAATGAGCGTCCACAGTGAGTAAACAATGCAGCAATGCCCTGCAAGTCATGAGCGTATCTCGTCGCTTAGGAACACCTTCGTCGAGAATAGTCATACTGCAAATCGATCATACATTTATTCAAAGGGATTGTTAGTGCACCCCTCATTTCAGGATCTTCAATATATCTTCGGCTACAGCGATTCTAGACCACGCTCACTCACTACAGCATCCGTTTATTCAATCACGCGCTGAATGAAGGAGTATCATTGACAGCGATGTTAACTCGACATAACATGCTGCTATTGCGAAGAATGACGGGAAAGAGGAGAACAACGACGATCATGTTGGCAATAGAGGATTATTCCGAAACACTCTAGCTCGAAGAAAGCCATGACGCAATACGTTACTCAAGTTATCGTGCATTATACGAAACATTGCAAAAGCGATGTGAAATGGAGGCACAAAGATTCAAGTTTATGAGCACACTGGGTTCTGAGATCTGAAAGGACAGAGGGAAGTGAGCAGATTCTTAGACGTGCGATATCTCTCTCGAAACCTCCTCGCTTTGTAGCTGAAGCGCCTGAGACATATACATCTTTAAAGTCCAGCAATGATTGTGCCGAGGAAAGCCATTGGCGCTATACGTTATCGCACATTATACGAAACATTGTGAAAGTGATATGAAATGGAAGGTCAAACATTCAAGTATAGGAGCACACTGGGTTCTGAAGGAGCAGAGGGAAGTGAGAGGATTATTAAGACTTTCTCTCTCGAAACCTCCTTAGCTGTTGGAGCGCCTGAGCCCGAGACATGTCCATCTCTAAACTGCAGTAATGATTGTGCTCGAGACATTCGCGGACCTGTGGAGAGCATATTCCAGTGAGCCCGAAGCTAGGAGACGAAAGCCTAGATTAGCTAGTCACTTACAAAAGTATCGTCTTTCAGTAGGTCGTCGTGATGCAGCGGTTTGACTATGACGAATATGAGAACTACGCCGTATAAGACCACGACGAAATGAGCACTGGATACTGACTCTTCGATAGAGAGTGACCACGTACGAACGTTGGTCCGACGCAGGATCACCCAGTACAGGGTAGTCGACTCGCAGACGCAAGAGCTCGACAGGCTGAGGACGGTGATTGGGCGGCGTCAGGTGTATTGACTGATTGGTCAACAAGCCTGAGGATCGAACTCAAGTTGCTTTTGGTTGACAACGGCTCGATGACATTCACCATCACGTAGGTGCAGTCTAAGCCCGATGACAGAGAAAGTGACGATCAGGGAGGAGCCCCAGATCGAATCGAAAAGGATTAGCATGATTGAACGTGAAACGTTGTCAATTCCCCGCTGTTCACATCTCCTTCGGGTATACTGTACATCTACAGTTTCTGGCAAGTCCACACCCTGAGGCTGAGGACCAGGAAGGTTCCAGGCCGAAATCAGAAGACAAGGAAAGAGATGCAAGGGTGATAACAACTCTACATGCAGGTAGTACTGTACATGTCACACTCATGTGGTCCGGTGTTATGAGCGTTTTAGAGATGGGCGATCTTGCAGACCTTCAGAAGATCAGCTTGAAACGTCATGGACGTGTAAAGAGCGTCGATAGATTAACAAGTGAACACCGAAGCCAGTCAGATGCAAGGTGGTATATATAGTTGAAGTCAATTGCAAGAGCGACGTCGGACATAGAGTACGAACACAAGGCTGCTGTCGTCATCGTCTAGAATCAATTGGAATACCTGCATTGCAGGTCAGCAGGTGGAAGAAGCAGCCTTAGCAATAGCCGAGGAACGCGATGTGTATCCTACATTACGCCCTAGTAATAGTAGAAAGACATGATTTGTCCGATGGAATGTGCAAAGACGGGAAAGTCTAGTTTGGGACCTGGGGTGAGGTGGACTGAATGAGATCAGCGTACCAGCTAAAGTAAAAATGGTGACGAGTTGGCGGAAGAATGAACAGGCTTCGATGTACACACTTGTTGCTGACTGCATGAGAGATGGCTGGGCCGTGCGAGAAAGCCGGGTTTTGTACGTGAGAGTAGTTGATGAAGCACAGGAATATGGTGGGTATGACGTGGCGATGTTCCTGAGCTGGCCTCGCCAGGGACATCGACGAGCAAGGTGGTCGGACGAGCTGGACGGCTGCATAAATAACGATGAAGAAAGGGAGCAAAAATGGAGTCATGCAATATGGAGGGGTGATAAGATCGGCCGAGAAAGAAGCCAAGGGGGCGAGGCATTATCAGATAAGATTTTGCGGAGTCGCTTATCAGATTAGGAATTCCCATCGACCTCCGCTGGGTATAGGTTACCGCCGCTGCAGAGAGTCTCGCTCTGCATACCATGGTCGGGGGCTCTGAGCCGATTCGCTTCTTCCCATAAGACCATTCCATCCCTCGGCCTCCTGGCTAGAGGCTCCCCACTGTCTCTCCTACCAAATTTCCTAGTCACCTATAGACTATTTTACCGTCTCCTCAATAATCCATGTCGCCTCTCATCAAGGCCTTCATCCATAAGACCGTCGCCGTCCTCGGTGCTTCCTATGGAGGTTTGTCTAGTTCATCTCTGTGATCTCGTCGTACTCGCAAACGTAATTTTAACGTTGCTGCAGGCGCTCGAACGGCCCAATTACTAGCCCAACAACTACCAAGCGACTGGAGAGTCGTTCTGATCGACCGTAACACGCATTTCAATCATCTCTATGCGTTGCCTCGGTTCGCTACTCTCCCAGGACACGAGCACAAGGCCTTCATCCCTTATACCAACGTCTATGAACTTCCACCAGACATTCCCTCCATCGGTGATCGCTCGAGACACTTGATCTTGAATGCCCAGGTCACATCCATCAAGGAACACTCCCTTACTCTGTCGCGTTCTTTCCCCGAACATGACATTGTCAATGGCGTACTGAATTTTGACTTTGCTGTCTACGCTTTGGGCAGTCACCTCCCGGCTCCTATCAACCTTTGGGGTCCGGTAGGCGACGAGGAAGACGTAAAGGCATCTGAAAAACCCGAGTCAGCTCCCGTCACATCAGAAGAGACCCCTGCATCACTGCGTACCGAAACATCAGGAGAGTCTACCCCTGTTGCTGTTGCCCCTGCTTCATTTCCCGCCAAAGCCGTCGTTGTCTCATCCACCCGTGTCAACTCGGAGTCGTTTGTGACCAAGCCCCAACCCGTTCAGCTAAAGCCCTCGTCAAATATTCTTACTGAGAAGCCCGCCACTGAGCTCGTCCGAGGGACAAAGCCTGCAGCTATCAACTGGTTGAAACGTTTCCACAAGCGCATCGAAAAGGCTTCCAGTGTGCTCGTCGTTGGTGGAGGTGCCCTTGGAATCCGTAAGTTTTCCTTTTCCACTCCCACTTTTGACGTCGTGTCACATTTGCGATCTGCAATCTGAGATTAACTTTATGTGTTTATCTGGGATCTGACAGAGTATGCTTCCGACATCGCCGAGGTCTTCCCTAATAAAGCTGTCACGTTATTGCATTCCCGTCAGAGGTTGTTGCCCAGGTTCGACGAGGGTATGCATGATGAGAGTGAGTCCTTTCGTCGGTTTTCTCCGGTTATACGTTACTCACCGTTCGAAATACTCCAGTCCTCTCGACATTGTTCTCGCTGAACGTGACCACCATCCTCGGGGAACGTCTTGATCTCAACTACCCCGGCAAGATCGTCGTCAACGAGCATGGCATTCCCGAGCGTATGGTCCGAACACTGAGTGGTCGTGAAATCCGCGCAGAGCTCGTCGTACGTAAACATTCGACTCATCCACGTTCGAACCTAAATGCTGATGGATGTTTTCTTTAGCTTTTGTGTACAGGTCAGACACCGAACACGGGCCTCATCAAGGAGCTTCTTCCGGATAGCATTGTCCCCGAGGGTTCTTCCAAGGGTTCAATTCGCGTGACACGTACTCTCCAGATCGGCGTCCCTGCTCCAGTAGCTTCGACATCAACTACTGGTTCTAACCTCTCCGTTTCCTCTACATCCACCTCGCCTTCCGAAAAGCAAGAAGCGCATGCACAAGACCCCGAGCTCACGGTTCCTTATCCAAACTTATTCGCTATTGGAGATGCTGCAGACGCGTTTGGAGCGATCAACGCCGGCCATAACGCTTATTTCCAAGGCGAAGTGGCTGCCAGGAATATTTTGAAGATTATCGAGGCTGCTAATGAGGGCAAGGATGAGAAGGAAGTCGAGTTGGAGAAGTATACGCCTGGCCCGCCTGCTATCAAGATTTCTTTGGGTTTGGTGAGTTTTTTGTTTGTTTGTCTGTTTGGAAGGGTTGGGAGTTGGCTGACGCTGATGGTGATTTTTTTTGGTAGACGAAGGCGTTGTTCCAGATTAATGGTGTGGTGGGTAAGAAGTCGGATGTTTCGGAGGATTTGGACGCCCCTGCTATGTGGAACTATATGCATATCGCGACAGATGAGGAAGGGATGTTGACTCTCTGAAATTGTTGACTCTCTGAAGTTGTCGACGCTTTGCTCGTTTTCGTGGTTCACGACTTCGGACCTAGGAGTAGGAAGGATGAGTTGGGTTTGGAAAGCAAAATTTCTGTTAAGTTACCGTAAAGATGTTATTTAGTTCATTTCGTAAACCCAGTCACAACGTGATACATACCACTCAGCGCAATATCGGAAGGTGATATCGGAATTATGCGTGCAATAATGGGTGTAGTAAGCTGTGGCATATGTTGAGTTAGCTTCGTTAACTAAGCAGTCGGCCACGGCTGGAGTCAGGGTGAGGATATCGTATGAATGCGGTATGGCACGCGCTCCTATGAATATTGTGAAAAAGGAGTCAGCTCAAAGTGGGGTCAACAAGTAAATGTATGATATAACCGTACGAAAAGAAACATATGGGTAGAGAATCCTGGCCAATGAAATGAAAGGGGAACGGACTCACGACTCGAAAGGCACCAATCGTACCATAGCGATACAGCAAAAGCGGTAGATTGATATTTCGACCTGCGGATGAGCACTAAGTAGACCTAGAATGCTAATAGCTAACACATTGTAAGGTGTCTCTGAAAGTCGCTCGGGGCCTTCAGGTTGACCATCGTCGTTCGGAAGACATAACCTGTAGATAAGCATGTCGAGGGTCGTCGAGGTCGAAGGGGAAAGCGAGTGCAGGTTTGTTATGGAAAAGAATACTTGGAGCAATGGTAGCACGTCGCAGAAGAACGCCGATGATTTGCATAGATATAGCATACAGACAAGGAATTATACCCTATCTGAGGACCGTAAGATAACGACACCGCCTAGATCACCGAAAGAGTCCCGGACACGCGTTAAGCTAAAGGATCGGTAGACAGGCTGGCACTCACCCCGTAAGTAATAAGAACAGATTCGACCCTCTTCGACGAAGGACGACAACGATTGCGATAGGCACGTACTACAGTATGCTTGGTGAACTTATCACGAAACACGCATAACCCAAAAAGTGAAATCGGGACGCCGGGTTCAGACGTCAGGAGGATGCCGAGCCATGACATTGAATGTCGGGATAAGAGTCCAGCATACTGAAAGCATTGATATTCAGCTCAAACGTATAAAACGAACCAAACCTGTGTAGTAAGATGGAGCGACAGTATGATAGGTACTAGGAGAAAGGTGCAGATTGAATCACTAAAAAGAAAATACACAGTATCTGGTGTTACTGAAGCCACGACGCACTATGCCAGAACTTGTAGGTATGGGTTGGTGAGTTGTTGAGACACCGTTACCAATATCTCAACGACTCACCGATGTATGCCCTGGAAACCACGAAGCCGGAGCTGTAGTTTGATGTACGCAAATTCAATGAGCGCCGGAATCGCACATAACGTCCAGAGTAATCGGGAAATGGAAGGTTTCATTGGAGGTATTGGAAACTTGTCGAAGGAATTCGCTTGATACAGGGAAGTCGATGTTGCCCGATGACTAAAGAGTAGTATCAGTGTTGTCAAACCTAACTATGACGGATGATTCTGCTGTTGTAAGTGAAGTATCTTCAACCCCAGCCGTAACGGTTGCCGAGAATCATTGGACTATGAATACTTACCTTGAGTGACAGAGGAAAGCGGTAAAAGCCAAGGAGGCACAGATCTATGGTCAATCCAGGGCCAATTAGATATTCGCCATAGCTCGCAATAAGGTGCGAGAAGGCTGCGTCAGGATGCCGGCTAGATTCAAATCGATATTGATAGGCTGTTCTACGAAGATCCTGACTGACAGCTAGACGACATGGCGGGATGTCACTCTAACCTCCTCTCAGGAAGTCTAGGTTACCTTGGCTAGACAAACTCGTTGGTAATGTCGTAACTGACGCTGTCCTCAGGGCATATCGTGATGAACACAGCTACCATGAATCGTGTCCAGAACACCATTCATGCAATATACCTTTCAGTTCCTGGGTAAATAGAAGGGCAGTCAGAAGCGTAGTGAGCCCAAGGGAGCCAATAATGAAAGCAGAGATACCTAGTGGCCTAATATCGATCCTGACTTGCCTAAATGACTTGAGAAAGAGTACTTATCGGCGGAATGCGTTAAGTCGTACTTCTCGTGGGTCTTTTTCTGGAGACCAACACTGTGACGCTGGTGACCGTAGAGGGAACACTCGCGTCACACGGGAGAGAAGAGTCACACCAAAAGGGACAGGTTATAAGACTGATTCTTCGGTGTAAGCAACCTTTAAAACGCGCTGGGACACGCAAAGGGAAATGCCGAAGGCCGGACCCCGGGGCGCCTAAGTGAGGCATTCTGCCCAAGTGAATGACCTCACCGGTTTGCATGCTCAACAGTGCATTTTTCACTCATTTTTTTGTGGTAGACATTAATTCCTATGTACATAGTATTATATACCAAAGTGTGCGATTTTTAGTGTGACTGTAGAGGGTGGAGAAAGCGGTCAAAGGCCATTTACTTACATACCTGCCTAATTGGGATGGGGTTTCCTCCATCAGAGGCTCTGATGCCACGCAGCGCATCTCCGAGAAATAGGCGGCATGTCCCATGAAAAAATTGGGCCTTTGCTTTTCATGGGACATGCATTTTTTGGCTGGAGTGTTGGCGGAGAGCGTGTCCCATGCAGAATTCGCATTTTGGGTCTTCATGGGACATGCATCGCGATTTCGGCCACTTTTTCTCACTTTCCCTCACTTTCTGGTGCTTTTTTTTTCATCAATAATTCATTCTCAACTATCTCTACCTATTCCACATTGTCCGGCACTCCCCGACCGCTCCCGCCCTCCCGATCACCGTTCGACACATTCCCACCTTCCTCCACTGCAGTGGTTGGGGTCCATCGTGTCCCGGGACATGCACTCAGATGCCCTCCCACCAACAGCGCTTTGGCGCCCATGTCCCATAACAACAAAGCTAAGGGATCTACAGCTACGAAACAAGCTACTTAAATACTAATCTAAGTGCTGTGGAATAGCTGCAGACAAGAACAGATTTCCGTAGATAAATGATCCTAAAAGTGGATTAACCAAAATCTGACCGTAAATCTCTGTTAGACTGCCTAATCTGGTATATTGTAGCACCCACCGCTACATGCGCCCTCCTAGAATGTTCATCACAACATCCTACACCTTGGTAGTCTCTGCATCTTTCATACGAACATCCTCGCCGTCTGCTGCCCTCTCGCCACCTTTGTCTTTAGAGCCCTCACTGCCAGCATGGTCTGTGGATGCGCCCTCCAGGTGAGTGTTGTCATCCAATAGGGCTAACATTGGATCATTTATAGGATCGAGTGGAGGAACGGATCTGCGAATGGATTCGGGAGGAACTGACCCACGAAGGGATTCAGTTTCAGCGCAAGGAGTGGCTGCACGACTCTGACATCCAGAACGAAGTCCACGCTTGAACTGCTGGACGGTGCGGCTGGAAGCTGAAGAGAATTGTTTTGCCTCAAGGCGAATCTTCTTCTTCCGCTCGCCAGCCTTGTCATTCGCTATGGCGCATTTGGCGATGAAATGGGACATCTCCCTGAGGTCATCCTCAAGCTCAGCGGCTTTTTCGGGATCACTGAAAGTGGGCAGTGCCAGAACGTGAATAGCGATGGGGTCACCAGGAACCACAACCTGGCCATCGTCGAGGTAGGCAAACTTCCATGGGCAGGCGTAATCACAATTCCACAGGGTGACAAATTCATCGTAGCCTCCAGGAGTAGGCGTGCGGGTGTAGTTGAATTTAGGTGATCGAAGGGTCAAGTTGTACTTGGCATATAGGCGGAGCTGGGAGAGGGAGTAATGGTAGGAGTGGTCATCGATGTCAAAGAGCGTGACACATTGTGTCTCCTTGAGATGAACGGCATAGGCATTTTGGAGGGGGTCGGTCATATGGAGGGAAGGAGGTAAGTGGGTAGGAAGAGTTTCGTGTGACAAATGGCAAGAGAGGGAACGACTGACATTGTCTACAGTGTAGGTTGTTGGGCTCATCGTGTGACGAATGCCCTCCTTTATGTATGCTGGGCCTGCTGAAACTTCTAGCAAGCCAAGAAACAGCTGAGGATCATCCGTAGGAGGATTACCTGACCCTGGTGGTAAGTCCTTTATGCCGTCTACTCCTACTAGTTCTAAATAGTTTTTCAGGGCATCGAGACCAGCAACCGTGGCGTAGGGTACCCACATGTGGTCACCGGATTTCCATACCATCTCAAAGATAGTGTTTTCACCTGAACCGGCATGCGCGATGATCTTATCGATGGCCCACTCTTCTTCTTGGCCCTCGATTTCTGCCACCTGTGTATCAAGCTGACCCAGAAATAGTCGGTCATTGTTAGGCTCATGAATTCGCAGCAGCGACAAGTGGAACACGTCGTGTACTCCTCGTTGTCTTAACTGGGAAGGCAACTCTAGCCTATAGGAATTATTCCCAAAGTCTGTGAGGATCCTGTATGGTCCGATGAACTTGGGGATCAGCTTTCGAGCGAGACCCTTGGGCAGGGAGATATTTTTAGTAGATAGATAGACCAAATCTCCCCTTTCGAATGGAGCTGGATGGTGACGATGATTAGCATCTCGTGTCTGCTTCACTCATGCCGCTATAATACTGTCATGTGCAGTCATTATGGCATACTTTACTTTTTGTGCATAAGTTCGCACTGCAGAGTACTCATCAACCCCAGGATTATTCCAGATCATGGAATGAGGCATGCGACCAGTGTTAAGGAAGAATGGTGCATAACCAGTGCTATCAGAATGTGCTAGGTTAATAGCGAACTCGATAGCTGGTAACTTCGTAACCCAGTCTTTCTGAGTAGGGCCTATACACTGTTGCAACATTTGAGTAACAGTCCGATTAGCTCGTTCAGTTGAACCATCTGACTCTGGGTGATAAGCACTAGACATACAAAGCTCGGTGCCCATAAGCTTATGCAGATGAGACCAAAAGATGCTTGTAAAAACAACATCTCAGTCACTAATGATTGCCTTCGGTATTCCATGGTGTTTATAGACTTCCGAAAACACTAACTCGGCTACCTGTTTAGTGCTATGATTAGTGCGATTCGGTACCAGGTGAACCATGCAAGTCAGTAAGTCAATTATGACTGCAATTGAGTTATAAGTACCATTCCAATCCTTCGATTCAGGCAGTGGACTGATGAAGTCTATTCTGATGACTTCCCAAGGTACATTAGGCACAGCGAGTGAATTCAACAAGCCGTACAGTCATTGATTATTCAGCTTGCTGCGCTTACAGGTCATGCAGGTATCACAATATTTCTGCACATCTTTTCCCATTGTCTTCCACCACACATGGTCCTGTAGAAGACCGAGTGTCTTGTATGAGCCCAGGTGTGCGAGAAGGGAATGTGCATGAAGTATTATTACTTCTCGCGCACTCCTGTCATTCACACAAATGTCAGGGATGCACAACAAGTCCCGGCCTTGTTCTCTTAATAAGATCAAACCATCATCTACCCAGAAATTCTTGAAATGCTTGGGGTTGTCCAGGATGGCCTTGAAGAAAGGGTCCTCACCGTAACGGCCCTTCAGGATGGTAAGCAAATCTATTCCATCTGTGGACTCACTTACATACTCAACAAAATGACTCGTTGAGTCATTTCTAGCTGGGTGGTCAGTTGAACCATCGGAACGGCTTGTTGAGCCATCCTCAACCATGTTGCCATGGTGACCTATTGGGTCATCTTCAACATTCCCTGCTGGATGACTCATCGAGTCATTTTCAATGTCAACGCGCAGTGACATGGCATCGGGGCTCACTGAGTCACCTGCAATACTGGCGCACTGTGCCTTGTCATTCGCGCCCTCCAGTCCAGCAACTGAATGGTTAAATCCTGCTGGGGAGGAGGGTGGATTGGAGTGGTTAGCAGAAGGTAAGTCCTGCTGCCATTCATCTGATGGTATCTGAGGTATGTTCTCCTCAGACCCGCCCTCCTGTCGTCATTCACGAGGGCCGTGCAACACGACATGTCGAATCCGCTTTGTGAATTCCTTCGACGTCTCTGGATGCCCGGTTTCAGCCAGCACTGCAGGCGTTTGAACATGCCGTGCATGCAGCTTGAGAACATTAATGTCTCTCATTGCAGGGGATGATTCGATTCATCCTTGCAATGGGGCATGACGCGCTGGCAGTCAAATATGCAGGGAAGACTGGGGTGCATGTGTAGAGTGATTGGCAGACTCACCAGAGTGCTCAGTGTAGGCAGAGGACTCAGGGGGCAATTTGCCTTTTGAGTGACGAGCCTGGGGGTCCGAACCTACATCGTCACGCTTCTGTGTGGTGTGTGCTGCAGCCTGAGCATGCATTTTACTTCGCATCATCTGAGGCTGTATTGCCGCTGCCTCAATGCCCACATACACCAGCTGGGAAACTGGTAAAGTTTCCATAAAGCGAGGTAAGTGTTCATCGTCATCATACTGAGTGTATTCTGATGATGCGCGGATCGTCCCAGCAGCATCATTCGAGTAGATGCGTGAAAGTGCATCTGTGAGTACGTTGTCCACGCCGGGCACATACTCGACTCAAAAATCATATTCTGAGATCTTTTCAAGCCAGCGAGCCTGTCATCCTGACAGGTTCTTCTGCTTTAACAGGTGGGTAAGCCCCTTATGGTCTGTTATCCATGTGAATGAGCATCCGAGGAGTATATCTCAGTGCCATAACATGGCTTCAATGCCTGCTAACATCTCTATTTCATGCACAGGGTAGTTACTTTGGGCAGCCGTGAGCTTCGCTGAGAAGAACGCGGCGACATGACCAGTTTTCCAGGAGTCACCTTGAAGTACGACACCTGCAATTCCACCAATCGAGCCATCGGTTACCAACCAAATTGGTGGTGCACCCTTTGAATAATCAAGGGGCATGTGACGATGTTCGCAATGCTGGTGCATGAGACGTTTGATCTCTTCGAATGCTCGTTGGTGAGTTGGCTCCCACTTGAAACAAGAATCGGAACCTGTTAATGATGAGAGGATTCCCATAGGGATTCGGACAGTTGCAATATCATCGGCGAGGTATCCTAGCGAACCAAGGAAACCCCGCAAGAGCTCCTTACTGGTTGGGACTTTCCAGTTCAAGACTGAATCGACTTTATTGGGGTCCATCTGAATACCTTGGTCATCAATGATATGACCGAGGACCTTCATTTCGCGAGCAAGAAAGTGGAGCTTTGTTGCACTTAGGTACAAGTTTTCTCACTGAAGAATATCAATCACCATCTTGCAGTGTCTAATATGTTCTTCTAGAGTGTCCGAGTAAATAATGATGTTGTCCAAGTATACATCCATGAAGACATCAATGTAAGGGCCGAAAATGTAATTCATTAGTGTCTGGTAAGTTGCGACTGCATTGCAATCACCCTGTTGCATAACGAGACTGACCATGTTTCCATCAGGTGTAGTCATCGCCGTGCATTTGACATGTTCAGGCACAACCCGAATATGCTCGTATGCATCTTTACCATCAATAATGGTACAATACTTCTTACGTGAAACCCACCGCAAGATGCCCTCCATGTCAGGAAGTGGAGAAGTCATCTTGATGGTATTCGCATTTCTCTCTTGTAAGTCAGCTACGACTCGAAGATGAGATGGAATGCCATTAACGCCTGTTCCAGGTTTCATCAGAAGTAGAATAGGAGAAGTGTTCTGAGCTGAGGTCATCTTCCAATGACCAGACTTCAGGTAAGCATCACGCTTTTCACACCAACTTGCACGATGTGCATCGGGACACTTACTAGGCCTCCAGGAGTAGATTTTATTGGGATCTTTCAGAGGAATGGTATGATTGATTGCACGCAATGGTGGCAATGGTGCGTCACTCGCTTCGTGACATATCAGAGCTGCATATTCACAAAGTAATTTTCTAGCATCTTCTAGCTTCTCATCGAAAAGTTCCGCTGCTCGCGATTCGATAACATGAACATGCTTCCCTTTGATGGGTAAAGCTGTAGGGCTGCCAATCACAATAGTGATTGGATTCATGCCCACTACGACCTGATGCTGGAATAGAAAAGGCATCCCCAGTATTAGGTCATAGTTCAGTAAGTTGATGACGTCAAAATATCATTGTTCATCGACTGACTGGTATGCCAGATGGGCTTTACATCCAACATTTATCTTTGCACGAGAACCCTGGACTGCTAGATGCACAGGTAAGGGCTTCTCAAGCTCAAATGTCTTCACACCCAACTGATGAGCGAGTTTCGAAGACATAAAGTCAGAAAGTGAACCGGAATCCAGCAATGCGCATGCTGGATGCCCATTTATATTAACAACTATTACGATGGGCTTGGGAATGACCCGTCGAAAGTCGCGAGGCATGGCAGCATTACGCTACAGTGCAGGAAGTGATTCTGGCCATGAACGATTAGGTACATTCACAGCATTTGCCTCAATAGCATGCAGACTGGCACTGACAGAAGCCTGACCATTGTCTGCAGAAAAGAATGAGAAGAGCTCGCCCTCCAAATCATCGAGACTGAAGGGTGTGCACTCAGCGAGTATAAGAGCACGATATGCCCTCAAGGCATAAGCATTCCACAAGTCGAAGTGTGAGTTCTCGAGGTAGTATCATGGAATGTCAATTGTAAATGCGAGGTATGTATCATGTATACGAACGCACTCAGGGTCTGGCCCCAAATATAGGAACCGATGCCCATTCATAGCACCCCAAGGTGCTCCATCGCCCAGATGACAAAGCCCGTCCCGCAAGACTTGCTCTACAACAATACTTGCAGCATCACCCATGGACTCGCGTGTTCAATCGCGGCAGCACCGGCATCGATGATGGCGTGGCTTCTCTTGCATGAGTAGGTTTTGATACCAATGAGGGAGGTTGAAATCTGGATCTCGCAGCAAGGCAGAGTCCACGACAACATCTTCTAGTAGGTGCTCATTCATTATGACGTGCTGTGTCTCGCTAATCCGATAAACACAGAATTCGCCTTCCACTATGCTACCAAAGTCAGCACCCAATGGTCCACAGCAATAAGGGCTATTCTTTCGCAGGACCTCTTCGGCGCATTCAGCATAAACATCACCTAGATGAGAATGCCATACTGGTGAACTAGAGTACCGAGATGGACAGAGAAGGCCAAGATGAGGCCAAAAATATCTGTAGTACTCTTCCAAGTCCTTGGCAACTTGATCCTCTGATACTGGTCTGCCTATCCAAGACCAGGGATCTTGTCCAGTGAGTCGCATCATCATCCAATCGTAAATGCAATTTCGCTGATTCACACTTAACACTTCTAGAATGTCATCAACAGGTTTGGCTAGTGAATCGTCGAGAACCTCCCAGCTGTCTAGCGAAGGTGACGATACCTCAAACTGGCTGTCTGGTAAGTCCCCCCACTCACTGTCAGAGTCAGAAACTGACTGAAGTGAAGGTATTGAATCGCCGCTGTCACTTGCGGTCTCAATTTCGACAGCATTCAGCTCAAGTTGCTCTGCCATATTGGATGATTCAGCAAGGCTATGCAGGGCCTCCATGTTGTCGAAGTCAGGCTCAACACTGAATGACGAGACACCTGGTGCTTTGCCCTTACGATCCGACTTCACTAGGTTCACAGATGGACAATTTCGGGCAATATGCCCAGTCTCTTCACAGACATAACATTTGCCAGCTGCCTGAAGGTCAGCCTTCTTTTGGTCAGATAGTGGCTGACGAGCTGGCATTCCTCCCTGCGGGCATGATGAACTGGCTCAATTGGGCTGTTGTGAAGGTCAAGTCGAAACTGCGTTTGAGTGAGGGGGTCGATTACTCAAGCTGGATCCTCCATTAGGCTGTGAAGAAGGACCTGAGTGGTTTCTATTTGGATGGCAATTACCACCTCAGTTGCAATGGTCACATCTTTGGTGATCACTCTTTTGCCCTCCATTTCCACTCCCTTTCAAGCCTGAAGGTCCAGTGCCACTAGAACGATCACCATTCTGTTGACGCATTCCTTCTTTCACACGTCGGGAGGCTTCAATGAACTCAGCCTCTCGCATGACTTCATCCCAAGTACTGGTAAGTGGTGACAACTTGTGGTCCCATAGGACTTCCTGAATCGACAGATTGAGTCCTCGCCACAGTCGCATGACTGATTCTTGGTTATCGACTGAGTGACCAGCCAGCCTTAAGAGGCTTCGCAACTCATGTGCATAGTCTCGCACTGTTCGGTCATACTGATGGAACTTTTCTAGTTTCGTGTGAATCTGAAGATGGAAATTCATTGGGAAGCAATAGTTGAATAGCCCAATGAAAATATCCCTCAGCCTCATCCAACGACGAGGATCTTCAGCCATGGTATTGGCATAGAAGTCATATGCTCGATCAGTCAAATAGTTTGCTATGGTCGAGGGGATCATATGACGAGGTATGTTGTACCCATTAATCATTTCCGTTGCTTGCCTAACAAAGTGATGGAACACCTCAGCATCGGCACGACCATCATAAGGCTGAGGTGGAACTGGCTTCCATAGGGGCCGTTTGTCCTTCTTGGACTTACGATGATGGTGTGCCTTGTGACGCTGTTGACAATGCTTACGATGATGATGAGCCCCACTAGAACTCGATGAGCTGGAGCTCGAAGAGTCTGAATCAGAGGATGATGAATCAGAGGGATCAGAAGGGCTTGAATTCCTTGAGTCTGACCCATCAGTCACACTAGGGGATTGTACTGAGGTCGACGACATAGAACTTAATGAATTCCATCGTGACTGTGACCCCACTGCATTACTGATAGCTAGTTCTAAATAGCTATGTGGAGCAATTTGGCCCGCAGGTACAGCAGGGTCGTGAGGATCAGCGGAAGGCCTCTCGCATTCCTTACCCTTCTTTGTAGTGGCTTCGACAGCAGTCTTCTGCTTAACATTGCTAATGGAAGACATTACTGCATCAACAATAGTATCTGCTGGGGCGTAGATGACTTCTGTACAGATGGGCTTAGGGGATACTTCCCTAGCCCTACCTTTTTCCTTTGAAATAGATGGTTTCTTATCCACCTCATTGTCTGAAGTCTCGGTCACATCAAACTTGACTTTGCGCTTCGGAAGCTTACTAGGTAAAGTCGAAGCACTAGCCTGTGACTTGTTCTTAGCCACAGGTTCTTTACTCATTGACTGAGTATCCTTAGGAGGCTCGTGTCATTGAGCCTTCAAATCACGCCAGTAGGACAACAACTGGTCCTGGGCACTCAAGTCAAAATCAGGATCGTTCATCAGAACCCGGAGTATATTGAGCTGTCTATCTGAGTACAACTCTAACTGACGGCATTGAGCTTCTGGATCAAGCTCCTCTGCTGGTATATCTACTCCACCAGGCTGTCGACCAGCGTACATGTCTAGAATGCGGTGTTGAGCTTCAAGGTCCAGCTCCTCTGCTGGTATACTGGCTGCACCCCACTCTTGTGGGTCAACAGTCTTACCTTTACAACTCGAAGACCCCTCCTCGAAGACGTCAGGTGAACGAGGACGGCGATGGGCCCTGCCGTCATCGTGTACAACACTCATCCGATGTTGGACAAGGTCTTGTTCTGCGGGAGTCAGCCGCGCCTCAGCTGCTTGGACTGTCTGACATTGAGGGTCCGTAAGAGAGGCTTGTCGCTCCCCTTATGCACTAGAGGGAGCCGCCTGTCGATCGTTCATATGTGGTGACTTGCTGCAACCACATTTATGCGATACCGGTATCCAAGGACCTTGATCGTCATCTTCTGGCTTGACAGTCGGGGTCACTGGGCAGCTAACAGAACTGCCATGAACACCATCAGCATCAGTCTGATGCTGACAGTCCACTGCATCATCAGGACTGACTGACACAGGGTTCACCTCCCGAGCAACTGACTCAAGGGAGGGGCTACGCGAAGCTACAATCTGGCTGTATAACAGCCTAGGGACTGCCTCGGAAGATGTCCGCAAGAACGGTGTCAGAGACACATCCATCAGCATTAACGACGTCAACGCTGCAGAAAGAGAATCAATATTCGGTGCGCTAGAGGTTTGGAATGCACCTGGGATTATTCCACTAGTTGGTGAAGTATGCTCGGGGGCTGAACCAGAGCGAAGATGGTTACGGAGAGGGTAATGCGCAGCCATACCGGATAGTAGAACTTTTTAAAGAGCAAAGAGGTTTTAGGAAGAGTTGAGTTTTTAGAGTGAAAGTGCAAGAGCAAGAGTCGACAGTTGGAAAGCCCAAGATGATCAGTCTTGAGGGGAGCCCAGAAGTCGGCACTTTATAGAGAGAAGAAGTTCGAGAAAGTTCCGAAGAAAGTTCGAGAGTCACTGTCAAAAATATGTGACGCTGGTGACCATAGAGGGAACACTCGCGTCACATGGGAGAGAAGAGTCACACCAAAAGGGACAGGTTATAAGACTGATTCTTCAGTGTAAGCTAAGGGATCTACAGCTATGAAACAAGCTACTTAAATACTAATCTAAGTGCTGCAGAATAGCTGCAGACAAGAACAGATTTCCGTAGATAAATAATCCTAAAGGTGGATTAACCAAAATCTGACCATAAATCTCCGTTAGACTGCCTAATCCGGTACATTGTAGCGCCCACTGCTACAAACACAGACATAATAATAACTGAAGCGTACAGACTGAAGGGATAGGAAGTCAATATTGTGGGTGCGGTCCTCGATTCAAGAGGCAAGAGATTATAATCCCTTATCCTGAAGACAAGGAGGACATTAGGAAAGCGTGGGAAAGCTAGAAAATAACAACTCCTAAAATAGGGTTTGGACTGTGCGGTGGCGCACGCGGTGACCTCCGGAGCTTACGAGGGGTTTTTCGGCCGGGTACTGGCCGTTTGGCCGAATACGAGACACTGAGCAGAACTGGCATGGCGGAAATCCAGCGTGCTGCAAACGACAGCTTTCATGCACAACACCCCTCCAAATCTTCAGGAATCAAGCTTGTTCTTCCTCCTCTAAATGCCCTCAAAGCTCTCAAGGCAAAGAAGAAGGCCGGGAAGGCCTTTCTCAATGATGTACCCCACCAGAAGATTCCGCGACCAGTCAAGTTAAAACCGTTGAAAGAGGTGTTAAGCAAGTTGATTGCACAGATCAAAAAGTGAGTCTTCAAGCTTTTCTGAAGTTGTACTGGGTGTTGACAGGGACGGAATCGCAGGAAAGATGATTATGCTTTCTTCCTCACTCCAGTCGACACGTCCCAGGTGACAGGGTATACAGACCTCGTCAAGCATCCTATGGACTTTGGAACCATCACTACGAAGGTGGAGAGAGGAAAGTATCGGTCGTTAGAGGAATTCACGGTGAGTATCCTTCTCTGTCAACCGAGCCTGTCAGTCAGTCTCTCCAAATGCAACCGCCATGCTTGCAATGTATGAGAGTCTTCATGAAGAGCGTATGTTGCCGATGACAATGCCATTGAATGGATCAATACTTCGCTCGTGACGTACAGAACGCGGGTCTGCCTCGGCGGGTTTGCAAGGCTCGCTCAGGCGGTCTCAGAATTCACTTCGGGCACTTTGGTGTCGCTGTTCGCACCCGCGCATGTACCCATGCATCTCCTCGAATCCCCTTCTGTTTATAATTGTCAAGCCTAGTACAGTCACTGAATCACTTGCTTCTAGTCCGATGTACGCCTGGTGACAAGCAATGCCAAGCTCTTCAACCCACCGGGATCAATATACTATACCGAGGCCGACCGCATAGAAGCCTTTGCTCTCAGTCACATATCCAAAGCAGCGTCCACAGTCATCGAATATGAGGCAGACTGGAACATTGATATCGAACACGAAGATGAAGGAAGACCCAGTGATGAATTCGAAGAAGATACACATGCGAAGGGTACACCCATGGATGTGGACGGGAGTGCAAGAGGGAGGTCACCATCTGTTGCGTCTACTCAGACACCTCTACAGACATCTCGGCGGAATGCGAAAGCTGGTCCGTCGAAGAAACAGCCTGGTATGGTTGCGGAGTCTTGGGAGGATGATGGCCATCTGCCTGGCCATAAAGATGGCCTAGGGCAGTTTCCCCCCGGATCTGACTTTGCGCAACTCATGCTTGCGCTGAAGTTGAAAGGTTTGTTCAGTAGCTTCTTTACTGCTGAAGGGAACTCATGAATTGTGAAGGGAAGCGATATAGGACGAAGAAGGAACGACTCCGTATGGAGCGCGGCGGTCCACCATTTGCCGTTGATGGTAGTTTGGACTACAGTGAAAGTTAGTTTTCCCCCTTCCCCTTCCTGTGCCGCTTCTGAACACGAAGCTGATTTCATCTTGCTGCAGTGGAAGATCCTTTCACAGTTCTCTCGGTACTCCTTCCCGAACCTCCTTCAAAGCCCCTCTTGACGCCAATATACCCAAGTCAACCGATCACAGACCCTTCTGAACACCGTCTTCCCGCCCCGATCAATCTCTCACCAGACCGCCCTACGTTTCAGAGCACCATACCCACAGAGAAACGCTCATCTAGTGCGAATAAAGGCAAACAGAGAAGGCGACATTGGCTTATTACTCGAACCACAGTCAGTCGCGGTAAGGGCAAGGAGAGGGAAGAAGAAGAGACGGTACCGCCCTGGAAGACACCTCGAGAACCCCATACAGTTGACTGGGGTTCTTTCGCAATCTTGGTTGATAAGATTGCGCAGGAGAATCATGCTCGGGGGGTCAGTGTCGACTTGAGTTCAACGGAGAGGTTGCTCGACGTCATCAAGCAAAGTGTTGAGCCGAAGCTAGACGACTATGAGCTAGAGGCCAAGCTTCTACCTGATGTTGTACCGACGCTGGAGAATTATTGGGACCAGAGGGCAAGACAGGCGCAGGATTATCTTCAGGATGTCGTTTACGGTGGTGTTGAGGGTTTGGCGTATGTGCGTAGCTTAGCGGAGTTTTGTCGTCGACCAGATGATATGGTAAGCAGCGTCTGTGTCAATCGATCTACTCTCCTGCTGAAGACACTTTTCCCTTAGAAATTCGAGGACGGTGGGCCTACGTATTCCGCATTGGGAATGCCTCTCGCGAAATGGGTAGAACAAAATGTCGTCGACCATGTCACTGAAGGGCGACATCGGCTGCTCCGAGAAGCATCACTCCGCCTACAGTCTCCAAAGACACCCATAGACCCGACGACCGCCAGATACGTGGACTTATCTTTACACGTTTATCCACGTATCCTGCGACAAGTCTATGAACTCCGTCAGATTGCTGCTCACAAACTCGACATGGCTGCCCTCATCAAGGAACCAGACGAGCTGTTCTTGGCTGACAACGTGTGGGCTGGTGCAACTTTTCTCAAGGAGCAAAGGCAGAAGATGGAGGAAGAGGTGGAGAAGGCACTTGCTGAGTCGCCGGAGAAGAACGCAGCGGATTACCTCGCGTTTGCCATTCAGTCGCACAAGGAAGCGGAGTCAACGCCTGCGCCTGCCTATGAAGGTCCGGAAGTCATCACACACGCATTAAACTTCTCCGCGGACCTAATCTCCGAGCTTGGGTCGTCTAGAGCACGCAAGCGGGATCGAGATACTATGGAGGCGGAGGATGTCAAGATGGAAGATGGCGGCGAGCCGGGGAAGTCTGACAAGGAAGAACGTTTGTTGAAGAAGTTGCGCCTGAACTTGCTGGCTCTTGCGAAGAGGGCACCGTTGGACACTGTTGCGAGGTTACCGGCGGATTTGGTTCCTGAGCATATCAGACCGTACATTCCGACTCTGGCTTCTATCCCTGCATCTTCATCGACTGCTTAGATTCATACACGAGCATCAAGGGACAGCTTTCATTTGTATTTTACGTTGCAGTTGTGTATTGTTAATATTGTTGCATTAGATCCCTGATCACTTCGCGTGGAATGTTGCGCAAACAGTCGGCGAACAATAAAACTCACACAAATACCACTCACGCCATTATCAGACCCAGTCCAGTGAAGCCACCGATCGGGTGTTCCATGTTGAAGGTTTCACTCTGTTTCATTACCGGAAGTATGTATTTCTTGCCGCTGAGGCAGAATTCCCCGTAACATTTTCCTCGGGCCACTTGGACTACCGATGTTCAAATCGCAGTATGTTCCTATACCGCATTTATTGAACGCATTTTGAGCTTGTCTATAACTTGAAAGTTTGTCGTAGCGACCTTCACTGGAGACGGCGCAAAATGCCGTCACTACGACTCTGTCAAAGCACCAGACGACTGCTACAATGATACGTGTGTGCTTGTGGTGTAGAATGTAAGATTTAACGCCCCTGTTGTCGGAATGGAAGACCAGCGTTGACACGGACAATCAGATGGCGAAGGCGACTAACAATTGTAAGAATATAGAGCAAGGGGTATAATCATTCTTGATACTTGGACTATCTATTGGTCTAGTATTAGAAGAGCAAGGTCGTAAGGGCGTAATGAGGCGTAAGTAATAAAATAACGGAGATGGACATCGAGTCATGAGGTGGTCATGAAGCCCTTTTGTTGGGACGAAGGCGAAGAGATACAAGTAGGAGCTGAGCGGAGTCATTATCGTAAGGTACGTGAATTGAAGAGACATGGTGAAATACGATTAATATTAATAGGGCAGTGCGAAAGTCCGGAGTCTCCAAAGCGACATGCAAAGCTAGATCAAAAAGCAATACAGATACGACACAAACCCTATAGAAGAGGAAAAGGGGACCAATACATCGAGGCATGTCCATGCGCTAGTACACGGACATCATCCTCGAGCTGGGTATATGATACTGCGGGGTGTGATGAGAGACATGTTGCGGTATTGTCGGCATCTGAGATGGTCGAGATGGTGGTGGTGGAAGAACGGTGGGTCGTGAAGACGAATGCCTTGAAGACGAAGATGAATGCCTGGAAGATGACGAAGCTGGCCGGGAATCGGACCAAGAAGGTGGTGCAGAGAGGTAGACACCGGGCATGGCTTTATATATTGGCGTCAACTTCGGCGGAGTAGGTATCGGATATGTCTTCGGTGGCGGCAATGAAGGCGGTGGTGGCTGCTGCTGCTGCTTAGGTGCATGCCATATCAACGCCGATTTCGGAGGGGGCGCTGAGACGGACGGGTTCAACGCCGTGTTCGTCAATCTGATTGCGTGCCGCATCCGCTCGCGAGTCTCTTCCATGAGTTGCGGCGGATACCTCTCATACCCCATAGCACCGCACATGTCCTTGAGCCAATTCTCGAGGATCGTGCGTGTCCACTGCACACCTTTCTGGTGGTACCCAAGAGTGAGTATGCGAGCGATATCGTATGGGTCACTCTTCTGGTATCGCACAAGCTTGAGAGCGACTGCCCATGACCAGCTTACACCGATCAGGACGAGGCCCCGAGACTCATAAATGGTATTAATCGAGATGTTCTCGGGACGATAAGCATCTTCGTAGACAGGATAATACGGCTTTCCGTTTGCACTTGAAAGATAGAAGCATAGTTGAGACGAGACATCAACAAAGGCGAGAGTTCAAATCACTCACTGGTAAGCCACAGGAAGAGCTACATCAGCATGAGAGTTCATCCAGTCCGCGCCCAGGCCAAAATGTTTGGCAGTTGAGATGATGCAGGAGTTCAATTGCGCCTCAGCATCGTAGATGCCCGCTTTACGACATTTAGTCACAAATGGGCGTAGGCAGAAGTCAATGTCCCTCGTAGAGTCGCGGCAGGCGAGACGGCGGTGGAGAACCATTACGGCTCCACCGTGAACGACAAGTCGTACCTGTCTGCCAGCGAACGACCTATAGAGACCCTCTGAGAAGTGACCTAGGATAGCAGAGAGGTTGTCGCGGTCGAGGAGAACATCATTGTGCTCCTTGAGGTGAGGCATTCCGGTCTCAAGCTGCTAGTGGTGAGAGGGAAGGGTGAAGGGTGAAGGGTACGAAGATTACAAAGAAAGGTTTTTCAAACAACACCTAGATGAAAAACTCCAAGATGACTCCAAGTGGTTAGCGTTTGAATGAAGCCACGAGCTTGTCATTTAATAAGAAAAGTAAAAAGTGCCCTCGGGTATGAGTGGAAGGAGAAGAGGAAAGGTTAAAGGGCCCGCGACTTATAACGTCGCGCGAAATTTGCTGGGGTCTTATGAGAACCATGATCGTTTCTTGTATAGCCCAATATGTACCCAACAAACGGAATGATGTCGCCCCTGGATATCCGACATGCGAAACGCCCGCAACGTGCATCAAGCATGTACACCGCTTGTCACTAGCACCCGGACTCGGACAGACGTAAGATTGAGCGCAACTCATCCGAATGTCTGAATAACCATCGTACAGCTTCACGGCGAGAAACACCTCAACGCCTTACTTCAGCTGGGCCACCGCACACTGAGTGCCGAAAACAACTCCCATGTTTCGCCGAGAGAACGAGACAATTGGTTTGACCTCCTTGGAGCTTCCCAGCCATCGGTCACAGGGTGAGAAAGATCAGACTCTTTCTATTGTAAGGGTATGACGGCAGGGAAGACAGGGTTTAGTTCACGAGACTGATGTCAGCTAAGTACAATAGCGCCGTGCCATATTACGGTTGCGTACAGTGGCGTTAAGACGCGGCGCTTTGGCTTCACAATGTTGGGAAACAATGTCCACGAAGAATAGCAAAACTTTAGTTGACTCATATGAACCTACCTAACCGTGGCAGTTATAGGGTAACATGCTACTTACATTTCATGCTGCAGTGGCGGAGGGCCTTTTCTGAACGGTCCGAAGTGAACACGATCGACCAGAAGCCGAATAGTGCAGCTGTCTAGAATTCATTAACTTTGGCTTCGATATGCAGTTTTAACATTGCATGGAAACTCTAGAAAGGTACTATGAGCTGCACGGTTAGTAGGCACAGCAAAGCGCTTACCTTGCCAGCGAAAGTTCGTCCTCGAGGAAACCTCGTTGCACGTCATTTCTAGGGATCGAAATTCTGCTGGAATCGAAACCTATCCCCGATGAATTGCATTGATTTTAAAACCATTTACGAGATCGAGAGACGTGAACCTAATACCAATACACGAGGTCTTTGATCCTGTTGCTCTGTTGAGACGAAAACATGTGCATGGCTGCGTCTGCAAATCGAGTCAGTAGAAGGCGATTGATAGTGGGCTAGGGTCAAAGCACAGATCCGGTGTTCAAGGCATTGGTGGATAGGGATTGCGGTGCCTATGCGTCCAAGTATCAATGCTTTGGTATTCAATTGCACTGATGGGTCCTCAGTCTTGAGTCATACAGAGTTAACTGCTTTAGTAGGAAACTCCCTATGGAGCAAACCTTGTAGACTTGCTTGCCTTGAACTATGCCCGCAAGGAAAGAAGTCGAAGTATGATCACCAAAGAGCGAATCCGACGGAGGACATATGTGATGCTCCGTAACAGCATATGCGTCAGATAATAGGATCATATCGTATTATCCGCAGTAAGGGCTGGGTAGAGAACCGATGACAACTGCGGCATCCCTGCTGCAATCCAGGGATCCTACGGAGAACGACTCTAGCTCGGAGTCAAGAGCCATGACTTAAGCAAGGCACAGCTAGAACGATTTCGAGTTCGTGTGGTATACTGACTCAAGCCGCTTCTTCTGAGGTATCTATGATTACATGACTGGCGTCTGCATCTTCTATGACTTCGACTGGGTGTCGATGCCGCCATTCGTTCAGTCCATGTTCGAATGTCCTGTCGTCCAGTTCACGGCTCACAAGACAGAAAGTCACACCTGACGGCGGGCGCAAGTGAGTATATGACATAGGAGCGAGGTGAAATTCGGGCACGTCGGGACATTCAATTTGACATACGCACCGAGTGACTCGACTTCTTTGTTCCTATGTTCATCATCAAAGAAAAGCTAAGCAGAACGCTTCTGAGACTGCATTGTTTTGTTGAGACAAAAGTTCAAGGACATACCATCTCAGAATAGGGGATACCGGTTTTCTGATGCAACTTCTTGAAATGAGTGATCTTGGAACCTTTCAAGTCACCATCATTACGAGAAGCAACCAGAACAAGGAAGCTAGAAACACGCACCTGGATAGATTTCCAGTTGATCAAAGAACTTGATAGCTTCTCTTGGTTTTATATCCTTGTGCAGTGGTGGAGGAGGTACAAGGAGCAAATCTAGCGCCTGACGAGCTCTGATCGGAGTCAATGGTTGTTACATGCACGAGGGTACAAAGAAACGTACAACGCAGGAGCAGCTGTACGAGAACAAGCTGCTATAACAACTCCGGCCGACTGTAGACGATGCAATATTTCCGCGACATCACGATAGAATGCTATCTTTTCGCCATATCTTAGCGCGACAGATGAAAATCAATTCGAACAAAGACCATGATGTATCCAGTACGTACCTATCACGAACAAGATTGAGAGCTTTTCCATCGCGTTTCAATGGTGCTAGAAGCAGATGAAGTGCATTCGATATGAGGAACCCTGCAGGGAGATCAACATATCATCGACGTACGGGTAACATGGGTATCTATCCACAGATCCCAAAGAGTATAGCTGTTCTGGCGGTGTCAACTCAGATTCCATATTCGTATCAGCGCATGCAAAATGATCAAAACTTACTCTAAGTCGAACGCGATGAGCTTGGGTAGTCTACTGGTCATCGTCGTCGAGCCTAGGACACAACTTCTCCGGGCGTCTACAGCTTGCTGCAGTTGTTAAGCGCCTAAATTGGGCGTCCCCGAGCTAAATGGTATCTTTTGCTTAGCGAAACGCTTGAAGCTCACTTGAGGTCGAACGACTTCCACAAAGGATTACTGACTTTCTGTACGATCTTTTTCAAGATTCTGTTTTGTGTTAAATGACTGCTCGTATATCTAGCCCACCGACGAAACGTATTAAACTTGAGTCATCGCTCTCGCCTTCATTGGAGCCGCAAGATGAGCTCAACCCTGATGTTACTGCTGCCCTTGAAGAAGAGGATGTCGAGCAATGCAGCATATGCCTTCAGCCTTTAGCTGGCCGAACCTTGATACCGACCTGCTCACATGAGTTCTGCTTTGAATGTCTCCTAGTCTGGACAGGTCAGTATCCTCGGCCTCCGGCTCACTCAGCTGTTACTCATGCTCTTGTTAGATCAATCTCGTAGATGTCCCTTATGCTCTCAGGGGATTGGAGACTATCTCATCCATCATATACGCTCAAAGTATGACTTTCAGAAACGCTATCTGACAGCTTTACGCACATCGCCAAAGCCGCAACCATTACCCCCGGTCGCAGGTGCGAGCAGAGGTCGACGGTCGGGTCGCCGTAGAGATAGAGACTGGGGTACGAACACACGGAGGGAACGCGACCGCGAGTTGGAAGCTATAGATGCGCTTGATAGAGCCATAGAGAAGCGCAGGTGGGTATACAGGCACCGATTATACGCCAAGGTGAGTATAGCAACTCATGCTATTACTATGTGCTAGTAATTTATACTCACCCCTTGCACTCAGCATGTTGCTTCCAATCCCTATACTCGTTACCGCGCTTTCCCCACGCCGGCACAGTTTGCTGCAAATCCCGATCTTGTAACCCGCGCCACCATCTTTGTTAGGAGAGAACTACGGGTGTGGGGTTGTTTGGACGTGGAGGTATGTATTCTATCTCCCACTTACCTGAGACCATGTCCGTGACCGGACAAACTCTATCCGATCGTGGCTCACGGTGGCTGAATATTGATGCTCACTATTTACTGATAGTTTCTAACTACTTTCACGATATCTCTCATGAAATCCTTGGATATCCGCTCTGAACCCGCCATCAAGCTCTTATCGGAGTTTCTTGACCTAGATTCAGAGCATGAATTGCAAGTACGAGGTCGCAACGACGGTCCATGGGCGAACGCCGAGCACTTTGCACATGGTGAGCTATGATATTTTTCATTATTATTCATAAGCATCGGACATCTTTCCTTCTGGCTGAATGTTAATCATATTTTGTTACCATGTCTACCGTCTTATCGACTGCGGTTCTCTTACCAACCTTTTCATTTACGCTAGAGCTCTACTGTTACCTCCGCTCACCGTACCGAGATCTCTCCGTGTATGATACCATAGTTCAGGTATGCGTTTAGTTCCACTCAATTATCTCTTCTTATTTTCGGATATCTTCTGACTTCGGTTCAACTATCTACCATAGTACGACGTTCCTGAAGGTATTCCCCCTCCATACCACCCTTCGAGAAGCAGCAGATGGCAATCCAGATCACCTTCATCATCTCGACGACGACGACCACGCTCACGATCGCGGTCACGATCGCGTTCCGTCTCTCGGCCGGGGTCGAACCAGGCTAGGGGTGCTGATACATTATTAAATCGTGACAACCGGCGTGAGGTGCAAGTTCGTTCACGCTCTGGAAGCAGGAGCAGGCGCGATCGGCGACCGTGCCCAGTGGAACTCTTGGATGAGGAGTACCAGCCCAAGGGGGACAAGAACAAGACGGAGAATGCGGTGCGGCGAGATATCAAGGGCAAAGGCCGCGCCGTTGACGATTCAGGTTATGCGGATTTATCTGTTCACTATTCAGTCAGCGAGAAGGCGGAGCAAGTTGCAAGAAAGGACATTATCTCGACTCGCGCTGTAGCCGTCTCAGTAGACGTGCCGTCCTCTACATCCGAGAATGAACCCATATCCGCTGGGGACACGGTGCCATTGGCGCTCCGACAAGCGAGCTCCGAGGACAAGTCAGCACTGGAGAATGATATCCGTGCTCCTCCATCTTATCGGCAACGTAGCGTCTGGGACTCCATGCAATCTCATCTCACAAGAGCAGCAGACTCGAGAAAGCCTAGCAATTCGGCTCTGCAGCGGCAAATTTCAACACCCAATGACAGCGAACGTCGGGGAGCACATCCTGACAATTCCATTCACCCCGTTACCACCAAACCTTCTCTACTGGACCGCTTGTCAGATTCCTTACAAAGCGCTAACTTTCATGAGGCAGCCAGCTCTCGAGGGCTCTCCCACGACGATACTTCTGTCGATCTCGTAAACACCCCTGACCGTATGGATTCCAAGAAGAGCCGCTCAACAACAACGACTACCCTAGACATCGTGGCGTACACGAGGGCACGCCTGTCCAAAGTCTCGCGCGATTCTGTGTCGCAATGGTTGCATTCTGGCGATCAAAGCGGGAATAGAAGCATCCAACGGACGCAGGATTCTCGTCGTATCGACACCATACCTGCGCCTGGCTCCGCGTCTCTGCCCCTATTGACTTTACCTTCCCCTTCTACACCCACTGCTGTCGCTGAAGCGTCAGCTGATAGCACGCCATCATCTTCAGACCTTCGTTCGAAGCTCATGAGCAAATTGGGGACAGAGAAACGTCTACAGCAGCGATCTGGGCCTAAACTCGTGGACGATCAAACACCCCCACTTTCACCTCCAGACGCCGAAGGCAACACAAGTAGGCTTTCAAACGGCCATGGCGACAGTCAGATGAAGGAAGCCAAGCTGCGTAGCCAGGCACAGCTGCGTGTTAGGTTGGCATTGGAGAAGAGGAAGGCAGCTGACGATCTTGGAGATCAGTGGCATTTATCTGAGAAGAGCGATGAGGCGGTGGCCTTAGAGTCATCTGAACGGGAACTGCGGTTGAAGGCGAAGTTGAGACGAGCACGAGCTTCATGAATACCATGCTTGCTTTGCTACGCTTCTTCTACTGTACTCAGTTCTGTATCTGGAACGGTTGCAATAAATGAATTTCGCGCAAAGTTGCATTACCCGACCTTGGCGACTTCAAGGAGGCAAACTTTTCAATGAACACTAATATGACGTCGTATTGTATTAGTATCTATGACATTGTGAATTGTACAGTATGTATGAATAATGTAGACAACGAGTACTATAATGATAAATGAAGGTGCGGGTTCTTTAGAAGCATTAGCTATTAAACAACGGGTATTCTAGATCATCTAGAAAACAAACGAGAGATTATAATGGTACTGAAGGCTGGTAGTGTATTTCCAGATTCGTACATGTTAGTTGGCTCGAAGAAAACAGTAGAAACGAAAGTATTATCACCGCATGTCGGGATGTGTATGATAGTTGGCAAGATATTCGTAGAAGAGACGTAAAAAGAGCGTGAAGATAAACAGAGAAATACAACAACAGCTGTGAGGGAGGGTGTAACTTGCTCGATTTCATCGGCTTGGATCATGGTGCCCAGATGGGTCCCTGTCGTGAGTGCGAGAATAGGAACGCGAGGCGGATGGTCCTGGCAAAGCGCCTTGTGTTGAAGACGATGCAGAACGGACATTATCGCCACGAGTTCGAATGGGAGGTAAGGTAACTTGCGAATCCGCAGAGCCTTCATGCAGTCGGAGATTAGTTAAGGAGGGTAGTTGGAATGTAGGTTGAATAGGAGCGGATGTAGGCTGATAATGAGTGGGACTTGATCGTGGTTCGTACGGTGATGCGTGTGGACGGCTGAATGGCGAAAACACCGAGTCATCCCAAAGTGGCCGGGGCTCAAGAGTGAATGGTGGCGGTATGTGGGTAGGAGCAGTAGGAGACTGGACTGGTCGTAAGGAAGAAGGTTCTCCAGGTACCCCTGGAGAAGGAAGTACTGCAGGTGCTGACGACAACGGAGCGAGTCGTGCTGCAGCAGGGAAGCCACTGCTCAAGGACTGCACTGGAGCTGACTGAGCAGCAGGACTTGGAGAGCGGTGGATCCGAAGAGGCGGAAGTACAATGGGAAAGTCGCCTTCGGTCTGTCGCCTCCTGCGATGTATGTCGCTAGACTGGGCAGTCGTGAATTGGGATTCAGTTAACTCCTGCGACGTTGATGTGCGGCTGCTCAGGTGCGCGTACGAGGAAGGGGGATGGGTCGGTGAGAACTCAGCTGGACGAGATTGAGCATAGAGATCAACACCGTACCCTGGAATGCCAACACCTGAGCCCGGAACTCCAGGACCTGAGAGCTGAGGCAAAGAACTCCTTCTCCTATGTGCTTCCGACGAGTATGTCTCTCGTTGAGTGTAGAAGTCTGCGCCAGCGCTCCACGACGCGCCTAGAGGGGCATTGTAAGAACGTGACTCTCCCGTAGGACCGGTGATCATTCGTTGCTCAGCTCCCAGGGTATTTGTCGTCTGCTGGACAGAAGATGACGCGGTGGCTGAAGTCTCGGCAATGCTAGCTAGCGGTACGTTGGTGTATGGCCCATATTGAGGAGGACGCGTAAGAGGCGGCGCATTATGCCCTCGAGGTCGCCGTGCTTTCTGTCGTTGGTTCTGAAGCAAGGAGTTAACGTGAGATTGAATACCGAGTGCGATCAAAACTTGCCTGAAACCAGATCTACATACACACGTTGATTAGGTAAAGCATTAATAGGACAACACGTAACGCTGACTCACTTGGACTTTACGAGCACTCAGCCCGATAGACCGACCTACTTCTTCCCGCATAGCCGTTGTGGGGAATCTCGACTGGATTGGACATTTAACAAAAGCTGAATTAGAGTTCAAAAACATACCTGAGCGAGGAGTGCATGTAGGACTGCTGCCTGCTGAGGAGTTGTTAAGGTACGCGTGCGTTTCTTCTTTGGAGGTGGAGGAGGTTGCTCCTCCTCTGTAGGTTGGCTCGGACCCGCTTCCATTTCAGTGTCTGCCATGTCTCCCTGCGAAGATGAGTCTGAAGGACTGGAACGGCTTACGCCCTTCCCCTTATCCCCCTTCTGCTCCATGTCTGCTACTGGCTCCTCCGAAACGGGTGAATTCTGGTCGGTATGTTGAGATGAAGGCGACGAAACGGGTGATTGCTGTTCGAGCGTGGGTTGGTGTGTCAAGTGATGTTGTGAAAGAGGGGACGATGACTTTGAGGATGAGAAATCTAAACGTGTGTGTGTAGGGAACGAATCGTTACTATTATAACTTGAATTAGGAGGTGGATTAGGTTTAGGTGAACCGAGCATTGGAAGGAGGGAATACAAATTCCCCCGAAGTGACAGTGATACAAGAGGAAAACGAAGAAGAGCCTCAAAACATGGAGGGAGTCATGAATCAAGTTGGGAGCGGTGTTCAAAGTTCAGCGCAGGTCGGACAAATGTATGTGGAAAGACTGGTGAGGAAATCTCGAACCCGATTAGCGGATCGGCATATGAAGGGAGAAGACGACGACAAGAGTGAACCGATAATCATTTGTTGTTAGGAGGAGAGACAGTATGAAAGAGAGCCCCTGGTCCTTCGCTGCCTTGGTTTCCAGACATGGGTACCAGGCTATACCGTTCTCGGTCATGGCGGGCTCGTGACGATGGACTCACCAGGGCAAGTAATAAATTGGTTGGAGAGCGTTTAGATCACTCTTTATGGTTGTTGTCCGATCGTCGTGTTACTATGCAATATATTTTCGCGACGCGTAGACGTCGAAACCTTACACGCAGCCTGCTGTGTTTATTCCAAAGAAACCGCCTGAAGCTCTTCGAAAAAATTATAATCTATGCCATCATGATTATGACGATGAGCAGGATGTCCATAGAGAAATGCTCACCGGATGCATGGCAGCTAAATAGTTTTGCGTTGCTTGTCAATTGATGGAGTTCAAGATGATCCTCCTAAATTGTGCCTACGAGCACGCGGCACCCCTGTATGGCAACTAACCAGACGCCTAATCGAGATGCAGATCGCACTAACGCTTCCGGCTCGAGGCAACCGCAATTGGTATGTTCTCCTCCTAATCTATGTACCGTCAAACTTACAACCTGAGTTCATCCATCGAACTCGAATATTGCTCCATGGCCTTGAGGACTCAACGTGTTCTCCTGAGGTTGGGACCTGCGAGCGTGCCTCGTGTGTAACAATCGGTTCTAATCCTGACTGGAAACTATGGAAACGTTTACCTCGCGTAGGCTAGATTACTAGCAACGGCTCGCAACACCCGACTTCAGTACTGTTGCTCTCTTGCTTGACATCTCAACACGTCGTACGGGTTGTACTTCGGATATCTCCCTAGGCTGGCTGCGGAGAAAAGTCAAAGCGTACTGACTGATTCAGTCATCACCACAGAGTTTCGACAGCGTGCGTACAGAAGGCCTCTATGCTTCACGACGAACACCCTCTCTAACCCAACCAGGGTCGCTGCCTCACAAACTATAGTCATTAGTATTTCTCTCTTGGCAATGGATGCAATTATTAACGGTCTGCGGATGCATTTTAGTACCCTCGATACCGACCGCATGGATCATTGGCTTCCTGGATCCCTGTGGAGCAACGGTCCATTTTTCAAGGACATTCAGCGTGGCGCTCAGCTCTTGGTCAATAACCTCTAATTCCGTCTGGGAAGCCGCTGAACGTCTTTGCTCATCGCAGTCGAGTGACTATCGTTGGACAGGTCTGGTGGGTCGTCCTCGTCCTCGCTTCTAATAATCATCTAAGTAGTGCCGATATTTCGACGTCCGGTCCATGCGTCTTCTTCCGAGTCGACGGAATTCTCTAGCTAATGAGAATTATATTGCAATGAATGTATTCTCGAACTGGTTAATAGACAGACCCATTCCTCCGGTTCTATTGCATATTGTACACGACATCGCGAAGTTCTTCTCATCGGGTGCGATTCTACTATATCGGATTGCTATGCCAGATATCGTTAATTTTCGGGAGCAGATCTATTTCAATTGTCACAGTTTAGACTGCAGCAATTGAAATGTGGATCGTTATCAACAGCTTCTAACATGATGGTCGTTGCGTATGCACAGGGTTCCGGAGTTTCCATGCCCCTACATAAGAGGGTATTCAGCAACATGAATAAGCTATTAGGTAAGGTTGTTGGAAGGTTGTTGAGGGGAGTTGCGCAGTGTTGATTGACACGAGGATCCTGTGAGACTCGCGTAGAATAAGCAGCAGTGGTATACTCTAAATCAACTGCTGGTTCCTATTATACCGTTTTGCTGAGCTGGAGTGATACCTTAGTACTTGAAAAGACGTTAACATTGCAGAGAAGTGAATGGTTCCGCACGTAACAGTCGTGTCTGGCACTGTCTGCGGCACCGACAATCGCGGGGAGGAAGAGCAAACGTCACACATCACACATCATGTGCATGTGACATGCGCGGTTTCTTGTGACGCTGCCCGAAATTACGTTCGTTCTCAAGTTTCGCTCATCCTGATTTCTTTTGCGTAAGATGCTTCATGTTCCATGTCAAAACTATTCTCTAGTTACTGAATGTCCAGTGAAATGGACCGCGACTCAAGAGAAATCTCTCGCCAAAGACTTCCCTGTGGAGGTTACGAAGGAAACTCCAGAAACGTGTGTCTCGCGAGTTTACCAGCAGTTTTTATGGTTTCCAGAGGTTCGTTGATATAATCTATATTTGGGTTGAGAACATTTCCTGCACATTCTAGCCTTACGGCCAGCGATCACACGCAACCTTCAACAGCATTCGGTTTCACAATTGAACTGTTAGCTCACTATGAAATCTAACTTTGACAGTCGATTGCGCCGCTGCAACATCTCGTACCAGCCCTCCTAAGGACAAGCCTCAGTGCGATTCCTTCGTCTTCGTCGATCTCCAGAGATCCCCTCCGTCAAATTCTACAGTCTCTACTGCTCACTCCTCGTTCGGCTTCGCAAAAGTATCAGAATCACGTAACTCGACTGCTTGAAGACGAAGATGCTATCCCAGACTTGGAGGCCAATCTGCTCTGGTATGCGGTTAAGTACGAGAAGATTGATGTTGACGAGAATGCCGATGAACGCCAGCAAGAAGTAGCTGAAGAAAAATGGAAGTCCGCCTGGCTTGAACGTGTGGAGCGACGCGAGTCCGTCTTCTTCATTCGACGCGTGTATACGACTTGTGCTAATTATTTTCTCGTGCATTCGAAAGAGTTCTTATACAGATCATCTTGCATTTTCTCATTTTGACGCGTCCGGAGCCGCTTGTGGAGGATCGGGGACATACACCTGATCCTCAGCCGCTATCGCAATCGCCGCGGAAGCGCAAACGGAAGACGCCTCCACCTGACAATATGTTCTCAAATGACGAAGTCGAAGACCGATTGGAAGCGTTCATGGATAAGCTTTGCATGTGGCAGTTGACGAATGCGCTAGACGATATCGTTGCGAGCAATACCTCAACGTCTAAGCAGGCTATGACTGCTTCCTCCAAGGGCAAACAGAAAGCTGTGGACGAGCGCGACTGGATGCAAATATTCTGCGAAGATGTGATTGAACCCGTGTAAGCCTTAGACGTCCAGCTCTTTCATATGTGTGGACAAGGCATTTACTTAATGACTCTTGACATTTCAGCTTCAAATCAACCCTTCCGTCATACTGTGAACTTCTTCGATCCAAGGTGTTCCCAAGTTCCCCCTTCTCCGACGATTCAGATTTTGATGGATTTCTACCTGCTTCTGACAACATGGCATCCAAACGTTTGAGAGCGTCCGATTCAAGATCCTCCTCACGTCGGCAGTCTCCATCGCAACACTCTCATCCCGAGGCTTCCAATGATCGTATACTCAGCCGATCCCGCTCACTATCACAATCCCTGGAGAAAGAACGAGAACGATCACGCTCAGTGAGCGTAGGTCCTGGAAACATGAAGAAACCGGCCTTGACAAGAGAAGTCAGTATGAAGACGGTATTCAAAGGCAAGGCTCAGGAGCAGGCGAGAAGGAAAGAAGAGGAAAGGAGTAGAGCCGCGCGTGCTACTAAGAAACCAGTACAGCAACCCCAAGTGCGGCAACGTAAAGACCAAGGGAGGACACTTGTACAAGCTACGCCAGTCAAACCGAAAGGCAAGGCACCTGGTGCCGCCAAATTCTCACAAACTACACCGAAACTTCCTATGTTATCAGTCAAAGAAGAAATTGAAGAAGAGGGGGATTGGAGACCTCTATCAAATTCGCCAGATATTCTTCTTCTGGGCTCAAACTCAGGTGGTTGGGATGATGACGATGAGAATGAAGAACTGGACATTTTTGGTACTCCAGTCCGAAAGCGAAAAGCTGGAAGTGGGACGCTTCTAGTTGGGGCGACACCCACCAAAGTATCATCATAGAATTCTCTTGATGGTCGTCGTATTTACCAGGTTGCGCCCTGCATTCACGTTGGAGACAACACGAATTTCATTTGGATATCTGTGATTGTCGTGTTGTTTTTCCTGAACGGATCTTTTGGTATTCCCTTGTAAGGTGATTCCGCATTGCAGGGATTATCCGATGTAACTTACATTGCAATTGCCTTATCGGTATGTATACATTAGAAGCTTTGGACAAACAAGCGCATCTGCATATGTACTCCACCACTTGCCTCCCAATTTCGTCTTTCGTCGGTCGGCTGTTGGGTACGTGTATTTGACTCGGCATGATCGACTGACCAACAATCTGGGTGGAATACAGCATCTTTTGCATTACAAGACTAGGACCTTTCGGACCCAAGGCTTAGTGGAACCGAATAGCTGTCAAACGTCAAAGGACTTCTGGAACATACAGCTATATCGATCGTTCAGAGATAAACATGGTATGCGTGTGTTCTACCAAGGCTGCATAATCAGATGTATGTCATTGTTCCCTGCCACCCAGAGTACCAGCACCGCCGCGGTCGGAAGCAATAGCGCACCCGCAATTGGCGGGAGCTTGCCCACAGAGACTGTGGATTTCGCCCACCGCATGTTCGATGCTGCACGAAATGGCGATAAAATACTCTTGGAGGCAGCTGTTGGTGCTGGGTTACCCGTCAATCTAACCAATCCACAAGGTCGGTATGGCTACCCTATTTCTCGTCTAGTTCGGACATCACATTGATATTTGCACAGGAAATACTTTACTCATGCTGGCAGCATACGCTGGACATGCTGAAGTTAGCAAGTTCCTTGTTGACAAAGGCGCAGATGTGAACCGCTTGAACGATCTTGGTCAATCTCCCTTGGCCGGCGCTGTTTTCAAAGGTTACGATGATGTAGTGCGCGTGCTATTCGCTGCAGGCGCGGATCCTAGGTCAGGAACGCCTACTGCCATTCAAACAGCCCGCATGTTCGGAAGGACGGATTTGTTGACCCTGTTAGGAGCGAACGAGGAGGATATGAAGGAGAATGTTCCACTACCACCTGGTCCACCGCCAACTTCGGGGTAGGCGGACTCTAGTTATGCCGTAGTGTCTCGCAGCCCTCAAAAGTTAATTTCCAACCATCCATGATTGCGTGATGCATCCATTATGATATGTACAGTAAAGATACTCCGGAATAGTCTGTGAACGATAGATCTATTGTACAACACCCATTTCTCTGCCAATCTCTTTCAAGCACTCCTTTACAACAGCTCTAGCATCAAGTTCAATAGCCCTCGCCTCGTCTACAGCTCCAGATGTGACGTCATTCCATGCGATACTTTTCCTAACTTCTTCAGGTTTCGCAGCATTGGAGGCATCTCTACTGGCAGTCTTCCTAGCATGGGTCATTACCCAAGCTGTAGGCGTTTTCCTTGGGGTGGCGACGATCTCAGAGAGAACAGGATAGAGGTGGAAGAGATGTGCTTTGGCGGAACGCTTCACAGCATCACTAATCAGCTTTGACGGCTCCAAGGATTGTTCAATAGCTAGTTCACAAATTAATGATCAGGACATGAAGGTACAAATTAGAACATACGTGGTTGTTCGATGCAGTAGTTTGTGGGGCTGTCTGATAGCGCTGCCCAAAGAATACCTGGCCACAGACGCAATTCCAGTAATTTCCGTAGAACATACAGCAGTTCTTCTTCTCGAATACTGAGGCAGGGTCAGACAAAAATCCGATGCAACGAGATGGCATAGGCTTACCGTGGGAATGGCATGGTACCCCGTAGGGCTTCATCTGCGACGTAACTGACGAGCGTTGTCCGACAACGATTCAGCAGCGAAGGTACGCTGAGCGCCGCGACGCGTTTCCTAGATTCAATTCGATCTAGGTCGATTCCAGTATGAGTGCATGACGGCGGGCGAAATCAAACAATGTCAAACCTTGAGCAGTGTCGGAAGAGATCAAGAATAACAGGTCGAAGCACCAATATGAGAATCGTTCGCGAGGAGAGAAATAGCCGACTTCAGTTGTGCCAAGCACTATGGTGCCATCTCCGAACTTCTCCACTTTGTCGAAACTCCGAGATCTTCTCTTGGAATCGTCCGGAAGAGAAGTCGGCGAAGGTGGCTGATATTCATCTGCCTCACGCAAGCGGCTTCCTTGAGAGAGAACTTTGGCCAGCTGAGAAACGACGTAATCGGGTACCCTCAGGTCGCCCAAATGAGGAACAACGTCGATCTCAAGCGACGCAATGAGAGCTAAATCAAAGTTCTCCTCTGATTCTTGCACATCAAGAGGGAAGTTGTCGGCAGGAGAACTAGTCCCGGATGAGCATAAGGTTTTCTCTGGCCCACGGAGCATACGCTTACCAGTCGGCCAAAATACCACCACGGAAAGTCTCGATTATCTGTCTCCAGATGCCTTCCACTCGCTCGTCAGGGATATCTGGGAATGATATGAGGCTGGTTAAACATTAGCAGGAGTCTATCTACTCACTTGTACCCAGACTCTGAATTTGAGCACCACTCTCTTTGACGATTCTCAAAAAGTTGGTTGTTGCAGTCTTCCACAAGGGAGGGTCTTTGCCAAACTTCGACGGAGCAGGACACTCATACTTCATCTTGATCGGAATGGCATAGGCCTGTGGTACCATATTGTCAACGGACACACATAAGAATCAAACGAGATACGAACAGAGAATATTGCTTCGACAGTACCGTCCACGTATATTGCTGCATCATCCTTGAATCGTAAGAACAACTCAACAAGGAGGGGCATAGTCTTCTTAGACAACGCAATGTACGTTACGCGTCTCTGCGAGTCCCGAACTGGTCTAGGAGACGTGCTGGCCAACTTTGAGGGTGGTTGACTACCAGGTACATCGAACGCTGCTATGAAAGGAAGAGTAGAGAACTCGGACAGATCGCGGAGGAGAAGGGAAGGCACGCCAGGGCCCGACATGTCAATTCCCTCAATAGCCTCCAGCACAACCGTCTGCGAGGAACATTTTCAGCCTACGATTTCGGGCTCAAAAATTAATTCAGCAAACCTGGACGGGACTATGAGCATCGATATCAGGACGGAAGTCGGGCGAGTGAGGGTACGTCAGGACGTCTATTAAAAATATATCAACAGAAACGACACAACAGTATTGACAGGCTTACCCTTCAGGATCGCCATCATTCGAGACAAGCGTTCTAGCGACCACTCATGGTCGTCGAAAGTACGGAAGACAGTCCGGGTACATCGAATGGCGTCAACGAACGCCATCAAACTCTCTTGGGTATAAACCCTTGGCAAAGACTGCGAATCAGGCGTACTAAGGGGAGTTACGAGTTGCTTCTTCACGACGGCTTGACCCATTTCGTCGCAGGCCTGCCAGACAACTTCCAACGCATTGATGACTGAATCTTTCAATTCCGGCTCGGCGCTGCCCAGAGCTTTGACAGCCTTCTCCAAGCATCGAACTGCCGAAGCACTGATTACGGGACTGTCATTGAGCCATGAATCCTTGATGTGGCCGACAAAAGTTTTCCAGGCATTCTCGAATGTGTCAAGATATATGATCTTCGATGTGAGGAAATCATGGAAAATGGAACCAATCGACTGCAGCGCTAAAACTTTCGAATCATCCCATTGTTCAGCCTGAGTAGGCTGGTCCGCTTGGGTCGAAGGTTGTCGAAGGTAAGAGGTGATGGAGTCGAGGAGAGGGAACGTGACTTTCCAGATACATTCGTCCCAAGTGCTGAGGCTGAGCGTCGCGCCATACAATTGTAAGGTTCGGAACAACGTCTGGATGGCACCTACCCGAACCTCGGGACGGCCATCGGTGCAGAGTCCCAAAATTTCCAAGAGGAGGAACATCCACAGAGCGCTGAATTCGGCTTCCTTATCCTCATCTTTTCGTTTTGCTTGAATCGAATCAGATACTCCCCATAACAGACTTTCCGCAGCCGTCAGAGCAATATTCGTGTCAGCTTGACGACCAAATTGTCCAAGGGTCGTGATACAAAGCCGGAGGTGCTCTGGAGATAGCTGAGACAAGGAATCACAGACCAGCGTCAAGGATTGAAAAGCAATCTTCACCAGCGATGTGTAACCTTTCTCCGAAGCATACCCGAGAGGAGGCAACCGATGTCGTGCTGCACCTGGTGAAAGAGGCGAAGTCACTTCTGCCGAAGCTGGTTTGCAAACGCTTCCCAACATCCCGAAGATCACCTCCCAACCAATAACGAGGGTATGACCGGATGTCTGCAAAATCTGGTGTAATGTCTCCAATCCCATCCTTCGGAGTTCTACGTCGGTAGGAGAAGCAGGGATATTGTTGTCTGGGATAACCTGCTGAGCCAGAACGTCCAATACCCGGCGCTGAACCTTTGGTTGAAGCTCGCCAGTAGTCGATAGGTTGCGAGGGACCACAATGAGAACGTCATCTAGAACGCGAGCGGCTTGCACCCGTATTGTGGAAGGAGCAGAAATGTACTTAATGACAGAAAGTAGATGTGAAGTAATCACGTTCCAGGCAACATCGGGATCCCGATAGATGAGACGATGAATATTGAGAGTCGCCACACCACCAAGTTTTCCAATGCTGAAATCACCAGTACGCTAGAGTTTTTTTACACGGAATATTCAGCAATGGGAGTTGTACATGCGTAAATGACTTACCAAAGTGCGAGGCAAATGGATCCCGCTCACACGTCTTCGATGAGCGGCTTCAGACGCTGGCGAGAGAGGAGAAAGGAGTGGGCTGTTGGATGGTAACTCATCGGTAGACTCGGATTCAACAGTAAGGGTCTCGCTCCGTTCTGATTGCATGCCAACCATGGCGGCGCTTAGCTTGCACAATGCGGTCACAAAGTCATGGAAAGCCCGATCATCGAGGTTCTTCGATGCGTCGAACAACCTCTGAATTGCGTTCACAAGCGTTTCCGGATCCGCATCAACCAGCATGGGATGTCGAGATGACTGTGTCTGAGGCTGAGGAGTAGTTGGACGAGGCGTTCCAGGCGGATGAACTTGTGAGCTAGTCTGCGACACAGGCATCGATACTGCGCGCCCTGTTTGAGTAGAACCAGGACTGAGGGTATGACGTTTATTCGATGCTGATTTGGCGCCCTTCGATGTGAGAACATAGTCGGCGTTTTGAAGCGCCTCGAGGATGTTGAACCAACTTTCACCAAGGCTACCAGCCAAGAATAAGGCTGACGAAATGAACACCTTGAGGCATGCCATGTTACGTTCGGAAAGACCAGGAGGTTGTGGCGGACCACTTAAGCCAAGATTTTCTGATAGCGTGTTTCCTGGTGTCCGCGGTGTTTGTGGCTCCACATAGTTCTCCAAGCTAGAGACCACACGGGTTGGGACAGCAAACTTTGCAAGGCTTGTGAAGAACGCGTCACGAGGTGTCGTAAGACCTAACATGCCTGATACGTTGGTCATCGCTTGATAACTTGACAGGACGTCTACGAATAGGTCATCCGAGAGACTGGTTGCTATGAGGAACGAAAGAGCAGCCAACAGTGCTGGCCATCCGGACTCAACCATGTTATGCACCGTTCGCAGTTGTTTGGTAGTTGATTCATCCTGAGGCAACGAAGATAGGTCAAGGGCGGGAGGAGCACGGATGACTGGCTCTCCGGCTGAGCGTGGTCGTTGTACCATTATGGAGTTGTACAACGGACCTACGAACGACGCGAAACCTTCGCAAAGTGATACCAGACACTGTACACCAAGGAGATAGATGTACGATTCTGGTATTGGAGGGGAATCCGCTTTATCCAGCTGATCGATACTGAACATTCCAGGTTAGCTCACGTCATGGCGGCGCTAAACACACTTGTACTGACCATTGCAGCTTCATTGCGGAGCCTTGTACGCTCAAGCCGGCTTCCGAACCCATCATACCGACCATGCCGGAGACAGTAGCACTAGCAGCATTGGCGACCATCCCAGCAACGCCGCCAACGTCAAGGCCATAGCTTGAACCTGAATCGGGCGCAGCGGAAACACCGAGACCATAAATCTGTGAACATGACCCAAGCAACGCAGGTTTCTCAGTAATCAGCCGCTTCAGCGCTGTGACTAAAGTGCTGAAAACTTTCGAGCCGGTCTCTTCTGAGTCATATCGATCCCAGACGTTACGCATGAGTTCGGCGTCACTGCAGAGCCTGTGAAGAAAGAAGATTCAGGAGGATTATTTGGCTAATACCCGCAGTGCTTACCCACGCATAATTTCCACGGCAAGAACTCTCACCCATAGAGGTCGCACTCCGGGTAGATGAGGAATACTATCCGTAGACTGAGCTGGAGGGGCGCTCGAACTCGAGTCGCTATCCGATCCAATGATCCTGATAAGAAGCATTAGAAAGACTTCCGCCTCAGTCTTGAGCTCTGACGAGAACTGCTTGAGGAGCAAAAAGACGACCCGAGTGGAACGTAACGTGAGAGGGAAACTCGGTCTGTCCGATAATGCCTTGAGTACTAGTGGACAGAGATGGTGCTGCAATAGCAGAAGTAACTCTGTATGCTGAATGGCAAAGTGCATGAGTAGAGGAACAGCAGAGGGTAACCAGTAACAAACCTTTCGGAAAATATCATGATAGTTTGTCAAAACACTTTCGATCAGCTCCAGTGCAAAAGTCTTGCGTAAGACTTCGAGATGAAGAAATTTGGGCTTTTCAGAGTTGGCCAGTAAACATAGGTCCTCGAAAATTGAGAACGCGTCCTGAGCCGAAGGAGTCAGTCTGGCAGTGTCGCCGTTGGGGAGTATTATTTCCGATAGATGTATTTCGTCTGACTCGTCCCTTCGATCTTCATCCACGACCTTGTCAAAGACAAACATGACAAGCTGTCGAAGAGTGGCCGCGGCTGTGGAAGATACAACAGCAATTCTCGACTCCTGCAATTTAAAACATAATAGGAGAGCCTTGGTATTCAATATTCATCAGTACATCAGTATCGGCTATGGAAAGGCCAACACGATCTCACCTCTCCAAGCAAGTCTCCGTGAATAGCAGGGAAGTTTGTAATAAGCGACAGCAGCGTCTGCAGAATACGCAGTTGTATGTCAACGCCTTGGTTCATGCAGTCGCTCATAGTACTGATGATACGGGGGACTGCGGAATGAGGGACGGCCTTGAGGGCTATGAGACGCTGCAGCGAGCCGAGTGAGATGGCGACCACTTTAGCATTCTTCGTCGCACAGCCCATAAACACAGGCTTCAAGAGGTCATCGGATTGTGGACCATCTATGTAGTAGATAAAAGATGAGCAAATGCATTCAGTATTGGACGTGTTGGGTGCAGGACGACCTGCAGACGAACCTGAAGCCAAGTTCGCCGTAGCTTGCTCCGGAGATGACCTCAAGATAGCCAAAGATTTCTCTGCAGCCTATAGACCAGCCAGCTTTAGTCCATTGTTCATGTTACGATGGAACGGAAAACAAACACCTCGCGAACATCTGGATGTTTTCGTCGGGTTTCACTGGCTAACGACTAGATTCGCCTCAATGCCTGACATGAGAGACAGATAAGAGTATAGCGCACCTGTAGCTCAGTCACCAAGAATGCCAAAGAGCTCATAAGTGAAGCTCAGGGGTATACCACAAATCCGAGAATGTGATTGTTATACAACGACTGGCAGACAATTCAAGTGAATCGATTCAGAGCTAACTCCAGAAATCGGTATTCGCGTTTCCACCAGTAAGATCCGGGAAGGTATACTGAGCTCTGGTGGCCTTTTTAGATTGTGATATTGTGTAGTACTATAGTCGTGGCCGTTGAAAGCAAGGATGACGGATGCACCGACACAGGTCATGTATTCAATGTATGCAACCGCTGCGGCTTGCGGGCCGGCCCAACGCAGTCACTTCAAATTCATCATGTCATCCAGTTGGTTTGCGATCGAAAAAGGCAACGAAAATGACAGAATAATATTATGGTGCTAAGTCTATGCAGGAGTCCATCGATACAGGTATTGTCGCAGGTCGCTCGCCTCCAGGACGCAGCGACTCGGGCTGCTCAATGAATACAACATTGAACAGTCACGGTCCCTCCATCCAGTATGAAATTATGAATCACAGTGAGCGTGGAGGTGTGAAACCTGAAAGGGCCCAGTTTTACTGTATCCTGTCCCATTGCTTCATACAGGAATATCCATCGTAGTCTGTAGAATGGCAGGTTAGCCATACGTTAAGAGACATTAGTAAAAGTACTAGACGTACCGAAGCTGTGATCAGGATTACATGAGCACTTGCCCTTTTCCCACTTTCCTGGACCCCTTGGACAATGTGTGTAGGGATTGTGCTCATAGCCGATGTCGTCAAAGAAGTGAATCTGGTCTTTCCGGGTGAAGAGTGAAACAGCAATGCTGTGTACTGGAGCATCTCCCCAACGCTATCACAAAGAACAGAAGAAAGGTCAGACATGCATTTCGTGAGAAAGATAAGAGAGATTAGAGCACTAACCTCGTAATAGAATCCACCGGTCTTATCGAGGTGGTCGAAGAACTTGGAATAGGCCTCTCCTCTCCAGAAGTCCATGTCGGCAATCTCGAAGTTGCTCCAGACTATCAGGATCGTCGTTAGTACGTCAAAGGCGAAAGAGAGGGACAATGAAAGAGAACGCACAGTGGCAAAGGTTGAATGAGCTGCCTCCATTATCTGACAAGTAGTTCACGGCGTTATTCTCGGCGACATACTGAGGGTTCTCTTTGATGAAGTCTGCGGCGACACGTTAACTTCTGAGTAATAAGCAGGATAATGAGAGCGAGTCTTACTCTGAACGGTTTCCCAAAGCGTAGGAATTGTAGCCAGATATTCATACATGGTGATTGTGAAACCTGAAATGAAGGAGAAAAGGTCAATGAGATCAATCTCAGTACCAATCATGAAAGTCACGCACCGTATACTTTATTGTTCTCCTGCATATATGCAAAGGGGTCGAAGTCGATATCACAGTGGAAGTGAACATCGGGCCTGGCGAGGCGTCAGTTTACAACATGTCTGACTCATATACTCGTACTCACTCGACACGCCAGTACCACTTATAATTTTGCAGTATAGGGTGACGATAGAAGAACTGCACACTGTGTTAGCAAGAAGCATATGTCGAATGTTGGAGGCCGGACTTACACCTGAATTGAAACGGCACATGTTGCGGTATCTAAGGGGTGAACGAGTCAAGCCGCTACTTCCATGCATACGAGTGATAGTGAACTACTTACGAGAGGCTACCTAAAAGCGAGATGTCAATATACAGACGAGGGGTATTGTCCATAGTAACATACCGCCATAGATAATGTGATCATCCTCCATCTTCTTCCTTGCAGCCGTCGCCTTCTCTTCGTCAATCCAGTCGGGTTGGTACCAATGATCATGTGGTATTTCACCAAAATGCACCTCTCCGGATACGACATTAGAGATACGTCTACAAGTATAACGATCAACCTCAAGTGCTGCGGATGAAGACTACTGATGCACCCACTTTTTGAATTCGTCTGAGAACGGCTCCTCGTTCAATAACACCCAAGGATACTTAAACTTCTTATTAAACTTATCCTCCAGCTCCCGTATACTCCTCACGGCGCTGTCGGTGTCACTATTTCGAGCCAACATTAGGAGGGTGGCGTTGGCTTTGCCAGCTTGAATGCCACCAGTTACGTTGGTCTCGGGTGAGATATAGTATGAGTCCGGGATGTCCTCTAATGTTGAGGATGATGAGGACCAGGGAAGCTGAGCAGCAATGTTTGAAATAGAGGTTGCTCGGCCATAGTCTTCGTGTGTAAAACTGAGGATGGAGTGAAGGCCAATCTATACAAGTGAACCACGTAGGAAGGTTAGATAGAGGTGGTGAGAAACAGTAAAACTGGGTGACGTACAACCAAGAATATAACCAACAAGATATAACGTGTCGTGGTATTCATGGTGAACTCGATCCCAGGCTTTTTAAATTGCCTTCTGGAATTCCCAGCTCGCGGCACCTTTCCAGGAGCGCAGGAAAAGCTAGGTAACGACCAGCGAACCAAAAGATCCCTTTGAGATTCTCGTCAGTCGTGAACGAGAAGACGATTTTGACACAGGGCCTGGAGATGAAGGAGAACTGATGAGATGTGCGGTCACTCGAAACCGTCTTGACAGCTCTCTAAGCTCTTGACTGTCACAGAGGCTGTGAATATTCCTCCGACTTGGCGGTAAGCATTACTTACAATTCTTATAATTATTGTCTTTAGGTTATCAGATGGCTTTCTATGCTACTGACACCCATAGCTTTGGCTGGCGAAGATTTGACTTTTATGTAACATAGATCCACCAAATTCACCACATATCTTTATCAATTCGTCTCCTACTTTCTACCCAGCACCAGCCTCAGGCTCGACAATCGGTCTCTTTCCCTAGCTCTACCCAGAGACGTATAACGATGTCTTCAGCGAATGTCACCTCCGAGGCCATATAAACGATAGAGCTCAGCAGAATCTCCGATGATCCCGAAGCAGATGTCGTTAACTTGAACTTCCACGATCTTTGGACTATGTTGGCTCTCGAGTCTACTGGTTCTTGCTCTAATTTCGACTCACCTTGCCAAGACTATGTTCGTCCTCCCTCAATCTACCTCATCGGAGCATAGGAACACCAGCGCTATCGTTCCTATCCGAAGAACAGGGATCGTGACGCTCGATAGAATAGATACCTGCTTGACATTCTCTTACCAAGCTCGCACACTTGCGTTCTTCACGTTTACACATTACTTACATTACGACCTATAGGACGAGGCCACTGAAGCAGCAATGACATCTTTTCCCTTCCCAATCCATGAACGTTTGAACTCGCAGTCTCGCAGGTGGCACAATGGGCACATTTGAGTTTGATATTCGCATCAATCTTACAGCGACTCTTTCACACTGTCATGTCTTCTGTTGGAAGGCGGTGACACCAATTTTTTATTCCTTTCGTATTCGAACGCTTTTCATCTTGTCGCACAACCGTGTGAATGGCTAGTATGCTATAATAGAATATTTGGAACCGCGTCTCAGTTTACCCGTGGATGATTAACTTTGTGTGTTGGTTTGGTAACTCGTTGTAGGATATCCCTCGGTCTTGAAGCTTGAAGTGTCGCACTGCATAACGCACCCGGCCAAGCTTTCGGGCTCAAGCTTCAAGAGCCAGTGACAGGCTTGACCCAGGTTGATTTATATGCACTCGGCGGACGTGAACATGTATACCAAGCTTGACCTTGACCTATACTTGACCTATACGGATCGTCCCTCCCTCTGCGTACTGGAGACTCAGCTTGACCGGGACCCGGGCGATCGCACTGTCCGGATGTTCTCTGTCGCTCAATGGTATGAAAGTGTCCATATGTGATTAACCATGCTTACTGATTTCCATCAGATGTTGCTATAGGCGTCACGCTGCTTTGCCAAATGCAAATGATTGTACACATCATAAGGGAAGCTGAGCCCTCTGCTCTTGCTTTCGAACATTCGCACACATTGAATTGTTCTTTTTGCATAACATGGAGACCCAGTCTTCTGAAGAGTTCCAGGGAGTTGAAGCCCCTTTCGACGATCCTAGTGCTGATCTAACTCTACAATCGTCAGACGGTCATCACTTTCATGTCTATCGTATCATCTTGGCCCAGGCCTCGTTGCAGTTCAAGACTACTTTTTCTCTCCCACAGCCGGCCACTGAAGGTGCTACCGTTCCGGTCCTTCCGCTGACAGAAGATGCAAAGAGCCTCGATGCATTGCTTCGTATAATCTACCCGACCCGCTCGCCAAAGCTACCTGGCGAGGTCAGAGTTATCAAGAATATCTTGGAGGCGGGGAGAAAGTATGAAATAGAATTGGTGTTGGATGCGTGTGCAGAGAGCTTATTGGATCTCGTTGAGAAGTTGGAGGAAGCAGTGGACAGTGAACATGAAGACGGAGCCAAGGACGGTCAGGGAAATCAGTTCAAGACTTTGGCTGTTACCACTCTTCAGGTCTACGCCATTGCTTGTCAGTATGGCCTTGAAGATGTGGCTAACAAAGTTGCACATGTCACATTGTCCTTACCGCTCCCCGTACTGGTTAGCACCCACGTTCCGGAGTTAGACATGCTCTCTGCGAGCGCTCTGCAGCGACTGCTGGACTATCGCATGGAGTGCGCAAAAGTGGCATCCGACTTCGACTCGATGGAGAACTTACAATCCGAGTGGACCGAAAGATATAGGCCTTGCTTGCTGTACTGGGACTTCGACAATCAGGTCTACTGTCGGTTTTGCAGATGGAAGACCGACAACCAGTCTAACCCTGTTTCGCCCGAGTGGTTAGACAGATATTTTGGTTGGCTCTCGGAGAGGATTCACGAGATGCCGGGAAGGATCGTGGCAAATAGTGAAGAAGCAATTCTGCAAGCTAACGAGTTCGCCAGTAGATGCACTGACGGCCAATGTACCTTGCTTCGTAAACTTCACTTCCCCGCTTTCGCAGATCTCGTCGCGTCGACCATAGAGGAACTCCTTTCAGATGTGAGTGTTTCGGTCCTTCGATAGACTTCTGCGTTACTTGCCATACTTATTCTCGTGCTAGGTCCCGCTTAAATTCTCTAAACAAGCTTGACAGCGCTGAAGTCGAACACCGTAAAGCAAACGATATGGTACGCGTTAGTCACTCGCGGCTATGTTCATCCTGTACTGACGCTATCTCTTTCCTCAGAATCGACCAGTACTGTCCTTTCCCAAATTGAACGGATTTACTAACAAGTGTACACCCGGAACGTTGAGGGTAGTTGCAATGCATTCATCTTCTGATACTCCTATCCTCAGTAATTTAGTTGTTCGAAGAATTGTTGTCAAGGACATCTGACTGGAGAACTTCTGCGAGATGGTCTCATTTTCAACACATTCTCTAGCATTGCTGACCGGCAGTTGATTGTAGTTGATGCGGTACAAAGCAGTACATGACTTTCAGACCCTACGGTCGATCTGTTGCTGAACTTTTTCCCGGCCACCGTTCTCCCAGTCATCCCAGCACACCGACAAAGATATTGTATCTCGTCCAGGTTTCCCTGACGCAGGGTCACCATCCCTCAAGTGTACATGTCCATCTGCACCCAATTCCTTCGGCAAAACCCAATGCCATCTGAGAATTCCTTCGTCCCGGAACCCCACCCTCTCCGCCAGTTGTTTGGATTTGATATTTTTGCTATGACAATGCCACTGGACGCGCCTAAGACCCAGACCAGGTGGGGATGCTGTGGGAACATCCAAACAATATTTCATCAATAGCCCGACGGCGTTGCTCGTAACGTGGGTACGTTGGAATGCCGGGAAGATCATGACGAACGCGATCTCCGTGACCAGTTGTTCTGCGGAGGTGTCGAACAGTGAGATGAGCCCTGCCAGAGAGCCACCTCCCAACTCTGGATGCGCATTATCCGGACGCGTCTTGTCGATGATAGCGAAGGAAATGTTTTGGGGATCCCTCCGAACGCGACGTTCCATGAAGGTCAGGAATTGATCTTGAGTCGGGATTACGAATGGGTAGAACCGGAATAGTTCATTATGGTGGACGGACAGAACTTCCCATGCTGCCTTGACGTGCACTTTCGGAATGAATGGTATTAGGCGTATACGATCTGTCTCGAGGCTTTCGGGGTGGATGGGAAAGACAAAATTAACATCGTACGGGTCGGGACCGAGCAATTCTTCTTCGGCGAGGATACCAAGTGCAACGGGACGTCTGTATGAATTGGTGAACGCCATGGTGGTCAGGCTACGCAATAGTCAATGTGGTCACTTCAGTTGCTTTATAGTGTATTTAACTCCGCTCGAGTCAGAAAGATCGCGGTTGATCACAATGCCCGCAATTTGATCTTGGCGCCCGAATCGGGCGTAAATGTGCAGATATCAGTCAGACCCTGTGCATGACAATGCATCCCTACGGTCTTATTAATCTGCAGGATTCCGAATTCCACCCAGAAAGTCGCAATATGCCATAGGCAAACGGTGTGGTTGATTTGCCTTGCTATGTGTGTTCGATACTGGCGACACGACGATCGATCGAAGTCGAAAACTCACTGATAGGTCAAGACTTGATGCACAGGGGCCGGAACTAGGACTTTGTAACTTCCACGACGTCCCAAGTACAGGTAAGCACTTCTTATAAGTGGTTAGAACAAACACATTGCTTATAAGTACTCAAACGGGTGTAGCCAAAGTCAGATTTGATTGTCCTGGATCAAGTCGTCTCAGATATCGTCAAATTCTCGAGACCGTTTTCTAAGTCCACTCCTACAGTCCCTATTGGTCCGGGTTCGAGTTCGCTTGCTGTTGTTGTCGCGACCGTCACCTGCTTTCCATTGGAGGTCTCTTCGACAGTCGCCTCTGCTGAAGGGCCAGCGGATGTTTTGAAATCACCAATGGCCGCTTGTGTTTGTAGCATTCGGAACCATTTGTCTACTAGGGCTTTGGCTCGTTCCCGGAAGTGGTATTCATCATTCATGGGGACTTTCTCTGGCGATAAGACGCTGATATGTCGCATCACTTTGCCGATTTTTGAATACTAGACATAGGAGAAAACAAAGTATCGTAAGCAATTTTTCCGTTTTGAAAACTGCCCAACGAGGAAAGGAACCTCACACTAAGAGAGGCCACTGTTATATGTTCATAACATTCAATGACGTTGAATAAGACGTTCATTTCTGACGCCGCCTATAGTATTGTAAGACTCAAATCAGTGTCTATAGGATCCGGTGATTACTTGAAGATCTGCTTACTTCCTCGCGGAGAGACACTTTGTAGAGAAATGCCTTCTGGAGTCTATGCCTCCACTCTCTAACCTTAGCATATTCGGGATCAACCTCCTCCTCCGGCAGAGCGGGGTTGCCAGGAAGCAGCAGCTTCGGTATGTTCACGATGTGATAAGACGTTCTATCTACGCTATAAGCAAACAGCGACTCATCTGAGGAGATGGAACGTACACTGACGGCCGCTGCACGTCTCCTTGGAGAACTGGAGCGTGTTTCATGGCATCGTTAAGATACATCCTCACTGTTGAAATGCTATCCAAAAACGGCCGGTGTGCGTCACGACTCTGGGGATCAGCGTAAAACAGTGCTTGTGAAAGCTCCAAAGAAGACGATGCAAGGGTCAATAGATGTCGGCTGAGGCCGTATCGCTCATCATCTGAGAGATAATGAGGCTCAATTTTGTTTGGGGCCTTAAGGTCCTGCGGCGAGAGGAGTGGAAGCTGTTCGTTGGCAGCTATAAAGGCATCCCGAAGCGTGCATATAGGTCTTGATGAGGATGGGACAGCAACCACTTCGTGTTGAAGGTTCGTACTGGACATCCCCGTCACTGGACAATGACATCTATAGGATGGACGATAGGCTTTATAGAGAGAAAATGACAGGGGACAACTATGGGTAGATCAGGACCGTGATTTAGGTGAACACATGTGTTGTTGTTACGTAAAATGATTCATCACCGACGGTCATATTGAACGTAGTGTAGTAAGACAAAGCTTCAAGACGATAGTGATAGTAATTTCCTTCATCGTCGTATCCGGCGTTATTGGACATTGCCCATAGTGCCTTCGTCCCGTGGAGGGCGTTCACATTCCCCCATTTAGCAATACAGATAACACTTAGACAGGATGGAACATCCAGATTTGGTTGTCTGCGCCGGTGGGACCCTGGACTGGGATCTAGAGAACATAATCAGGTTAAAACAACTGAATCCGATTGGGATATGCGTACCTGAGTAACCGGAGTCGAAGGCGACGTTAAACATCCAATGCCTCCCGGATTTGGCCAGCCGCAAATGCTAGTAATGCATTGCGTTAATTTACAACGTAAGGATGGAGAGGATGGCAGCGACATACGTGAAACCACCTGGAGCAGGGTCAATCTGAAACTCAGTTTGCATAGTAGGGTTGAGCTCAAGAAGGAGGTTCTGTCCCAAGACATGCTGATCAGTTGACCTTAAAAGGCTCTAATGTAGAGATGAACTGACAGATAAGTTGACAATGACCCCGCTGTTTCCTGCGTTCGATTGAAGGGTCGCAACGTTGCCACCGAATATGTCCACCCTCCACTGAAGAGACCAAAATCATGTTTGAATCCGGAGAGGTAGAGAGAAACTGGCTTACCTCCTGGTTCGAAGTCGTTGGGTTGTTGAGAATCTGAACAATGACCTGTGGAACACATTTGGAATCGAAGACCGTCAGAACTGAGATTATGAAAAACTGACGGGAGTTCCTGCATCTGGTGAAGAAAACGTCAGAGAATTACTGAATGCCAATAGGATGGGAACATACTCTGTTTGCGGTCTTTATCATCGATGTAGAGACCAGTAGCTAAATTCTGGATGCGGTACGACCCAGAAGGCGGAAGGCCTTGGATTGCGGCTGCAAGAATATCAAAATGCATACACACGGAAGAGCTTGAAAAAAAAAACACACAGGGTGCGGCTGCGGCAGAGTTCGACAAAGCCACGCTGAGGACAGCAAGAGCAGCGAGCGTATTCACAATCATTGCAAGAGAAAAAGATTGAAGTGGTCAAGTGAAGATATTCGTATGTCTACTTCAGACTGAATGAGAGTCGTACCTGCAACTTACATTTTATACTCACATATGGTCTGGAGATCTAGTAACGCCTGCCGGAGAGCATGGAAATGCGACATACGGGGATTCCTACGCACAAAGGCACCAGGATTCAAGGCCGGAGACAAGACGACCATCGGTTAGACTACATTGACTGGACACTCGAGAGCGAAAAGGTAGCGCAGGACCAGGGGTAGATTTAACGTCGGCGAGTGAGATTCAGGCGCTGATATACACAAAAGCCGGAGACTGCCCATTCCTGAGCTGGATCCGATGTTACTGCTAGTTGGCTTTAGGAGATATTGCGCAACATTTCAACCACCACCTCCGTTCACGATCGGCTTGAATGCGAGAGGAACACTGCAGACAGGGCCCTTGAATATGACCTTATGGAGATATAGCCACGATCAGGGTCATGCCAACTTACGAATAGATTCCGCAGCTTCCTCCTCTGATTCAATCACTCCAGTGCGAAGGAAACTGATGAGACTTTGTCAAGGAGGGATATGAGTTGTCAGAAGTAATTGAAAAGCAGGATAGTCCAGGACGAAGACTTAAGGGGAGAGAGAGACTTGGCGGCATTTTCAAGACACCAGTTTCGAGGTGACCAGCGGCAAAAGAACTGTAATGCGCACAGTATTATGAAGGCAATACAATCTTAGGTACTAGTATCGATATCGCAGAGAATATTAGACGCTGGTCGCAATCCATGAGAGGGTAGAGAGGGAAGAAAAAACATCAGTCTTCTTGTGCCCCTTGAACCTCGTTGAGTTCATGGGCGAGCTTCACTACGTCATTCTACGGGATAATTAGTGGCAAAATATGGACAGCCATGGACACTCACGCCACTACGACTGATCTTGACTGCGGGGTCACCCTCGCGAGCATTGCGAGTGATTGTGTTTCCCTACATAAGCAGAATTTCCGCCGCACACGCCCAAGGACATTTAGAATGACGCAGACCCCATCATCGCGGCTTACATACTTTGTTACTTTTCACTTCAGCTTTGCCTTCTTCTATTATCTCTGCAACCTTTCCTTCTACGTTGCTTCTTCCCCAACGCCACCTGCATCCGAAATGTCAGCACGGCACGCTCCTTGTTCATAGCAAGTTAACAACGTACGAAACATCTTGTCCTTCATGGAGTTTGTCGGCCATTCTAATTTCTACGGGGCTTGTGGGTAGAGGAACAAAGAGAAACAACGTGAGATACTTAAAATCGGGTATGGAACAAGTGGATGGAGTTGACAGTTAAGGGGTAATTGGCGGCTGGCTTCGAGTTATATACGAACTTCAACCGCGACGTCATGAATGTTGTTCCGCGCCCACTGGTGTCAACAAGCGGATGTTCCGATCGACCCACGTGGTGGCGCACTCGGAGTTGGAAGTAAAGTAAATAATTTCGGCGAGCAAGCGTGTTCCTAGATCCCGGAACCACATAGTGTTAATCAAAATATACTTCATCGGCTGACCGCTGCAGAGAACCGAGGGTAAATTGTTTGTATCCAAGAGGGGCAGAAGGCCGAGAACTATGGACCGCAGTACGCGACAGGCAGAGTGATTGTCCTGGATTTGGATGCTCTGAGGCTTGCAACGTCTCTTGTTCCCGATGACACTTCATTTTCTCCGGTTGGGAGGGAAAGCAAGTCGGAAAGCGGTTCTACGGTGAACCCTGACGGCATTCGGAGGAGGTGTGGCTCTCACTTGAGATGGCTGTTTTGCGGCTGAAGTCGAGATAGGCCATGCTATTTTTTTAGCTCAGGAGTAGCTGCGATTGTATAGCCCAAATAGAGTCACGAAGAAAGAAGGAACTCGGAGGGCTGCCGGAACGAGCCGAGGGTGGTCGACAACCCTAGAATGGGAGTTAGTTAAGCGTGGGAAAAGAGGACATGAGGCGGAGGACCGACCAAATAGAGGACAAGAAGTTGATGGCCTCGCCAACACAGTCCACCTGTCATATCTGCTTTCGCTCTTTACTTCCACGACCGCAGTCGGCAAACACGACGACAACGACGCACTAGACGACATTCTCGCTGCTTTTCTGCTCCTGCTCATTCTAATCTTACGCTTTGTTCTGGTAATCGCTCTGCTTTCCTGTCATTATGCCTCCCAAAACTGGACCGACATTGTTTCTCGGTTTGGAGCTGGCCACCGACCAGCTGCGCTCGTCGATCGTGGATGAAAACCTGGAGTTGGTGGGTGTCGAGGCAGTGGATTTTGATTCCGAGCTTCCCGAGTACCAGTGAGTTGCTTCGTTGCTTTGTCTACGTCCGTAATGGGACACATACTCAGCAATACGCGTCCATTCTCTTTCAATGACTCAGGACGCAAGGAGGCATCTTCACTACTCCAGGAGAAGCCTACACCACTCCCATAGAGATGTGGGTCAAAGCCTTTGGTACGTATCATTTCTTCGCGGAATCAAATTTTTCGTTGTCGTGGTCGTTTGTGTACGACGGTAAAGCTTATACCATCGTCGGCAACTCCCGACCTTCCTCATGCGGCAGCTCCTGTCCTTGCTCCAATATTCTCTTGTTTAATGGACAAGGTCGCAAAAGGCTCTGTAGCTACGCACTGGTTATGTCGTCTGGTCTCGAGACATCAGCGCTCAAGCTGTACAAGTAGCCCCTTCATAATTGGCCATATGTGATGGTTACCAGACTTGAGAAAGATATGGTATAGAGAATTTCGCGTCCAGTAAGGGTGGGGGTTCTCGATATTTTGCCAGAAGGCATTTTTAAGCACAGCCCATTGTCCTATGATCTTATCGCATACTCTGCTCTGGCGTAGCTCACAAGGCGCCAGGCCGGGCGTATCTGACATTCTTCATGTGGCGGGCAGACGAGCTACTCATCATGTCGAGAACTTGTGTCGTTACTCAGGCAGCTAATCGTTCGAAATTTATTTGCAGATCTTTTGATGGAAAAGCTGAGCAAGAACCATGACTTAACAAAAATTAAAGCCATTGGTGGCGCTGCTCAGGTGCTTAGTCTAACCTCGTTTAACCCGCTCACTGCTGCTGACCAGGTGACTTACTCTCTTCTGTATAGCAAGCACTCGTCTGGTGGAAATCACACCCCAACTCTCCTTTACAGAATCTTGATCCCCGCCTTCCCATACACGTCCAAGTGACCTCCCAATTCCTCTCGATACCCAACTCCGCCGTCGCACAAGATACTTCTGCCCATACTCACGCACTCGCCCTCGAGGCTGCTCTCGGCGGCCCGGACCACATGGCAGCCCGTGTAGGCACATGTGCTCATGCTTCACTAATTGCTGCTCAGCTCCTCCGAGTACGCGAAGCCTGGCCTGATATTTGGTCTCGCACAGGTCGGGTTCAGGTAGCGAGCTCTTTCCTAGCGAGTCTCCTTTGCGGTGGGTATGTCAGCATGGGTGAGGCCGAGGCTTGTGCGACAGGTCTTTGGTCACATGTGAGTGCAACCGGCGCTGCCTCCGGTACGCCAAGTCACTGGGATGAAGGCGTCCTAGAAATCGTTGGCGGTAACCGAGAGGAAGGCCGGAGAATATACAACTGGCTAGGCGACGTTGACATTTCTGGTGGTCGACGACGTTTAGGTACCGTTTCACGCTACCTCATAGACCGTTATGGGTTCGACCCAGGTACGACGCGATAATTCTTCGATTAACCAGATAGGGAGACTGAACAACTGTTATAGATACAATCGTCACACCGTTCACTTCTGACTACCTTTCTACGTATCTCTCACTGTGTCCTTCCCCGTCCGATGCTGTCCTTTCCTTCGGTCCTATGGATGTCCTGATGACACCTGCTCCTCACTTCCTTCCCACTCGTCTATTTCATATCTTCCCGCATCCCGCTCAAGACTCTTCTGAGAAGCGACGTTATGTCGCTATGCTCACTAGTAGGTATGTATGTCGGAGGATATATAGGGTATGCGACTGAAAATTCACACTTCATAGGAATGCCGATGTTCCACGTGCACTCGTACGAGACATGTATACCAAGAGCTGGAGCGCCTTCGACCGGCTAGTAGCTATTGTCCCCCCTGGCGGATCAATTGGGTAGGCGTTTCTTACGTATCTCCCTACCTGTCACTGACGATCGTTGCACAGTCTCGATGATAAACTCTTCAGTTTCTGGCTTCTTCAGAGCGATAGCCACCCTCTAGGTCACGTCAAAGGTATTTTCCGATTCGAGACTGGCGTGAAGGTCAACGAATTCCGTGATCTCCGTGCTAATCCACGGTGTCTCTTGGAAAGTCAGATTCTCTCTTTCCGCGCAAGGTGGTCCCGCATGATTGCAACAGGCGTACTTGGTCCCAACGCCGGTCGCAGTCGAAACGCGAGCACAACACCCAGTCCCATCTCCAATCAAGCCAAACGGCCTTCCTCTACTGCACATAACATGGGCCTTCCTTTCGATCCGTACGACTACAACCCCCTTCCCTCTCGTGTTCTCGCCACAGGCGCTGCTGCAAACTTCCCTTCTATTGCTAACCTTGTCGGCGATATTTTCAATGCTCCTGCACTCGTTCCCACTACCCAAATTGACGCCGCACAAATCGTACCACACCGTAATGCGCCTCCTCCCGGTTTTCCTGCTCGTGCCACTCTGGGCGGAGCGTATGTAGCTCGTTGGGTGTGGGGAAAGGAGAAGGGGACATCGGCCGGTACCGGTCGGGGTGGATTCGAGGAGGAGGTCCGAAGGCTGCTTGCCAAGCGCTGGGCTACCGCTGGTGGTGCCCCTTTGAGAACCAATATCAATGCACCCGGCATCACGAGCAAGACCGCAAGTGCAGCTGGCAGTGGTACGAGCACACCCTATGGTGGTCGCTCAGGACTAGGAGCCAACGTTCTTGTGGAGGTCGACGAAGAAGAGGTAGAGGAACTGGACAGTATCCGTCAGACAAACTACGGGCTGGGAATTGGAAATGCATTTGGTGACGGCCTTTCTGGAGCATCAAGACTGCGAACTATTACTGGCTCGACGATGGACTCCGTGTTGAGCGGAAGCACCCTGGGCGATACCCCTTCTACTGCTTTCACCACCCCTGACCTTGGTTCTATGACAAGTCCAAACCCGGCAGGCACAGGGGATACAAGCACCGCCACGCCACCACAATCAACTACAACTCTTACCCCTGTAACAGCGATGCTCACTTCCGATGCGGAGCTCCAAATGGGCCTTGCCAAGGTCGCGGACCCGGACGTCGATGCATTCATGTCGTACGCTGCGATTGTTCCAGAATATTGCAGACTCGAGGGGATGTTAGTGAAAGGGCTGGTATAATGGCAGTCCGAGTTTGTTCGTACCGTTGATCTTCTCCTTTTACTCGGTTGGGCTGTAGGTGTTGTCAGGAGACAAGCTTTCAAGCTGCAGCATTCAAAAGTTTCACAGCATTATCAGCAGTTGGACTAGAGAATCCCTGTATGCCTAGTATTGACTTTTTGCATATGTGATGGAGATGAAGCTTTGTATACCCTCCTCCAATGCTTTGGTAGTTATAGATGCTTTCTTCATAATCGTCGGTGTCCAATGCAATTTACACTATATATAGCACTGAGCTAGTCGCATTACGGTTAGTATGTCGGACAAGCGCCTACCATAACATCTCTAATTCAACCACAACCATGTTGACATCTTTCGGCGACCCCTACTCTGACATCGTCTTGAAATCAGCCCTCCTCCAACGTTGAATATAGGGATCCAAAGATATACTGAACAGTGCCTCTCCCATCTTCCGTGACTCCAGTCCGCCGCTTTTACCAGGATGAGTCGTGACCGACAATGGCCTTCAAATTCTGCAATATTGCTTTATCAAAGCTCCAAACAGTAGCTCTCACATTGAGACACATTTTGACTCCTGTCGCGCCCAGTTTTCCCTACTATGATCTCAGGGTTCAGCGCTCTGCAGTGTGTATTCGTGAAATTTTCTAGTACGTACTGTATTCATCTTGCGAAAATAGGGCAAGCAAATCGTTAACTTTCCATCCCACAGAGCCTGCATACCAACCTCAATGTCTCCGTGATATCCTTCCAAAGGTTATATTGTATAAGCCATTTGCATAACTAGGACCCTCTCGCATTGATCCAGTCTGCCACATTCTTTCCCCATTCCTCGCCTTCCCCACTACTTAAGCTAACTCCCGGGCTTATATGGTTGTGTCCCTTGAGCACGTCTTCGTCGACTTTCGAGGCGCGCCGCTCTCTCAACGCATTCACAAACAACCCATGGTCCCTGTCGATGGTCGCTGGCTCCCATTCATCTTTCAGTACCAAGATATCTGGCAGACTGTTTATGGTCTCCGGCGTTGCGTTCTTCAGGAGAGATAGTGGTTGGTGCTTTCGAATCTCATCATCCGAACCGTAATACTGCCTCAGAACCTCAAGATATGTGCTTAAAGAGGGATTGTCGACCGGGAAACTGTACGCTCCGCCAAGGAGTATGATACCACGGACGCGAGTTCGGATATCCTGCGATAGCAGATTGGGTGCCAATGCCAACGTTACGACGTGTGCAGCTCCTGCGGAGTTGCCCATGAGGAAAATATGGTCGATGTCTAGCTTGATATTCGAGTCCTGCGCTACTTCAGACGCATTGGCGATGATCCAAGCGATTGCTTGCCCGATGTCTTCTGCCGGTTCAGGATACGTTGCTTGAGGGACCAATCGGTAATCTGCGATAATTGTGAAGATCCTAAGTTGGTCAATAGATCAGAGGTGCGCGGTTTGCGCAATCGAAGTCAACTTGCCCAAGCTTCGCGAAGAATGCTCCAAGATTGCGATACACCAAGTCCAGAGGTGCTGGCTGCACTCTGTTTCCCGTATTGAACCCTCCGCCGTATTCAAAAAACAAGACAGGCGCTTTCCCGCTCTGTGTCCCTGAAGGATAGTAGACATCGAGCTACGAGGCCGTCCATTGACTTGGTATACATCTAGGTGGCTTTCCGTGACGCACTTTGTGTCTATCGCTAGCCCCGTATTGGAATATCTTTCTCGTCACATTCTCGATCTCATCCTTGCGCGCCAGAAGTTTGGGATAGAATGCCTCGATCGCTACGAGACAAGCAGCAAGTCAGGATGAAAATATTGGTTCTCTAGCCAGCAGGACGTACTCGGCACCAACACGACGGAGATTGTAGGATCTGTGAGGGTGGCGACAAAGTCCATCATGCGTTCAGTTCTAGCTTGCCATGGAGTCGGTCCCTTATATAAGGGTTCCAATGTTCACACTGTCCATGTGAAGAAGTGACCCAGAATGACATTGTTGGGATCGTGATTTCATGCATGGGTACAAATGGGCAACCTCGGAACGTCAACCGTACTTGAATAACCGTGATCTCGTTCTAAGGTGACATCATGATTCCTCAATCGGATTTTCCTATGACATACAGCGATACTCTGCACTCAAAGGGAGCTACTGCAAAGGATGAAGCTTCGAAGCCTCGAGGATCAGTTGAATCAAGCACACGAACGCTGTAATGACGGATTTGTGATCTGGGCCACCCCATGATCATACATATAGTTTGATCTTGTGAGTGTTTCCTAGGACAGCGACGGTACCGGGCTATAGAGTCGGTTGCAGATGTGCAGTAATACTATCACATTCTCCCTGTTCGCGAGAAAGAAAATGTTAGAGCGATGGCAGGAGGCATCTTCGGAATTTGAATTTAACATGGTGCATTATGTCGGACTGTAGGCCTTGCATTTATAATGATTACTCGCTTGAACTTCAGGTTGCTGATGAGCTTCGTCACCCTAGTCATAGCAAGACGCGCCGGTGTCTTCGATTTGATAATGCCTGGTGGTAATAAATACCATGGGACTGATCAAATTATAGCGCCTAGTATAACAGAATGGCAGAGAACAACCCCTCTCCTACCACCACCATAAACACCACGTTCTCCGAACCTGAGGCTGACATTGTCCTTCGTTCGTCCGACAATGTCGACTTCAAGACTACCAAGGCGTTCCTTGCGACGGTGTCTCCCACGTTCAATACGCTCCTTCGACCTGAACTTCAGGGTACCCCCGTTTTCAATGCAGACATCTTCACTCACGAGGATCTCCCCGTGCTCTTAACTCATACGCCTAAAAACGGTTTAGAGGCCCTGCTACGCTTCAGAGACAGCGATATGCTGCCTCAAGACTCACCCAGTATCTACCACGCCGTCGAGGCATATGTTGCTGCGGACAAATATGTGGTTGACGGAGCAAGAGAATGGGCGAAGAAACAGGTCATGAGGTTCGCAGGCACGCAGCCTGCATCAGTCTTCGCATTCGCTATGAAGTTTGGCTGGTACGATGAGGCCAAGATAGCAGCGGAGAAATCGCTCTCTTTCTCCCTTCAAGCTCTTACTGTCGCCGGAGGAAGCGAAGTTCTCGAGGTGGATATGCGTCCATTATGGAGGTTTCATGGAAACTGTCGCCACAACGTCATCAATCTCTTCAACAAGATAACTTTGATATTCGAGAGGACCGAGTACTCGAGCGATAGCCCTTATCACGAATGGCAGAATATAGAGTGGCAGCGAATGATCGACCGCCAACCTATGTGCTGCTCAACGCGTTATTTCGATGATGAGCCTCGTTCGCCTACATATGGAACCTGGTATTTAAAGGAATGGTTCTGTTTCTATCTAGAAGCGCTCGCTCATATCCTCAGAGATAAACCCGATGCGAGACTAATGGAAGATGAGGCAGAGCGTGAAGTCTTCAGCACCGCTCTAAGTTGGGCGGGTCGTTGTCCCACTAGCACTTGCGCACCAGGTGCTCCTGAACAGTTGGGATTGTTCCGGAGGATCATGATATTTGAAGTCAACAAGACTAGGGGCTATGTGAGTATTTTTCTGGTTCCTGTTGATCCGGGTTATTAAAGTGATTCATGCTTTAGCATCTGGAGGCTGCGAACTTCAGACTGGATGCTGCATGAGTATATGCCCTGAATTGTCTTTTTATGAACTGGATCTTTCGTGCCACGTTATCAGGAATCAACTAGTTAACCCTCCTCTTCAGTCATTCTCATTTGCTAGTGTATCCTTCAGCAATCACTCTCAAATGTACCTTTCTGCGTCTATCCTTCCTTACTTTCCTTTCACCACTACAACGTCTTCCTTTCGATGATTCTCCCGGGCTAGGAACAATGATACGCTCATCGATCCAAGTGCTTCCGATTATCTGTCGTTGGTCAACGACGGTTGACCTGCCAGCGTTCGCTTTCCTATTGTTCCCTTTCGGTCACTTGGTAACGGTATACCATCAACAGCCATGTGGTCGTAATTAGCATGTTGCATTTGTACGTCAAATCCAAGGTTGCCAATCGTTTACAGCGGGTGTTAGTCTCAAATGCCCACGATCCGATTTGTGATGTCATCTTGAGGCACTACTGTATTGGTCTCGCTGGAATAGGTGATGGAATCAGTGGACCAGCCGGAGATTTATTATTTTGGGAGACGAAATGAAGTTATCGAACGTCAAGTATACAGTATCCGAATCAAACAATGGTGGATCAGATGAATGAGGAATGCAGGATGAAGCAAAATGGGGGAAAGACGAAGACGAAGGCGAACGAACAGCGAGGCCAGATGCAAATGAAGCTGAACCGTTTTGAGTGCTACCAAAGTGGTCGGAAAATCAGGTTTTTCAGATGGTCAAGAAGTCTGAAAGTCAACGACCCCGTCTCGATATGTTCGACCTGTGGGCATTGACACGAGGTTTCCTGCGGCTCTCTATACCAGGTCTCCTCTGCACTAAGTTCCTGCAGCAACTCCTCTCGCGCATCCTGTAACATAACACAGCTTCGGCGAACATGACCCCAGCTCTCTGCGGAATTTGCCTCTAGATCCATTAGTTCACGCTGTCTAGTGTGATGCTGAGTGCGAAAGTAGGTCTCATATGTCCCATAATCGACAGGGAACTTGCAGCGAACATCACAATCTGTAGGAAGCATGCGATACAACAGCAACGCTATATCTTGGGGTGATCGAATCGGGATTTGTCCAGGGAGGAGAGTTAGCTGCTGTAGCTGGCGAAAACGTGGCAAAGGAGGTTTCCAGGAACGCCCCAAATCTCCGAGGTTACACGAGAGCGATAGTGACAAAATCCTCAGCTCGGGACATTGCTGTACTAGAGGGAAAAGAGTGTCTAGCGTGAGGCCATATTCTGCCCCTGGCCACCCCTTAATGCGACGATCTGGAACAAGCATTGGATTCGACTCGAGTCGTAGACATCTCAGCTTGGGCCAGGCGCATGCAAGCTCTTGCAAGAGAGATCGCGAATACACTATGTCCCTCATGCAAGAGATCTCGAAAGATTGCAAGTGACCGATGCGAAAGAGGGAGGAGAACCATTGAAGCGCAATGTCTTCTCCTGCATGTTCGAGCTTTGGGTGAAACGGGGAGGTGGCTTCGTTACATTCGAACCTTACTCTCCTGATCGACGAATAGCACCTGTCTGCGATTGTGTCGGACAGGAAATAGAGATCTTTTGATGGGGTGGTATATGGGATACGCACTGCGAGGCGTGCGAGAAAGGGTGGCGAGTTTCGCAAATTGAGAAGTCGGTTCACGACGGCAGGATGACAGTTGAGCTTTAAAGTATCTAGAAAAGGGAATGAACCCTTCTCCAAGGAGGGTATGAATTCGTGGTAAAGAGTCGCGTCTTCTTCTTCAAAGCACTGCGTGATATTAGAGAAGCTTTTCAAGTGCTTGAGCTTAGATATGGCATTGAACAAGTTGGCCGTCCATGGTGCTAACACCATTGGGATAGTCAACTGTTCCAGATTCGGCAAGCCGTTGATCAGTTTTGTGAGCTGACCGATAGAGGGAGATACGTGGAAGTCGAGATGTAATGAGGACACTCTTGGCGACACAATCGACTTGATGAAGGACAGCGCACGATTCGGTGCAATGTTAAGGGCGGAGCCAGGTCCTGAGCTAGGCAGGTTCTTCTTTTCGGTTTCAGTAATGGGAGGTACGTTACGCCACCACTGAATATGCGAGAGTTTCGGGAAGATGGGTTGACGGTCAGGATCATGAACCGGAGAGGCAGGCCCTGTCATGAACGCCTCAACCCAGAGTGCATTTATGTCTGAGCCAGGTATTCGATCGTCATGCTCCAGTTCGATTATATATGGCGCATATCGTAATAAGCGCTTGTAGTGTTCGAAATTTAGACATTTAGCCCACTCATATGGCTGCACAAGGTATCGTCAGCGCATTCTATTATGGTCAGAAGACGAATGGACTTGCATTGGCTCCATGCTGAGATAAAGGACGGTTGATTGGCATGAGGCGCACGAGATCTCGAGAGGACGCCACACGCCAAATCACAGTGAGTGCAGGGTCTTTCCAAGCCCTGCAAGTTTGTGCAGCGGATACAAGGGTTCGACGCCCCTCCTTTGTCGCGGGATCGAACAGTTCAAGAATGTCGAGGAACACCTCTCGGATCGAGAGCACCCGTTCAATGGTGGATTGCATGTTTGAGGGCGAAGGCAAATGGTAAAGCAGAGAGAAACAGCGGGGTCAATTATGAGAGTAGAAAAGGAAGAGGCGATGACAATGGTTTTCACAAGCGAAGCGAAAGTTTTCTAAATGAGCAATGTACAAGGCCTAGCCGTTGCTTGCTCTTGTTCGACCTGGAAGGTGAGACACACTGTGCCATCTTAGGAATAATGCATCAGTATCCTTTGTATCCATTGCATGGGCCTTCTAGTGTCCGGTTTCCCTCCCCTGGATAATGTAAACAAATAATGCGATAAGAAAGTTGCCAAGGTTGTAATGATGGTGATCAGTCGGAATACAACGCCTAGCGCTTCCCTAAATAGTAGGCTGTGACAGCGTTTAATGCATTCAGATGGGAAGGTATTGTATTCATCATAACAACCAACCTCGAACTTGAAATGGGAGAACAATACGACACATACGGTGTCTAACCGTCGTCTCTGTGAACGGTGACGTAGCTATATTGCGATACAACTGTTCTCCTCGACGTTTTCATGTCTAACTTATAAGCTTCGAGAGGCCACCTCCAACTGTCAAACAACAGTGCAACCTCATCGACTTACTAAGTATGTCGTTTGAGGGTTGATCTTTGACCATGACGGGGTCGCATCCAATCAGCGAATCGAGCCTTGAGTTTTTTTTGTACTCTCCTGGTGAGCCCTTGCATCTTTTCACGAGCTCCTCATGTTGATGTTGGAGAATCTCGGCAGAACGGAAAAGGAGTTAATGGAATACAAAGATAAAGCAGCGATTAATATTTTCAGTCATACTATACTGTACATCAACTCATCTAAACATCATGACCTATCCGTGTCAAGATAGCAAGGTGAGCCTTTAATTCTTTGTTATCCTTGCTAACAGCTTTGGAGTACTTGATGAGCTCTTCGCGCTGTTTCGTTATAATCATATACTCTGCAAGGCACCAATATTCACGCATTGCGCGGAGGTGGTAGTCGATCTCGTCACGGTCATCCACGTCCAAACTCAGGAAGCTTGCAGGAGATATCGCAATTATTAGGGCAGAGATCACTCAGAAAGGACGCAGTCTCAAAGATCTCCTCGGACCGCGTCCAAGATAGACCCGGGAAGATTGTCAGAGATTGCAGGACCTTTAAGAGAGGCGTTGAAGTATAATGCAGAGATGCCGTCTCCGGCTCTGGAGCGTCGAGGGACATGGGCAATGATAACCGTTCCACAAAAGGGCAGTACATCGCCAGAAACAGAAACGACAGGGTGCATAGCGTCATGGTCTGCTCTTCAAGCAGTGATGCAGTGGCAGGCCGGCAATGAAGCTCCATTTCTTTTAGACGTCCCCAGTCTTGAACGAGTTGCGCCATATCGGCGTCTCCGATATTGAACGAAGATCGGGTTTTGAAGAAGAATTTCTCCATGCGTGTGAGTGCAGCGAGCGGACGGAGTACCTCGAATGAGATTGTGTCTTGCGCAAGCCCTCGCATGCGGTCTACTGAATTGCCTCTGGGGGATAAGTCGCACTTAAAATATTGCAGGGACTTGCATTTGGTCGCAATAGTCTGAAATGCCCTCTCAATATCCTCTGGTGTCGAGGTCCACGGAGTGCCATAATAGATAACGAGCTTATCAAGGGTTCTAGGTGCATGTTCCATCTCGAAGAAACGAGCGATGTCTGAGATGTTGCCACAAAGTTCCAAGAATCCCAAGGCAGGAAATGCCCCTTCTGGAAGCGACGGATTGAACGACGCAGAAAGATCATTGTCTCCACCACGACCGACGCACGAATCTGGCGCTGATATGGAAGACAAGTACCGGCACCTTGAGAGGACCTCGAAGCAATCGGACAAAACGGGTGACAGGGTTTGTGGTAGCTGTATGTTTTCGAGGTATGGCATCTGTTGCAACATTGATGGGAGGAGTGACTCAATTGACCGTAGATAGTGGTCATCACCCAGAATGAGACTTCGAATTTGATGGGCATGAATTTGGATAAGAGGAACAAACCCCGGGGCTTCGCATTTCGCGATTTCACCCAATCCGTGAGTATAACCAGGAAATGATACCAACCATTCCAATTCCGTCAGCTTTGGAAATGGTGACAGTGTGGAACGGAAAGGCGAGGAGGGGCCGTTGACGAACGCTTGAAGGATAAGACCAGAATAACGCCCGCCTCTTCTCAGGCGTACAACATATTGCGCGTAGACCATAAATCGGCAATAATCTTCTGGACGAAGAGAGTCTGCCCATCTTTGCCATTCATATACTCTCAAGGGCCTATGATAAGAAACCATAGAGCGTTCCCGTTCTACGTTGGGGTTGTGTTCGTCCTCGAATTCTCGCCATCCGGGGATAAGACGAAGGAGGTCGTTGCCTGTGGAGGTGTGCCACAAGAGGCGGATCGCAGCTGTAAACCATGACTGTGATACGAGTGCAGCAGCTGCTAAGCACCGAGACTCGGATTGCCTGCGGGTTGAGAAATGTTCAACGGAGTCGTTTGGGGTTAGTTGCTCGAATATTAGGAGTAAGAGGTCTAAAGTGGACAGAACCCGAGCTCGAGCATCGGATATGAGACTTGAACTCATCATCGTGAATGATTAATGATGATTGCTAGGGAAAGGGTTATATCCTCGCAGGTGTCAGGCTCGCGCGCGATGGAACCTGGATGGAACTGAACCAAACTTGGCCTGAAACCGAAATCGCGTAGCGGATGACTGTCGCCGTGACAATGATCAGGTGACTGTGACAGACCGCGATATCCGGCGAAGTGGTCGATTCTATAGAGTACAACTAAGGATACAGTACATCATGAACATTCAACGAAGGGTCCAACGATAATAGCACTACTACTTATACGATCCGTCCGCAAACTAGTTTTGATATCCCCTGCGACCGAGTAACTCCAATCCCTGAGGGACCTGAAAGGCATGCATGTGAGCCATTGTCTTGGATAAGATCGAAACAAAAGGATGTATTACCCTCCATCCGTGGGTAGCTGCGGCTCTTTTGAATCCCTCGATAGCTTCGTGCATCGAATATGGTCTGATCAACCTACATCAGTGCTGTACCTTAGTTCGTGCCGGCATCCGCGACTTACTGGTTCCATTGTGATGCTAGTCTTGCAGGTCGAGGGTCAAGGTTGGAGATAGCCAGCTTGATCTGTAGAATAATAGCAGGGATGCTGACAAAGAGAAAAAAATCATAAACACTATGCAAACACGCTGGAATTTATGCTCACCTGTAACTAGGTAGCCAACCATCGGCAGTCAGCAAGTCCATACACATCGAGCCTCCTAGAAACGAAGAGAATCATGTCAATACAATTCCTCCATATATTCGTAATTGCTCACCTCCTGTAACATGTCCACCTCCGCCATGTATGAATGGCAAGAAGCGAGGCTTCAAGATGCGGAAGAAGGGAGGAGAGTGGGGGAATGCGGGAGGGAACGTTATCTCAAACACCAACGAGTTGACACCACTATAATCAGAACGACATCGGCATATGTAACAAGAACAAGTCGAAGAACCACTCACACCCTCTTCATATCTTGCGCAATAGGAAGTTCTGGCTCGAACGAATGAACTTCGACGATCCACTGGAACAGATTGTCACCAATCAAGTCCGGCGGCATGTACCACCCTAGTGTTTCAAGACTCTTGGCGCTCTCTTGCTCTTTCAGCATGGCCCTGAGTTCCCTTTGAACCGCCATCGTGGCCATAGGTGAAGCGTCAGTAGGAGGTGGTAACAGATGCGGCAAGCACGAAGCCAGCCACTCTGGGTCGTGTTTCCAGTTGTCCGGTACAACGTCAGGAATAGAGGGTTCAGGAGCAGGAGCGGTATTACTGTTGACTTGCGAGGAAGTATGAGGGTCGATACCGTAGAACACGTTAGCATCTTCCTCGTCAGGTTCTTCTTCGTTATACTCAACACGTCTTGCGTCGAGCAGCCTTTGCAGCCTATATGTCGGCTCAGGGATGGAAACCCTCTTCTGGTGCAATGTTAATGGATGCAAAGGGTCAAGATCAACACTAGGAACGTCAATATCCATTGGCTGCGCCTCTTCGCCGTAGTACTCGTCCGATCTGGTAGCGCTGACGAGAAGATACCGACTACAGGCTTGGTCAGGCCAATGTCAAGATCATAGTAACAGAAGACTTACCAGACAATCCAGTCTGTATGTTGGACAACAAAAAAAGGATTCTGAGAAACAAACTGTTCTGGCAGATTGACTATCTCTGCAACAGCCACGCAAGGCCCTACACCTAACTCTGTGTTCCGCCATCTATGAGCAGTACCGCGCGCGTATCCGGACATCGATGTTTGTCCTTCCTTGGCGAAATAAACACCTACGCCATGACAAGTGAGTAAACAGAAGTGTGAAATATTGTATGAGGTACTACCATTGCCATAAGCACGTCCATTTGCGACGGTTTTGAACCATAAGCCATGGCGGATGATCTGAGAATAAGCGTTGAATAAAAACCACATCAAGAAATAAAAAAATTAAGTTTACCGAATGCCAGTTGGATGTGGGCGAACCATGGAACGCCTGCAGCAATTGCGTCAGATCGCGAAAAGCACTTGATGAATAGATGTCTTACATAAAGAGAAGGATAGCGTCTGGCATTCAGATTCTGAGTTTGAGCCTGCTGCAGAGCTGTACGGAACTTCGCTTCGGCATCGGGTGAACCGACACTGAATCGGAACTGGCGCCATTGGCTGTCTACAACAGAGGTTAGACACACTACCATCGGGTTCGCAACGACCTATACAATACCGATATTGGGAATACGATCTTCTGGAGACTGCAACTCTTCCAAATGTGCGGTACAAGACGCGACACACCTAAAACAATCATTAATTAGATCGAAAGCGGGCTTAGGTGGCATCAGGGCATACCATCGAAGGAGTAACCATGCAGCTGGGAGTATATTTGGATCCATATCTGTCAATCTCTTCTTTGCCCTACCGGCTTTGTTATTCTTTTCAAGGAATCGCTTCATGTCTCTGATCTATGTACAAGACGTCGCCGTCAGCACCGAAAGAAAGACAACACATGAACTTGAATGTCGTACCGGATGCAAAGTGTTCAGCAAATCTGTGATCGATTTGCACATCTGTCCCAGTGAAAACACATCAGACAGGGATTAAAGGAAATGGCCTTGGGATGCCTACCTCGTCCTTGGTCAGCTGATCGAATTCTTGAAGTGGCTTCGTAGGATCGGATGGGTGTGGCACAGATAGTCCCATACCCATCGGAAGTGGGTCGAGCACCTTCTCTGCGGCTGCGCAATACGCCAGAGAGACCAAAAGATCTACGGTTTCAGGTCTAGCGCAAATTTCGTACTATGACAGATATGATTAGCAGCTTTCATTGTTTGGTGAACAATTATGGAGAAACCAACCTCTAATGATGGTCCACGATTCAGACTATAGTACTGGTAAGTGCACAACTTTGAATCGCAGACATAGGGTTTGAGTGCCTCGAAGTTGGCATTGAGTCTGTTGTAGCAGACAAGGCAGTAGCGAGGACAAAGCTGGGAATTGGAAAACATCAATGAGGAAATGATAGACTTAAGTGATCATGCGTACTGTGAAACGTCTGAGAAGGTACGAAAATGCAAGAAGGGGTAGGTTAAGGTGATCAGTGACTTCGCGCTCTAGAATATGATCAGTAGGAAGATTGTAGCTCGAGGCAAGTTCCCGTTCTTGTTCATCAGCCTGAAGAAGCTCCTGTAGCATTATCGAATGAGCCGGCGAGATCAAGAAGATACAGTGGTAAACTTACCCTCCTGAGATCGTGGATGATGGCTTCGGGTCTTTGTTGGACTTGATCTGCTCTACTAATGAGAAGCTCTGCGGCCGCCCATCCTATCTTGTACTTCAGACGCAGTTGCACGGCCTGCAGGAATCGATCATGTAACAATGACTCAAGAGAGGTACTCAAACTGAAATGAAACTTGGGGTGGTCATTCTCCTCGGGCTGAGGTCCAGCCTCTGGAAATGAAGGCACTTCGTCTGATTCATCTTCCTCTCCGTCGAGGTAGTAATCGTGACTCGGTGGTGGAGGAAGCTGCGGCTGTAACTCTTCGTCTTTAGCCTGTAGCCCGTAGTTGCGAATTAAGGTGAGCACTAGATCTTTGTCTGGCTTGTACCTCGATGTCAATCCCACCCGAAATTGCAAATTCTGGATTCCTCGCGCGGCGATATTCGGGACAAATGTACCATCGCTCTGAAGAACAGGGTAAATGTTCCGCATGCCCGATATGACGAGCGTAAGATGGTGAGATTCGGACAGCATACGAGAGTCCCAAGCCATGAGCGCACGGGGCTCGATGTCTGAGGCTAACGAAATCACCGGGATCGAGACGGAGAGGACGATCTCCTCGGCACCAAGCCGGATGAGCCCAGGGCGGTAGCCAGCAGCAACAACTTCATTGAAGTCGCGCTGAAGAGTCCGAATGTCGATGTCGGACTTATTGGTCAGTATGGCAATGTCAAGGTCGGCATCGAAATGCTCATCGTAGACCTCCTCATCGTCGTCCTCTTCTTCATGGTCAGTTTCATGGGCGTCAGCTGGCTCAGTTTGCTGTGTAGAAGCTACCCGCTTCGCAAGTGATCTTAAGACTTTTTGAAGGAGGTCTGCGATGGTCATTGAATCATAGTCGGCTACGGTTTCTATAACTCGCTGCACGTAGGACGGTGGATCATTCTCCTGTGAGAAGCAATAGAATTGGTGATGATTTGGATACTCGGACGTCTCTGACAGGAGTTGTAAGTTTAATCCCCATCATTAGGCCGCAAGGTCGACAAACCGGAGATGAGAAAGCTCAGTGAAGCGAAGTTATGTCCAAAGCGGTCGGAGACAGTACAAAGGAAAGATCCGTCGTCATCGCCTCTACGAAAGCCTGATTCCGACGTGAAGGTCAATATATATGAAGAGATCTATACACATACCTTTCACGAGCAAGCCATCTACTTCTAATCCTGTTCGACAAGCTTCGGCGGCGCCGTCCAAGTCTGCTTGGAATTTCTTGCGTCCTTTCAGAGGCGTTGCCATTGTATCTAGTTTGAAGGTAAAGGAAGGCGGGAATCACTCAGTACCAGATTGTCTAGCGAGCTTTCCAGATGATGTTGGTGTGTATGTACGGCGAGTTTCACCTAACGTTGTGTTGCAGGCAGGCAGAAGCGGCTAACGATGATGGGGATAAGAGGCAACCTTGAATTTCGAAAGATCTGCCTTCCTTGATCTATACAACATGCGTTGAAGGTCATACAATTCGCAACAGGACGAATTGGCTGCCGGTGGGTAATTCTGTCACGACATGTCACATCCGCATGACTGCATGTCACAACAGTAAGTGTGACAGTCACTTCTAGTAAGTTCAAATATTCCTTCTTATCCCGGTGAGCTCATCTCTAGTTGATCTCTTGTATTTGTTACTCGCAGGACGTCCGCCCTGAAAATGAACTCCAATCTCATACCCAACGCTCAAACTCGGGTTCTTTCGAGATTGGATCTTCCAATTTTCGAGCAATGACCTCAAGACAAACTCATATATTTCTGAGTTCTGGAGAGCCGATGCATTAGACATGTTAACACTAGTGTGGCCATCGTGCTCGATATATACTATGAATGCAAAGTGACTACCTACCCTGCCATCCATTGAAAGAATGAGGCTTGCACACTGAAAGTTTCAGTGGATGCCATTGGATGGTCGGGACGCCCACTGAACCAGGATGCCCAAAGCGGGCGTGGCGTGAGTGCGCGGAGTTTGGATGAGAAGGGTCCCCGTCAGCCGTCAGGGAGGAATATTGTTCGCTGTTGCGGTCAACGACGACGACGACGTTTCTCTCTTCCCCGCTCTCTCCTCCTCGTCCTCCTCTCCGTTCCTTCTCCCTTCCTGTCTTTTCTTCCACGACACTCCTTCAATCGTTACGTTAAGCACGCCGAAAACCCAAGCAAAGCACCAAAATGGCTTTCAAGAAGTTCCGTCTTGGCCATCCCGCTGTAAGCCAACACCGCAAATCTCGACGTGACGCCAGTGGTCAGTTCTCTCGTTCGCCGGGTTGTTCTTTTCATTGAATCCCTACAGCTTGCACAACGGGTGGGTTCTACAAGTCACCCACAGGCGGTCAGACTGTCCAGGCCGGGCAGCCGCTCAACATCAGCTGGGATACATCATGCATGTCAACCGATGGTATTGACATCTACCTCTACAATCCCTCTGCTGCCAACCCCCGTATTCACCTTTGGGAGAATGTCAACTTCGCCCTTGGTTCTTATGAGACTAGTCTCAAGGCTTCATGGTGGAATGCGACCTCGAGCGCATCTCTCCAGTTCACTATGATTCCCCATGGGACCCCCCTCTTCATGGCCACCCTGCCCGCTGGACCTCTGTTTACTGCTACTTACTCGCAAAATTCCGACGTCTCCGGTGCTGCATCAGATGATGCCGCTGTTGGCGCGGTTGAACAAGTCAACAACTTTGAGAAAGATAACAGCCTGTCGAAGGGCAAGATCGCCGCTGCTGTCCTCATCCCTCTCCTGGTTGTCATCGCTCTAATTGTCGGCGCATACATCAAGATCAATCGTAAGAAGGGGAAAGAACATCGCAAGCAATGGAGCGAAGCCATCGACAAGCGCATGTCTACTATTTCCGCGGATTGGAAGTCCATCTCTCCCGCGGGTGCCCAAGCTGCCATTCGCAACAGCATGGCCGTCTCTGCAGATGCCAACAACCGTGCATCATCATTCTCATTTGGCGCTATTCGTCCTATCAGCACTGTCGCTGTAGAGGGAGGGCAAGCAGGTATCGGCGCTGGGGGCATGTACGCTCAAAGCGGAATCGACACCACGACTCCACAGATGAGTCAACTTCGTCCTGGCTTGCGCAACCCTACCAACGGCGGCGAGCGAGTCTCTCGTATTTCGTTCGCTGCAGATACCCGTCCTTCTGCGGAGTCACGTAGAAGCATTTACAACCGCAACAGCCGTGCCAGTCGTGCGTTCCACACCGGTCATGTTCCGCCTCTCCCGGCACGCCAGGATTCCAATGACTTGTTGTCGCCCACTCAGACTGCCGGACCATTCTCTCTCACTGCAGACGATATCAACGCTCGCATGAGCGGTCTTGAGCCTGCTCCTCGTCCTAGCGTCGATGAAATGATGCCGGCGCTTTCTAGTGAGTAGAATTCACAAGTTGTACCATAACTGTAGCTCTAACCTTTCCATAGTGATGCGCACCGGCGGTCAAGGGACATCAGGCAACGATGATCTCCTCTTCCAACCGAAATCTCCCTTGCCCTCACCTCCCGCGCCAGTTGTTGCCAAGTCATCAGTCGTTGGTATGATGCCTATGCAACCCATGCCCGCCAACATGATGTCACCCGATGACATGCTTCGTGCCTACGCCGAACGCCGCAACGTCGCCAGCCCTCCGCCCATGAACGGACCTACCGTCCCTGCTCCTGCAGCTCAGTACAACGGTAATGGCATGCGTGTGCTCTACTCTCCAACTACTCCCGACTCGTCCGCTGGGTTGATGTCCGAGGCCGAGAGGAAGAGCGCGGCACCAACCGTCGCCAGCAGGTACGATGACGACGACGCGTATGTTGGCACCGCCGCATAGACGTCTCCCCATGGAACGTCTGAAGACCTCAGTGGTTGTGTAATGGTGCTGGCTTCCTCGTAGGACGCGCTCACTCTATCTATGTGGAGATAATATGGCGAGCCTGTTGTGTGTTGTGTGAATACATCCCAAATACTCTTCTTCCCCCTCGGTGTCCGGTTCTTATCCTTAAACTCCCCGTGTTCGTGGTATGACTCCAAATTCGCGTCGTGGTTTCGCTTTCCCTCTTCCCTCTCAAAGTATGTAACTGGCCCCCCTACTGATACGATCTTGTTCAATCCCTTTGGTTTTCTTGACCTACTCTTGACTTTCTTGCGAGACGCTGTTTATATCTTTTTTTTTCCCTTCAGCTCATGATCGCCCCTCTTGTATACCCAAGCCCATATTATTTATCACTTTGTGTGACCCTTTTCCCTCCCAATCCTACGCTTGTCACTGTCTCCAGTCTACTGTCATACGTTTACACTTCTGCGTATGGACGTAGAATGTCAACGTCGAAGACGGCATTCGCGGATACCTCCTTCAAATTGTTTTTTGAACCCCTCCCCTTAGTATGATAGACTTCACGCTTCACACATCGTATCGTATCGATTACGCGAGCGTCGTCGCTGGTACGTCCTTAACATTCAACTCCCCTCTTCCCTGGTCGTGCGTTGCTTGCATACACACGCTTTCCACTCCGTATCCACCAAGATGGGCGGGTCTTTGATATCTCCATTTGGTCTTCCCTTTATTGGTACCCATTGTGACTACCTGTATTGTTTCGTACCTATCATACATTGTGTACTTTTGAATTCCAGTTGGTCTGCGCCTCCATTTATTCTCTTGTAGTTCAAGGGATCCAGATGAGATATTTATACACATCGCAAAGATATTACACAGATTGTTAATCAGCGTCTTCGTTATCTTCACCCCCAACTGCTGCTGCTTCATCGACATCTTCTGCAGGAGTAGGGACACCAATATCAACGGTCCCAACAGCAGGGAACCATCCGTACGTTCCCAGGTTAACTCTCATATCACCCGAACGTCCAACAGTCACATCAACGCCTTCAGCTTCGAGAGCCTCACGCTGTCGTTGGGCTCCTTCAGTCCCTGGACCACGGGAGGAGATGGTACCCGCCGAGCTTAGAACGCGTTGCCATGGAATTGGAGGGATAACGTCGGGGGAGACGAACTTTAAGGCTGTATATGCATTATATATTAGCGTTGAGCCTGGGGTATGGAAGTTAGGAATGTTTGAATAGAACGTACCTTGCCCGACGTGTCGCGAATGTCGAGGCAGCCCGATTAGCTTTGCGACATGTCCTACAAGTTTAGGGGCTTAGGAAGATTTCGTTGTGCTTTTCGAAGGGAAGTTTAGTGTACCGTAACTGGTCACCTTCCCTGGGGGGATCTGTCGAACGACATTATAAACCTGTCATACATAACGGTCCTGTTCAGCTCTCGTCTTCAATGATAATTCACTGGCATAATATACCGCTGCATGAAATTCAGCACTGTCCATGGTGAGCTCTAGATTTTTATCACTTCTCGATGAAGAACATGGTCAACTTGCAACGCACAGCTTGAACGGATGTGTGACTCAATAATGACCGGGACCAGACGGTGGCTATGTCACCTTACCATCTACAACGCGCCTGGCAGTGTTGGCCTACCAGCTAACCCTAGGCCTCCAACTTAGTAATTCCCCCGTAACAAAAACGGTCAATCCAACACAACTGCTCAGACTGCATGATCCATAGACATGCGTACTTCCGTCAGCAATGATTCCGTTTCTCATGGATAAGGAAGGTGGATTAAGTTGAGTTGGATACAGCTGGAGGTGAAAAGAAAAGAATGACTCCGAACGACGAAAAACTGCATGAGATGGAGAGGAGACTAGAAGTACAGAGGGACTTGGAGATATACAGCGAGAATGATGCTATGATAACAAGATAGAAAAGAGATCCTCGAACGACTACAAACTCACCACACCCGGCGTATATATGCTACCGATACACAGGTGCTCTGTGCTGCCACCGGCTTCGCATCAGATGGGCCTTGCGCTCAGCGCCGAGCTTGCCGATGGTGTTTATGAGGTCATTTCGTCGCAAAGGCTTTGTAATGTGGTCATCCTATGGTTGAGATGTCAGTCAAGCTTAACACACGGGAACAAAGGAAGGGTCATACCATGCCACATTGTAGTGATCGCTCCTTGTCACCGATCACTAGATGGTCGCGCAGTTCATTAACTTTTCAAACTTCGAATAAACGGCGAAACTTACTGGCATGAGCGGTCAGCGCAATGATGGGGACAGGATCCAGGTTATGCTGCCTCTCGAACTGTCGAATAACCTGAGTGGCTTCACGGCCACCCATGTAAGGCATGGAAACATCCATCTGACAACAAGTGTCAGTACGAAATGAGGAGGAAAACGCCTTGAAACATACAAGGATGATATCGAACGGTCTATTGTGTTGGGCTCGAGCCTTGAACATGTCGACGGCGACGAGACCGTTCTCGGCAATGTCAACCTTGTGACCGTACTTCTCCAGGATCTTAACGGCCAACTTCTGATTAACGAGGTTATCTTCGGCAAGAAGGATATCGAACGGTTGGTCTTCTTCTACAGGAACGTGGGGTGTAGCGCTGGACTCCAGTGCCGTGACCAGAGCAGACGCTAACGACGGGGCATCCAGAGGCGTGGTGATCTGTGATGATATGCTGTTGTCGAGGCACCATTTCACTGTATCGAGAAGTTGAGTACAGGATCCTTGTTGGTAACGAGGCATATCCTTACGGTTGAGACGTGGGGTATTGGGCTGCATAGACATTAGTGGGTGTCGTCATCAAGAGATATATCAACACGTACCGGCGTGATGAGCACGATGGGTATATATCGGAGATGTTCGAACTCTCGAAGCTGTTGAGCCTGCGTCATGAAGTCAATAAGCCATATACGTCTGAGATCCCGTGGCCAATGACGTACCGTTTCGAATGAATCCACTAGAATGGTATCAACGTGGGGACATGATGCCTTTTCAGACACCTCAGAGACGTCATGGATCAGATTAGCCTTGAGGCCAAGCTCCGCTATTCTCTGAGCGACGCCCGTTCGGTCGTAAAGGGTATCAACGAAAAGAATTTGACGTTTCGCGAAGGGCTGCATCTTGAGCAGCGTGTTGTCCATAGTCATTGGACTGACTTGCGAGGTGATGGTGAAGAAGAATTTGGAGCCGACATCAAGCTCGGACTCAACCCACATCGTGCCGTGCATGAGGTTGACGAGTCGTTTCGAGATGGAGAGACCAAGGCCGGTACCACCGTACTCCTATAAGTCGTGAAAATAGGGATGAGAACTTTGTGATTAGAATAGTTGAAAACCCCCGATAAACTCACCCTGGTGGTGGACCCGTCCGCTTGGCAGAAAGTGTCGAAAATCATGCTCAATTTGTCCTTGGCGATACCGATACCAGTGTCGAGGACACAGAACTCGATCGTTACGCCTCGTTCGCCGTACGACACGAGTCGGCAACTCAGGGCTACGTGACCCTTCTTCTCCTCCTTCGAAGGCGTGAACTTGATAGCATTACCAACAAGATTGGTGATGACCTGTCGCAGACGGAGCGAGTCTCCGATAAGCTGGTCAGGTATATCGGGATCGATGTCGTAGGTCAGCTCAAGCTGATTTTGCGAAGCTCTCACGACGAGAGTCTTGAGGATGCCGAAGACAGTCTGGCGTAGCGAGTAGGATACTTGCTCCATTGTCATACGACCAGCCTCAACTGTATAAAAGACGAACGGTCAGAATGACGAAACAAACGGAGATCTTGTCAACCTACTCTTAGAGATATCCAGAATATCATCAATAATAAGTAATAATGAGCGGGCAAGGCTGTGGACCAAGAGGAGGTTCTCGCGTTGGTTCCGACTGAGGTCACTGTCGAGGGTAAGCTCGGTCATACCGATGATACCGTTCATTGGCGTTCTACGCGCAGTTAGCAACAACGCCAATCTCAAACAGACAAGTAACATACCGGATTTCGTGGGACATGTTGGCTAGGAACTCTGACTTACTGCGGTTAGCCAGCTCAGCGGCTTCCCTCGCAGCGGTATTCTTCTGAATACTGTCGCGCAGGTTGAATACCATCTGGTTGATCTGCGTCTTCAGAGAATCCATCTCACCACTGGCTTCGACGGTGATGAATCGACTGAAGTCACCGTCCATGGCCGCTGCTGAGATCTGGGCGAAACCTCGCACTTGAGTCGTAAGATTACTGGCCATTGTATTGACAGACATCCTGAAAACAATCTGTTGAGTATACTTGTTTGTATATCGTAAAGGCGGAAAAGGCTTACGTGATTTCTTGCCATATTCCTTCGACATTGCCAACCTCGGCTTGACCACCTAATTTGCCTTCGGTACCGACTTCTCGAGCGACCTTCTTGACCTCCGCAGCAAACGTAGCCAGTTGGTCAATCATGCGATTGATTGTATTGACGAGGTCTAACATCTCTCCGGAAACGCTGACGCCAACCACCTTCTGCGTCAGGTCACCTCGAGCAACAGCCGTCTGCTCAAATATGAGATCGCGCGATTCGATCTCAATGAGTGAAAATACGTACAGTTGCAGCGGCGATGGTCCGCACTTGTAATGTTAGCTATTGAGAAAACGTCAGTGGCCGAAATTAGATACCGCACGAAGCTGCACACTTACGTTAGCAGCCATGACGTTCACATTATCGGTAAGGTCCTACGATGCAACAACGATCAGAGATCTCCATGAGAAGCAAGGGGCAAACTATTTGATTTGACATACCTTCCACGTCCCGCTGACGTTTGTAACACGAGCTTGGCCACCAAGTTTACCATCAGTCCCGACTTCCTTTGCCACTCTGGTGACTTCGTCGGCGAAAACGCTCAGACTGGCTGTCATGCTATTTACGGTCTCCTTGAGGTCTAACATCTCACCGCGCACATCGACCGTGATGCGCTTAGTGAGATCGCCACTAGCGACGGCTTTGGTAACCTCGGCAATCGAACGCACTTGGTTCGTGAGGTTCATAGCCATTAAGTTGACGTTATCAGCGAGAACCTAAATCAAAGCAGCATGTAAATTAACGTATATCAATGCACAAGACGGTCTGATTCCTACCTTCCACATGCCCTGCACGTTCGGCACATTTGCCTGACCACCCATCTTACCCTCAGTACCGACTTCGAGGGAGACGCGGGTCACCTCGCCAGCGAGCGTAGATAGACGAGACACCATCTGATTGACAGTAGTCTTAAGCTCAAGCATTTCACCCTGGACGTCGACATCCACGGTACGCGAGAGGTCACCGTTGGCGACGGCCTTCGTGACCTCAGAAATAGATCGCACTTGATCGGTGAGGTTGCTTGCCATTTTCTATCCCACGCCCAATCATCGGTGATCAGTTGAATTGAATCTAAGACAAAGTGACTTACGTTGACGTTACGGGTAAGGTCAGCCCATGTGCCCTGCACACCCTCAACAGTGGCTTGACCACCCAAGACACCTTGAGTTCCGACCTCGAGTGCGACTCGTGTCACCTCAGATGCGAAGGCACTAAGTTGATCCACCATGGAATTGACCGTCCGCTTGAGGGTAAGCATCTCACCCTCTACTTCGATTTCAATCTTCTGTGTAAGATCTCCCTTGGCTACGGCCGTTGTGACATTTGCTATGGACCGCACTTGATCTGTAAGACTTGAACACATCCGATTGACCTAAATACACAATCAGCGAATGTGGGTCAACAATGCCGAGAAAATTCTACTCACATTCCGTGTAAGTTCTAACCAAACCCCTTCTACATCCGGCACGTTTGCTTGTCCTCCCAGTTTACCTTCAGATCCGACTTCTAGTGTTACACGAGTTACTTCTGCTGCTAATGTCCGTAATCTAACCACCATGTTGTTGACTGTCTCCTTGAGTTCGAGTATTTCACCTTGTGCGTCAACATCGATCTGTTGTGAGAGATCGCCGACAGCGACAGCCTTTGTGACCTTTGCGATAGACCGGACCTGGTTAGTAAGATTAGCGGCGAGGTTGTTGACGACGGCAGTGAGTTCGCGCCAGGTTCCCTCGACGTCCAGCACGAAGGCTTGACCGCCGAGTTTCCTATAGATATTGTGAGCGGTGACACCGCATATAGCGCACGATGAAAACTTACCCTTCCGTTCCGACTTCCTGAGAGACACGAGTAACTTCCTTTGCGAATCGACCGAGTCTGTCCACCTGCGATGAATACGTAGGTGAGCATATGAGTAAATGTCATGCGGGCGCTCTGACCATGGCATTGATAACCTCCTTAAGTTGTACCATAACCACACCCTGGACGGGGACCGTAATTTTCTGAGACAAATCGCCGCGAGCGACAGCATTGCAGACACGCGCGACGTCCTGAACCTGAGCCTTAAGTAATTTGAGTTCCTCAACGGCGCTCATGCCACTTTCGTATGCAGCCGCTGTAAGGGGACCGGGGGGAACGACGAGAGGGGAGCTCATAGGTTCGCCAGTGATTGATTCTACCGTTGCCGTTGCCGTGTTGAAGTTGAAGGAGTGACCGCAGTTGGGGCAACCAAGATGGTGCTCGCCGTTGTGGGCAATCTTAGTCCTCTCGAGTGGGTTGGAGACACCCTCGAGGGAGATTGTCATGGGTGTGGAGCAGCTGCCATTCATGGCAGAGGTGCGCTGAGCAGGTGCCGAAGGCGTGGACTCGGAATCAGCAGTTGAGCTATCGGCCATGTCGACATCGTCCTTGGAGGTCCTTAGGTCGTTGTACACACTTGCGATACTGTCGAACGAGCTGGAAGGAGAAAAGAAGGGAGATTGCGAGGCCTCACTACTAGGGACGGCGTTGGTGAACTCTGCTGAAGACGTTGAGGCGGGGCTTGAGACGGGGGGACTATCGCCTACGCTCCGCCGCTTCTTGGTATCAGGGCCTGCTTTCTCGGAGGCCTTAATGGAATTGTATGCCTCTTCCGCAGTGTACATACGTCTAGCCATGGCTCCAAGAGAGCGCAAAATGCTCTGGGTCTGCCAATCTGATGGACCTTCATATTTGGGGACTGGAGCCGAGCTTGGACCGAGTTCGTAGACAGAAAGAAGGGCAATCAAGTGAGAAACGAAGGGATGTTGTAGGCTCTGTAAGGCCATCTGGTCGACTGGCGGACTCGCCATGGTCGCCATCGTTTGCGAAGGGAAAGACAATCGCAGAGCACTTGACGGTAAGAGACAAACCTTGTAGGCTTGTAGAATCCCCTCGCGCGGCGTGCACGCTGCCAGTCCCGGAGCGCTCGGAAACTCGGCGTGATTTCGCCATACAAAAAGAACATTTACGCAAAAACATATATTATGTTTCACAATTCACGGTAGCTAGGAGACGAAAAATCGATTGCACTGCGCCATTTCGCTCGAGAGCAAGTTTACCCTGGCGAAGGCGAAGGAGTAGACTACACGGTTTCGACCGTAAAGCAAGTCCCCCGACGAGGTTAGGGTTCCATTGTCTTGGAACAGGAGAGCGGAAGAAAGATGAAAGATGAAGATAAGAAAATAGCAGTATACTTCCAGTACACTTTTAGAATTCTGCGCAGCAAAAATGTCCATCGTCGCCACAAGTCAATCGTATCCGGGACCCTCCGGCACGTCGTAAGACGCGGGCATTGTTCATCTTGAACATTGGACTTCAATTAGCGGAACAGCACGAGAAGCTCGCCGGACGGATGAATTAGAGAACGGTCGCCTGACCTCCCCGATAGGTTTTGACGTAAAAGGCGAGGGAGGTATCCACTGTCGAGGACCATTTTGAACCTACTACTGGTTCAGAACTGGATACCAGATGTCCCTTGTCGATTTGAAAACGTGTGAGATTCGGCGCGAGCTTGCGGGGCTGTATCATAATAGTTTTCGAAGGTCAGAGGCCAAGCGTAGAAACAGCTTTCATAAGCACCAACATTGTGCATATATCGCGAGAAAGACAGGTGAACTAAGGCGGAATATAGATCAATGTACGGGAACCCTACGAACAGAGTTTCCTGCGATAGCGAAACTTTATCAATGTGAAATATTATGTTCATCGTCGGAACATACACCACTGTAGTGTCGTCACCAAGCCACTTGCATCGTGACGTCTCCATGAGCTGTCAAGGATGTACTGGAGTTGCATTCATCCTGCAGGCCATGGTGAAGAGAAGTGACAGATGGGAACAATATACTCCGCGGGGCTGCAGCACTGTGAAAAAGTAGACGATAGGCTGTGGTCATGAGACATGTTCATAAAGCGCCAGTTGAGCATCGCCTTGCAGCATGTACAGTGAAATTGATCCTTTGGAAGTTACTAGAACGAGAACGTAAGCATTTTGAATTGTGGCAGACTGGAAGAGGAACAGCGATAACGCGAATGCATATGTCATACACGAAGAATACGGGTTTGAAGTACCTGTGCCAAGTTCGAAGCTTTGCTTGAATTTGAAGCAATTTACAATTAGCATGACCTTCCAACGCACATACAATTGGAATCAAAACAAAAACTGAGGGCGTACTGTAACAATCAATCACTCTAGTTTGGTTTCTCGCCGATGAAGGTGAACGTTCTGTTCAAGTTGATGGAAATCCGAACCTTATCTTATCTAGCCGAAATTGATCCCTACACTAAAAGAATGGTACCCGTTCATGATTCAGGTGAAACGTCGCCCCATTTCCAACTCATTCCTGAAGTTAACCACTCATGCATTTCAATACCTGCAGCAGTTGAATGGATCGTGGCGTAGTCAGTCAGTCGTATGTGCTTCAGGTTGCCACGTCCCAATATCCGTGGACAGAATATCCCGTTTTTGGACCGCACTGCATGTGTTCACCTAGACAGTTATCTGAGTCTCGATAGACATATATGTTCGCTCCGGATTTGAAGTTCTGTATCTTTGCCTCGTTTCCCGCAGTTCACATCATTGTCTAGCCTCATATCCTCTTGGGTACACTAGACCCTTATCCCGATTAGGATGTCCATACACGCCGTCAAACGAGCACAATGCCATCTGGCTTGGGACAATAGGTACGATCTCAGAGTCGAGACTCATTCATGAAAGAGACGCTTCTGAACTCTACTATTCCTTAACAGTATTCCTCCAGTCTTGCGCGTTGAATCTGGAGAGACAGTCTCGTTCGAATGTCTCGACGCCTCGAACGGACAGGTAACGCCGGATACAGTCGCTTCTTTACTCGCCACCCTTGATATCGCCACCCTGGATCAAGTAAATGGACCTGTATACGTTAGCTCGGCCCTTCCAGGCGATACGCTGCAGATTGACGTCGTGGATATCGAAACTGCAGAATGGGGTTGGACTGGGATCATACCAGGATTCGGCCTACTTGCAGATGAATTCCCTGACCCAGCATTGAAGATCTGGACCTTAAATCGGACGAGTGGAGAGGGTTCGGATGGCGGATATGGTCACGCTTGGTTTGATGAGAAGAAAGGAATCAAGATCCCTTTGAAGCCTTTCGCTGGCGAGATGGGCGTGGCACCTGCTGAGAAGGGTGCTTTCTCCACGATTCCACCGTATAGGACTGGAGGAAACATCGATACGAAACATCTTAGTAAAGGTTCAACTCTCTACTTGCCGGTTGGGGTCGAAGGGGCTCTTTTTTCTGTCGGTGTAAGTCGATTTTTCTTGCTCATAATTCGACTGCTCAATTTGCTTGTCAATATAGGATGGTCATGCAGCTCAAGGTGATGGAGGTGAGCCGCTCACGTTCTAGGCCACATCCGAACTCTCATGACAGTTTTCTCGTAGAGGTCTGCGGTGAGACTCTTACGTGATGATTATACAAATCTATTCCTCAGCGTGTTTTGCAGGTACCGCGATTGAAACGTCGATGAGAGTCACCGTGCGACTCACTGTATTGAAGGACAAACCATATGTCCAAACGCCGCACTTCTCAACTTCCCCATCGAAGGACGAATCTGGTGGCTATTATTGCACAACAGGTATTGGTCCAGGTACTTCGTTGCTTCTCTTTCCAGGCCAGAATCTGTCTGACATCTGTTGCCAGAGATACGCGAAGCGACGCGTGACGCTGTCCGACATATGATCTCTTTGTTAACGGCAGAACATAGCCTAGACCGTGTTGAAGCCTATATGTTATGCAGCGTTGCAGGTGATCTTCGAATGCACGAAGTCGTATGTGTGTTTACGGACGTCTACCGACGTTGGGAATGACTGACTATTTGTCAAAGGTGGACATGCCAAATTATGTGGTATGTATCTCCACCGTGTCTCACCTGCTGCTGGCTCACTGAGAAGATTCTTTCTGCAGATTGGGTTAATGCTACCCAAATCGATCTTTGGACATGCATTACCATAGGTCTAGGTCACACAAGAGTTCAGGTTGACATTGATACATTGATAGTTGCGTTGCAAAAAGACATGAGCAAATCTTTCTATGATTTTATGATTGGCTATCGCTATACAATATACGCAACGTTCAAACCCGCAGTCTTTGTAATTCTCTCGCCAAATCATTTCGCTGGTTTCTGAGAATCTGCTGACTTTCATCTCTTGCCCAGCTACGCACGAGTCCATCACGGTGAGTTGAGAGCATGTTGCCATCGTAGCCATCAACCTCGAAGACACCATGACTATACTGTCCATGGTACTCGCAGATGAAGTCACAAGTATTTGGACAAAGGAAACGGGCAAGCTTGACCACGTCGCCTCGAGTGTAGATGTAGCCTGAGGCCAGTCCAGGTAGGATCTTGAGACTACATAAGTTGGTGAAGGGCGGTACGTGCTTGAACCAACTTTTAGATGGTGTGGCGATAAAGGGAGAGACAGGCAATGTAAGCTCCTCCAGCAACGGACAAAGATGCGCCAGTGAGAAAAGACAATCCAGAGTAAGTGGTGGCCCTTCGTAGATCCGCGCTGACAGGTTCACTGTTTAGGCTCAGAATGCGTAGTAAGGCCAGTTGGAGACGAGTTCCTCCATATCGTCCAAGAATAAATTTAAACGGATGCATGGATCTGAAACGAATGTCTCCAAATGCAGAGCGAATGGCGGACGGAGTGTAGCGATTGTTATGCCTTCATTCGGTGCGCTCGGGCTGAAGACACGCGAGGAAGGTTCATGGACACAGGAGAATTTTCGTAAGGATCGACAGGTCGACCCAATAACGATGAACAGATCCCGCAAATTCTCAGCCTTGGTGAGAAACGGGAGGCCATGGTTGAGAGACAGTTCTACAAGTTCCCCGGGTGCTTGTTCCAACCGAAAGAAGTTGGTGATTATAGGAAGCGGTCCTCGTACGTGCAAATATGAGAGCGAAGGAAAAGCTCCTTCGGGTAGAAATATAGGTATCTCATGATATTCTGTTTCTCCCCACTCTAGACACCAACTCGAGTCATTCCCGGCAAGTGAAAGCCATTTCAGAGATTTCAGCTTGGCAATGGTGTCCCATTCGTGGCGGTGGAGGGAGGATAGGACAAATGGCAAACGCAGCGAGCTTAGACTGGACATGCGATCCATCAGAGAGAACAGGTTTTCCCTATACAACGACCCGAAGATTCCGTCGTGAAACAAGAGCGATTGCAGCTGTTGCATCGGCAGGAATAGGAAGTACTCTTCCAAACGTACTATGTCCTCACGTAATTTTGGGTAATCGGCTGCTATTGGCGGAATGTCCCCACGGAATTCTATACAGCGCCACGTCCAGTGAACTAGATTTGGGAATGGTCGTTGTCCTTTTGTGAACGGTGACGAGGGTCCATTGAGGAAGGCATGGAGTATATGGCCATGATAAAAAATTTGAGACTCGAGGTGAATGGTGCATACAGTTTGAATCTATCGTAGTCGACAGGGGGTCAGTCCATAGTCGGAGGCTTCGTCCAACCTCGCCCAAGAGCCCTTGGTCTTGTTTAATGCCCATTCGTGCCAACCTGGGATGAGAGGAAGAAGGCTGCAACAAAAAACCTTCTGCCAGATAAGCCGACTCGCTGCGGCGAACCATGTTTGACATACAAGGCTCGCAGTTATCAGATCATGATACGATTCTCATCGAAGGCAACAGAGGTAGTTCCTCCGCATCTTCATCTTTGAGGTCTGCGAAGATGAGGAGCAAAAGCTCTATGGTAGACAGAACCCTGCTGATTGGAGATTGAGACATGTCTCGTAGTGGGAGGAAGGGATATGAATACTTGAAAAAAGCTACGAGCAATAAGTACCTGGGTGGCAGTCAAAAAAGTGCCAAGCAGGCCAAAGCCTTCAGTGTTGATTCTTTGCCAAAGCAGCCTGACACATCCCATTGTTCTGAAACACACTTTGATTTAGCAACAAAAGTGCAGGCTTCTGCCATCCGCAACTTTCGTCCGACACCCAGTTACAAAGAGAGATCACTTCAAAGGGTCAGCGGCACGCTAGGAAAATACGCACAAAGTTTCCGCACCGTGTGAGAAGTGGGGGACGCGCTGCAGGTATGACCTCCGAAGTGACTGCTGATTCAGGAAAAGTCGCTATCCACTTTACATTTCACCTGCATGATACCGAGTGGTTTCATTGACATTGGCACTGACCCAGCAATGTTCATACACAAGTTCTTCTGATCCAGGTCAGTGGCGCCAGAATCGTTATTAGTCATAAACAAAATAATCCAGAAAGCTCCATACATGGATCTAATATCATTATTGATACAACCGGGTCTCAGACCAGCAACGGTTCGCAGGGGGTCAAGATTGTCTTCTCCGGAACATGACTTCGGCGGTAGGGTTGGGTTGAACTTTGATAGAGTACCAAACCGGTTCGGGAATCACGCCTTCATTCTCCATCTTGATGTCGTAAGTAAGAACGAGGTGAGCCATCATAGCCTTCAACTCGTTTGCGGCGAAGAAACGTCCAGGACTTGGGAACAGAGATATACATCAGCCAACACCACTGGTACAAGGATATGGAACGTACCATGCAAATCTTCCATGTCCGAAAGTAACGTAGTCCGTACTCGTACTGACCATCTGGTTCTTCACACCTTCAATATTGTTGCCGTCATTGCTGACGAATCGCCAAGGATCGAAGACCTCAGAATTTTCATAGTTGGCTTCGTCAAAATGTGTGGGTGCTTCCGCGGCCGATACGAAAGCGCCCTTAGGGATGAATGTTCCATCGGAGAAAGTGAAATCCTTCAATGCCTTCCGTGTCATCGTTACTACACGAAGCCAAAGTCAGTAAGTGGTTAAAGAAAGACAAACGGATAGAAAAATGGAAGATATAAAGACGCACATGATCCGATCCCATGATGCCTATGCGATTCCCTCAAGAAACTATCTACCTTAAGCATCTTCTGCAAAGCATCTCGCGTCCAACCTTCTTGCTTGATGGCCCGAGTGACGTCCTCACGTAATGGCGCAAGGTATTCGGGGTTAGCTGCAAGGTGATAAAGCGCATGGGTGAAACTCTACAAGCAGCTCGTTAGAGTAGACAATGACAAGAGGTGATAGCTTACATACCATCGATGTTGTGTGGATAGAAGCAAAGTTCAAAGTCAAAATGCGAAGGACTAGAGCTCGAACACTCCGTTCCTCGCCTTTCGCTTCGTCCATAAACCAGCTAAGCATATCGTTCTAGGACCAGTCAGCTAACAACCAAGCAGAAAACGAGCAGAGAATTGTGTGTCTTACGGGTTTTCCATCGTAATCTGTACCATACTCCTCCATCAGCCTAAAACGTTCCCGAATGATGGGTTCCAAGTGCTTGACTCCACGAGAGATGTTTGTGGGTACGTTGGTGAGAAGGCGAGCAGCAAGGCTATCGTAGGGGACATGTCATAAGCCTCAGAGACGAAGGGAAGATATAGCATACGTACGGTCGAAGTAGCTTGGGAAACATATTGATAACGAAAGCGCCTTTCATGACGCCGACGGTGAACTCGATGTTCAGAGCTCGATAATCAAGGTCTCTACCTGAGAATAGTTCAACATGAGTAAAATGACAACGGAGGGTGATGTTAAAAAAAGCCATACATTTGGGAAGTCCAACAAATACGCGGTTGCTTACCCGACAGATAATTTGCATCACCGTATTCAGCGCAGGAACCTTAATCCACTCTGAGAATGACCCAGGACGTGAGTACACAATTAATTTGGAGTGTAAGTCAAGACATACCGTCAGTAGGAGGGATAAGGTCATTAAAAGCCACTTGAAGTTCATCCTTAACCTCAGGAAGTAATGTACTGATATTCCGAGTGAGTTGGTTCTTAACAATGGGGACATGGTAAGTATTCTGGTGAATCGCTGGTCCCAACGTGAAGTCGACCGCAAGAAACTATTGCAATACGGAGGGTCAGCAGGTCGGCAATGATGAATTATGGGATTCAAGGCGAGACACACCTCGGCAGACGCTTCGTTGAAACTAAGCTCATCAGGACTAGCTTTCCGCAGGTCCTCGATCAACTTATGACCAGTCACAACGACATGCCACCTGAATAGCTCCGGAACCTTGAATGCACCACCCTTATACTGAAGAAAAGTGACGCCACAGTCAGGTTCAACTTTCAGCAACAGATGATATAATGGCGCTCTAGCAATTAACCTTGTCATAACCTTCCTGGACCATTTCCCGGCCTCGGGATAAGTACTGAATCGCACCGTAGTACGATAGGATGGGCGCAGTAGGACCAATAGCAGGAATTCCGCGCAACTGTGCGCATAGCCTTAGCAAGCGAGAATAGAAGTTAGGAGAGGAGCGTACGCTTGATTGTCCAGGCTTTAGCAGTCTGGCGAAGTAGATGACAGTAGCCAAAGCAATTAAGGCGTATATCAGTGTGCTGGATTGGTCTTCACCCATTGCTCTACGCGAAGCAGAGAAAACGTTAGTGTCTGGGATACAGAAAACTCTGAGTTCAAAGTCATGACATGACAATGTGGCGTGTCGGATAGCCGTGACGATTGGTGTTAACGTTGTTAGAATCACTAGATTAAACAGCAATTACAACGAGGTCACCACAATCAACTGGGTAAGATAAGAGTGACGTCGACCCCGTCGAGCACTCTGGATGACCGTAGTCTTTAATAAGACTCAACGCTTCGTTTGCTACCTCCCGCTACCTTTATCTCTGCGAATAAGTAACAGATCTGACACTCACCGCCACACTGTCCAACCTCGGTGACTTGAGCTATTCTAAGGACCCTCGACTAAGCGAGTTGTCAAGACGACCACCACTGCTTTCCCAAAGTATTTGAAGAATTGACTTCCTTGACGCCACACTACCCGGAAGCCGTGAAATCCGGACGGGAGAGCACTTGAAAGATGGGACAACAGAAGTTACTTATTCGCAGTCGAGCGGGCGAAAGCTTGTTCGAGTTCCCACTTCTCTAGACGTGGCAAAGACGATACGTTCAAGTCAGGGTGACAGTCAAGACGAAGGGGTGAGACTATCGACTAACACCAAGAGCAGCGTTATGTGAAGCTTAGACCGAGTCTCGAGTTGGGCGGAAAATTGGAATGGCCGAACCGGGCACACCATCCTTGATATGGTGCCTTGTTCACCACGAGTATAACAGGTACAGTACTTCGAGGCACAACTAGAAGCCTTTCCATTGTGCTGACTGAACGACTCAAAGACATTTATATGGTCAGAGTTGCTGAGTTGAAGTGTTCTTCGTAGTGAAGGCAAGTCAGTAGGAAGCTTGCAAGTGGAGGTTTAATGGCATCTCCGAATGGTCTTCTCGCATCAATATATTTACCATTGAAGGCCGGGCTATTCCGTCGCCTCCATGCGTGAAGTGCTTCCGCGATCCTCGCATATCATTTCTTACGTGGACAAGCTTCTATGTACCCCGACCTTTAGAGCCTCGAAGCTCGAAGGCCAATGGAATCCCGAACGTTGCTTTTTACTAATCCCCGGGGACATTTAGCACCGACAAGTCTCGTCTTGGCAGGTAGGTTCAATTCCAGACCAAATTGAGTCTTAAACATACTGTAGACCGATTGTAACGATCGGTATCAGAGTGGCAGTCACTTCTCAGCTGAGGTACAGTATCGAAGATTCTATTTGCAGGGTCGTCCATTGAATTTTGACACAACTTCTTTCGATTACTCTCCGATCTCAATCGGTGACAGCCAATACCAATTCAAAGTGACAATTCATTCGCGCATGGGCTACTTTGTAAGTGCGTTTATTATGAAGCATACTATTTCGTAACTTGAGCCTCTGAATCTGTATGCGTCATGTGAAGGTTCTTATGAGGGACCGTACCGGACAAAACTTCGAAGTTTTCGACAGTATTTGAATTTCATGAAGTCGTGAGAAAACGCCACAGCGCATACAAATTGGTCTGCAATGTTTGAACATTTGTTAGGCGCTCTCCGGGCGTCATGCCGAGAGGGTATGAAAATAAGAAAAAATAATGGTATAAGGAGGGACTGAACCGGGAGGCTCAACGACAGCCATAAAGATTGACATTAGATGGCGCATCCTTACAGTCAGACTAGATGAGCTTGCAGCCATAATATTGTGGTCAAACCATATACCAAATTTACGGCTTGCTAGGCAGCCATCCTTCCTACTTCGGCTGTCCCTAGGCGCCTAGCAGGCTATCTCGGTTCCTCTCGGCCGGCATAAAACATTTCCCAAAATAGACAGTGCGGCTGAAAGTAGAGAGGTGTTATTCTGCGAGTGCACGCAGACCTGTCTGAGACTGCGATTGTGCACTTCATTGCCATGAGCCTCTGTTTACTGAGGTGAGAAGGCCAGATAAGGCAATCCAAGATTGACTTACACTCGGCAAGGAGCCTGCCAACCGTGACGCCCGCCAAAAAGTTGATAGACGCCCTAAATTCAAAAGTTCGCTCAATTTGTATGCACTGACATGATTTCTCACGGCCCCAAACCACATTTCTACACCCTCAGCAAATTCATAATATTGTCCGGCCAGGCCCGTCATAGGTTCTTGTATCGCATATACTGAACACGGGCTTCCAGGAAATCGACAGGGAAAGTCTGTACAGGTAGCGCGTAGTAGATGAACATCCACTTTCAGGTACATCCGCCAGACTGTCAGACTTGACAGTTCATGCTCAGTTGAGATGCGGTCAAGCTCGACATTCCACTCAACGTCTGGTTGAGGTGAATGTTGACCTCTTGCGACAGTGGCAGGACACATGACGGGTGCGCCCGCTGTTCAACTTTTACTTTACAGCATCAGGAGACCATGACTTCTATTGGTGATTGTGAGAGGTCTGGTTTCATAATAAATATCAAAATGTCTGGACGCCATGCGCACCTGATATTCAAACCAGGGTTGTACGATGGGCTCCGCTAACTTACAAGCCACATACCCGGTTTACATCGAAACTTAAGCTGCGGATCTACATATCACCTCTAATGTAATCTCATACAACACATACTTTGATCGAAAGGTGATCTGCAAGGTCCATACACTCGATGGTTCGATGAAATCACCACTTTATCACGCTCTCCCTCACGACGTCCTGATACCAACTGTCAATCTGGGAACCAGTGACTTGCCTTCGTCAGGGTGCTGCTGGTTTTCAGATAGCTGAACCATGAACCTTGTGCAATTGAGGTCTCTTCTTGATGTAGATGATGTTGATTCTTCGCTGAATGTGCGAACATCCTTGATAATGCCACGTTCGTCATGGCACTTGCCATCTTTCTATTTGTCAATCTTTCGGCCCTGGTCAGACACGTCCATGGCTGTGGCACAAGCAGCGAGCGTCGGCTCTTTCTCGCTTTAAAGGCTACAGGTAAGCCTCGACGCTGAAATGCAAAATCGTGCCGTCGGGATGGCGAAGTTCTTCGGATAATGCACACCGCCTGTCAAAAAGTTCGATAGGAGTTCCCGACTGTACCGGATTTTGGATTGCGCAATCATTCCTGACCAAACTCTCCCGACACAAACTCACATAGATGGCCTTACTATTCTCCTAGTATGGCGTGGCTATTCGATTACATGCCTTCCAACGGCGGCCGATGATATTTCAGGCTTTGCGGCGTATTACGGTACATTGATCGCGACCAGTATCGCCGTGAAGGAACTACGACGTACAAAACAAAGCATAACGCTTGGTAAGGCTCGCCAGGCATCGCTATGGAATGTAGCCAAGGTTTCTCAGCATTCATGCTTCAAGTAATACGCTTACCTTAACGTATAAAAGTGCCTGCACTGCGTGGACGGTAGAATCCGAAGATGACCAACTATAGTGCCGCAAGAGCTTCGCGTCCGCGTTCATCACGAAAAAGCTAACACCGCATAAGCGACATGAGATCGTTGGATAGCGGGCGAGGTGTATTTTCAGATGGGAGAAGGAAGTCGTATGAGGCAAGACGGATGATGACCAACGATGATATCTCGGAAAGCCAAGTAACTATCAGTGAATCAAAGGATAGCACCCTGCTCAATTGCTGGAAGACGGTCCGAAAGCAATTGATTATTCCTGAACTGGTGGCGTCGATAGTCTTATGGAGGTAAAAGAAGAATATGAGTTGTGATACGCCACCTGCGGTTTTACCACTTTTGCCTCCTCCATCGTCGTGATGCGTACATAGGGTCATGCAAACAGAATTCCTTGCTTCCCGTCGACAGGAATGGAGGAACAAGGGAACAAAACGAACCCATCAATGAGCATCATAAGCACTGGTTGGCCACGCGGGGATTGGAATCAGCATCGTCGTGTAATCTGGGAAGAGGTGCTGTGTTGGCTGATTGATGGGCAATAAACAGGTAACTCATAGGGTAGCCATGCGCATGCTGAGATGATACCTTTGGATCTCTTGTTCATGGCTTTGTTCACCGGGCCCTGAGAATTGATAGCTACTGAAACCAACCCATAAAAGAGCATCAGTTCATACATGAGAGGCATATACTGGATGGAGGCAGAGGTGTTGTGATGATGTGAAGTGCGATATGCATCTCCTGAGCAGGGCGAGATGAAATGCTGCTACAAGCATGCTGATACACGCCCGCTGCCCTTGACGACGACATTCGCTCAGCGTCCAATTTACACTAGCAGATCGAGGAGAACATAGCGGATAGAAATAAAAGTAAATGAGAGGGAACAGAAAAAAAAGTGAGGAGCTGACCGAAGTGTTCCCCGATCCGGGACACCGCCTCGCTGCCAGTCAATGTATCTTCCATTGATTCGCTGATCCTCGCTTGCACCTCTTTTCTCCTCTTGCGCTCATCTCGCCGTTGCTGCGGGCCTCGTTGTTGGCGTTCTCGACGACCACGCAAGACCTCGTAGCGACCAGCATCGTTGACGTGCACAAACGCCGTCAATGTCTCTCGCCGCACGCCCATTCCACGCGAACCATGCCCCGTTCCTTGACAATGGCCAGGACGATCCACTAGCTCGGGCTTTGCAGCCGCCTCCAGACGAGTCGCCAGACCAGCGTGCATTGCGAGAACAGCAACAGCGAGAAGCGTCCAGAATATCGCATGAAATTGACGAGGATATCTTGGAGAGCCGTAAAGCATTCGAGAGACGAAAGAAGGCAATCAAGATCCTCCTGCTCGGTGAGTGCCAAGTCTCGCCTGTCATCAGTGTTGTCGGCCGTGAACGTGGCGTGTTGTGGACATTTGTGTTCTTCTTTTGGATCTTTCGACGCGAAAGTACGGGTACTGATGTGCACAACCTATTGTGACGGCATGTTCAGGTCAAGCAGAGTCTGGCAAGAGTACTACCCTCAAGAGTAAGCCTACCCCTTTGACCCTTCTGTAGCAAGATTTCTGACATTCCTCAAGATTTCCAACTCGCTTTCTCACCGCAACATTTTCGAAGTGAGAAACTCGCTTGGCGAACTATCATACAGCTGAATTTGATCAGGTACGCCATGGTGTAGATTATTCTGGGTGACATTGTTTCGTCTATCTTTGCACCCCCACTCGTCTTATTCGGCCGACATTTGAATGTCATCGCCGGGCAGCACCCACTTAATTTCGCTACCAGGCATGCTGTGATCCGTGCTGTAGACATCATGTCTTCGGAAGCTTTGGGCTTGACATGAGAAACGAGTTACAAACCTTTACCTTCGTTTTCATTACAATCTTTTTCAAGCATTTAGGAAGTTCCTAATTTGTCCCATTACTCGACCGGCACTCATCTGAACATGAAGGCGGTCACTGCATTCTACTCATTACTATCTTCTGCACTTCACCGGCGTGATCAGCATTTTACTTACATTTGTTGATTCCTTAGATCTATCAAGCAACTTCTTGAGATACTAGAGGAAGAATGGAACTCTTCACAAACGGCCCCCGCTGCAACGGGAGTCCCACCGATACCCCCAATGCCATCTTTGCAGCCCATACCAGTCCCAGCTCGCTCAGTTTCCCCACCAAGAATCCTTCCGGTGCCGGCTTCCGCCCCGAGAGGTCCTAGGGCGCAACCTGCTTCACCCCCCCAACCGCCTCCGCCGATTCCGGTGGAAATTGCTTCAGCGTCTTCGAGTCCGTCGAGTAGTCCTCCTAATATCCTAGGCGGTACACCTTATTCTCATAGACATCTGGCAGGCATGTCTGCCAAAGCGCGTGGGAAGCTACCTGCGCATTTAGTACCGCCATTGCCGTCTCCACCATCCTCACCTAATCCGAATGGTAGCTCAAACACACACTCATTGGCGCCTAATGGTTCGAATAGTACTACAACTGTTACGTTCTCGCCTTCACGACCTTCCTCCACTTCCGCTACTCCGATACAATCCCCTCAACCTTCTCCGGCAATCACCCCTGCGCCAACTCTGCACAAGCCACAACCTACCAAAGAGAAGTCGATTCGTTTCAGTACTTCCCCGCTCAATGACTCCCACCGACGAATCCGTCTCAGACTCTTACCACTCATGGCTATTGAGGAAGAGCTGACTCGTAAACTCTTCCCGGAGATAAACACTCGTAACAGTTTCCATCAGAGTGATGGCACGGCTTTTCCTCCTGGTATCCGAGAAGTCTGTGTTAGGGCTGGCAGTGGTTGGAAAGGTGTCCTAAGTAACATCATCAGTGCAGAGAATGCGCCTCAAAATGGTACAAATGGGAATGCTAACGGGAACGGAATGCCGAACGGGATCTTGAAGACGAATGGGGTTAGTAGGACCAGACGGCCAGGCACTGCGGAGGGAAGGAGAGATGATCCTACAACGGTGCTTAGTGCATGTAGAGATGATATCATAATGCTTTGGGAGGATCCAGTCGTGCAAGGTGTATTGAAGAAGAGGGGTGTGAGGTTGCAAGATATGCCTGGATTGTAAGTGTCGTTTTTCGTACCCACTTTCCATCCGAAAATACAGCCATCTGACCCCATGGTCTATTGGCAGTTTTTTGAATGACACTGCTCGTATAGCTACCCAGAACTATGAACCTACTGACGATGATATTGTACGTGCTCGACTGAGGACTTTGGGTGTAGAGGAACATAGATTCACGATGGAGAGCGGAGCATACCCGGGTAGTGAGTGGTATATTTACGACGTTGGTGGAAGTCGCAGCGTGGTGAGTACGATGACTGATCGTGGTATAGCTGGTTATTGACAGCGAATATCTTTGTTAAACAGAGACCTCATTGGATACCCTACTTCGATGATGTACAAGCGATCATATTCTTGGCTCCTCTTGCATTCAATCTCATGCTTGAGGAGGATCCGAAAGTCAATCGCCTGGTTCGTTGCAAGCTCTCCTCTTCATGTCTATGTTTACTCATTCGTCATGGCACCGACAGGAGGATTCAATTTCGTTATGGCGGGAAATTTGCAAAAATCCTTTGTTGGCAAAGACCACTTTGATCCTCTTCCTAAACAAGGTATTCAACTCTTTCGTTTTGGCCATGCGTAGGTGACTCATTTCTCCTACTAGATGGACATCCTTCAAGCAACTTTGGCTGCTGGTATTCGTGTACAGAAATACGTTCCTAGCTATGGTGACCAGCCGAATGATGTACAGCATGTCGTGAAGTGTGCGTACTCCATGTTTCTTACATTCCTATCATCTACTAATATGACACCGACAAACAGACTTCAGAGACAAGTTCCGTGGATACCATGTACGCTCAGTACCCGCCAAGCATGTTTCATTGCTCATATGTGATTCTAGAAACGTTTGTCTCCTCATACAAGACCATTCTACTGGCATGAGACCTCTGTTGTGGATACCAAAGCCACTTCAGTCATCCTAGTCGGAGGTTCGTCCCGCCGTCTCTCGTTCCACGATATCTCAGTTGACGTCTTACAATCTATACAGTCCGTGAAGGTATCCTTCGTGCACACCTCCAGAGTGTCAACGTCATCTAAACCCTGACCTCACTTTGCATTCGGCTCGAGTGGTAAGACCAGCCAAGTCGACTTTCTGACATCCCGATTTAGTTCTATCTATTTCTTTCATTCGTTGTTGCGTTCTCTCTTGGATATATGTATTGCTAGATTTACTCTTAATTCATACGGTTCAGAGACTCTTGTGCTATTTTTTCCCCCACTTTTGGTTCGGTCTATGAAGATGTGCAGTGCCTGTTGTCTTTCTCGATGCAACCCGTACGTCTGCTATCTCTCTCAATCATTCTACTAATTTGGATATATTCACTGCAGCATGAGCCCAGTGCACCGTGAAGGGAATATCTCGCCGAGATCATATTTCTTCTGGGTTTCAGCGGTGCCTGCATGGTCCTTGTCTCTCAACCACGTTGTCTGGTTTATTGCCGTTGTTTCCCACGCCTCTCGCCTTTGAAAGACAAAGACCACTTTTCACTTCTTCGTGTACCATTATCATCAACCTTCCTACGCTTCTCACTAGCCGCGACAACTATGGGTTTTTACACTGCGAAGGCCAATCTATTTTGTAACGAGCAACTTTTCGAAATGGTCCTGAATCATTTCAACCCCAAGACTCGTGAGGGTCGACAGACTCTCCTTTCTGTACTTATGGTTGAGACGAACTGGTTTGATCGTGCTGCCCACGTGTTATGGCGTGAGGCAACATCAAAAGCACTTTCATACCTTCTTCCAAGATACACACCACGCCAGGTACTCGAGGTATGTGCCAGTGTATTCCAAATCCGCATGACCTGCTAAGGGCCATTGCATAGCCGCGTCGCTGGGCCGACGCTCTGAGTCCTGAAGACTATGCACGCTTGAAAGTCTATGCTCCGCACATCGCGAACTTAGTTCACGACGATAAGATTCATAATGCTCAAGACGCCCTAATGTTCGAAGCATTCATTCTGGGTTCCTCATTCCCTATAGGCAAAGATGATGAAAAACCCATATTCACCCGACTTACACATCTCGAATGGAAACGAACAGAGCTTTCGACACATCACGACGAAACAAATCCATTACGAAATTGCGTACGTCCCGGTGAACGATTTTTGGAGTTTGTGGGCCGTATCTCGACAGGTCGGCTACGTACGCTGCTGTTGGACGTTCCCGTACTAGTGGAACCCTGTGTGGATGGCTGGGTGCAATTTTTCCAGGGCCTCCGGGACTTGAAATGTCTTACATTTCCTTTACCATTGACGGCATGCACAATGGCGGTTCTAAACGGGCTCTCCAAGTTGAAATGTCTGGAACGGTTATCGACCATTACCAGTAGATGTCAAACGGACGACTTTGGGAACTTCGGATTCACACCTGAATTTCAAGAAGGTGCTTTCCCGCGATTAAAGGGGCTGCACCTCGCCTGTTACCCTCGAGACGTGTCGCAGTTACTGGGCGCGCGGTACGCTCCAAAAGAGCTAGTCGAGCTCACAATCCTCCTACCTTTCACCCGTGACCTACATAACGCCACATCCAGGGATATCAATTCTCTCTTCCGGTCCATCGCGAGCCATTGCAAGCGACTGAAGAAACTGAGTTGTTACTATGACAGGCACGATGGACGATTTCCCTCCGTCAGACGGCACGATATCATCCACGCTGAATCCTTTCGTCCGCTGTATGCTTTACGCAATATGATATCCTTCCGTTTCGCATGTACGCTGGAGGTGCGATTTGCTCAAGAGGACATCGAAGCTCTCGCTTCCAGCTGGCCATCGCTCAAGCATTTACAGCTTGAAAGCGAGGAATTGTTTAGTGTCATAACTGACAAGACCTTGAATTTGGATGCGCTACTCCCGCTGGCTCGCCATTGTCCAAACTTGGAGGATCTGAAGATTTCACTCTCCTGTCAAAACGGGCCTCTGTTAAAGAATGCCGATCATCCACTTCCTACATTTCAAAAGCTCAAAGCTTTGCACCTCTTCCCTGGGTTTACGTCGCTACCCGCTCCCCAGGATTTGGTCCTCACGTTGTTCCGTATGTATCCGTCGCCTGGTCGGTGGACGTTTACATACCCATGGGACCATTCTGGTTACAGTGCTTACTACAAGAGCCTTGATCGAATCAGGCAAATAGAACTTGTGCTGCTGCGGGAGCGCATCCAGCGAGGATGGAAAACTGCGACGTGTGTGGTGGATGCACTGAGTCGATATCAGAGAGATCTTCACCGAATACCTGAAGAGAAACAAGGGATCAGAATGCGGGCCCAGAAGACAAGAGACGAAGCTCCGATTGGTCCTTGCAGGGTATGGTCATTCGGAGAGACATTCACCAATGCGCTTGGTTTCTTTTTTGGGAGAGCCTGATCGGGGGACAGTGTACTTAGATCAAGCTGCTATGTTTAAACCCACATCATTTAGAAACTCATGGCAATTCAGTACGGCCTTTTCATGATGATCAGGCCTCGAGGATTTAGTATCTCGTTCGAGAAAGTTCAGAAGTCCCTGTCTACACTGCCTGTGGGAGACTAGGTTCCCACCCTTCCATTTTGTCCTTTCTACCATCGTCATCGACAGGCTCTATCCAGTTGACATATGCTACTGCAGCATCAAGGGTTTTTGGCATTGCTGAAATCCGAGCAATTCAACCCGAAGTCGGGTGACTGACGAAAATTTATGTTTTCCGCCATCCAAAAGGATTGGTTTCTAGTCGCTCCCAAATGTCTCTGGCGCACCATTTCATCCAAGCTCTTGTGTGCTTTCTTCTGATCAAAGTACACTCCATGCCAGGTACTCGAGGTACGTAACTAGTTCACTTGCGTAATCTTATTGAGGCCCTTGAGCATTAGCATATATGATATTAACATAGTCCGTTATCAAGCAATAAGCTTTTCCCATTCCCCCAGGTCCTCCGGTCTCAGGGGTTTGAAGCTCCTCTCTGCCTTGACCCAGCTGGATGCACCTGAGGTCATCATACTCACACTGCTCCGCATGTACCCTCAAGATTGTCCCTTGTCACTCGCCCACCGCGGGGATTACCCCCTTGGATCGGGGTTACTATCTTTATATTGATAAACGTCGTCGTCTGGAATTAGATCCCCACCGAGGTTGTATTGCATGAAATAATGCAGATTCTGCTCTGTGCGCGCAGTTGCTCGGAGCGGGCTGGGGTTCGCGATCCGGTGGCGGTTCAAGGGCATGCGCGGACGGAGGTGTAAACGCAGAGTTGAGCTGCATTTAAACGATCGTGCAACCCTTTTACTGACTGGAGGCTGCAGATCATTACGGCAGGTGACCTTCGATACGCTAACTCAGATAGAGGGATTCAATGTCATATTTGTGTGGTGTTGACCATAGTAAGGAATGCAGGCAGAATGTATGCTGCGTTACGGGTTACGGGGATTGATCATATTGATCTATGAATTTCCTGTTGAACACTTCAAGGAGAGCCTAAGTTCAAGACTGGATTGAATTACTACACTTGCCGTTTAGGGAAACATAGATCGTGTTTCGGCATGCCATGTACGGGCCACCCTGTAGTGTGTCAACCTTGTACCTCTTTGCTTCCGCGACATGGACTCCACTGAGCACCACTTTCAAAGGTCAGAGGATCTGTATCATGCACAAGAACACGATATCCGCCTCCCTTGGCGGTAGAAGGAGCGATGATTGAACTTGGCGACCGTCATCACGGATTAACCAACGCTGGACGGCCATTGCCGACAACGAACCATATCGTTGGGGTGCATGATTGCTGCTTGACAACGAACCACAATGTCTTCATTCCTTGAAACTTTGGGAAAGGTCAGGGATAAGATTCCTGAGGGACTCCAACATGCAAGGGCCACAGCAATAGGTAAATAATAGTCCTATATTTAAGCGAGACGAATGGGCACCTAAATTGCATCAATAGGACTTCTGAATCCCAACCGTCGACATGATGATCCCGAAGAAAAACGCGCCGATATGGTTAGATCTGAGATCAATTCTGCCCACCGTTATCACTCTTTCGCAGACGAACGCTGGCAGAACTTCGTGAAATGGTACGTTTGTAGTTTCGTGTGCCTTCTATGTACTCAAGTATGCTATTAATAGGCACATTGATGGTCATGACTATATGTATGCGCTCTCAGAGATGCTTGACAGTGCGCGCGAGGCCATTTTTATACTTGTAAGTGGATGTTAGTGCGAGCAAGTTGACTTCCGATGAACTTTGCTCCCAGGATTGGTGGTTGACGCCTGAATTATACCTCCGCCGTCCCCCTGCATCTAATGAGCAGTGGCGATTGGACCGATTACTGAAGCGTAAAGCTGAAGAAGGCGTCAAGATCTACGTGATTGTCTATAAGGAAGTTACCCAGACCATGTCTCTGAGCTCGCATCATACAAAGGTAGAAATTCTTCACTTGCGTCTTTTCAATTCAGCACTCAGCAATTGGTTTCTGAAGGAAACTCTGGAGGCTCTGCATCCCAACATTGCTTGCATGCGTCATCCAGACCATATCGGAAGCAAAGGTCAGTCCGGCACCCAGTACATACGTATCTGCTACTCACATTCACGACAGACGACGTAGCATTTTGGTCGCACCATGAGAAAGTAAGTCGAGGCTGGGTTGGTCAAATCTTTCTGTCTTCTCACTCGTCCCACCAGGTCGTCATTGTTGACAACCACCGCGCTTCTCTCGGCGGTTTGGACCTATGTTTTGGTCGCTGGGATACTCAAACCCACCCTCTCGCGGTAAGTGTAGGACATGCTGCTACAAGGTCGCTCTTCTGATCTTATGTAGGATGTTCACCCAACAAACTTTGCCGCTACCCTATTCCCAGGGCAAGATTACAATAATGCTCGTGTCCTCGATTTTAAGGTAGTCTATACCGAACTCGTGCGACATGTGAAGCTCACCTGCTTACAGGATGTGCCCCAATATATCAATAATGGAATTAGTGTTCTTGACACTCCGAGAATGCCGTGGCACGACGTTAGTCCACGAATCGCTCTGTTTCACCCAACTTCTGAATTTGTTGTAGGTGCACATGACGGTGTGCGGTCCTGTTATACTCGATATCGCTCAACATTATGTCGAGCGGTGGAACGAAATCAAGAAGCGCAAAGTAAGTAGAATTTTTACGACTCCCTATTTCTCTCTCCACCTGACATTTGTCTTCACAGTATCGAGAGGATGTGTTAGTGCTCTGCTGTTTTCAATATTATTCTCTTTTAAGCGCGTCCTTGCAGCCGTTATGATTGGCTTGCCTTTCCTCATAATGTCGAGGCCGCGCCTAACGAGGCTATTGCCCGCCACCCTCACCGTGAGCAATGGCATGACATAGGACATCGGTTCAAGCAACGTTTCCATCGTAGTCAAGATGAATCCTATCCTGAGGAAGAGGAGGACCCGGAGAGCTATGTTCGTTCACCCCATGGAACTTGTCGCGTTCAAGTCGTTCGAAGCGTTTCGGACTGGTCTCATGGTGTTTTGACAGAACGGAGTATTCAGAATGCTTGTGAGTAGTTCTTCACCGAAGAATAAGATTGAAGCTATACTGAGGTGTCTGTCTTCAGACATTCAGCTCATTCGAGAAGCTAATCATTTCGTCTATATTGGTTTGTGCTTTTAGTCACAATCATCTTCCATATTACTGACTTTCAACGGTCTTAGAAAACCAGTTCTTGTAAGCGCGGGTTTGATTCTTTTCGGTGTAACATGATATTAATAGTTGTCATTAGTATTTCTTCCATCGACGGTAAAGGTGCTGTCAAAAACACTATTGCTGGTGCGTTAGTCGAACGTATTATCAAGGCCAGAGATGCTGGTCAGAGGTTCAAGGTATTACGAGTTTCCCACGCCATTTGCAAGTGTCTTACTTTCGTTCTAGGTTATTATCGTGATCCCCGAAGTTCCTGGCTTTGCCGGAAATTTGAAAGACGAATCATCTGTGAAGATCATCATGGCTGCACAGTACAGGACTATTAACCGAGGTGGCTCCAGTATCTATGAAGAGCTCAGGAAGGCTGGTATCGAACCGTGAGCCACCGTTCTCCCATTTCACAAAGAACGTTGCTGATTAAAAGATGTCAGGCTGGATTACATTCGTCTGTATCACTTGCGTGCATATGACCGTATTAATGCCCCTTTCTGTGGGTCTTTTCATACGACAAGTTCGATCTCGTGGCTAACGTTCGTTTTAGCTTCGTTCATCGCCAAGATGGAGGAGAATAGTGGCGTCAAGTTCCAGCAAGCTATGGTCGCTCTTGCCCGTCAATGGGTCGGAGATATAGAAGGTCCTTCGATCCCTGCAAATGTCTCCATCGTTATCCCTTCAGACACGACTCTGACCATGCCCGCGCCCGAAGGTGTCAAGAGCGAGTTGAAGTCGGAAACTTATCCTCTGCCCGCTACCGTAGAGGAAGCTTGCAAGATCATCGAGCAATTTGAACATGGAGCTGATGAATTGAGGAGCGATGAGGTTGTGTCGGACAATGTTGCCCAACACATGTTGAACGATAGGACGGCTTTGGTGGATGAGGAATGGTTGGGTACACCTGAAGAAGAGAAGGGTGCTTACGTGTCAGAGCTGCTTTACATTCACTCCAAGCTCATGATCGTCGACGACCGACGGGTTATCGTGAGTGACTTTCATTATTCTAATGGCCACTCAACTGACTTTGTACAGATGGGTTCCGCTAACATCAACGATCGTAGTCAGAAGGTAAGCGGCCCAGGCAGAGGTCATTCGACGGTTGTTTACGATATTTTAGGGTGATGGAGACTCCGAGATCGCCCTCGTAATTGAAGACGATGATCTGGTCCAGACCAGAATGAACGGCCAAGCCTACATGGCTTCCCGTTTTGCCACGACTCTGCGACGCAAACTCTACAGAGGTATGTTTTTCCTCGCACTCATATGTTCACTTCTTTGCTCATATTGTGTCAAGAACATCTTGGTCTCATCCGCCCACAGTGGTGTAAGGAGAATGAGGAAGTCACAAGCTTCATGCGTCCTGCCCCTCATGCTAATGACGACGAAATTGGGACTCAGCAAGATGACATGGTCGCCGACCCACTCTCTGATGAAACCGATAGACTTTGGAATGATACTGCTAGAAGCAACCGGGAGATTTTCACAGAATGCTTCCGTCCTGTGCCAACGAACCTGATTAGGTCCTGGGCTTCCTACGAGGTATGTTTTTTTTTTCATGAGTATCATTGGTTCCCATTGCTCATGGAACGTTGGAAACAGAATTACGTTCCAAAGGTGCAGACTGACCATGCTGTTCCCGAGATCACTTTAGAACGTCTGAAGGATCGCCTGTCGAAAGTCCGGGGAGCTTTAGTGGAGTGCCCATTGGTAAGCTTTATGCATTAGTTTATGGTATGAGTGACTGATTGCACTTTCGCATGGTACAGGACTTTTTGATTGACGAGAAAGACTTTGTCGAGGGGTCGGAATGGAGTGGGCTGAACCCGACGTTACCCATTTACATTTAGTTTAGATGATGATTCCGTCACGGACATTTTGCGCGGATGGACTGAACCTTCTGATTGAGCGCTGGACTATGGATGGAAGATGGATTAAATATGAACGAAGTGTTGTGTTGTTGTATTCTCTCTTGCCCATGATCCTCAAAAGATAGAGTGTCCTCACTAGCATACCATATTCATTATTGAACGAGGAGAAGGGCAATTCATGATGCCAAAATGAGGGAAGTTGGAACACAGTTCTGTCACAATTCGGTTGGTCATGGAAATGTTGGGATGATAGATTATAGAAAAAAATCAAAAACATATGAGACGTAAGTAGGAATTTTTTTGGATCCTCAGAGATGTTTGTGCATAAGTAACTGGCGGAGAAAAATGAAACATTCTGACCAAAAACGAATTTAGCAACTCCTGGTCTCGATCCAGGGACCTCGGGGTTTCGAGCGCTTATCCGGCGTATGGGCCCCGCGCGCTACCTCTGCGCCAAGTTGCTGTACTATTCATTATAGACTACAGTTTAGCTCGCAGTCAACTCGATACCCGCGCGTCTCCTCTGCGCCAACTGTAATATTCGCCGTGACTCTGCACTTCGTTCGTATCTCCCTCTCTCATGTAGACCTGTCATTGGTCTGCGTACTATGGTCAATTATTCTGGCAAACGGATTCCGCTCTCTACCAGGAAATCATATACTACTTGCTTATTGCTCTTGCATTATGACTTTGCTCCAATCGCATTCGCGATACAGGGAGACATCGACCAGTCAATTCATATTGCTACTCTCTTCATTTGCGGCTAACATCATGTGCCTGCAGTGGAAACTGTGCCCCATGACGGTACTTGAATGGACATTCCGTACAGTTCGTGCCCATAATACCTGCCGACTGTATCCTTACAATTCCGAGGTCAGAAAGCAGTCTTCTGCGATGTAGTTCCTGATTGCTGTATGGGAATCCCTACTGGTGTCCATGGTCCCTTGGAGTTCCAGATCCCTGCGAGCCGAGCACCCTCGGAGGTGTTTGCGAACTTTGTGCGACGCACACAGGGTATCTTTGACCTACGCATGTGCGGATGACTCTCGGTCCCAATATATTCCTGAGAGCTGGACCATACTGTATTCCATTCGAGGGTAGAAGGATATACTGAAACACTCCGACCCTCGCCGCCGATGTCAACCCAGCTCTTCGTCGTACCTATGTATACGAAATCTCGTACTCTATACCTTGGCCAAAAGGATACTCCTCACGCCCCGACTGCATCTACCTCCGTGATCCATTGAAATTTAGACGACCGCATTTCGTATATAATACCTCGTCAACCCTCGCAATTTTTCCTCACCCTGAAGCAAAGATCACTATAGGACCTTGCACCACAATGATTGGAAAAACTTTCACTAAACTTGCTCTCCTCGGTGTCGGTTTCTTCTACTCTGTCGCGGCGAAGCCAGGCATGTACCTCCGAGCATACCTTCTTGCTGCAGCTAACATGGCATGATTAGCTCTGCCTATTCCTACGTCCGGAACATATCGTATTCAGAATGCAGACACTGGTTTATATATCGACGCTTTCGAGAGTTTACAAGGTGTGTCCAAGTTGAACTCGCATATTCCGTCCCATTCTAATGACTTTGTTCGTCAGACCCGGGAACGCCTGTGCGTAACAGAGTCATTCACATTTTAGCCATATAGCCTCATATTTTGTACAGGTCATCGTTTTTCCCCTCAATGAGCCGGCCACTGCGAACCAACAGGTAAGCCAACCCCGCTGCCGAGATCAATCAAAACATAACGATACCTTCGCAGTGGACAGTCATTTTGTTTGACCCTCCCTTCGGAGAGCTCCAGTCCATTAGCAGCTTTGTCACCTTCACAGGCACTTCTGTAAGTTTGTTCTTGCTTCGTAAATCAAATCTTATATTGATCTCTGACCTTAATAGGGGAATCTGGTCGCGACCCTCGATCCTAGCGCGGCCAATGTGATAACGTTCTCATCTACTCCTGGTGGTGTTTCGTACGTTTCCAACCCAACGTCCTCTCCGTGCCCTTTACACTGATTATTTATTGTAGTCTCTGTGGCCAGCCCACTAGCGTTGGATGTCTTACATCCCCCTCGACGGGTGATACTCAGGTGCGCATACCTCCGCATTAGACAATACATAAATGAAACATTCAACGTCGTCTCTTAGATCCCTTTGTTACCTTTCACTGGTGCTCTTAACCAGACCTGGATCTTCCAGCCTGTGTAGAGGTCATGAGGGGATGAAAGGTTCTCGTAAGGTTAATGGATCAATTGAATGGGTATGTTCTACGGTCTGATGAAACGAACGTGTAAAGTGTCGAATTTGTAATATTACCATGCATGTGATGTTCAAGCGAAACGACGTTTGAAGAGCTTACAGAAAGTTTGAACCTGGAAGGATGTATCAATCGAGCTACACACTACGTCATGTGAACTGCACAAAAAACCCTTGACACGACATCGCCTATTCCGGGAACCTTCAATGACCTATGTTTCGCCTCGTCCTATGAGCTATCCACTGACACCCTTGTATCTTGTTCTAAAGTCAAAATCGGACTGGAACAAGGGCAGTCACAATTTTTCGAGAGGAGTTTCGAGCACAACGCTGACACGATTCGGAGCATACTAAAATTAGTTACAAGGTTCGCTCCTTCATGAATGTGACGTGAGTTTCCCGGTACTGAGGTAACTACAGAACTGATTCTGCTTCCTTAAGGGACGAAGCGGGCTCTTCGTTATAGTCTAGAATGTCACAGTATCGGAAATTCCATGGGCCATGGCTTACCTTCACCGTATTCAAGAATAGGCATGGACATCGAAGACTGCATGCACAGACGCACGTTCTTCATACTGTCGGCATACCCTCTAGCAGATACGAGAGCTCATGCGCTTTAAAGAATGCACCGCACCGGAGCTTGATCAGAGGACCTACAATTATATTGAGCTGCATTGAACCACAGGTCCCGCAACAGCCGAGGCCTCAGGCCTCAGGTCTTCTCAGCATGTTGCTATTCTCGTCTGCTCAGCAACTAGTCCCCCATATGTGCAGCTCGCATGTTGTGTTTCACTGCTCGTAGCCGAGATCAGTCGTAACTTTAATGCTGTCTAGCTCTTCGGACCTCCCTCCCTATGGACGCATTGGAAGCCAATACCCATAGTGCTGACTACTGTACCTCCAGGCCTTGAGATCCAATGCAATGCCAGTATGCTTCGCCATTCGTCTTCGGGGTGGTGCAAGTGTGACCTTTTTAGCATAGAACCCGACCAAGGACACGAAGTTTTCCTCAGTTACAAACAGAAACAGTTACCTCACTACCTGCATCATCATCATCAAGTCGCAATGATTACCGAGACCCTTGCTAAACTTGCAGTCCTGAGCTTGGGCTTCACCTACTCCGTCTCGGTAAGGCCTGGTGGGTTCGTCTTCTCTCTCGGCCTTGTCTGCTTCTTGACAATTTGCTTCAAGCTCTTCCTATCCGCATGCCCGGCACATATGCGCATTCAGAACGCTGATACTGGCTTGTACATGGACGTCAAGGGTTCCTCGCAAGGTGTGTAGCGTTTCCAACGTCTCACATACGAGTATGGTCAGCTGCTACTGTAAGAAGATAATTTCTCAGGCCCGGGAACTCATGTAAGGGGGAGGCAACTCAGCCCACTCTTTGAACGTTCGAAGCTAAATATATTCTACAGTCCTTGATCAACCGCTCAACCAGCCGTTCACCCCGAATTAAGTGGTAAGATGATACTTGAATCTCGCTGAATTAAAAAGCGATACATTCAAGTGGACTCACCTTTTTTGAAGCCAACCTTGGGACAGTTGTGGTCAATTAACAGCACTCTCCGTTTTATGCACTGGCAGAGCACCTGTGTAAATCTACAACCTTTTCATTCTGGTGTTTGGTGACATATTGTAAAGAAGCCCGGTTTCGTTGCAGTTCTTGACACCCTCACGGCGAATGTTCTGACACTCCTAGCGACTGCTGGTGGTGCCTCCTATGTCCATTCTTCCCCTCTTTGGTTGTACTGGTCTGACTAGTTGATTATTGTTAGGATCTGTGGAGATCCCGTTCAGTCTCGTTGCCTTACACCACCGTCGGCTCCAGCGACTCGGGTAAGCGTCATTTTGTGCTTGACCTGGTTCGGTTGATTTATTGCTGGTCTTCGTTTAGATTCCTCTAGAACCACAGTCTGGTGCATTCAATCAGACTTGAATCTTTCAGCCCATTTAGCGGCTAGGTGCTTGTTTCGATCCCGTAATACGGCCGAATTCCGAATTGTTCTTCTTTTGGGGTGGAGAATAGTGAGTTCAGTGTGAAAATCCGTTTGAATATACCGCGCGGTTTCATGTGTAGATGTGGTTCCCACTGTCCAACCCACGCAAGTTGTTCAGGTATAGTTGCTTCGCAAGCTAAGTGCCGTTATGCGCTTCTTACGCGGCCTCCTGTCTCCGTCTGTACCTGCGCAAGATGGATCAATGATTCAGTGTTCACATGCAGTGCTTTGCATCGGGGAGATGCTGCCTTCACGTTCTAGATCATAGGGCACCTAGGGGGGCACATCCTGTGTTGAAAAATTCACGCATATTGGTCGGCATGCATGCTCAACGCAATCAGAATGTGGTATAACTGACGTTAGAGTCTAGAAATATATACATACAAGTAACGCGAGCAAGAAGACACCGAACTGTGGAGAGCATAAACATGGACTTAGATAGGTATGTTTGACTGGATCGTGCCTTGACGGTCGAGCTCTCGACGGAGAACTGATATAAAGTTGCACCTCGGGTAGGACCCTATATAGCTATTAGACACAACTTTATCCAGGGGCTTGAAACGACATCGTACCCTGTCAATATGGTGCTCCCAATGAATAAGAGGTAGTAGACTATGCCTGCTGGCAGGGAGCGGAATAACCTCTCACATATCCAGTGGACCCATGTGGTGGCGGAGTTGCCCGAAAGCCTCCCAACCTTCCAAATGTAGTAAGTAGGTTCACTTAGCCCTCAATAGTCACATTGCGGCGGCTGACATCGAAAAAGTGCGATCCCGGATGTCGAGGGGAAGCATAGACGGAAGCTGGCGATGTAAGGAAGGACTGGACATGGGTATATAAACCACGGCCCCGAAGTCAGTGTTGGTTCTTCACCTGGCTCGTCCTTGTCCCAGAACTCCTCTTCGCGTCCATCCCCTTCGTACATACCACACAGTCTTTACCCCACCCACACTCCCTATCCAACTACCTAACACTTTCTCTACGTGTCTTCTCTCGATTTCAAGATGCCATCCGCCGCCAACCTCGTTCGTTTCCTCGTTGTTTCCTTGGCTGCGTTCTCCGTGTCTGCCACGCCCACTTCCACAATTGCTTCTGTACTCCAATTCAACCCTTTAAAGAGCCTCCCTAAACGTGCCAATCCTCTCCCCTTTGGTCCAGGCCCCGTCCAACTTCCTCGCCCGGTCACAAACGCTCAGCGAATGGCTCGCGGGCTTCCCCCGATGCCGCCTCGCTTCAACCACGCCAAGAAGCATTTGCACGCCCGCCAGTCTGATGCTCCCTGTGTCCCAGTTTCTGGTACTATTCAGGCCAACGTCGGTGGTCGTACGGCGTATGTCAGTAGGAACGTCAACGACTTCGGAGAGTACGAGCTGGACAATGGTGTGTCTGGAGCTTTGGAAGTTACCATTTGCGTCAGAGGCAATGACGCCTTCGATATACGTACCAATGTAAGTGCTATCCTCATTTCATATTCTTATCCAGTTTCGCTAACTTGGATTGTGCTTTATGTTCAGAACGGAGTGGCTGCGTTCCCCTTCTTTGGTGGAGTTGTTGGCTTTGCCAACACCGACGATAACCTCTCAGCCGGGTCGTTCAACTATGTCTATATTGCAGCCACCTCCCAAAGTTCGTTTTGTCTAGTCACCCTCTTTCTTTCATCAATCTTACCTATTCTTCGTTGCGCTGTCCAAAGCTCCCGTAGGTTCCCGCCCAGTAGCTGGACCCAACGCCTTCACTGCCGCGACAGATATCTCGAAGAACATCGAGAGTGCCATCTGGACCATCGACCCTAACTCGAGGGTCTTGCGCTCCAACTGGGTCAACACCAATGGACGCGTCGCCACCCAGAGTATCCGTTACATTCCCAGTGTAAACGCGTTTGCGATTGTGGGTGATGTTGCCGAGTTCGAGGATAGCTTTGGTGTTTCTTCGCCTGCTGTAAGCTTTTCGTTTAGTTCCTTTCGCTGGTGGGACATCATGCTGATGGTTGTTTATGTTAGACTTTCACCTTCATCCCTAATACTCCCGTCAGATTCACTTAGGCGGACTTTTCTACTACGACACTTCTCTGGCACTCAACTTCCTACATCAGTTCAGAGGAGCATGCCCCCTGGAGACAGTCACTCGTTACATAGGCGTCAGGATCGAAAAGACATTGCGTACAGTGCGTGATGAAGAAACTTACTAAACATCTGGGAATATTCGTGTGTAAACTAGCATGTGTCTAAGTGACGTGACAGTATCGTATCATTAGCAGATCCGTATAGCATATAGTGTGAATCAATGCTTGTATTCCGTCATTGTGGATAGTTTATCGTAGAATCGCGTTTGCGCACACCGAATTGCATCTTCGACACTTCGAACTTGCGCGATGAGTACACATGCGTGCGTGACGGCCGATACTATCGAGTCGAACTTTTGAATTACGATTGACAAGACGGGATACAATCTGATTGGCCTGTTTTACTTCAGCATCCTAGTTATACATTTCGAGCACACGCTTCTTTGCTAATTTGATTTACGTCCGACAAATTCAGATCCAAAGTCCAATACTGTAGACCGTGGGTTAGGTCGCGACTCTTTGCTTAGAGCTTGGAGCCGGAGAGAGCCTCCTTGAAGCGAGTCTCAGCCTCGTCGAAGTTGATAACGTTCCAGATGGCCTTGAGGTACTGTCAGAGGGAGGAGAGGGGTTGTTATTATTTTGCGTCCATATGCGAGTGGAGCAAGAGGAAATCAGACTTACGTCGGCCTTGACGTTGAGGTACTGCAAGTAGAAAGCGTGCTCCCAGATATCGACACCGATGATGGGGACCAGAGTAAGGAGAGGGTCCTGGTTAGGAGTGGTGGCGATCTCGAGACGCTTGGTGACAGGGTTCAATCCCTACGTTTAAGACCGCGGTCAGTTCAGCATCACACCTACATCATGCAGAGGGGTGAAAGAGCAGAAAGAAACATACGAGCCAGCCCCAACCGGATCCCTGGATACCAGCAGTGGTGGTGTTGAACTCCTTTATGAAAACATCGACGGAACCGAATGTCTCCACGATGGCCTTCTTGAGAGGACCGTCGGCGAGGACACCGCCGTTACCCTTGCCCTCGGACTTGGAGGGTGCGAGGTTCTTCCAGAAGAGGGAGTGGTTAATGTGTCCTGAGGGCACATTAGCATCCAATACCAAACAGGAGAAAGGAGATGTGATAGATAGAATGAATAGAATAACATGGAATACATGGAATAAATAGAAAGTGGTATGATCTGCTTCTTAGCGACCAAAGCCCGAAAGCCGACCGTGTTCCCAGGGTCCCCAAAGATACGGCACACGCAGGATACAGGAACGAGGTATCGGTACTTGAGAGTGCATATACTCACCACCACCGTTGAACTTGAGTGCACTCTGGAGAGCGATCCTCTCTTTGGGAGAAGAAGCCTTGGCGTAAGCCTGTTCAGCAGCGTTCAAAGCGTTGACATAGGTCTGATGGTGCTTCTTGTGGTGAAGCTCCATGATCTGCTTAGAGATGAAGGGCTCGAGGGCATCGTAGGGGTAAGGAAGATCGGGGAGGGTGTGTTGTCCAGACATTGTTTTGAAAGTGCTCGAGGGTGATGGTGGGAGGACAGAGTGAGAGAAAGGAGGCTGCGGGTATTTATGTAGCCTGGGCTGATCCTGTTCGATAACTGAGTGACCAATGAGTAACCCCTTCCATAACGCCATCGTCTTTGCTTTCATCATGACGTAAGGCACGTGATTCTACTTGCCCGTTTTAGGTCGTCACAAAGATGCCAAATATCTGTCACACTTCTTTCTGATTCGATAGCGCGATCTGCTGCCCCGAGCACTCGTACGTTGCTTTACTTGTACAGTAACTTATACCTCTTTATTCTGGGCTAGGGAGGCTCTCGACGGGCACCAATGGTACGCATCATGTCCTCAATGTCGAGGTTTCAACACTAACATAGCAACAGACTGTCTGTACAGACTGCGGCGGGACCGTTATCGAATATGATGTCGCGGCGGGAAATGGCTTCTGTGTTAACTGTGGAACAGTGGTAGAGGAGAATACTATCGTCAATGAGGTGAGCATTCTGTTGTTCAAGTGGAGGGGTATACCTGCTTGGCGGGTTACAGTCTGCATCTCAAAGCGGCAGGCAAAGATCGTCTCACTGATGTCCTCACGATCGGGCAGCTTGCAATTAGCTATAGCGGCTTCGACTTTGCCTTGCGCGTTCCATGTGTATATTCTCGATGCTTACCAGGTCTTTCCCCTTTTAGGTCACTTTCGGAGAAACGAGCACTGGTGCGGCGATGGTGCAGGGCAGCTTTGTTGGACAGGGAGCCAGTACGTCCATGGTGTATGTGTTCATGCCCTCGTGCTGACAGACCATTGTTTCTAGCACGTGCGCGTATGGGTGGACCGTTTGGCAACAGAGGAAGCACTGAAAGTCGAGAACAAACGATAGCAAATGGTGTGTAATATCATAATATACTATGCTCGGCGATACTCAAGCTCGGTCATTTAAGCAACACGGAAGATTCAGCAGGTCGCTTCGGCTATGCGTCTGTCAGAAGTCGTCCAACTCGCTGCTACTCGTCTATACACTCTTGCGGTTGAGCACAAATTTACGAAAGGGCGCAAGAGTATGAATGTCGTTGCCGTCTGTCTTTATGTCGCTTGCCGGCAAAAGGAGACACGCAATTACATGTTGATCGACTTTTCAGATTTATTACAAGTGAGCATTTTTACGTCATTGCTTCTTCATGCCCACTCACACTTTCAATTATAGGTCAATGTTTTCGAGCTCGGACACACATATCTCCAACTCGTGCAAACCCTCAACTTACGCCTCCCTCTCGTTGACCCCTCCCACTATATCTCGCGCTTTGCCGCTCTCCTAGAATTTGGCGAAGAAACACCTCAAGTAGCACTCGATGCTACACGACTCGTCCAACGTTTTGATCGTGACTGGATGACCCGAGGTCGTCGTCCGTCAGGTATATGCGGAGCTGCTCTTTTATTAGCGGCACGTATGAACAACTTTAGGCGTAGCGTGGAGGAAATCGTGCAGGTTGTGAAGATAGCCGACACAACTCTGAGGAAACGAGTAGAAGAGTTCAGGAGAACTGGAAGTGCAAGCCTCAGCGTGGCGGACTTTAGGAGTGTGTGGCTAGAAGAAGAGATGGACCCGCCTGCGTTTATCAAAGGGAGAGAGAAGGAGCGTGCGTTGGAGGAGGAGGGCGAAGAGGGAGAGGCAGAAAACAAAGGGAAGGTGAAGTCGAGAGCGAAAGGCAGAGGAAGAAAGAGGAAACGTAAACGAGGGGAAGAAAGTGAAAATGAAGAACCACTGCAGGAACAACCATCACATCCACCGCCAGTTGATCCAGCGTTGCTACATCAAGGCATCTTTGCTGACGCACTAAAGGGGGGCCTGAATGTGCAATCACCGGACGGTACACTGGTTTCGTCCAACTCGCACCCGCAGCCTCTATTCCTTCCTGAAGATGGTGAAGACTCTAATCAACCCCATATCCGTGACACCAATGCATTCATTGACCCAGCCTTGCTTGGGCCTTCTCATCTCCCTTCACATATTCCTCAGCCGAACGGTACTGTACCTTCACAAGGATCTTCTACGCAGGCCACACTGGTCGAAACATCCAATGAGATGATCAGTATGGATGACAAGGGCGATCATCTTGAATATGACGGCATGCCACCACCGCTCGTACCCTCTTCCTCGACTGCTCCGGACTTACCACAAGTGGATGAAGAGATTGACAACCTTCTCACGTCTGAAGTCTCGCAATTCCTCACCTCACAACAGGGTGTCACTCTCGCCTCTGCGCTTGAACATGCCCAAATGGTTCGACAATCCCAGTTCACTGGGGATGATGAACTTCTCGGTCTCAACGAGGACGAGTTGGACTTGCTTTTGCTTACCGAAGACGAGGTGAAGATTAAAGAACGAGTTTGGGTGGAATTGAATAAGGAGTATCTTGAAGCTATTGCAGGTGTGTTTTCTTCTTCTGATTGTCAATTACTGTGAAGGCGCCCGACGTACGCTGACTTCGATGAATGGTTAGCTAAAGCGGAAATGGAAGCTGCGGGTGGAGTCGATCAAAAGAAAAGTCGCAAGGTTCGTTTCCTTCTCTGCGCAGATTTTTTTTTCACTTTATTGACGCTTGTTACTTGCTTTGGCGCCCACTCCTTGGATTGTCTCGATTCTTCCACGTTTACTATCGTTATTTGCGCCATGCTCTCTTGGAATAACAGCGCCGAAAGACGGATCGACAGTCCAACAAACCTCGAGATGCAGCCAATCCACATGGGACAACAGCAGCCGAGTCAGTGCGGAACCTGCTGAAAAAGAACCCTCGATACAGCAAACGTATAAACTACGATGCGCTCAAGGATCTTTTCACCGATACTGGCTCTCCTGGTCCTGGATTACTCACGATGCCTAGTACGCCTAGTACACTTGGTCCGTCTGGTTTTGATGACAAGGACGATGAGGTTTATCATGATGATAAGAGTGATGGGGAAGGTATAACGACTGTTGTTGTTGAAGAGGGCGGGGGTGGTGTTGGCGTTGTTGTGAAGGGGAAGGGAGTTGCTTTGGAGATGGAGGGAGAGGAGGATGAGGGGAGTGATAAAGGTGAGGAGTATGCGGAGTGGGATGTGTATGAGCAGGAGGTGTAGTAGTTGCGGAAATGCCTGGGAAATGTGTGTATTACTTTATTATACCTATGACACAATATGAGTTGCCCCTCTTTCTTTGTTGAACCTCGAGGGAGGCCAGGTTCAAAGATTCATCAGTTCGGTACGTTCATTATTTATATTGTTATGCCGATGAGTCTGATAGCTCACCAGAGTGAAGGGAGCCCCTTAACGTATAGAAGTGGACAGCATTCAGGTTGTTGATATCCAACCAAAGCTGACTCCACGAACTTTGCTCTCGGTCAACTTGGAACCTTGTGCATGATATTCAAGTTATGTGAGGCGATAAATACTCTTTTACTGCTTTAGTGCTTCCTGCTGACCTTTCTCGCCTCGAATCAAAACGGTGAGTAAGAAGCTATCCAGAGAAGACCCGACTAATACTGCTAATGATGTGCATGTTCTTGTTCGTAAGGTCTTTGGTCGAGCCTAGTTGCACAAATAGTCCCCAGTGGCAGGACACTGAAAGCCTGTTCGCACCTCATGCAGAGTGACGACTCTGGCGGGAATTCCATGCTCTGAAAAATAATCAGATGAAAATAAGTAAGCCTAAACATCACTTCTCCGTGATGAATTCTTACTTCAGTTGGATCTTGAGTCAAGTTACAATACTTGACAATCAGCGTAGAATAACATATACAGCACGTGTCATGGGCGTTTGCTGTGGCACCGTATGTGTGGCCACGGGCCACTGCTTCTCTTCCAACTCCTTTCATCCTGCCAGTCACTTCCTCGTAAACATGCAATCATCCCTAGTTTCAGCCGCCCAGACTGAAGCGAACACTAATACGCGTACACCAGCGATGGTGAAGGCAGTGCTACAAATGAAATCGCTTCTACCTGTAATCGTCCCTTACTTGGACAACAAAGACATAGCGAGTCTTCGCCTAGTTTCGAGACACATCAAAGGGTACCTCCCTGCTTCTTTCTTTTGGCGCAAAGTCAATGGTGTAGAACGTCTTCTTCGTGTTTCTCCTGTGCCAGAGGAACCCGCTCGAGAGCTGGCGCGTACTGACTCACAAATGAGTAACAAGTATGACAACGATCCAGATGCACCATCTGTACCTGGTCGATTTGTAAGTGGTGTTACTTCACTTTATTTACTTGGCACTTCTTAACTCTGCCAGCCACGACCCTACTCTGTGGAACATGTTTATGAGACAATTTTTGATGACGCTCGACTTAACGTGAATGTTTGGGACAATTTTAAGAATCACGCACGATTGATCAACACGTTCTCGTATACGTCGTCCACTATCCAACAGAGGTTGCAGAGAGACGGGATCTGGCTGGCGAGAGAAAATCGGTTCTCAATGATCGTCAAGCATTATCCTGGTCCTGGTCCGATTTTTCCCAATCTCCAGAACCTGACATGGAGTTGTCCCGACGACGCACGCTTGTTTGATACACTTCTTAACATTATCCCACCAGGTTTGCTAGAATTCACTTTTTGCACTGGAGTTCCACCACACGCCCGGAAGCTACAAACGCTGCTCGCGAGTCTACCTCAGCGCGCACCCAATTTAGTGAAACTCCGTCTAGAATTCTCATATTCCCTTACCGAAGACAACATAGATGGGATGTTGGGGCGCATGGTCTCGCAGTTCAGCAATTTGCAAGTCTTGGAGCTCGTGGGCTTTTGTCTTCCACCCAAGCTACTTGAAGTTCTTTCCAGGTTACCCGCATTACGGGAAATCCGAATAGTAGAACCGGATCGCATTTTAACACCAGGGGAACGAGAACTTCGATTGAAGGCCCCACTTCGACCGAACGCTTTCCCCGCACTTACTCATTTAATCATCATAGCAAGACTATCATATGTGGAATGTTTGTTGAATACACCACATTCTTTCAAGTCTCTGCAGGAATTGGATATAACCATAGTTGATTCCAACCAACTCAACGGGAGAAGCATCAAGCGTTTCTGTACTATCGTATCTTCGAATTTTCCCACACTCCGAAGTCTGGCACTGCGAGAAGAAGATGCGCTGAATCAACCTATGGATATCGATGCAGAATTCTTTCAACCTCTCGCGCAATGTAAACAATTGGAATGCTTCGTAGTTGATTGGTACCAAGATTTCCGTCTTCGACCTTCCACCTTGAAAGCTTTGGTGAAAGATTGGCCTCTTCTAAAGCATATTGAAATTCGAAGCGTGACAGCATACCTATCTTTGAGAAACTTGCTGCTCTTAACGCGGCACTGCCGCCTCTTGCGAGAAGTCCAAATCCCATTACGTCTCCTGGTCGGACATGTAAACGTCACGGAATCCTTAAACATGTATAAACGAAGCGGCCAGGATATCTGGCGAGCGCAGAATTTGCGTGAACTGAGGTTTACCCTTGGAACGGCAGAGGTCCAGTCGAAGGAAGAGGTGGCAACTTTCCTTCACAGGGTCTGCCCCCCTACGTGTTTATTGTGTAATGATGGCGTTTAGTGAGTCTTTTGAACTCGCTTTCATGCGTACTAAATTCACCGTCACATTTAGCCAGGAGGCGTTTATCATGATCAGAGAGAAAGTCGATACACTACGTGCACAGAGTGCACTCACCGATCAAGTGATTCAGCAACTGAAAGAAGAGAATGAACGTCTAAGAACAGATAATGCGAAGTTGAAAACTCTTCTATCTAGGCATCGAAAACGCAGTAATTCTTGAGTTTCTTCAGGCGCGGATTCGGACTTGCATTACAGTGGCTTGTGCAATGTATTTATGAGTTTGTGATTTCCGAGGATTCGTTCGTGTAGATTCTTGTTAGCTCTCCCCCTTCGATACTAGATCACCAGCTGAGGTCCTTGAATAATGAAACTAAGAATGTCTCCGCGGATAGGCGGATTCCAAAAATGGCAACCACTTTAAGATTCTTATTTGGAAATTGTAACCTTGTTCTGTAACGTCCACTTCTGTTCGCGACCTCATCGACGATGAAGCGAGAACGTCGTAGCTTTGACCTAGTAGATGCCCTCACCGATGGTGGGCAACAACGGTACTCTCTCAGAGGTGGCGCTGCAGTCTCCCAGTCCACCTCGACTCCACACACATTATCTGACAAGCTATCATCCACTCACCGCGAGGAACTGGAGATCATATGGAACAGCGACAAACGTACCCCTTCTTTGGCTTCTCGTAAAGCTTGGTCTGTCGCTCGAGGTATCGATCACAAGGTTGTCAATGGATGGTTCTCACACAAACGCCATCATGCTGTCCACCGGTATGGGCAGTCTGTCCCTAAGGGGACATACGAGCTGCATCCCGGCGCACCGAAAGGCCAGCATCACAACACAGACAAGCTCACTAGAACACGGAAGGAGAGGGACCTCACGCAGCTGAAGATTAAGCGCGAGCGTGCTTCCTCACCCGGCGTCGTTTCTCGCCCAAGCTCAACGGCACCCCCTCGCAACACAAGACCTAGGAAGAAGATCAAGATCGAGCCTGGAATCCAGATTATCAAACATACTCGAGCTCACGAGTCTGTTCCAAATCCCCACTGTCTTACCTGCACTCAGAACTCCTTCCCATCCATTCGCTCGCCTGTCCATGAAAGAGATGATCGGCTATTTTCCCCTGCGACATCTGCGCACCATAGGACTCCAGAGCTCTCTCTTGGGCATCGTTCTTCGGATGTGGATTACGATGCTGACACGGAGACTCTCACCCCTTTACCGTCTGGGGACGAAGGGGAGGTTCAGATTGCCGGTCAACCCTCTACTGTGTTCACTGCTGGAGCATCCAAAGTCTCATCTCTAGCTGCTTCCTCCGTTACTAGAACGACTTTGGACTTATTGACTTCATTTTCTGGACAAGAACTACTCTTTGTAGATCCTGGTCGAAGCAAAAATGGCGCATACACTCAACCAAAACCCTCTCCACGCGAATCTAAAGCAGTGAAATTTGCCTCCTCAGTTTCACTTCTGGGTGACTTTGCCGCTTCGAATCTACCCTCTGTCAATCATTCAGGGCCCTCGCTCTCTGGTTCACTCTCAACTCTTGATCGAGTAAAACAATCATATAATCTCCCTCCTCGCCAGTTTCGGAAAAGTGCTTTAGTCAATCATTTGAAGCCCATCACAGGCTCACTTCCTGTGTCCCTCATACCTAATCCTCAGGCTTTCCTTTCCCCTCCCTTTTCTGGACCGTCTGCTTCGACCGATAATACTCAATCTTCTGCTTCTGCCGTCTTTGCCTCTGTTTCTACTCACATGAAAAATACTAACGCACGGTCTGTCCTTGATATTCCTGGTATGTAGGGTCTTATATCTTTCAAATTGTTATCCTGACCAAATACATCGATTCTTTGTAGTGAAATACCGAAGGCTGCACGCATATACCGACTTCGCTCAGAATGCAATTCGAAATCTCCCTGAAGATTCTACTTCACATACCACATTTGCTTGCAATGTTTCCGTCGCTGCTCTCACTCAACCGGCGTCTTCCACTGTCGCTTCTAACGTCGCTTCAAATTCGCTTCGCACTTCTGCTCTCGCCAATTCTTGTGCTTTGATTGCAATGGATACGCCTTCAACGTCTGTCGTTGATGATGTTATGCCTCTTCCATTACATGATCACGTCTCTACGAAAGCCTCTGATGCCGATCGTTCACTCCCTATCCACACACCCGGCCTGCTAGCTTCGCCGTCTCGTTTCCGGGTTCGGGATAATGCGCCTCCAGCACATGAAATTGAAATGAACGGTACCCCAGCAGTTGAAGCCACACTTGCTCTACTTCCCGTGAAGTGCGAACCCATTGTTCTCCAGATCCCAGTCATACCAGCAGAAGTTATTGAAGCTCCTCATGCTACGGATGTAGCCACCCCCGCCCACCCAACGTCTAGCTCTGCAGTGAAAAAGATAGCTATAAAGGTCGAAGTGCTATCCGACTCGGATGATGGTACGAAGACGCCCGCTTCTTTGGATCGAGGACATCATAATGCCTTGTTTCGTAGAACCGCTTGTGGTTGTCATGAACAATCGGCGAGCCACGAAGGAGAATATACCAGCACCGCCTAGAATTCCAAAGGTAGAAGTTAAAAGCGAGGTCACGGATGTCCTTGCGCGTAATGCTGGTTCGAAATGCTCTTTCTTCCGAGGCTACATTAGCTAATACATGCCTTTAGCTCGACGGGCTCCACCTTCAAAGCGGAAGAAAGCTATTGTCAAGAAGGAGGGTGGGTTAACACGTCGCCGACCGATCAGAAGAGTCTCTCGACGCATCCTTCTCGAACCCTCTGCTAAGAAACGGGATGCCATGCCTAAAACTTCCGTTGTTCCCAAGCCTTGTAAGGTTTTTGCGTCTTCTCCTTCGAAGAACGGTGCCTTGAAGGCTAGACGCATCGCTCTGAAATCTCCAGTCACCCCAAAAATCGCGAATGGTGCCATGAAGCCTCCACCTGTACCAGACACCCCTGTAAAGCCTAGGGACTGGCTGATGCGTATGATGCCTGGAGGTGATGGAAATGATTCCGACGAAGAGGACCTCGAATCGTCCGAGAAGATCCCGTCTCTGCTGGACGACATACTGTCCTCCGTTACCCCCATCAAACTGAAACGGACTAAACAGCCCCAGAAATACAATACAAGTAGCGAAACGCTTGTTGAAAGAGACCCAAGTACATCTCTTCCTCCCTCTTCCGAGGGCGAATCCTCGGAAAACTTTGCTACCGACATCGATAGCGAAGGTTGCATTGTGCTCGACGAGAAAGAGACAATCTTCCGCCCGCCTCGCCTCTGCACTTATGACCGGTTCGGACTGGATATGTTCAATAATATACCCTGGGACCCTGACTACGATTCAAGTTCTCTCGTCTGGGAGTTGAGTGCCATCCCTTGGCTGGCTTGTTCTGACGGATCGGGACATGGAGGAGTCTGAGGGGAGTTGAAGGATCTTTTTTACTCATGAGGACCTTCGATTCAAACGTTAGAAGGTAGTCTTGTACCTGAACAATTTTGCAATGAGAGCTCCGTCTCTAACTAGCGAAAAGCGTTGTCCGTTCCTAAAGATTATTGACTGGACGTACAATTGAATAGACTGTATACAATTGACACATACAGGAATTATGAGTGACGGTTTCATACAAACCGTGGGAAAATTGCGTCGGTGTAACGGGTTCTTTGAGTATGCCCGCAAACTCGTTTCTCTACGCTGTACTCACCATCTGTTCACCGTATGCAGCGGTAGCACAGCTGCAGAAGACGTTTGCTCGAGTTTCGAAAACTATCTATCTTCATTTATCTCTACTTATTGGCTCGTCACAGTACTATGTCTTCGTCTCTTGGATACCCCTCTGTTGGGCACAGGGTGCTCGATATCCCGGAAATTATAGAACAGATCCTACAATACCTGGATGTCAAGAATAACATTCGCAATGCAGCTGTTTGCAAACGTTGGCGTGACATTGCTCTTAATCTTGCCTGGAGGCATGTATCTGACATTGTCTTGCTCTTCCACGCATTGGCACCACTGGTTCGCGTTGAGCCAGGGGACGGGAATGCCTACCAGACATTTGTCAGTTAACATTGTTCGTATTGATCGGATTAAGCATACTGAAGTGTGGGGATATCCGTAGAATTTCGCCCGGCCTCTTCGGGCCAGCGACTGGGAGCACTTCAGAAAATTCGCCTTTCGCGTGCGATCATTGACTTACGGCAGCCATTTTGGCCCTATACGCAGGGATCTCAGCGTTCTCGCCTTTGATGAAGTTGCTCGCAATCGTCCCCCATTCAATGTTCTTCCTGCGATCCTACCTCACCTGCAAGAATTGGAATGGCTTCCTCACCAGTTCGGCCGGCTCGAATATTCGCTAATGTTCATGCATGACAAGATGACCAAGTTTACCGTTGAACTCTTCAAAGAGGATCCATATCCTATACAATCCCTGTTTGACGAAATCCGTTTGAGGATGCCGGACCTTCTCCATCTTGATTTGCGATTTGTGTTTTCCATGCGTGACATAGAAGACGACGCGGTTGCGCTTTTCGGAGCGCTCACAAAGCTGAAGAAGATCATCCTCCCCGTCTTCACTATCACTAGTGGAGTCATGGAGGCGCTGTCCAAGCTACCTAATCTAGGGACGGTCCAGTTTGAGTATGTCGATTGGCAAGGCAAAGGCGATTGTAATGACGTACTTCCCTTCGCCCCTCGGCTCGAAGATGGCGCCTTCCCATCGTTGTGGGACCTCTCGCTCAGTACGACTATCCGCGACATCGCAACTTTCACAACGGCGGATTTCGCGCCTACGAATATAACTCATCTCTATATTCATGTCCTTGATACCGCATCGCCCTCCGAACTCAACCAATTCCTCATCGCCATATCCGAAAATTGCCAACTCTTGACGGACCTGTATATCACTATGACCAAATACCCTGCTTATACACCAGAGGATATTGCCCCATCAGGAAGTGGTCCTACTTGGGAAACATTGAAGCCGCTGCTATCGTGTCCCAATTTGGTGCATTTCCAGCTTGTTTGGGACCAGCCAGTCAAGATGACGCAGGAGAACATGGAGGAATTGGCGGTCAAATGGCCTTCCCTTGAGGTCCTCTATCTCAATTGCGAACCATTGTTCCCAATCGAGGACTCAACCTTGACTCTTCGAGCACTTCTTCCGCTTGCACGCCATTGTCCCAAATTACGGGAATTGGGGTTGTATGTGTCAACCGATGGGCATGATTTGTCCACAAAGGACGGATCAACAGTCATGCCTTTCAAGAATCTCAAGGTGCTCAACTTCGGTCTCTCAAGAATTTCCGATCCCAATCCAGCGGCCTTATTCCTTAGCGAGATCTGTCCGTTAGGATGCGATGTCGTGAGTGGCGTGACCTGGCCAGACGACCTCAGCCCTAGCCTCGAAAGTGAAGAACAGACGTCTGATTGGCCACAACACTGGGAAGAGGTGGGCAAGTTGCTGCCAATTTTGACAACCTTGCGAATGGAAGAAGGAGCGAAGCGGAAAGCTTTGGAAAAGGAGGTCGGAGAGTTGCGCAAGCAATGTAGGGCACTGGCGATGAGTGCAATTGGTCATGAGAATGCAGTGACGAGTGGTCTGGGTCCCAATGATTCCTGCATCCTGCTGTAAATGGACTAGCGTGGGGTGAGTTAGTTATTATGATTGCTATCAAACAAGCTTCAACACGGCGTACTGATTACCTGTTAACAGGTCCAGCTTTCGGCCGTCTTGGAGAAGCCCTACAGCGATAACATTGTCTTGTTGCGTCTTGGACGGTGTCAGCTGGTGTCCAAGAATGAACAAGAATGAACAACCGTGTATTCACTGTGCGTCAACAAATAGCCGTGCTAGCCGCGCACAAAGGTTTCAGGGATAGGATTGACACTTGAGCGTTTGCTTTGCTTGCAGGACACGCCCGAACAGCGTGGTCGTGGGTGTGGCGAGAGCTAAGCCTATAGCTTCGCATGGATCTTGCAGGGCTGTTATTTTGTTTTACGACCGACATGCCGACTTGAAGAGGTGTAGTGTGTACGTTTGGTTCCGTGTACTAAGCACTTCAGATCTGTACAATGGGGTTGATACTGGCTTGGGATATCAGCTCTGGATGGGCGTCGGCAACTAAGCAAACAAGAACTTCTATATTTCAGTGATATTTCCGACCGACGTCTTCACGGAACATTTTCATCAGCAGAGAACACCGGCTGAGTCGCCGAGAAAATTCACCGGCAGGGCGGTGTTTAGGTCATTAGTAACCGTTCGGCCATTCAAACGGGAATGAGGCCCTTTCAGGCCGAATCGTTTAGCAGAAGGATATATACCTTTCACCATGACTAGTAGAACAAATATATTCCACTTCTGCTTATCCATCGGGCGTAGACGGGCTTTATCTCGTCGCAACCTCTTCCCCAAGTATCACAACGATGTCCTTGCAACTTCATGCCAGTCACCCCATTCTGATCCCAGAACTTCTCGCATTGATTTTCTCCCACTTGGACGAGAGAAATATCGCTAGGACGGCGACAGTGTGTCGACAATGGGCGGAGATCAGTCTTGATGCAGCGTGGCGCAACGTCAGCGACATCCGCCGTCTAGTAGTACTCTTGTGTCCCGTCTCCTCCCAGATGCAGTATGGTCCTCGTAACTCCTGTGTCTGTACCTACGTGGGTGGCTTTTCTTAATGCTCGCTCCGAGAGCATCGTATGGATGACAGACTACCACTTACAGAAGTTGAAGCGCTCTATCCATCCCAGTGACTGGCAGCGTTTCGATCGCTACGCCTATCGAGTCCGCTCTCTCACTTGTGACGATAAAAACCGCAAGCACACAGATTCGAGCGTATGGGCGGAAGTTAAGCGCACCCGATCGCGCACTGACCTCCTGCCTAACCTACAATCGCTTTCGTGGTATTCCTGCAGCGCCGACAGACAAGCTAGCTGCTTGCATTTCTTGCATGCAGGAGTAAAACGCCTTTCCATCAACGTTTTCCCCATACAGATAGGAGATTCGTGGGGATCGTTCGTCGAACACGTTCATGCCCAAGCTCCTGGAGTCACTCACCTTGACATCCGTTCGGAATTCCCGGTGGCGACCGTGGAGGGTGAGATACTCTCCTTGGTTGGTGGCTTTCCCGGGCTCACAGAGGTGACAGTTCCTATCTATTGTTTGACGTCTACCATCGCTGCCAGATTCTCGACATTTGAACAACTATCCGTGATCGCCTTTAGTAAACCTGTTGAGAGGCGCACCGGCCAACCATCGGATGTAGCGCATTTTGCTCCATCACTCTCCGCCGGAGCGTTTCCGGCTCTGCAAAAGTTATCCTTCAGCGCTCACCTTGCACATGCATTGGAGTTTGTCAACTCTCCCTTTGCGCCTCACCAACTCACCAGCCTTTACGTCAATGTTATCGCTATTGACAACTCTTTTGTCCTTCAACACTTCTTCTCTGGAATCGCTACGCATTTTCGACAACTGCGAGAGCTACGGGTGGACTTTATAATCGGTCCAGATGCGCCTATCGTCTACCCTCCACCTCCTTTACACACTCGCCCCAACATCCAGACGTTTCGCCCACTGCTTTCTTGCCTACATCTTACCAAGTTGGAGTTCCGATGGGACTACCAAGTCAATTTTACTCAAGCAGACATCGAGGAGATTGCTTCCAGCTGGCCAACGCTGGAAGTATTCTTACTCAACTGTCAACCTATACCCGAGATTTCTGGACCAGTACTAACGATGCACGCTTTACTTCCCTTCGCTCAACACTGTCCCCGAATACGCGAGCTTGGACTGTACCTCAACGCCGACATTATCCCCATGCATTATCCTACCTCACCTCTCCATACCTTTAAATCTCTGCACACGCTCTCACTCGGTGCATCCACGATAACCAACCCTAACAGCGTTGCGCTCTCCCTCAGTCGATTATTACCTCTGGGTTGCGAGATTGTGTCGGGTGTTCGGTGGCCCGATGCATTTGGTATCGCTCTCGACAGGGTGGGGATTATGGATGATAGGAGGGTAAGGATGACGGAATGGTGGGTGAAGTGGAATGAGGTTGCGAAGGTGATTCCGTTGGCGATTGAGGCGAGGATGGAGGAGAGGGAGCGCATCACTGTTTTGGAGAGTGAGGTTGGCGCTGCCACTGAGCGGTTGAAGGTGAGGGAGTAAAGAGCATTCCACCCGTTCAAGTTTTGCCAAATTATAAGTACTTACTCAAGATGATCTTTGCAAATACACGGCGCGGGACATTGCTTTGAGTCTTTCGAAGTTCCCCTGGGGTTACGGTGCCAATTGTAAGATAATAACTACTATTGCATGTTTACTTTTGCTTCATCGTTGAATTCATTCTCACTCCCAAATTCAATAAATCACAGTGTTATGACCCAATTTCTACTAATCCTACCTTGAAGTCTGAAATGTGAACGCTGAATACTTCGGAGTTTGGCCTAGAGCGTGTCGACTTCAGAGTGCTATCCAAATGCGGACAGTAATAGACACAGCGGGCCCAGTCTCCGTGTGTCATGAAGCGATCTATTTATCGATCGACGTGACATCATGTTTTGAGTGCTCCTTCGTGGACTCCATCTTGTGGATTAATCGAACGTCATGAAAGACACAACGGTACCACCGCCGTGGATGCAAACACCAATATGTTTGAAAACCTACATAGCCAGGCGGAATCCCCACATCGCCCAAAACCTTTCTCCTTCACGACACGCATAATTGGCAAATATTTCTCTTGACTTCCATAATGCAGACAGCAGCGAATGCAGTACAGAATGTAAGTATATTGTTGGAAATGTCTTTAATAGAATTTGACTGTCGTAGTCCATGGGCGCCGTCCCCACTGTGGTACACCCCGGGTATAAAACTCAAGAGGGAAAGACTGTGAAAGCCCTTGCCTGGTTCGGCACAAAAGACGTCAGACTCATTGAGGCACCCGTACCCGACATTACTGAGCCTGACGATGTCATTCTAAAAGTGACCGGAACGACTATCTGTGGTTCAGACTTGCACCTATATCATGGCGAGATCCTGGCTTTACAGAAAGGCGATATTCTTGGACATGAGGTACGTAACGTGTACAGTGTGCAGAACGACTTAAGTAAATATTACCTTGCAGTTCATGGGTATTGTAGACAAAATCGGGCCTAATATTAATAATTTGAAAGTCGGCGATCGAGTAGTCGCTTCCTTCCAAATCGCATGTGGCGAATGCGACTACTGCAAGCAAAAGCTCTCGTCATTCTGCGATCGCACGAATCCATCGACGTAAGTCACGCTCACTACCCCAATGCGGAGCTAACTGAACCTACACACCTCTTCATCAAGTCTCCAAAATGCCATGTACGGTCACCGCGATGCCGGATTCTTTGGCTATTCACACTTCACTGGTGGCTTTGCAGGAGGACAAGCGGAATACGTCCGTGTGCCCAAGGGTAATGTGAACCTCCTTCCAGTCCCTCAGGGGGTACCCGACGAAAAGGCTTTATACCTCTCGGACGTGCTCTCTACAGCTTATCACTGTGTTATGGATACCGGTGTGACGGACGGTGATGTTGTTGGCGTTTGGGTGAGTCAGTTCTTCATCATCCTCGATCGAACAGGTATCTGAGACGCGTGTTGCATCTAGGGTTTAGGTCCCATTGGTCAACTCGTAGCCAAATTCTCTCTGCTCAAGGGTGCGAAGCGAGTGATTGGTATCGATCAAGTCCCCGAGCGACTCACGTTTGCAAGAGAAAAGACTGGTATCGAGACACTCGACTTCTCGGTACACACAGATGTCGTGAAACGTCTCCAAGAAATTGTTCCAGGCGGACTTGATGTAGCGCTTGACTGTGGTATGTCTACATACGTCTTTTCCCCATCTATTTTCGGTCAATTTCTTTCATTCGTTATAGGCACTTTTCACCAACCGAAGACTCTCCTGCACAAGATCGAGAAAACACTCATGCTTGAAACCGATGTTTCAGAGATCGTCAATGAGATGATCATGTCAGTCAAGAAAGGCGGCCGTGTGGGTCTTATCGCAGCCTATGCAGGATACACGAACCATTTCAACATTGGTGCGCTGATGGAGAAAGGGGTGAGGTTGATCGGCAACGGACAAGCTCCGGTGCACAAGTGGTGGAAAGAAATCTTGGATGATTATATTCTGACGGGAAAGTTGGACCCCACTTAGTGAGCAAATTTCCTCTCTGCTGAATCGATTGGTTAGGTGACTGTTCTTTGGGACTGTAGTATTGTCACGCATCGGGTACCTTTGGAAGACTTCCCGAAGTTGTATGCTGCATTTGATCAGAGGAAAAGTGGTGTTATCAAGGTGTTCGTCGAGACGAAGTTCTCGAGTCCGCCTGCTCCTGGATGCCCCAAGACGACTCGTGTGGACGAATGGGCGCAGTGAATGAAATGAAAGCCAAATCCAGATTATTCCTCCTTTGATATTGTGTAGCAAATAGTTCCATTGTATTAACATTGTACAGAAAGCAAGAAATGTATCAATAATGCCCGAACATTCCTAAATACTGAGTGGTTGAGTCAATGTGGCACGTACCTACACTCCCTGATCCTCACTCTTGAAATGCAACACATCACTGCCCTGCCCATAGACCTTCTCCCACACAAACTCACTCTGATGATTCTCCATCCCAAACGCATCAATCAACTCAGCCGCCTCTTCTCCTCCACATACCACTTCCCCAGCATCTTCCCTTCGCTTCCCCTTCGCACCTTGACCCCAAATTTTCTGTTTTCCGGTTTCGTCAGGAGGGGTGAGGAATGTCCCGATATGTCTGAACGTCAAACTGATACGTTCACCATTATTGAACTGTTCGGCGGGTGATTTGGTCTTGAAAGGTCGTTTGTCTGTTCGGATACTATGCATCCATTTCGCATTTGTCAAGAGACCCATGACCAACATGGAGTTATGGGGAAGAGGGATTCGTTGTGTGTGTGGTGAATCACTACCAGTGATACTAGTACTCCCCGTATCGTCATGATCCGCTCCCACACCCACTTCGCGATTGAGGTTCTTGGCGACTTTCGAAATAGAGTCTTTCTTGGTCCTCAATACCATAATTCTCTCCGCTCCTAAACTGACATTAATGATGTTACTCCCTTGTACTACATCAATCGTCTTGTCACTGTGTTCACTGATGTAATCTGCGCCGCTGCGGTAGTGTTGGATGAGGACATGGTTGACGGGGTGGTTAAGATGTTTCTCGGCCGCGGCGCGGATGAGAGAGACGGTGGGGCTGAAGGGGAGGAGAGGAGGAGAGGAATCTGCTGGGTGGCGGTAGATTGGATAGCTGTGGAAAGATGGTGTTAGTTTTCGGATGGAGGCGCACAAACATATGACACATGAAGGGAATGACAGATGGCCAGATTCAACTATGCATAGAGAATCCTCGAGCGGTGGACGGGACCACAGGATTTTTCCCGGATGCACTGTGCCATGACAGAGGTTGTTCAGGAACGATGGACACCGAAATGACCTTATTTGCAACGTATCCAAGGCAATAATTCGTCAATGAAGCCCGAGCGGGACTACGGTGGTACGTTTATGGGCAGACGTTGTCCTGCATGTTTCATGTCTCGCCACCATAGGCTACAGCAGAGGAGCACTAACTCAAATTCACCACGACGCCACAAAAGGATAGCGCTAGACTTGTTGGAATATGTAACGTAACGTACCTTCCATCTGGTGCAATCTCTCCTTGAACAGCGACAAGCCTAGGGACTTCGCCACCTGCAACGATAGTGAAGCAATACAGATCCTGTTGGTCGTCAATCCATGAGCGATAAATGGAAGGAGGTACCTCTATGATGCATCACATTCCATTTTATCTCCTTCCTCAAGTTCTCAAACGCCGTTTCCGCTAGATCAGGCGGAAGTATATCAAACACAAGTTGGGTATCGCCTTCACCCATTCTGTCGCCGGGACCGAGGAAACTCATTGGTTGAATCCCTGCATGTCGGCGTCTGGAATGAGCGTCAGAAGAGCTCTGAACGGAAGTTTGACTCGAAGGCATCAAGGGATGCTAGAAGAAGCTATATGGGGATTGTGCGAAGGTCAAAGAGACGGAACAGCAGGCGTTTGACTGGAATGAAGAGCCAAGATGACGGTTTAGGATGAGACGATCGTTATTTCGAGTCACAACATAACTACGGATTGACGGTGTCAAATGCCGTCCTTTGCGGTTGTTCCACGTAGATCGGAGGCTTTAATACCATATTCACACCAGTAGAAGGGTCTTCGTGGCGCAAGTTCACCAGAGACAAGACTATGTTGTGGATAAGAAAAACGTTGTTAAGTGACTAAAGTACTCCAAGTAGTTAATATTGCGGGCTCCGAGGTAGGCCGCGTGTGCCGACTGCCCAAATCGGACACCGATGATCTGCCGCGTGGGAAGGTTTAAACTCCGCTGTGGCGGGCTGATTCCCAGCCACACGGGACGGACTAGTGCCTCAGACCAACTTTCTCTCCTTCCCCCACCACCTCCACAGCGTCCGTCGCCCAGCTCAAGGCCAAGATAGTGAGAATAAGAAATCCCTCAGTTTTTGGCCGTCTTTCTGACCTTTTTTAATTAGATTTGGGCGCATAGATCCAGCCTTAGGCTTTAACTATTTGCCACAATAGGTTCGGCCAGTTCTTTGACCTGGTAACCAACTCTAGCAAAGAGGCTCAAACGCATCGGGTTTTAAACCCCATAAATACGCCTCATCCAGTGCCCCGAAATGGCCGCTTCCCCCCTCCCGAGAAGTACTTCCTCCACCCAGGTCCTCACTGAATCCCCCATCGCGGGCAATCTCAGAATCCACGCGTCCTCTCCTGCTCTCAAGAGAAAACGTAGTCTATTGTCTAACAAACGGACCGCCACGCCATCGCTTCCATCGTTCCCTTCCCAACCGCCATACCATTTCAACTTGTCTGATATGCTTAGCTCTCCGGTTCCTGAGATTCCTGAGATTCCTCCCTGTCCCCCTTCTCCTGTACCGACCGAGATCATCGAATTGGAGCCATCTCCTGACGTAGATCACGTCGACGCCTGCGTCGAGAATGGAATCAAAGTCCGTGACTTTGCCTATGAGAACCTTCCCGACTCTTGTGTCATTGCCCATGTCTGGCGGAATCCTATCAATATACTCGCGATCCACGACAGGGGAATCCGTCGGCCCTCACGTCACGCAAGGTACAGACTCGATGGGATGAACTTGTACAGGCTTCTGGAGAGTGGTTGGGTCACGGAGAAGGAGGCCAAGATGTATTGGCAGAAGGCTGATTGGGAAGCCATGGAACAGTACAAGGCAAGACCGGGTCGTGCACAGGTTCTTCTCATGTCGCCTGAGCGTGAGAAGCCAACCAAGAGGTATCGACTTTTGGTGATGAAAGCGAACGAAGATCCTGATCGCGAAATCCCGGATTCAGAAATATGGATGCCTGACGACGAGCCTGGTATGTGGGATGGAGAGGGAGATACAGTAATAGGCAAAAAATTGCCTGAACCACTCCGTCCAGTGCACGCTGACCCTCAGGACGCGCATATAGCCAAGAAGCGCAAGTTGGATACAGGAGCGGAGCCTTCTTCTCTCGATACCGAAATCGTACCCGGGGCAGCAAATGAGGGAGATGGAGAGAAGGCTATGGAAATTGACACCGATGAACCCCTTGAGATCCCTCAACGCCCCCTCAGTCCATGCGGGAGTGAAGCCGAACTTGACATATCTCAGGATTCAAATTACCACATTCGGACTTTCTATTATAATGAAGGACTTGAGGACTCTACGCCACCTGCGACCCCGATTATTCCTGATGCCCCGCTCCACCGTTCCGCCGTGTCGTCCCAGGTGTCGATGTTACCACAGCCTCAGGCTCGTTGGCCGCCGCTATCTCAACCTCCGCATCGAAGAATCGGAAGGCAAGCCACGGTTATCCTTACCTAATCCTGTAACCATCGGTGCCTCTCCGCCTCACATTTCTATTCTCGCCGTTCTCTCTATCTTCGTTTATTTGTTCACCGTCTTTCATCAATTCCTATCATACCTTCATACATCATACCTCCTGAGATCCCAAGTTCAAGTTGTATCAATACCTTCGGACCATCAAATCAGTGTTTTTAGTATCAGTGCGGAAATCAATGGTCCTACTCAACTTATTATTCACTCAATTATCATCCTTCTTCACCAGTTGGTAGTGTCGATGGCATTGTCTCTGTTGTTGCTGTTGCTGTATTTTACCCTTAGATGTCTTTGATCGTGAATTTGTAACTTTTCAGCTGCTGGTTGGGCCGCAGTTCGATGTTTGGGGCGGTGCAAGCTTAGGTGCATTATTTCAAACCGAGTGAAGTGATTGGTGATCAAACAGGGTCGATTGGGGTTCGAATATTGCTATTCTATTAACAGCAACGAATGGCGCGATCACAGCATCAACTCTACTCCGTACGTCGTTCTAATCGTTTCTATTCGCCCTGTTTTTCTTACGAGCAACTGGAGTCAAAGGGTGTAATGCAAAGCTATGATGGCGTCATGCACCTGAACACGTCCCATGCGAAGTTAGAGATGAGGTACGTTCACAAGTATTACGTGTTTGCACGCCCACGTCCATTGTCCAGGCAAACCAGTTTCCCTGCTAAATATCTCATTTCGCTCATTCTTACTTTCAACTTGACAGGTTTCCGATTCGCTTGATTGATGTTTACATGCCGGGAAGGTGTATTTCCCGATGAGTGTTATTGACTCAGTACTCTCAATATCACGCCACCAGTCTCCACTGGCAGAGGAGGAGCATCGTAATTCAGCCAACATGTTGCGCTATAGGTTGGGCGGTACGATCCAGTCACCGTTGCTGCGTATTAACAGATCGAATAACGGTCACAAATCCGGTGTAGAGGTAAGGTGACACACTTTGGCAAACGAGCAAGTAGGTCATCTGTACCCCACACTGCTGGAAGTTGGGCTTGCCCCATGTCTCATTTGCTCTCATTCAATCCATGTTGGGGCCGTCAGCCGGGCGAAAACTATGAGGTCAGTTTCTCTCGCGTACGACGCGGTTCGATTGAAGTTCGTCTGCATAAGCTTTTGCTTACGGGATCGAGGACGCACACATCCCCAGCTGTCAACTTATTCGACAACGTAATGGAAGTAGAAATGGCATTTCCCCTTACTCTCCCTAATTTTCTTCATATCCCTGGTGACTAGCCCGAGCTATATTGGTCACCCCAGTACAGTCGAAGTCGCCGTCTCCGCTTTTTTCACGCTGACTGACGTGCTTCTTGTAGTCTGACCATGCTTCTCCAGAATCCCTGAGGAACGTGACTTCAAGATTTGCTCGTAAATCGACTCTTGCATTCCATCTTGTCAAGTCCCTCGCGTCCGATCACATCCAGTTTGGAAGTCAGTACATCAAGTCTCTCCAAATGCGACCCCCTCTATACACTCCACATGTTCTGTTCGTCGAAAAGCGTACTCAAATCTGTCAAAGCAGTCGCTTAATGGTTGTGATGTCGTCTTGGTGCTGGGTAATACGTCACACTTGTATTCAAACACGTCTTTCCTGCGCCATATCTTGTTTTCTAGGCCTGTGGTCGCTGTCAAGATGATGTCTTGTGGTTCCCACCGACTCTCCACATTAGTCATGAAGGGCAAGCTCTCTGGCTATAAACAGAGTCATGCTCATCTACTGCATCCCCAGCATTGACTTCACATCTCTCATCACTTGCATCCACAACTCCTCGACTACCACTCTACTCACGATGTCCGACGATCAGATCATTCAGAGGATCAAGGCCGCCAAGGCACATATTGAGGCCGACTTCCAGAAAGCGGATAATACCTTCGACACTGTGTTGAATTCGGACAAGTACCCTGAGGACCTGAAGAAATACGTCAAGTCGTTGAAGAGCGAGAACGACGCGTTGAAGAGTGTGAGCTTGAAGCACGCGGTGCACTCCATGATCTCTACTCACAATACAATCCAGAGCTTCAAGTATGATCAAATCGAAACGGCCTACGACCATTCTGCCTGGGTCAGTGCCGTGGCCGGAGGTATGTTTGCCTTCTTTTACGCCCAAACATCATTACTGACGGTGGTAACTTTTAGACTTCATCAACAAGGACTATAGTGAACTTGTGAGAGATGAAACCCCGCTCGATGATCGCAAGAAGATTGCAGAGAACGATATAAAGGTATGTACCTATCAGTTGCGAAGAGCTAATGTTATTGAATAGACCGTCTTTGCGTTTCAGCGTTTCGAAGAAGGCTTTAAACGTTTCAAGTGGGCCCGCGAGGACTTTGCCCCGTTCCCTGCCAAAGTGACTACATACGTCGACAAGGTTGCCACGCTATTCAAGAGGTACAAGCTTGATGCCCTTGCCAACGAGTTCGTGAAACTATTCTCCAAGTAAGTCGTCAGTCAACCGAAGTTTGCACGCTCATTGATTGTAATTGTCAACGTCAGCATTCCTGACAGTGTAAGTTGAAGCGTAATTACCATGCGAATGTTCGTTAACTCTTCATCTGACCTCTGACAGTTCACGGCTTTCGATGTCGTCTTTTTCATCGCCGAGTTGAACGCTGAGGCTGCCGTTGTGGGTTTGCAGACTGCCAACAAGCAGAACAACAACGCTGTAAGCATTTGGACTTTATGCACGCTTGCACCATCTGACACTCTCGTAGGCATTCAAGGACGAGGTGAAGAAGGTAGAGAGCAACGTCAGGCCCTTTGAGACGTTTTTGAAGGACTTTGAGGAGGTCCTCAAGCCTAGCCAGGGTCAGTAAATCATTCGCCATATCGCCCGTAGGGATGCTCTGGCCCACGGTGTGGTGTTTTCCAATCCAGTTTCATCCTGCCCATTGTCTTGATTTACATATTGTCTAAACCTGACACATCTTACGAGCGTTCTTCCGCATTCCGTGTTGTACTTGTACTATTATCAGTGTTCTGGAACAGTTTGATATACAACTTTTCTTACGTGTCCTTGGTGATGAATTTGTAACCTTTCATCTGCTGATCGGAACACTCGCGGAAGTTTTGGACCGTGCAAACTTAGGTGTGTTACTTTAAACCGAGTTAAGTGCATCGTGAATGGGGTCGTCTGGGGATCAAAAATTGCTATTCTATTAACACCAGTGACGCGATCACTGCAACAACTCTGCTCCATACGTCGTACCAATCGTCGTTTCTATCCCCTCTATTTCGCTTACGGGCTTCTTCAACTGTGGTCAAAGGGCGTAATGCAAAGCTATGATGGCGTCATGCAACCGAACACGTTCCAGGCGAAGCTTAAAGTTAGAACGAGGAAGCACATCTCATGATGAGGTGCGCGCTAGGGTCCATTGTCCAGGTAACCAAGTTTCCCTGTTAAGCATCTTATGTCGTTCATTCTTACTTTCAAGTTGACAGACTTCCAAGATGTCTACATCACGGGAACATGTATTTCCCGATGAGTGCCATCACTGACTTCGTTACTTTTGGCGTCACGTCTCTACAGCAGCAGCAGCAGCAGGCGGAAGGGGCGGGCAGCTGGACGAAAACTATGAGGTCAACTTCTAGTTTTTCTCGCATACGATACACTCAAATGTACAAAGTACGTCTGCGTAAGCTTCAGCTTACGAGATCGAGGATGTACACATCCCCAGCTGTCAACTCATTCGACAACGCAATGGAAATAGATCTGGTATGTTGGCTAACTGCCCCCCCCTCCACCCCCCAACTTCCTTCGCACCCTGGGGGCCAGCCGAGGCTATGATGGTCACGCCAGTGCAGTCGAAACTGCCGTCTCCGCTTTTTCACACTTACCGAGGTGCTTCTCCCAAATTCCTGAGGAACGTGTCTTCAAGGTTTACTCATAAAGTGACTCTTGCGTTCCACCTTGTCAAGTCCCTCGCGTCCGACAAATCTAGCTTGGAAGTCAATACATGAAGTCATTGCACATGTCACGCCTTTATACACTTGATCATGTTCCGTTTGTCGGGAGTCTACTCAAATTTGTCATGGAAGCGGTCACTTCATGGTTGTGGTGTCCTCCTGGTGCTCGGTAATACGCCACACCTGTAGTCAAACACCTTCTGCCCGAGCCATGTCTCGTTTTCTGGACCTGCGCTCGCTGTCAAGATGATGTCTTGTGGTGCTCACTGAGTCTCAACGTTGGGCACAAGCGTCGACCTCTGCAGCTATAAAGAGGGCCATAGTCATCTGTGTATTCTCAACACCAACTTCACTTCTCTCATACAACCCATCGACTACTACTTTACTCACAATGTCCGACGCTCAAATCATTCAGAGGGTCAAGGACGCCAAGGCAACTATTGAGGCCGACTTCCAGAGAGCAGATGTTATCTTCGACGCCTTGTTGAACTCGAGCCAGTATCCCGAGGATCTGAAGAAAGTTGTCAAGTCGTTGAAGAGCGACAACGATATCTTGAAGAACGTGGGTCTAAAACCATGCTGGTCATCTTAGGATTTCACCTCATAATGCAATACAGAGCTTCCAATCCGATCAAATTGAAACCGCGTTCGACCATTCTGCCTGGGTTAGTGCCGTTGTCAGAGGTATGTTCGCCTTCTTTTCGCGCAAGCATCACTGATGATAGATCTTGGCTTTTAGACTTCATCAACAAGGACTACAGTGCCCTTGTGAACGATAAGACCCCACTCGAAGATCGCAAGAAGATTGCAGAGCAAGATATAAGTGTATGCACCTATCAGTTACAAATAACTAATGTCAATGGACCATCCCTCCGTTTCAGCGTTTCAGCGAAGGGTTCAACCGTTTTAAGTGGGCCCGCGAGGACTTTGCACCGTTCCCTGCCAAAGTGACTACATACGTCGACAAGGTTACCACGCAGTTCAAGAGATACAAGCTTGATGCCCTTGCCAACGAGTTCGTGAAACTGTTTTCCAAGTATGTCCTCAGTCAATTGAAAATTTACTCACTCATTGACTGTAATTCTCGACGTCAGCGTTCCCGACAGTGTAAGTTGAAGCATAATGCGCATGTGAATGTGCCTTAATCCTTTATCTTGCCTCTTGCAGCTTACGGCTTTCGATGTCATATTTTTCATTGCTGAGTTGAACACTGAGGCCGCTGTTGTGGGCCTGCAGACTGCCAACAAGCAAGAGAACAACGCTGTAAGCATTTAGAATTTCTGTACACTTGCACCATCTGACTCTCCAACAGGCGTTCAAAGCCGAGGTCGACAAGGTCCTCAACAATCTCAGGCCCTTCAAGACGCTCTTGAAAGACTTTGAGGAGGTCCTCAAGCCTGGCCAGGGCCAGTAAATCGCGCGCCATGTTGTACATTGGTCATGGTGTGGTGTTTCCTTCCTGGCCATTGTTTGGATTTACATACCATCTAAACCTAACACATCGTACGAACGTTCTTCTCTGTTCTATGTTGTCATTGTACTCCTAGCAACGTGTTGAAATACCTTGATATATGAGTTTTTGTTCTGTAAGATTGCAGGCCTTCTGATCTCTGCTCTTCATGCATTTCGTGCCGTCAGTTGCTCTCCATACAGCCACCTTCAGACGAACATCTTCAGAATTTCTTAGCACGCAGAGCGTCACTTCTGCGTCCCAGTATTTATAGAGCGCTTGACTTCGATAAAGTTGTTTTGAGTATCGCTTTGCACGAAACCTGCGGCGACCGCATAAGAGCCCGTGTTTATCGAGCAGTTGTGAACCAGATGGGCTTGCAAGCTGAGTGCACCGCCCACGTATTATCCCGAGCTCAGGACATCTCTGGATTGTGCGACCACATATACGATAATTCTACAATAGTCTTGAACTGCATGATGAGCGTAAGCTTCTTATAACCAATCCATGGTGCATACCTTTAGTTTGTGTTCACTGATGGCCTTCTCGACAGTTCATGCTAGTTCAGCAATTACCACTTCCGGCATCCCTTCAACGTGTAATCCTCCCATCTCCTCATGTAATGCACGAGTGAATAGCTCCCTTTGCTTCTTTAGGACACACAGTGTTACTTCCGCATCCCCAGAAAATGACTGGTAAGTCCCATCCGCTAAACGAATGGGGTTAGGCTGGACAATCTTGATGAATCTTGGTTCCAACAGCATCGTGTGATAGAATTGAGTTCGACCGGGATGACCAAAATGTGCCGAGGTCCAGTCAAAGCTTAGAGGAAAAATAAGCAGGACAACAATTGAACGAGAGCATATAACGCATGTCACAAGGGTTAAGATGGCATGGTAGACTTACCGCCAAGTAGAATTCACGGCCATGATTCCGTCTGGAGGTGTGATATCCAAGAGCATATTCGCATCAGCAGCCCGCAGGGCAAGATCTCCTACTTTTGCTATGAGTACTTCCAGGAACTCAGGCTCGCGAACCTGGGTGATGGCTTGGCGGACGCGTCTTACTATGTACTCAATAGGCTCGTTTGAAGAGGCTCCCTTCGGCATGAAGGCGATCGCACCCAGATTGGCGTTACCGACCGCAGTCGGACTTGTTGAACCGATTCCACGATACTGCAGTCAAGAGAGTTTGCGATCGAGGCAGGCTGAGAGAGACAACGAATATCATGGTAGGCAGCAACGACAGACATACCATGAAGAAATTGATGATGTGCTGGATCGCATTTCTCGGGTCCGACTTCGTGGAAGCCCGAGCAAGCAGTGCAATTAAAGTATCCTGTTTTGAAAAGGCAACCGACCGCGAGCCTTCGTCTGTATTTTCATTGGCAAGCAAGGTTACAGCCTTATGGATTTGCTCTATCGTCTCCACGCGAAAGTGAATATCAACCCTCGATATCTCCCCCTTATGTCTTCCCATGAACGGAGGCTTGCCGCCCATCGGGAAGGGTGACTCGAGGTGTGGTGTCATGAGGGATTCTTGAGGGTACGTCGATGTGGCATGCAGAGGCGAATAGTGTGATGAATAAGATGGCGAAGGGTCCAATGGGAGTAGTCCCTGGTATGTCTGTGATAAAAGACGCAGAAATTGGATTACAATAAAACCGTCACCTGTCAAGACAGGTAGAAACATTCAGCGCATATCGTCTCATTGTATACCGAGAACCTACCAATCGTGTGATACTGGGAAAATCCTATGGCAGTTAAACCAGTCTTCACGAATTTCACCATTGTAAATCTCGCAAGAGGCTCGTCAGAATGCGGTTCGAGGATCTTGTCGATGTCCACTTTCTCAACCAACGACGCCACTCCTTGGTTCTGAATAACTCGAGTACTGGGCATGATCTGTTCTGTGTGGTTTTCGAGAAACTTTACCGGGACACCTGACTTTGTGAGACGGATCTACAGTACCTCGTGCATCGTCAGTTGTACAGGCCGGCAACCAAAGATCAAGAATGAATTTACGACATTCAGTCATACCTTCCACCCATCAGATGTGTCGCTTGGACGCTCAAACCTGCCCGCAGCTAATGGGTAGACAGACAATGTCCTGGATAGCGCGTCTAAGAATCGAGGAGGGTCGATATCTCCCGGAATGACATGCACAGTCTCGATCTAGAACGCGATCTTAGAATTCAGTACCTAAGGCTGCGATTGTTATTGTCCCAATGCCTTACCGATAATGAAATTATCAAGTCCATCGGGGATAACTTGTAATGAACCTGAGCGTCGAGTATGGTGGGTTCCACAGGCCTCACATAATATTCGGAACACTCCATCACCGTTGCGGTTGACATGGCAAATTAACCTGGCAGGATGGTTGGGTGAAGAAGGCCAGGACCACCTGAATGTGCATTATATATCAAGCTCTGGGCGGCTAGGGCAACGAGCAACTGAGTCATCAGTTGACAGTTCTTTATGATCGTGAGTACAAGAGGCCGTAATGCCAGTTCAACGTAAGGTTGAAAGGTGAAGCATAAACCCATAATCATAAGCTGATTTCTACGCACGTTGATCACCTATTAGACCACGATATCGGCATATACAATTTCTGGCTGTTCTTCAATACCCAACGCCTTCAATTCCCCATGCAACGCTTCGTCAAACTGACCTGTCCGGTTCTTCAATAGGGAGAATGTCACTTCTGCATCGCCGTTGTACGTCTTCCAAGAGCCATCAGCAAGGCGAGTTGGATTTGGTTGGACGATCTTGAGGTATCGAGGTTTTTGCAAAATCGTATGGAAAAACTGAGTTTGAGAAGGATAACCGAAATGTGGTGAGGTCCAATCGAAACTACCGCGAACAACACGTTTGATGAATACAACGCATTGAAACAGGACAAATCTAATTAACTTACCGCCAAGTTGAGTTCACAAACATTTGACCTCGTTGTGGGGTCAAATCCCAGTCGATGTTCGCATCCGAAATGTTTTGCATTTGATCTCTTACTTTGGCTGCGTATGCTTCCAGAAACTCCGGGTCTCTCATCCTTTGGAGAGCGAGTCTGATGCGTGTTGCTACAGATTCTATAGGTTCATCCATAGGATCGCAACTGGGGGGATCAGTGAGGGCACAAAGTAGGGCGTTACAGGCTGCGGTTGGAAGGGTAGCACCGATTCCCCGGAACTGAACAAGTTGAATAACCATTGTTATAACCCAAACAACGAACGAAACAGAAGGCCATTGAATCCTACGCACCATAAAGAGAGTAACGATATCCGAAATCGCGTTGTCCGGATCAGATATCGTGAAAGCTCTTACCAAAAGTGCAATAAGAGTATCCTGTTTTGAGAAAACCATGTTTCCCACATTATCACCTTTATCTGCTTCCGCCAGCCTCAATACAGCCTTATGCACATTCTCGATCATCTTCGCATTGAAGTGGATGACAACGTGTGACGCCTCTTCGTTGCGATTTCCTTTGAGTGGAGGTATTCCTCCGTCAATGATGGGGAAGTCAAGATTGTACGTTGTTAGCGTGTCGCGTGGATATTTCGGAGATGAGTAGCCATATAAATAGGGAGATGTTGGGGAATATGGAGGATCGTATGAAGGAGGCGGGTCCAGCTCTGGTAAGCGTTGGTAGTTTTGAGAAAGGTGTCGTAGGAACTTGATTACAGTATAGCCATCACCTTTAAAGAAAGTCCATGTCAATACTTCGGAGCCCGAGGTTTGTGTAAACTTACCAAGGGGATGATATTGAGAAAATCCGATGGCAGTATATCCAATCTTGACGAAATAGATGATTGTGAACCGCGCCAGAGGCTCATCATTGTATGGCCTGAGGATCTTGGTGACATTCACTTTCTCGACTAAGGACGCAACACCTTGGTTCTGGATCACTCTGTTGTCGGGCATGATCTGGTCCGCATTACTAGTGAGGAATTTGAGTGGGACTCCAGAGTTCGTCAGACGAATCTACTTCAGGTGTTGAGACAAAAACAAGACAAAATGGTTGCAGTTTTGTGAACTTGAGAGCTCACCTTCCATTTGCCCCGAGGTTCGCTTGACGGTTCAAATCTGCCAGCAGATAAAGGATAGACAGACAAAGTCTTAGACAACGCATCTAGAAAACCAGAAGTCTCAAGTGGTCCTGGAATGACATGTAAAGTTTCGACCTAAAACGAAATATATGACGTTAATCGTCAGACGGCAAGCGTGTCATGCGCCTTACTGATAGTCCAATCAGTAGATCCGTCGGTAGAAGCTCGTAGTACAACTGAGATCCTAATATCGTAGGTTCCATTGGTTTGATAACCTCTTCGATTTGGTCTATCGCCATTACGAACAGTGAAAGAGAGAGGGGAGCAGGTTTGAACGCAATGCAACGAGAGACTAGATGCCTTTTATATTTTCCCGCTTATAATGAGTTATCGGATTTTCTATTACGAGTATGACTCGGTTATGCTGATTTAACCGGGATGGGACAGTCTCTATCTCTGAGGAGAACTGGGGCGTCGTCCGACTCGGCCGATTCGCTATTAAATTGCATGCGAAAGCACCGGTACCATGAAGGTAATCCAAGCTATGAGAGACCAGACGACTTTTCGATAAGAAGTTGAGAATAGGGATAGTGGGCAACTTGCAACATACACATATACATACCAGTTCGATGTGTTGCGAGTACGAGTTGGAGCCGACGACAATTATCATCGTGTCGTGCCATGAAGCCCTAAACTACGGTATGGTTGGATGCGAGTCAATGGAGATATGTGGCTCGGAAAGAAGAGTGTACATTCGAAACTCGTGTCCTCGTACCTGCGATTGCGGCTTTTTCTTGAAGGATTAAATTTCGATATCAGCTGGAAAGTGAAATCGTTTGCTGTGAAGTAAAGTAGTGATTACTGCGCCAAGGATCGGGTAGCATGTTGAGCCTCCAAAGTATGTTTAGGGAAAACATATACAACATCTCAGGTCATGGGGAATTCATGCAACTTCCAGTAGTGAGCTACATGAAACAGCAATTCGAGTACGGGTTTCGATATTGAATGATACATACTGAAAACATTGAACACTCGACCAGATGATGGGCAGAGGAAAGGGTGGCCGTCAACGAAAGCGCCCAAAGGCATCTTGTCTTCTACGCGTTCATTCAACCTCCCGAGCCACATATACTTGCGACGATACGTTCCTAAGGTATGATAACAACATTTAATCTTTTTGTCCTGTGTGCTAATATACCACTACTGAGTCTAGGAAGTTGAGTAGCTAATTATTGTAGGGGATATTTGGGTGCAGTCGCTTCCATAGGTCTCAACACCACTAGGAACTTGGTCGCGTAATTTGTACGAGAACATCTACGTGGCGACTCCCCTAGACTCCTCAAAACTACAGACAATATGTCGGAAACATTGTATGCTTCTTGTGCCCAAGTACTCTCTTTAGCTCAGGCGGAAAAGGACAACCTTGACGCGCTCTTGGATCCCGAAAAGGGATTTGCGCCTTGTCTACGTCAGATATGCCATGATAGGTACCTCTATAGAATTCCACGTTGGTTTCATGAATGCTCAAAGTGTTTACAGATGGGCAGAGCTGAAGGACAAACCCGAAGGCTCAGTGTCACCGGAGGAATTGGAGGCGTTGAGAATGGAGAGAGATACATGGGGTTTACTGCAAGCCGTTATGCCGTGCGTTCTGTCATTTCCTGTCGTTATTTACTTCTTAATAAATTGTTAAACCCTCTCAGGCTTCGAAAACTGATACCCCAGTCACATCCAAATGCCCAAGCCCTCCTCCTCCAGAATCCTTATGCTCCAACGTCCGAACTCGCTGAAGCCATTATGAACTCTTCCCGCTTCCTCACTGAACTCGTTGCTGTACGCGAATGGCTGCAAGATATAGCACCATATCCACCTGCCGGCCCTGGCCCAGCCACCGGGTACTGGAAGTTTACCAAGTACGAGGTGCTACAAAACACTCGGATGGGAAAGGGAAAGGAAAGAGAGACGGCAGGAGCATTCGTGATGGAACTGGACCCTGACGCACCAAACCGAACGGGGAGGGCACTGGCTGCTGATGATGCGGTACGTTCTGATTCTTACTGGGAATGACCGTGGTGTTGATAATTTCCTCGATAGACGTATGACAAGGCTCTCGCGCAAGTATTATATGCGCTAATACGTGCGGGGAAAATTCAAGAAGCTATTGACATATGTCTGAAAGCTCAGCAACCTTGGAGAGCCGCGAGCATTCGAGGGACAATGGTATTCCAATGGAGAGCACTTAGCGGTATGCTTGTCTCACTCACCACGTCTATGTAGTTTACATAGTGATGGTGAAATCTTTCCTCGACTTCAGCTAATCAGACAAAAGATGAAGATGCTATGGAGGACGACGAAGATTTCTCCAACAGTTGGAGAGGCAACCAACATCGAAAGCTCTGGAAATCAACTTGCGAGCGCGCGGCTCTGAACGTAAGTCCACCCCCCTCTGAAACACCTTGTCCCGTTGTATACTAAGTGTTTCCTAAGCCTAACCTTACTGACGCCGAACGTGCACTCTATGCTGCTCTCGCACCTTGTCCTCAAACCTCAACTACCCTCAAAGCTGCATGCAGAACATGGGAAGATCATCTCTGGGCACAAGTATGTATTATATGTGAAGAGAAGGAGAGCGAAGAGTTGGCGAGACTGAGGAATAGTTTTTGGGAGGGCACTTTGGGCCTGAGTGTGCCTGAGGAGAATATGGACGTTGAGAGAGGGGAGGAGGAAGAATGGGAGAATGATGTGGTGAAGATCTTGGAGGGCTTGTCAAATGCTAGTGTCGAGGAGGGGTGAGTGTTTAGATTGAATTTTGTCCGACGCGCAATGTGTTGATCTCAGGAATGCAAAGATCACCGGCGGAAGATCCTTACCATATTTCTCAGTTACACATCATCCTGGACCGAACAGACCAGCTGCTGCAAGAGTTTGCAGCATCGTTGGCAAAGGGTGAATACGACACGTCGTCACCACAGTAAGCACGTCCCAATTCTTACGTTAGTCTGATCTCTGACTGTGAATCCTTAGATATCCTACCATGACTCGTTTCTTTGCACATCTATGTCTTTTCCTCCAGATGATTGACATCACACCACCTCCACTCGCCACTCAGGTTGTCTTAGAGGCTTATCTCCGAGTCCTCGAGGTACGTTCTGCCTTACTGCTGTGTTCCGAATGTGTTATACTATTTTGACAGGCTGCCGGAGAACGAGAACTCATTGCGATGTATGCCGGTGCACTAGGCGACAACGCAATTGAACGATATGCCATGTTTCTCACCTCGCTTGCGATCTCTGCGGATACCGACGAACGAAAACTCGCGTTGAAGAGGGCGCGAGATCATGGGCTTGATATAGATCGTGTTGCGGTGGTTACTGCTGAACGGACCATTGAAAAAGCGTTCGAGGTATGTCTTTGTGCTCATCCTTCTATGAAACAAGCCTCTGACGATGAGTATGGCTATGACTATCAGCTGTTGCCACGTGCAGCTGAGCTTTTACCGGACGTTACAGGTGAACAATCTGAAGCGTCGGATGTCGAGTCTCTTCTGCTTAGGTCGATTGAATGGACAACGTTCATGGAGTCGACTTACTACACTGCTCTCGAACAGGCCAATGTCATTCTACGGTACTTCCTAGGTGAGCGCTTTGTTTACCCTTTCTCTGCTTGATTTTAGCTTAAGAACAAATTTTCATCAGGAGTTGGTCGTCTGCCGCTAGCGAAGGCTTTCTTAAAGACGCTTCCACCTCAGCTGAACACACTCCGAGAACCGGAAGTTCAAGCAACGGAGTTCTTGCACTATCGACAGTTTTTCATGGTGTGGGAGGCACTCGATAGAGTAGTCCAATTTGAAGCTTTGGGAGAGTCAGATATGGCTTCTCAAACGAGGGCCGCGTGGTTGGAGGACTACAAGGTATATGGTGATTCACTGGAATGGAAACTAGAAAAGTTGCTTATTCCGACGATAGATCCTTTTGCAACAAGCGCGCGAGCAGGTTACGAGATTGCTCACAACTGAATGGTTGGTCTCTGAAGAAGAGAGGATGAACGGTTCGTGATCTTCCTTTTTTCCCTTCAGTGCCTTTTCCAGAACTGATATCTGGACTTGTAGGAGATGACCGTCGACTTCGCGAACTTATTCGTATCCGACAGATCTATATCCCGGTCATTATCAAACAACTTCATACCATTCTATACAGGTCACGGAGGAAGGTCCCAGAGTGAGTATTCTCTTCTTAGACGGCCACGTATTCAGCCTCATCGTTTCACCTCGCTACAGGAACCTCAAGCACGCTCTTTTATTGGCAAACATCGTCGCCGATTCGAGGTACAGGCTGTATGAGGATTTTGTCGCTCAGGAAGGGAGACGTCTGGGCGATTACCTTGCATTGGTGAAGCAGGCCGTCCTCGGTGGTTTAGAGGGTGGTGGATCAGATGCATTCCGAGTACTTCATACATAGCCCGTGCACAGGCTATTTTATTCTGTCCCTAACCCAGAAATCGCTGTTGGCCCTTATATTTTAAGGGTATCATATGCGGTTTCAAGAGACCAGACCAGTGATCACACCATGCCTAGACAATGAAGGGGACTAGACCGGAAGTTGAGGGGCATGAGCCACGCCTATATAATGGACCAAAGAGAATTCTTCTGCTTCGTCCACTTGTCTGCCCGATTTTTCATGGAGGTTGTACAATAACAATCCCTGCCAAGTATTCTAAGTTCGACGTGGCTGTCGAAAGCATGCAAGATATATATACGCGTGCCTTCCCCGTAAGTACGTACAGCCGACATTCACTGGGCCATCTCCTGCCATCTCTCATGAAAAGGCGTCGATTATAATTTTGTCTTTGGTTCTCGCTATATCTGTTGAAACCCTTCAACCACTAGGGCTTCTAATAACGCATTGGTACCTTTGTTTTTCGCTGTTCAAGGAGTCTATAAGACGCCTTAGGTTCAAACATGACAGTGACAGTGTGTGCTTCTCTGCAGTTGATGCTTCCCTCCAATCTGTTGCTTTCCTCCTACTTGTATCTGTATAAAATTCCATCAACGTAACCATTCTCTGGGCCGTATAGACTTCACCTGGCCCAACCATTGCATTTTGGGTCGACATGCCTTTGAGAGGCTCTAATCACAGTCCCTTGGTATCCGATGAAGCTCCGTACTTCAAGACTCTCGCTGACCTCGACGAATGGATGGATAAGGGTCGCCCGAGACTTAATGCTATTCTACCATATCATCCCAGGAATCCGGTGAACGGCGTAGTTAGCGGGAGCAAGGGGAAACTGCTGGTATGTTCCTGATGTTTGCAAAGCTCATTCACGAGTTGAAGTTGGTTCTGCGAATAGGTCTGCCATGACTACAAGGTGCCGTTCATTGCTCCACTCGTCAACAGTGTTTGTACTTCATGGACGGTTTAGGGCGGATATACAGAGAGGCCGGATGCCCTAGCTTATACATTTAATTTCTGGTCATATTGCGATACGTTCATATAGTGAGCTATGTCACAATTCACCACGCAGGCGCATATACTTACGAGCTGTCCAGTTTCGCGCATCATAGAGTCTCAGTACCTCCTTCCGGATGGATTACAGCGGCACATAGACAAGGGGTGAAAATACTAGGAACATTGTACGTTTCGATTCCAACCGGCTCTCATTCGCTATTCCTATATTTCAGATAGGATCTTTGAACACGCCGAAGGAGAAGTGGATGCTCTTCGTCTTTTGGTGGGTCGTCCTCCACATGGAAGCACTGGAATGTCAAACCTTCCGCCCAATGTATCACTTCCCCTCTCACCACACTACGCTCATACCCTAGCTTCCCTTGCTCGTCAGAGAGGGTTCGATGGGTACCTGTTGAACTTTGAAACTCCTCTACGAGGAGGTATTGAGCAAACTCGAGCTCTAGCGGCTTGGATCGCCATCTTGGAGCAAGAGCTGAAGCGGGAAGTTGGCACATATGCTCAAGCTATTTGGTAATGAATTCAGCCTACTTAGTTACTGAACTAGGAGAGCTGATAACCATCCAGGTACGACAGCGTCATAGTAACTGGACAGCTCAAATGGCAAGATAGGCTCAATAGCCTTAATTTACCTTTCTTCCTTCCGTCTTCCGCCTTCTTCACGAACTACGCTGTAAGCTGGACGTTTCACATCTTTATTCAACACGTATTTCACTGACGACTATTATTAGTGGCCTCCCCATTACCCATCTTTAACCGCTCAGTATTTCCTAAGCATAGATTCGGCTCACCTTACAAACCCTCATCCAAAGGTGCTCAACGACATCTATGTTGGCATCGACGTTTGGGGTCGGGGCTCGCACGGTGGGGGTGGGTTTGCCAGTTACAAGGCTATCCAACACGTCGATCTTGAGTACCTAGGTCTCAGTGTTGCCTTATTTGGCCCAGGATGGACCTGGGAAAGCGAACAAGACAGGCCAGGATGGTCTTGGGATGTATGGTGGGCTTACGAACGCACATTATGGATTGGTCCCGAGGACGCGGATGACGTTGTGACAGTTCCTGAGCCTCCTGAAGGCCAGCCGAATTGTCCTCACGGAAATTTCTTACCCATCTCAACGTTTTTCTCGAAGCTTCCCCCACCCAATCCGGCTAATCTCACTTTCTTTACTTCCTTCTCACCTGGTGTAGGGCGCTCCTGGTTCGTTAAAGGCGTGAAGGTCCTGGAGACACAGAATGGATGGACGGATGTCGACAAGAGCTCATCGCTTGGAGATCTTTTATGGCCCCGGCCGAAGCTATCTTGGGAGCATGGTGAACGTGAGGAGACACCTCCACGAGCACAGTCCATCTTGGACATGAAGGACGCGTGGATTGGGGGCAATTTATTGCGCGTCTCGATATCAGTCCAGGGGTCCGACGCCGAAGATGCCTTCTTCCGTTGTCTCTGGTTACCTATCCAGTCCATCGCAGTCACCCCTCACAAGACCTATGAAATGCACCTCGTCTATAAGGCGGAGACACAGCAGTCCATTGAGTTGGATGTTGGCCTCAGCGTGAAGGAACTTCACGACAATATTGGCAATGTCGAAATTATATCGTTGGAATCTTCTACAGAGCTGACCGGTGGCTGGACTAAGCTCTCGATTGAGTTTCGACTTGAAGCCGAAGTTCGTGCGGATATTCTGTCAGCTGTAGGTCTTGTTATTGGATTCGCACAGGATGATCCTACCGAACCGTCCAATGTGTCTATCTCGTTGGGTGCGTTATCCATATATCTCGCACGTCCATCTCCTACTGTATCCATTCCATGGCCTATACTGCCATGGGCACACTTTGAACGATCATCCCTCTCGACTTCTTCTCTCGCGGGAGTCCTTGTCTGGGGAGTATCATCTGTTTTCCCCATTATGACTGGATTGTCCATCCAATCTCCAGAAGATCCTCAGCCGGCGTGGACTTTGGAGTCAACTACACCAGCCTTTCTATACTTCAACGTATATATCCAGACGATACCTCTAGATGGTCGACTTCCAAACCCTGACGAGGCAATATTCATTGGGTCTACGGGTTTGGATGGAAGGAAAAATCGGTTCCATGTAGACGCTACATCCCTGCCTGCAGATATAGGCAGTTCTGGTCATGTTCGTTTCCTTGTGCAAGGCATTACAGATCGGGGCACGGTGCTACCATGGGAAAGGTGTACGTTCGTTGATGTCACGCTTCATTAGTAACCTGCTATTCATGGATTGTGCTGTACGTGTAAGGCTTCGATCTTTTCATTGCAACCTTTTTTCTGATGTCCTTCCTTCCAGTAGACCCAACGTTGTATCATACCCGTCTTAGCTGTTGACCGAGAATGTTCATCGTTTTCTAGAATATTAGCTTTGGTGGAGCGTTACTCGGAGATTGGACTTGGTGCGCCTTGGTTTCGACCCTCCGAGGGCCCCGAATATGCAATACGCATTGACCTAGTGTAATCAGACCTGGTGGATGGGTGACTCAAGCACTGACGTGCATCTCGCGCTTTCAAGCACGAAAGCGACCGTTCAACCCCCCCTATGATATGCGCTGTGTTACCCATGTAACCTTTCTCTAATTGCTATGCAACTCCAGATATCTCAGAAGCGATTGATAAAGATTTCGATAAAGCCATAGGACGAATGGGTACGTTAGGGCTTGTACTTTTCAGACTATGTTCTCACCTTTTCATTGCCGTGGCGCTTGTATCCATTTCGAAGAATTCCACAGGAACTTCCTGTAAATACCGGAGGGGTTGTCCAGGATTTGAAGCTGCCTTGGCTTCCTAGGATTGTACTTATATCATCAGTATGTACGTCACCTCAACAGTACCATAACTCTAAGATGAATCGGTGAGTAACATTGTCTTCATCACATGAGGCGACGTTGGGCCATGCGATACCGCAGCATCCCAGTCGCATGTGCCCAGGAGGAATCCATCAAAGCAGTTGAACAGCTTCTGTCAAGCACGTGGGTGAGAAACAAAGCCTTGAAGGAGGATAAGTAGCCCTTGTAACCTTCCCCATTTGGGACTGCCTTAGTGTCATACCCGTTTTGGACTGGAGAGATGCTCTCTACTTTCGGATGACCACTTGTTTTCTTCCTTCAGTGTACCTCTTAGTTCGCTCCGACGGCTCCGAAGTTGCATTCAACCTGGAAACGTGCTTGTATCTATCCATGAAGTGTCTTGTATTCTTCTCGCTACGCAAGTCGGAGAAAGCACTCATAGAATGGAGGCATTTCCTGAAATCTCGTAACGTTGATAGCAAGCCTGGTGTTCTTCTTTCATCGACGAATATACCCCTCCCATTGCTCTTCTTGCTTGGCTGCGCCTCGCTCTTTGAGAATGCATGCTGAGCTACCTGTCCTCTCTTTTCTCTGTGTCGCTCTCTTGCTCGCTCTTGCACCTCTTCATTGGAAGTCTCGCAATGTGGCGATACTCTCACTCATGGCTTGGCTTATGATCTGTAACAGCATCCAAGGCGTAAACAGCCTGCTGTGGCGAAGCGATACCGCCGTTAGAGCGGCAGTATGGTGCGACATCGGTGAGGATCCATCTTCGTGATGCTGCTCAAGCTACTTTATTCACAATGACCCAGCCTCGAAGTTTCGCCTCGGTGGGCAATTAGCCCTTCCGGCAACTTGTGCCTGCGTCTGCTGGCACCTCTACTTCTTATCAAATAGTAACAACGGAAAACGACGCAAGCATAGAAATATCGTGGAACTAATCGTATGTCTCCTTTGTCCTTTGATATATATGGCCATTCGTACGTACCTGCAAATTGGTTTTCGAAAGGCCATGCTCTAATGAGACCAACTAGATACCATCGTTCAAAGCCATCGCTTCGAACTCATTCAAGATTTTGGCTGCTCAAGCTCCATATTTACGTCTTCAATTGCCCTAGTATTGGTCTGGATACCACCACTGATCCTCTGTAGCATAACATATGTCTTCGCTGCCCTCGCACTAACGAGTCATCTCCGTGTCGACCGCGCTCGACTGGCCACGCACACAGTTACCTTAAATTTCATTCGACCTCTACTTACTTCCATTATAATCGCTTCCATCACTCTCTTGGCCACCATCTTCAACATATACTGCCATATTACTTCCGTCGGAGGCTTGCAGCCATGGCGGTCTCTGTCGGAAACACATGTTCACTTCTCCGAGGTGCACTTCGTTTCTCAGTCTTCTCGACTAGACTTTACGAGGATTACTGTGGAATGGTGGGGAATACCCGCTGCGTCAATTGCATTCATAGTTCCATCGTTTATTGGACTCATCTTTGGGACACGAAACGACGAATCCATGGTTGGTGTTCGCACCGTAAGTCGATGGATCGATCGAAGGATACTTCACAAGTCGGTCGGAATCCAGTCCTTCATTACATCTTCTGACGACTTTTCTCGGAGTATCACTTTGAAGTCACCACCGACACCGACTCCTGTTCATCTTCTGAAGTCCGGTTGGGATGATACTCTTCGTTCCGACCATTCTCCCAGAAAGGCCAAACCAAAGCCACCACCAATCATATGTGACATGCCTCCATCGCCATCCTCTACATCAGAATCTGAGACAGAGCCCGACACGTCTTTCGTCGTTTCGACGCTCACCTATCTCCAGTCACCCACAGGTTCCCAGGCTCTCGAGCTGCCGCGTCGAGCGAAAATGAGAACTCTCCAATCAGCTCAGCCTGCTCCACTCCAGTCGTCCAACAGGTTGTCAGTTCCCGTTCAGGGACATGTTTCCGAATCTCCAGCTTCGTTCACACAGTCCCTCTTGTCAGCGCCCTGGCCGGAACCACCCTCCAGCATCCCTATCTCACCTCATTCACTAAGCACAGAGTCACTCCCTTCCCCTGCTAGTGCTTACTCTCAAGCGTCCTCGCGTGCCATTCGTCATGCAAGTACCTCGTCCATCAGCGGTAGCATCGCGTCGTCCACGATCAGCACGAATGGATATGCAGTATATGACCCTGCTTTGCCTCCTCCCACTCCTCACCGAGCTCCTTTCGAGAACTCCGGTATACCAGCAAACATTCCCACGTCCCCGAAGCCAGTGAGGAGCATGGGAAGCAAGGATACGTTGAGTAGTAGGAAATTAGTCCACGGGCTCAGCCGAAAGGGCAAAGACCGACCGTCAACTAGGGAGAGAGCGGAAGCTGAGGGGATTTTTATGACTGTGGTCCAGGAGACTGTTTAAACTTCTCTATCAAGTTCATGTGCTATCTTTTCTCGAAGTTGTGCTCTAAATTGTTCGCCCTCATACCCTTCGTCATTTCGGATACCAACTTGTTTCTACTTTTTAATTTTTCCTTCGCACTCCCTGTAGCCATCTCTGATTCGTCACACTGTAGCATTTGCGTCCTGTATCATATTGACATATTGAACATAAGCATGCGATGGCATGTTGTCCGCTTGCTGGCAGAAGTGTTTGTGACCATCAATCACTCTCATCACAAATGTGACCAAAGTAGTCCGGCATAACGTTACTCCTTCTTTCTCTCCGTCACCTCAGTTTCAGCTCTTAAACTCATTACGAACCAAGTCTGAGTTCGTCTATACTTTGCATTCGTTAAATGGCAGGCATTCGCGGCAATAAGGTCAGCTAAACTCATTGAGGTCATTCATTTACCTTTAGTAGAGTTCACCTTTTCCGCTAAATATTTGCAGTCTTCTCAACAGTCAACCAGTAGCGATGATAACGGGTTTATAACCAATGGAACATGCTAGTACTTATTATGATATTCACCCATTTACAGGATAATGGCGGCGGTGACGCAGCAAATGCAAGGTAAACAGCGACGCTCGTGATTTCGTGGATGCTCACACTTTCTATAGCGACATGGGAGAAGAAGCGGAAAGAAAATGAAGCAAAGTTCCTCACACTTGCGAAAGCTGAACTCGACCGAGTAGTCTGTTGAAACATATCCATCTTTCATATACTCTGCACGGCTAAAACTACATCTTAGAGCGATGAGAAGGCCGACGAGTTCATTGAAGTCACAGAGAAGATGTGGGCCAATTCGGGTTTACTTTTCGTTATACTCTGCTGAATTTCACTCAGGGACAGCATATATGCGCGTTTTCTGATGGACTACGCTTCCATATCGGATGATATACGAAGAATCATGGTCGCTCTTCTCGATGAACATTCAAGCCTCCTCGTCAGGACTATCACATATAGATAGGTTTTGGACTGAAATTCACGCCGTTTCATCTAGGAATTGGCCCGAAGGAAACGCAAGACGATCGACGAGGCGAATCGACAACGTGAGAAAGGTCAAGTACAAGGTCTGGCAATGACCAAGAAGGCCGTCGAGGGTAGATCCGTTTTATCATCTGTCGGACACCCTCTAACATTTGATGTCTTAGACTGTAATCGCCTCATCTGCTCCTTAGATCCCTCTGCTTGATGTTCCGGACTCTGTCTACTGGATGGCTCTTGTTCTGCTGTAACCTTCTGCTCACGCTTGCCGCTTCCCTCTGCCTCGATCACGACATTTCCTATATTCTAGGCGATGGTCCTTCTGTTTCTGCTTTTTCCGACTCGTGTCGATCTTCCGTATCGTCTCGTCAACTGCCGCAATCAATATTTCGTCTCACATGTCATTTGGCATCGACCTTCAATACATGTATTCATCTCAACTATCACTGTCCACCAACGCACCTTTACGCTTATATCAGACAGCCATATCCTGAGGCACGAAGGTTTGCGTCTCTGCCTACCCTGCACCCAGCAGTGCTGTATACGTTGTTTGTTCATGTTAGGAACCAAAGCCGTTGCCCAATGAAGCCTTTCAGTCCCGCGAGTCATGAGGGCGACCGCATGCGATAACGAAAACAATAAGACCGATCTCATCTTTCTCCTGTAGAATCGCCCTGCTACATCAAACAATTACGCAAACAGAGTTGTGATTGACTCAGCTCCGTCTAGGTCTGATGGCGTTGGCAAAGTTGAAAATCCATGTGCGCTCCGCTCCACACGCCTATTGTTTTTGTATCGCTCATGAGTACACTGACGCTACACGTGCAGAAATTTTTCGGACCCACACAAAGCGTGACTTTCGAGCTGCTCAAAGCGCTTGCTGCAACGACGGCTGTCATTCGGTCCAAAAGACAGGCGATCCGGGATCCAACTTCTGGTTGACAGATGCTGGGGCTCGGTGCTTCTGCACTAGCGGGAGCGACTTGTATATTTACCTTCAGTGGGTGTATCGAGGTCGCGACTCGGCCACTAACATAATGCCTCACGATCTACTGCCCAATTGCCTTCCGTGGTGTAATGACCAAACAATAAGGATTACACGCCCTGGGTTGGTCGTGCGTTCAAATAGCAATGAGGACTTCATCTCCAATGCGCTTGTCCTTGATGCCGATGTCAAAACAAAAGACATTAGCGCGGACCCCGGTACGATACTCTCATCTAGTGCATTGTAACCCAGGTTATTGTCTTTCTCCCCGTCGAGATGTAATGCCATCACGGTATAAGTACTGGGCTACATTGCACTAAGGAGTCTCCAGAAGTCAGCCATCTTCACCAGCGATCGAATCTTTACGAGTCTCGAGTTCCATCACCCTCTCACTCAAATCGCCTTTGACGAGAATGGACTCCTTCTTCTCTCTCGCTGCTATAATCCCGTCTGAGGAGCCTGAGGTTCCTGTCAATGCTGAGGACACCGGCAGCAACGGCTCATCTCAGTGCACCATTGCATGATCTGCATCTACATACTGTATGTGTCCTTGTTTGAGTTACCGTTACCGGTCCTTACTGACATCAACATTTGTGTCTAAGACATGACGACACCACGTTGACCCTCCCAACCTTTTCGATCTTCATCGGGACTGTCAATTCACCATCACGATTTTCGTTCACGTTCACGTTCATGTCAACGTCACATTCGCATTCATCATTTGGACCTTTCGAGTACGGTTACGCACCCTAGCGTATTTTTTTCGGTTATTTCTTTTCTGGTGATTGCACGATCACGATCGTGCTCTGGGGCGCGGGAAGTTAGAATGTTATTCGTTGGACATTATGGAGAGGGGAAGATGTAAAGCTAAGAAGGGATGAGAAATGTAGAAAAAGAAGGAATAGTTCGGCTAATGTTCGCCATAATCATGTATCATTGACTGCCATTGAATTCTAACGCATAACGCGAGATACATTACATCTGTGCTCGGTGCTGTTTCGATCATCGAGCTCCAATGTTAACCGGAAATTTCAAGAAACAGTACTGTGACACGTACTGTTCAAGGCCAATCTCTGGATAACTCGGACTTCAGGATCTCGAACATCTGATATTAGCTTCAGTCACACAGAGAGGGTCGTTCCGAGGGTCGCGTAGACTCTGGATGTCTACGGAGATGTACATTGAATGAGCTTCATAACGAAAAGCGAAGCTGATCATCCGAAACCTGAGCTCATAGATTCATGGGTTTCACGGCTCATTCTCTCCATGCCCCCGTTCTCCACGGGGTATAGTCCTACGCCCGGAAAGTGAAGATTGAATACGAAATGGCATTAGGACGAGCACCTGGTGAGATATAGGAAGGAGTTCTTTCGATGCCCTGAAGTGGACAAGCAACGAGGTCCAAACTGCGAATTCAAAGGTACCGCAGAAGTTCCCGAAGGATCAGTATAGGAAGTCGTTAGTATTTGCTTCACCTATCTAACCAAGGCCGGGAACAGATTCGTAAGTCTCCGTCACGCGTCTGGTGGTACCAATAGTGTCCAAGAGTTGATACATTACCAGACTGGCAATATCGTAATAATACAATTTTGGTTTATAAATTCCGAGCACGCCTTCATTATCTTTCTCACCCATAGATCGAAGGGGTGCAAGGAGCTCATTTCGAGAGCTTCGTTCTATACCGACTCGGCACGTCCCTTTTATAAAAGTGCGCCATCATATTCTCCGCATGTGTCACAGTGAGATTGAACAGCGGGTGGGTCGCGTTCTAATCGGGGGGACGTATAAAAATAGGTGAATTAAGACACAAAGCTGGAATAGGAAGAAGAATGGAGAGTGCTTACGACGCGATTCTGGGCACCGCCGACATACTTGGACGCGCCCTCTTCTTCTAACCAGCTGAGAGCGTATGCGAACGTGTCTCTTCGTAAGCCCTCCACGGGATCCTTGACTAAAATCATGCCATAGAAATAGAACACACAAACACAATAAGTCAGACTCAGACATGTAGTAAAGACTTGTCGCTGGTAAGTAGATGGACAGTTACCTTCGTCTTCTGTCCAACATGCCAAGAGCTCTTTCTCCCGCTTTGAGTTGGGTATGACTCGGTGTTGTGCTGCTGAGAGGCCTGAGAGGTCATACAATGTGTGATATGCATCTGCAGGTCTATGGATGTGTGTATGTATGTATGGGTCAGCGCATGCGCATATAGTCCCTCAATGTCTGCAGTTGATGTGATGGAGACGTACTTTGGTGGTTTATCCACTAAACCTCCTGCTGGATGTTGTCCGGCATACAGAATATACTCTTGCAACGCTTTCCGATTGTACAACGAGTCTAAACAGCGGTGACCAGCCATCAGCTCCGTTTTTCTCAGCGACACTAACACCTCACGGACTCACCATCGACATCATCCCAACCATCATCGTGTTGTTCACCAGCAGCTTCATTTTCAGGACTCTCATCCGCAACCCCAACTCCGCCCCCGGCCAACAACCCCTCAATAATCCCAACACACCCACCAACCCACCAACTATAACATCCATCCACAAGTTTATTCGTCCGTCCCTTGAACCCACCCAACTCAATCGCCTCGCCTTGCAGATGTGCTAACCAGCGAAGTAGAGAGTGGATGTTGATCGAGGGCTTGGGAAGGGACGGGGAGTGTGTGGGGTAGGAGTTGATGTAGGGCAGGAGGAGAACCCAAGATGCGAGTGCACAGAATGAGTATCCGCCGTGTGCTTCTCCGAGGGGTGGACGGGGCGACGTAGGGTCGATTGCGGGTTCACCGGGAGCAACGTCTGTAATAATGATAAAAATACATAAGAGAGGTGCGGAATGAAGATAAGAATGGGTGGATGCGGTCAGGATCTTACCATCACGGAGGGCCCAGCCTGGGAAGGAAGCGTTCCCGAAACCACCTTCGTAGGTTTGACATGTAGCGAGGAATTCTGGGGTTCCGGCGATGAGTTCGGGCGTGAGGAGGTTCAGGAGCGTTGCGACTGCCAATAAACAGTAGATACCACTTGGGGGTAGTAGATGTCAGAGTTCTGATATAACCCCATATGATGCGGCACAAGAAGAGACATACCGAACGTCAACTTCTCCATCATACGTCACCAGGAATGAACCATCGGGTTGCTTCAGCGACATGAAAAAGTCGTACATCTTCTCTCTATGATGGAAGTTTCAGTGCTCCTGCACAGGAGTTGCATATCATGAACAGCGCACCGGTCAATAGCATCCCAGCCGCCACCTTCCCCCGGTTGACCGGCATTAGCTAGTGCACATGTCGCTGCATACGTAGGAAGAAGGTGGGGTGCTTGACCGGGACCACCGCAGAACCCGCCTTCAGGGTGTTGCAGTCCAAGAAGGGTCTCCACAGCTCTACGAACTCCTACAGTAAACTATCGCGCAAATCGTATTGGAAGAAAGGCGGATCAGACATACCTCTTCTTGTTCTTCTCATCCAGCCCGACACCAAGCACGCTGAATCCTTGCAAGGTCCAGAAGATTAACCAGGGCTGACTTGCATCTTGCGAAGTATATCTAGCGGGGAATCCTTGGATGAGATTTCGGACGAGGAATTGAATGTGTTGGTTGCGCTGTAAGACGGCTTCGGGAGGCTTTGTGTCTGTTGGAAGCGCGGCGGATGGGTGTCGGTTCTTGAGAGTGTTCTCGGTCGCTATTTGTTGAAGCGAGGTGAGACTGGGGAAGCCGTCTGTGGGGGTTGGCCGCAGAATAGGTGAAGGATTATCAGACATGTTGGGTGACAAGGCTCAAAGACCGAGTTGGATTAGTGTTGAACGTTGAGATCTTGAGAGGTCTGTGCCTGTGTCTACTGGGGACCCGAACAATAATGTCGATCAGATCCAGATCGGCCCGCACTTGACAAGGTTTACCGCGTCGTTCGCGAGTCTTCCTGTCATTCAGGTAGTCAACATTTTCATCTCCTCTACTCTCGTGCATATATATCTCTATTGGCACCACCTTTTGAGACCACCTGCTGAGAATGAAAAAAAATTAAATAGCCAGGTGCATCTGCAGTACTACTTTCGAACGATGCCTGCCTCATCGATGGCTTACTTCGCAATGAATGGACATAAGCCTACGCTAGACTGAGAACCTCAGACGTAACCTTGAATGAATCGGTGTCTTCACAGTAAGTAGAGTCAGGGGGGGCAAAGTAAAACAAGTTATCCTTGCTGAACGTATCTGTCCAAATCAGACCAAAGCGCTGTCCTTTTCTGTTGCAGGACTCTTCTCCAATCCTCGATACACACTATGCACCATCCTTGGGTGGACCAATCCAAAGACGACAGACGATCAAGACCATACAAGATATCCTGGACCCCTTCGTCATAGACGGGTGATTCCGTAACCAGCACGGACCAGTGTTGAACTCGGATGTCGCGATGTACACAACAGCTTGATCTTCCAGCTGACTTGGTCTTATCGCATTGTGTGTGGGGCGCGGCCTTGGCAATCATCATCCACTCCTTCTGGAAGACTGCCTGGACTCTATAGACCAGTAGACGATCCTTGTCGGACAGCATGTCGCCAAAGTTGTCATCTTGAATGGACGCGCCGGACGCGGCTTTGACGACCTCGTAGAAGGCTCGCTTGCGAATTTGTGGTATATCGTTCTTTCTAGCTATCTCGATTGTTTCGATCGCATACGGTATTCGAGTGTGAGACAGGCGGGACAAATCTGACGGCCACATGTGCTCCAGACAATTCACGACGAACCTCGTCACTTTCGTAAAACCGAGTACTGTGGATGCTCGAAGGATGGATGCAAGCTTGGGAAATACAGGCGTGTCGAACATGAAATCGCTACAGAAAATCAGAACAGCAGGCTTCGTGGATGGAATAAGACCGACTTACTAGACATCATCCAAAGCCTCTAGAAGACTCTTGAAGTCCGCAGCAGAGACCCCAATTATACGGACAGCAGTTTTCGAGAGCAACATCCAAGGTCCCACTAGCGCGGATGCTCCTATACGAAACCCACGGTCGGGTATGAAAACCTGCGAGAACGACTCCGAATGTCGTAGAAATCTTGATTTCTGTACATCAAATCGCTCGTCTTCGAGGTAGATCGCAATAAGAGAGTCCTCATGGGTCACTTCAAAGGTGCCTGATTTCGAGGGAGGCTTCTGTAGGGAGGAGGAGGAGAAGCGCCGGGCCCGCTTTGAAGGTCTGATGTCCTCGGCATCATCGCCTTCCTCAGAGTTCGACGATACAAGCTGACGTTTGTCGAGCCTTGAGCTACCCGTATCCTCGAGTGACGTATCAATCCCCATGCGACGAGCTGGCACGAGCAGTGTCCCCGAATTTTCTTCAGTCAAGTCTTCAGTTTTGACAGAAGGCCCGCATCCTGGAATCGGACGTCTGGGAGCATCACCAATTGTAATGTCTGGCCTGTTTGATTGAACGCTTTCGAGGTCGGAGGGATTAACCAAGGTGCTCGCCATTGTCAAAAGCTCCTGGTTGCTTTCGGCGATTGTTCCAGGCTGTGCACCAGGAGTAGGCTCGACGTACATGAAGTCTTCGACCAATGGACTGTGCTCTGTATAGCCCAACGGGCCGCCTGCTGAGCGAGCTGACTTTGGGGTATCTATATCGAGAGGACCTGCCAAATCTGAGGAAGGAGGTGACAGATCTTCATCGTCATCGTCGTCAATAACAATAGGCTGGTCGATACTCCCTGGTTGTTCGAGAGATACAGCGCACAGCAAGTGACGTTCATCAAGTTCTTGGACATCCGGTGTTTGATCAACATCCAAACTTGACAATTGTGCATCCCCGGCGACAGCGTGTTGATTCTCCACTGGAGGACCATATGCTGGCCCCACATCATCGCCTCATATTTCACCTTCACTAATTTCATCGCCATGCTCCCTATCATCGTTTAGCTTTGCTACTTCGGCCACCTGTGGTTCATTGTGCGCTTGAGTTGCGGCAATAAGTGGTACTTGACCACCCGAGCCTTCAAGAGACTTGTCTGGATCTTGGTGATCGTGGTTGGATCGGTCCTTGTCATTCTCTTGGGCAGCCTGTTTGGCTAAATTTGTCTTGGAGGCAGATAATCTAGGTTTCATGCCTCGTATTATACTCAAGCTTGGTCGAGTAGAGCTTGTGTTTGATGGTGTTGGAGTGTAGGAACTTGCGCGAGGATTATCTTGAGTAGGTGCATTTGTTTGTCCTCGACGGGATGCAGGTTCGTCGCGATCGTCACCGGAATCTGGATGATATCGATTTAGTGAGTACATCAACAAGCCACTCCAAGGATCAGCCCACCGGACTCTGAATCGCTGTCCAAATCAATCACTTTAGAATGACGAAGAGGATACCGTTTCCTACGCTGCAAGCTAGGTGTACTGTCATCTTCGTCTGATGGCACATACTCGGAATCACTGCGCAATTTTCGTACTCGGTTACCGAATGGTCTAAGGGGGTCTTGTTCGTCATTGTGTTCTCGTAGTTCACGTTCATCATGCAAGCACTTCTCGTGGACACCGGCAGGATGAATGGATTTGCGTTGAGTGTCTGCTGCACTTTGACACATCTCGTTCCATAACGTGTCTAGGCAAAGTCTACGAAGTTCGTAAGGGAAGTTAACGAAATGAAGATTGTCGATCATGCATGAATCGGACCTCTTTGGAGCATGGTTCAAAAGCAACAATGGCAAGAGATTTTCAAAGAATGAATGTAGGTCTTTAGCCTCTGCTGAAGAAAGATCCGTGGTCTCAAATTTGATCATGATATGCACAGCTTTTCCTGCGAGAAATGTGGTGAATAATTGACTCTGTGCTCAAAAAACAAAATTCCCAGCTAACCGTCAAGTTTATGATACATGGAGGGAAACAAATGAAGTATTGCCGACTGTTTGTTTGCATCTGAAGTAAGGGAATACTGTGTGCAGGTCATATCAACGGTCAAATTCAAGATAAGCTATGAAAGGTTGCACCACACCTCAAGTTGAACATGGCGATCCAGCGTGCAATTGTACAGCAAACTGTCTCGAGCTTTCTTCTTGCCGCGCTGGAGTTCGACAAGCCTCATTGCCAGTTTTCCAGGGCGGTTGACCACTGTAAGGTCATATCCAGCTTCATGGTCCGCCTCATGCAGTTGCCGGCCATCAGTCCAAGCCTTTACTGTGAATATCATTACAGGAGGGAAAGCATTCATCTGCACTTTGTCCTTAATGCTGATGCATCAATGCGATTCTAAGTGACGTCGCAACCAGAAACGAAGTGGAATGACTCACTCAGATTTAGAAATATTGTGCAAGGCGAATTTAACATATCGCTGCACATTGTCGTTGTTGCGCATACGATTCAACTGCTGGCCTGTGTCGCACATTATTCAGTGTTTAAGAGAGCGGTGGCGTTTGAGTCGAGTCTGACCGAGAGAAGACCACAATGGCGATGGCAACTTGTTGCAAAACACAGTGAAACCATGCCGAACTGAGATAAAGGCAATATCAAGTAAAACAATATTGGTCAATAGAAGGAAGTGCATACCTGTTAAGCTTAAATATGCCAACCTCACTATATCATTCTTATGCAAGACGGTCCTCGCAATGTGACGATGGGCGGACGTGACAAACCAGCCGACGATAGAGAATTGTTTAGTTGGCAAGAACATGAGATGTCTAGGTTCTCGTTCAATGCCCGGAAATGATACATCTGCAGCAACTTCCCAGTGAGCCCAGCCCCCGGAGCTGCGTTTATAGTACACGGCCTCCTCGTCCGGTGTTGTGTCCAGCCAGATATCGTACGCCTTGCCAAGTTTGTCAATGGGACGGAGAGGGCCGAGAAACGTCAGATAATGAGCGATGTCATCAACAATTCGGTCACGGGGTATGGTCAGAAACTCCTGCTCCGTGATATTTTTGAGATGGAATATCTCGACAAAGAATGTTCCTTTTGAATTCTTCTTCGTGCGATGGTAGACTTCTCGCTCATCAGGGTCTGCAGGGTGAATTTTATATGTAGGTCAATCATTGATTCCATAGGTCACGTTGGCGTACCGAGGAAGTGCAAGATAGCTTGCTCCGAATCAGGCCGTTTGAAATGGTCCATCGATTGTCCCTAGTACGGACGTATGTGCAAGTCGGCAGAGAAGAGTTACTTATTCACATGTAGCGGAAATGTCGTCGATCTAAATGCTTCGCGTGCTGTCACATCCACGTGCACATGTGACAGTCGCGCCACGCATGGTGATCTTGCTTTCGTGTGACTATTCTCCTAGTATCGCGCTAACTTCTCTCGTAAAAGTTCTCTGGTAAGAAAATTAGTCACTTCACTGGAACGTATCTCAAGCTGTATCATAGGTCCTTCCAAGGAGATAAGAGACGACTGGCAATGTCCTTATTTCTTAGGCCTTCTTCGTCAAGATCAACGTCGCCTGCTCTCAACATTACAGACGTCCTCAACTCTGACATGCTCAATCTCGACGAACTTGACTCATCTGACGACGAGCTACCAGACACAATCACTGGCACTCAGGTGAAGAAGGAACAGATATCGACACCGGTGGCCTTCTCTTCTCAATTCACAGATCGACAAGGATTAAGATCGACATCGCCCATCTGTCTGATTAGTGACGAGGAAGAAGCAATCGTACCTTCTAAGCCCGCACCAGCTGATTCAGTTGATCACATAATGGATGTGGAACCCGAAAGAAGGGAGGATTCTGACATGGAGGATATGTACGCCGACCCACCTGAACAAGCTCCCAAACCGGGTACTTCTCAAGACTATGAAGACTCTCAGAAGGCGCCTGGGACGTCTGAGGAACCAAACGAACAAAATTCCTCTAATCATCTCGAGCAGGATCACGATCATTCCCCAGACCGGTCTTCAGGAGACCGAGCCCCTTCTGCTCCTTCCCAAGAACAGGCCAAATCTACTGAAGTCTCTCAGCCTTCTATCGTGCCCAATGTTTCAGAACCGTCATCCGGCTCAGACACCATCTCTGGCACAAACTCTGTACCTCCCGCTCCTCCTATCACATCTGCCGCGTCTCAACCACCGCCCTCCACGCCTTTGCCAAAACCTCAAACTCGACATCGAGAACTGACGGACGTCTTCAATTCTGCCTCTGCTTCCGACAAAAGAAAACGTCAGCAGGATCTTCCAATGCTGTCCCTGTCACAACCACTACCGAAGACCTCCCATTCAACAAGCAAGACCAATCCGTTCAAGAAACCACATCAACCTCGTTCATCGCTTTCTCATTCTTCTCAGGCGTTCGCAGAATCCATATCTCGCGCTTCCCCGCAAAAGCGATCAACTCAGCCACCATCCAGTGCACCGGCACGAAAGGTTCAGCTGGATGACGACGTCGAGGTTCTCGATGACGCGGACCAACGGAGGTATACTAAGCGGTCTCGCACTGCCGCCTCTTTCTCTCCTTCTGAGACCATCAGGCCATCGCCAGTCCTTGAATTCAAGGGGAGCAAACATCCGGAATATTGGCTCCTCGATGGCTCAGTCGTTATTCATATGCAAGGCGTACTTTTCAAGCTGCACCGCTCGACGCTAGTTAACAAGTCGGTTTACTTCAAGCGAATGATGGCTGAATCGGCGATATTGGACGATAGAATACGTCAATACGACGTACCTGACGTATCAGTGCTCGACTTCGAGCGATTACTCAAAGCTTTGGATTCTGGAGTGTTGGTGTTTACTTATACGTCCCAATTCTCCTGCCAGGCTGATCATGTCTGATTTGCAGGTCGTATGTCTTCAACCCACCCCCATTCCGCGTCCTGGCATCAATCCTCCGTGCCTCACGCAAACTCGAATTCACAAAGGAGTACGAGTTTGCATCAAGGTCGCTTCTCGAGATGTGGCCTTCCTCATTATCGAGACTCACCACAAACACCATCCCCAATGCCGCTGCAACTGTTCTAGTTGCTCGCGAATGCTGTATGCCCGAAGTTCTCAAGCGAGCCTACTACGAACTCTTGAGAACAGGTGGCTTAGGTCAAGACGTTGAAGAAGATGCTGACGAGACTTACGAGGACGTGGAGAACCGAACAATAAGCCGGGAGGATCTTGTGAGGCTCATCACGACCAGGGAGCGACTGCATCTGGAATGGTACCTCATAGCCGACTGTCCACCAAACCGAGGAATTCTTCCCTGCCCGCTGGCCTCGTTATCCTCAGAAGATGCTGAGGACAGTGCAGCCTTGGAGGCTCGCGACTCGTGTGCTTCAGCGACGCAGAAGGCATTGGAGTGCTGGGACGAGCATGTGAAGAAGTCTGGTTTGTTCGAAGAATGCATGTATGATCCTCTCTGTGGTTTGGAGAGATTGTCCAAAGTCGATTGGGAGGGCTTGGGTTATTGTGATGGTTGTGTGACTTCCTGGAGGGACGACTGGATGAGAAAGCGGGAGAAGCTGTGGCAAAACTTGGACCTCTGGCTAGGTTTGACTTCGTCTTCATAATAGTGAGCGAGTTGACTTGTGACATATATGTCCCTTGCCTCATACGTAGTTGACACAGATCTTGTAATCTCTTTCTTGAATCGCAATTGCTCCAAGGACACTTTATTTGCTTTCAACCGTGACTTGAACCTCGACTAAAATACAAACAATGAAGACTCCACATTCCAACCATACTTCTGCAGTCCAGGCTTTACACAGTGATTAATCATGGGCTCCGGTCCACAGGCCAAAATAAGACTGTCATCACATGGTGGTGGAAGATGAGCTTTTAACAACTCCTCTGTAACCCGGCCTATGCTATAAGTCCAGCTCTTAGGTGCAGTACCGACGGTGTAATGAAGCTTGAAACGGTTTTGTCCATGGATTTTGAATAAGTGATCAAGCTCGTCCCGACATAGGATGTCTGCTTCAGTCTTATTGGCGTATAACAGCCAAACCTGAGTTCTATCTTCCGTATCCTCAAGGATAGAACGAAGAACCTGCAAAACAGGGGTGATGCCTGCACACGCTCATTCATCAAGTCAACATTGTGAAAAGCCGAAGTACTAACCAGTTCCTCCACACACAAGTCCTACATTCTTTACTTCCCGTTCGATGTTATGAATCAATGCTTTACCACGACCTTGCCAAATGAATGATCCAAGAGGTCCTTTTATTTCGACCGTATCCCCGGGTTTGAGTTGTTCAAGCCCGACTGACATTCTTCCTCCTGCCGGAAACTGAGGCGAGGGAAGATAAAGCCTACACATACGACCTTATGAGAAAGCAGGATAATAATGATTATAAATGCATACACATACTTGATCAAGAACTCGATCCTTCCCGTATCTGACGGACGAGAGACAGGCGTATATGCACGCTGCACAATTTCGTCAGTGTCTTTGCGCTTGATCCGCACAAAGACATGTTGTCCAATCGGGAGACCGATTGCTTGATTCGTGTTGCCCAAGGAAAAGCTGAAGACCAAAGAATCATGGTTGATTTTCCGCACTGAGCTCAAAGTCACGGTCTTCCATCGCTTCGGATCAAGGAAGGACGAATTTGTCAAAGAGCTGCCATCACTATTGTCATTAACGGCAGGTGTAAAAGGCTCCGATAAGGTTCCGATGTGGAACTAATCACCAGTATTGAGATTTCGCCGTGAATAAATTCAGTGTACTCACGTCTGCCAACTTTGCCGTTGCATCCATAGAATGAATAGCGACGAAGTCATCGGTCGCGTCTTCTCCAGCCATGAGCAGGATTGAATCTGCTCCACCAGGATGATCCTTCAAATAGGTTGTGCCGTCATAGACTTCTCCATTCACGACGAACTGAAGTAGGGAACATGCTTAATTCGTCCTTCAGCTCAAACGAGGACGAGGAAAAACGACATACCCAAGGCTCTGACTTATCGTGCTCTCTGAGTTCAGCCACGCTTATGCGTCTATCGACACCAGGGCTTACAGCTGGATTCTTCGCTAGAGCCTGAGTTTGTCTGGGAGATACATCATTATTCTTGGTTTCCACTGGTCCAAACCGAGGCTTGAGGGGATCCACGCCGGAGGATTTCATCCGCTAGGAAAATGTGTCAATCACAGGAAAGGAAAGGAGCCGAAGATTATACCTCCATCCAACCACCAGATCGACCGTCGACGAGCGTTGGATGTTCAAACCGAAGAAGGAATCCCGAAGCTACGGAAGTTTTATGGATGGCAACACGAAACCACCTGAAATGGTATGTCAAGAATTGAGAGATAGACCAAGATTCAGCAATGAAGCTTACCAATTGTTCATCATGGATGTCGCATTCAGGTACCTGAAGCCCAGAATATGAGATTCTTTGGATATCATGTTGAGTGCGTGAGTTCACTCACATGTCTCGGGGCTGGATATTCATCGATTCATCCATCGCGCGCACTGCGATTGAATTTGAGGACATGAGGTCTACCAGTGTCACGTCTAAGGTCCAAAAGCACCAGCAACTGAGGACAGTCTACATTGTAGGACGATAAACAGAGGACATAGTCACTCACAAAGAATAGTCGTTCTGAGTAAGATCCAGAGTACCATAAATTGGACTCTCATACACAGCTTGTCTGTAGAGATCCTCTGGATAATCACTACAAACTAAGGTAAAAATGCGCCTTAAATTCATTGGTACACAACCTACATGTTCGCAAGAACCCAAGTATCTCCATCATCGAGCGAGACCTCAACTCGGGTTACCCGCCGACCGCCACCAGAGTAAGCATATCCTTTCACTGTGTAGGAACTCAAATCCTTGTCAGATTCACCAGGATTGACGGTTATTGTTTCGTCATGTGCGGGTTTGACAATTGCACTGTAAATCACGATCAAATCCACGAAGTTGTTCCGCTCGTGGGTAGCTAAGCCCGTACCTATTGATATTAAGCTCACTGATCATAAAAGCTCAGTAAATGACATGCAACATGTCTTAACAAGTTGATCTTACGTTATGATATATCTGTACGTAGGTGAGTATGCCGTTCAGAGAATCACGCTATGACTTGCCTCGGGTCATACCACCATTGTTGTTCTGACCGCGCTCGTTCAGGTGTGAGCTGCATGGGCAGGACCTTATTGTCTGAGAGGATGTCAGGTACAACGTTGACAGACAAATGAGCAATATACCCCAGAAGTGCAGCTGCTAACATGAGTCAACAGTCATGCAGTTAAATTGAGCGGAACATACATGGTGCTGGCTTTCTTGCTCCGAGACTTCGATCCGGTTCAGCCACTTGACAAGGACTTCAATAATGGATTCGCACACGCGACGAATGATGCATATACCTTCACCATTCTCCCGCCAATCTGCCCTGGTATAATTACACGCACAGGAAAACCATGATCAGGTTCCAATGGCAATCCGTTCATCGCCCAAGCTGTGATGCGGATGAGAATTAGAACACAGAGACTCGGTAGAGCATACCTATGAGCATGCCTTTCCTTCTATCCGTTGCTTGATTGAGTCTCTGAGAAGTGCCGTAAGGTCCATTCGGAAGATTATCAGTGCCTTCGAAAATAACATGCTTGGCAGCTGGACGAATGGGTTTAACGTATTCTAGCACATCCGCAAGATACACCCCAGTCCATAGGGCAGTCGATACTGGGAATAATTGTTAAAGATCGTGATATTGTGACAGTTGAAGTGACACCCACCTCCCGCAGCTCCCCAGCTGAAACCCAGGCTCTTACGAATGACGTTCTGCTCCTTTCGCCGGTTCCCCGCACATACAAGCGTGACGGGCAGCGTAACAGTCTGAAATCGGGTTCGCAGATCATCTAAAGAAAAGGAATATTCCTCCTTGACGAGACCATGAACGCGGATCCTCCAATTACGTAGCTTTGTTTCATCCACTTTGGGTACGGCGCCATGGTTCCGGACGAAGTGAAGGTGTGCAGGAGTCAAGAAACCCTACAGCATTGGCGATTGGATGGTCAGACGTTGCTACAATAGTAATTGAACTGATATATCCTATGTACCGCAGAGAAGAGCGCATCCAAACTCGCTTCAGCGTTGAAGGGATGTTGCCCAGTGAGCCGAATGAGTTGAGGATTCCTCTTGACCCAATGGTCAGGAGTCCTAACATCCTGAGAAATTAGGTTCACCAACGTGAGCTTGTGGCAGAGGCCACACATTATACTGCTACTCACCGCATTTGCGACAACCACGGGTGTCTCATTTGCAGGCAGCTTTGGCAGAGTGGAGGGAAGCGACGGACATTGTCGCAGGGGGTCTTCTACTGAAGGGGGTGCAAACGGCTGCGGAAGTGAAACGTCACTAGGGTCTGGTGAAGGCAAGGAAATTAATGAAGTCGCTGAGGTAGACAAAGTATCCGATTCTTCTTCTTCTGAGTTACTGTCTGAGAGGTATTCCGGTCTCATCCTGCTTAGTGGGCACTCTGCGGTGAAGGTTCAACAGTCCTCTTCAGATCCACCTCTGATTTATCATTGTTATCTCACGAAAGGTGCTGCTTATCACAACGGTACATGTGATGAAGGAATTTCCTAGCATTACGTCGCTATCTCAGGAACAGGTATCAAAGCTAAAAGAACGTTCACGCCCTATCAGAACATCAGCAACGGAACAAACAACGAGAATATGCAATAGCTGACTGCTGCAATAATGCCTGAGAGCCAGAAGGCCTTGCCGAACGGCCTAGGTTGGAAGCGGAAGACAAGAGCGAAGACGACACCGCCAAGGTTTCCCATTGCTCCGACCAGACCGCTCTGAAGAAAGGATCAGTGGAACCCCTAAAATTTGCACAACGATGTTCGCCCACCATAAAGCCATTAATCTCTGGAGAAATGAAGGTGAGACGTGTTCAGTAAAAGGATCGACGGTGCAGAGCGTACCAGGGTTACAATGAGGAACGAGGGCAAAATTTGCTCCGTTCGCAGCTCCATTCACCACAGCCGTCAATGTGAATAAGACCACCACCGCCGGCACTGTACTGTTCGTTAGTTCTGACGAGAACAAATGCGAACAAGAGCTACATACGCGACGGGTTCGCTTTCTGGTCAATGTAAACGCCCAAAGCTACGGAAAATACACCTTGCATCATTCCGCAGGCCAACATCCAGTACTTCTTTCCAACAACCCGGTATTTCCTGAAAACTAAGTCACCGAAGTAACCACCTAAATTGTTGATCTGTAAATGAGGTCACATACACGGGAGGAATACACACCTAGCGGTCGAGTGAACAAGTTCAGAAGGCCAAACACACTCGCAATCTAGAAAGTATTAGGCTGAAGTCTCTATTGGACGAGGCTGCATGTTACGCACATATCCAGCTTTTGTCTGTCCGAACGTATTGGACTGATACAGACCGAAAAGAACATTGGCTAGATTCGCATCGATTGCCAGTTCGTATCCGAAGGTAGCTGTTGACGTATTGAGCATATGCGAGTAATCATCGCAAGATGTGTTTAACTCACTCAGGTACGCCAAGCTAGGCAGCCACGTTGAGGGTTTCACCAATACATGAAGACCTGTTCTTTTTAAGTGTCGCGTCGTGTTATCGGGAACTAGATGAGCATTCTCCAAATAATTAGGGTCCTTCCACAAGAAAATTGAACATAGCTTGCCTTCGTAATTGGGCACCGTAGCTATGAGATGATCAACATTATTCTTCTCATCATTTGACAACCTCGGGGCTCGTTTCACTTCTGAACGCTCACCATCGGCACGATCTTCCACGTCGTGTGAGATGCTGTGAGTGATCGAGTCAGAGGCCTTGGAGTGGTTTTCCAATTTCTCGCGTGGACGGTCAGTACCAAATACCAGAGTTGCAACTGAGACAGACAACAGAACGGGCACTGGGACAATGGCGAAGGCAACTGAACATGTGACGCATAAGTCAAAAACGTCAGACCGGAACATTGTGCGCGTACCTCTCCAAGCTGTATGTGAAGATAGTCCATCCTTCACTAAACGGTCATAAAGAGCAACCATTATGATGAACGTGAAGCCTCCACCAGAGTTGCCCCAGCCTCCGACCAGAGCGTTCGCGGTTCCAACTACGTTGTTGTCGAAGAATGCAGTCGTCCATGCCTGGCAAGGCACAAATGTCCCTCCGAGGACACCTACTTTGCGTCAATCTCGTGATTTTAAGTTAATACCATATTACTAACCTATGAAGAATCGGATGAGATAGAGCCCTTGCACCGACTTCACGGTTCCCGCAAGTCCTGATGGAATAGCACCAATAGCCAGTAACCCAGCCATGACCTTTCGAGGGCCATATCCTGTAAGGAGTGTCAAGCTGGGCATTGATAAAATACGTGCTTAGCTTACTGTCAACCAGCGGTCCTACGATCAACCGCACACCAAGGGTGGCGCACAACGAGATGATGTTGGAATTCCCTTCGCGTCGAGTTAAGAGTTAGACGACCACGACGTCCGGATAAACTCACCGATTTGCTGGCTAGTTAACTCCAAGTCGGATTTCACCGCTTCCGGTATGAGGGGGGAGAATGCGAACCAGGATAAACTACTGTCTGTAAATGACACGTCAACAGGGTTTCGCGACTAACTCACAAAGCGACCCAGAAACCCAACCACGAGCTGAAAGGAAAATGTCAATGACGGTAGTACTTTTATACCCAACTTACGCACAGATGAAAATTGCGTGAGTACTGGTTATTGAGTGACAAAATAGGTAAAGTCCTGCATTTGCCGTTGCTCGGGTTGATCGCAACAGTCGTGAGCACCTCCCACAAAGTCCTTGCTTCTGGTTGTGCCATTGAGATGAATGACCGCACTGAACCAACCACAGTAGATGGGGTTCGAAACGAACCTGAAGATCCTTTTGACGATACTGATGCTAAAGTTCTTCCCATGTCACACAAAGAGCAAATGGGTTAGATAAGCAATAGGCGCATGCTAAGGGCATCAAAATCTGCCTTCCATCACGGAGAAGCTTCCAAGCTTTGGAGAGGATAACCATCAAGCTGCACCAAGGACCTGAAATAACCTTGTCGATACGATAAGCTTCTTGCAGGTGACCCGGTTTAACATTCGAGGGAGGTTCGGCTGAAAAAAGCGTCTAGATCGCCAAGCTCTCAGAATCGACTAGGAATGTGGACTGCCTGAGGCTTACCGATGGACGTGCTTGGATGGTAGAATTCCTACGTGCAATAGGAAAGGTGTTCATACGGTGGCGCGGGGATGTTCAAGGGCGGAGGAACTCTTCCGACTCCTACATTTCCTCAAACTGCGCAGTGATGAAATCAAAATCCTTACGACATCGGAAAGAACAGAACCAGAATACGCGTATCCTGGCCTTCAACATGAAAGAGCAGGTCTCTGTTCACTTCAAGGAGCGCCTTAAGTAAAATCGTGAAGTGCCTTCAAGCTTGAGACAGTTCTGAAGGCAATCGTTCACGGAAGGCATGTCCATTGACAGTCTGATGGCACGCAAAGACGACGAGTACCTCTACACAAATTGTTCACAACCGTGAGAGTATTTTGAGCTATATATTAGCATCCTGGATCGTTGTAGTAGGTCGCAGATTAGAAGCTAGTGGCGATAACCTTCAGTACAGTACATTGCCGATTATAATCAATATGAAGCATACTGTGTATTGTTTTTGAGGAACGAGATCGTGACGGTGAAGTACGGGTTCAAAACAGTTTGGAACGCTGGAACGCCCATAGTACTATGCTATCTTTCACAAGCGCCCATAATCATCAATTCCAACTCGCGTTTCTTCAACTTCATAGGCATTCCTTCTGCTTTCAACTTTCAAGTATACCTCAGTTGGAAGGCTCACTTCAATAACGAGCCCAATCCGCCATCTGTATGGAGTACGAACGACATCCAACGCTCTACTACCAGGATGGTGATATTGCGCTCTCAGCTAAAAGAACGGACAACACATCGCGATGGCTGGTTTTCAAAGTCGACAAAGTGTACCTACTCCGTAGTTCCCCCATCTTTCGGGACATGCTTTCATTGCCTCCCGCCGCAGGTGTGAACGAAAAATACGATGGCGTCCCTTTGGTGGTGTTTCCAGATCCTGCTGAGGCGGTGGAGCATTTACTTTCTGTCTTGTACAGCCCTGCGTGTGTTCCAAATATTCTCTCTAGGTCCAGAACACCATTTATACCTATTTATTTTTGCCAGAGGGCTCTCATTGCGCCCCAAAGACCCTGACAATCCTATTCATGTCGTGGGTCTGACACGCCTGGCGATCAAGTATGAGATCGAAGTGCTCCGGGATGCAATCTTTCAGCAGATCGCCGCGGATTGGCCTGAGGATCTTGCTTCCTGGGATGCACGAATTGCAGAGGAGAAGCTTTGCCAAGAAGCCCTTAGCCTGGACCACGAATCCTATGATAAGGATACTCTGGACGAGATATTCCCCGAACCAGCGGCAGCCATCAACTTCGGGTTGGAGTTTGGCGTGCATTCCATGCTTCCTGCCGCATTCTATCGTCTCGCTACCATTCCTGCACACCAAGACTGGGATGTATATCGGAACATGGATCATCCAAACTACGGAGACCATTGGAGCGATCTCTACGATGGCCTTAGAACAGCTCATTGGGGAAGTCTTAGCTCTCAAGTCCTTATGCATTTGATTCTCTTGCGCGAAGAACTTAAGGGACAGACACGTGAAATAATAAGCACGTTCTCCTTGCTGCACGATAAATGCGCCAAACGTGTGTCCTGCAAGAAGACGAAAGCAGAATTGCTCAAAAACTATCTTTCGAGCCCATCAGAAAGCCGCTTTTCAGACCCTATGACCGTTTTGAAACGTTTATTGGACCAAACGGAGAACTGGGAGATCTGTCGACTGTGCAAGTGGTTCACCAGAGATAAACTTTTACTTGTTAGGCAGGGTGTTTGGAGCACAGTCGTCAAGACCGTTGTACCGGAGTCTTCGTAGAGCTGACAATATGCTCGGTTTCCCCGCGAGTCTCCTTCTGCGAATGCTCACGGCATACATTACACCTTCGGCCATGACGATCTCTTCCAGAAGTATCACACAAGCGCGTGTTTCCTACGAAGATTCAATCGTGAAATCCTTTGACTGCGTCGACCTACAATGATATCATTGATTTCAGTCATCTCCAAAAACCAAAACCAACCTTTTTGTCATATTCTGGCGATACCTCGAAGGCAATGGCGGAGTTCCTCGATTGTGCATAATATGCACGAGTGTCTGGCTTTACGCGATGCTGGAAGATATTTGCTTAACGTCAGCGAACGTTTTCGTTCGCAGGCCTCGTGGGTCAATCCCAAGTTGGGCGTGTTGCACTCTGCCGGACACGTCGAGAAGATCATCATATACATTTGGAAACTATCGTAGTAGTTATCTCACAACTCTTTCCAGGTCTCCACGATATGCTGCTGGATGCGCCTTCCGTGTCATGTTGTGCTGCTCGAACGTATCGCATCTCTCTTGGTAGAATATCCAGATACATCTTTGCCAACTTTCGAAGCGATTCGTTAATAACGATAGCATGTATTCCTTTTTATACCTAAGTTATACATGCGTTGAGCTCGCAAACAGGTCAACCAGAATGATATGCGGATAATAAAATGTAAACCCGCATATTGCAAGATCCAATAAAGCCCCAAATAGACGAAACATACCGCACCAAGAGGACAAACGCAGGGACGACAATTTGAACTGAACCTACAGCGTCATCAATAGCATTGAGAATAATCTGTTAGCGAGGATTAGTGAGCGTCGAACCAGAAAGCAATATAACTCAAAAACTCACAGTCGTTGAGTACATGGCAAGTGTAAGGAGAAACGCAGGCAGTAGGACCACTATAGCCAATACCGCCACACTGTCCCCATTGAGCAACTGTACCAGCACCACCCGTAGGCGTACCGCCAGGGCTTGAGACGGTCGTTGTGCCTGGTCCTCCACCTCCACCAGAGCCCGTGGTGCTGTACGTCGAGCCGATGTCACCATAGCGGATGTTCGAGTAAACAACAGACGCATTGGGGGACTGGGATTCGACGTCGGCGGGGACACCAGAGGTCGTCGGGCAAGGTCCGCGCTTTACTCCAGGGAGAGATGAGTCTTTGTCAGTCGGGTAGCTGCTGTCCAGCCAGAGCATCTGAGCGGCGTAGTCGTCCCACACCGACAACGCCAACACCATGCCATTGTCCAATGCCTGACCCATCTTCGTCAATCCACCAAGGGTAGCGAAGTAGTTTTGGTCACCGAACACCTGCTTCTGCTGAGCACAGAAGTTGTTACTGATTGAGTTGACTGGGTCAATGCCCGCGATATTGACGTTCGAGTTCTGGATCACCCTGCCATCCTGGACGTACAGACGGCGGATCTCGGTGAGCGCACCAGAGGTAGTGTTGTCGGCGGTAACGAACTGAGTGACGATGGTGAATTTACGGCCGGTGTCGACGGTGAGGCCTTTGCCGAGGAAGGTCTGGTCACCCATACGGAATGAGTTGAAGTCGCAGCCGTCCTTGTCGCAGATACCACCATAACGGTTGTCACCGTCACCGCACTGGGTTCCAGAGCAGCGAGTCAGCCCGTTAGCGGTACAAACGTGAGGCGTGTATGCGGCTGCGTTCACGTTCGCTTCCCAAATATCCATTTCACTGCAGCATGTGCCATACTGGCCAGCACCGGAATTGGTAGATGTGCCGTTCCAGCCGAGAATATTAGCCTAAGTTAAGGGAATGATGTTAATATAGCTCGATAGATAGCAACACAAAAGTAGACATACCTCGCCGTTAATGAACTTAATGTCATGAGGACACTGTGAGTCGCAGTAGCCGGTGCCGTACTTGGCTCCAGCCTTGTTGTTCGGGAATTTCGATGTCCCTCCGTCCTTGTCCATCTCGACAAAGTAGACTGCACCGTTGAGACCACAAGGCAGGTTCGACATATCAACGTCAAACGTGAACTCCTGGTTCTTCAACTTGAAAAGCTGGTACGTGCTGTCGTCCTGGAGCAGATACACACGAGATCCGACGTTGCTTCCCGTCACGAACTTGAGGGTGAGAGCATCGCCAGAAGATGTGATACCATAAGTGCCAGAGTAGTCGGCACCGTCCAGAGCACAGTTTTGTGCGCAAGCAGCAGGGTCAGGACAGAGAGACGCATCCCACGCATTGCCGGTGTAGCAGTTCGTGTAACCGCTGGTTGTGTGCAGCCAACGCCAGTTAGAATCGAGTACAACCGATGTCTGCGCAGCGGTGCAACCGCCGCTTTTAGTGCAGTGTTGCGACGTGAGCTTTGGGTGGTTCTCAGCCTGTTGCGTACCGACCTGCTGGCCGTACACGGAGGCGAGGAGAGAGAAAGCGACGAGGACACTCGTACGGAACATGGCCTGCCCGTACAAACACATTAGAATGTTTCAAGAATAGATGTGTAGAGCATGGACATACCGAAGGCGAGAATATGTATGAAGTCGACAGACCAATGACGCCGACTGAAAGAATTGGAATAGGGCTAGGTCAGCGAAGTGTTATAGGGAATGAGAAGAAAGGCGTCGCACAGTAGGTACTCTGGGACTCTTCAGCTTGTCACTTTCCGATCCCCAAAGCGAGTCTTTATAGACTGAGTTCCGTTCAGTGCTGGGGTGAACAATCTTCAAAAGAGTCGATAGACCACTACAGAGAACGGAGAAATTGTGCTCTGACCATGTAAACATCAGTCCGACATTACTCAGGTCAGGGGGTGACATCCCATTCATTGACAATGGGTTGTTGCATGACTGGTCGCGTTCTAACGACCATGTACATGTACCGAAGTAGTCACGCCAACATTCGAACGAAGACTGGAGCAAATATTAGGAGACATGCACGTTACTTCCGTAGGCTTGGCAGATTTGACGGTTGGACTTCGGTCGTTGGCCGCAAAGACATAACAATTATCGCCCTGAAGCGAGCAGGTCATGGGTCCATTCTAGACCAGAATTTGTGTCCGAAGTCGCCAGGTTGGTCTGGGGAGATCAGACGTTGCATTCTCCAGTAATGCGTCCTATACCTTGAGTACTTTTTCCGTCGGCCCTATTTGCGAGAAAGGTCTTTGTGCGGATGATTCTTGCGCACGAGTATGCACGTTCCTAGGTCCGTCGGCGGTTCACAGTTGCGGGTGTTTCGTTGTTAACGTCTAAAGTGCGAAGTGTCTTAAAATTCGTTGAGGCAATCGACAGCAGCCTAGGAACTAATGAAAGGGTGCATATAGCACGAGAAGCTGCTGCAGGTCAATGACGGATCTGTTGAAGGGCATATACTATATAGTTGACTGCAGACACTGCTGGGGCACACTAATAATAATAGATTAGATTAGATTCAAAACTTTATGATGCTTCATTTCCCTCGGTCGAAGTCCGAGTCTTAACCACATTCTTCAATTGTACGCAGATTGTCATAGATTCCATTTGACTTCATTTGTATCGAACAAAGACCGACAATGCTTGTCGATGATACCTTCTGATACGTGAAGCGGCCCAAAAACACCGCTCTGGCTCGACGTTGCATTATTCTCATCGAGCAATGGGGACACAATATTGTCAACCCTCTGAAAGCCTCGCGTCATATGATTCCTTCTCTCGACTTCCACATCATCGCACTCCAGGGATTATCAAGGATATAGTCCGTCCTGATGCTCTGGAACTTCACCTTCACCTTGCCTTCCCGCTTAGCTACTGTACATCACTGTGTACGGTGAGTAGTACGAGGACTCGTCTCTGAATGCTTTCTCCAACTTACCGGTGACATCATCAGCTAGTGCTATTCTTGCACGTATCCCGCGATAAGATGGCGGTGAGTATGTACCAATGCGCGAAGCGTTGTGGCCGCCGAACATGCCGCCGAAGCTTCATCGGGGGGAATAATCTTCTTGTCTCTCGGTAGCGACACGATTTCACTCCGACACGATTGCGCTCGATGCTCAATCAGATTTACAAGCGGTGAAGGCCAAATCTTGTACTCCACTCTTCGAAAATTTCGACGTTCATGCTTATTAGCACTGTCCCGTCGTCGTTCTCATCCTTTGAAAGTGATGCATTACAACGTGACGATGGTGCGATTTTATGCTTCTACTGTCTAAGGCACTGATATAAAGCTCCGACTTCAGTTGCTCATTAGCGTCTTTCCCTATCAGCAATGACTACCCACCCGCAGCATTCCCGCCTTCCTTCAGGACATTCTGGGCTTTTCCTTCGATGCCTTCATCGTTGCTTCCTACTGACTCATTATGATTGTCAGCCGTATAACCTATAGATCCGAATGCCTTCCAGGCATTTTCCTGCTCCGAATTTTACCTCTATTCATTCGCCTTTACGCCCGTTCCTCCTGATTCTGCTCAGCCAGAAGGAACATTCTGGCTGTAGTGCGGCCGAGACATCGCCCGATATTCAACCGTTCCCGCAGCTTCCACGATCTGGTCCATGCACGAGCTAGCCATCAGGCTCCGGTCACGAGTCATGTATGTCGGATGAAGTACGCGCGAAGTCCATCAATCCTGATTCTTCCTTCTCCACATTTAAAGTCGATCAAAACTTCATGTCTCCTTTTAACGCAGACATGACTGGGGATTCTTCCGCACTGTAGCTGGAGGGTTCATCGCCTGACGGACCCCGCAAGCAGCTCGAAGTACACTGGCAACGTACTCCAAGCTGGCCGAATTTGAGCCGCCTACAGTCATTCTACCCAGACCATTCCGAGGAACGTGTAACAGTAAAATTGGCTTGCCATCGTGACTACAGGAATAGCAGTATACGTTCTGCGCAACAGTGTTCGGCCTCGCCTTGTGACTTTAAGGATCAAACTTCATGAATTCAAGGAGCCACCAGATTTTCCGTCTATTTCGCCTTCATTTTACGAATAACACCGTGACATGCTCCGTATAAAAGATGCGCTTTACCTCCACTGTACAGCAACCTCAACGGTGGTATCAGGTACCCGACAGTACGAGTGCCATCTTCCCCTTCCTTTTGACATCTTCACTAAATGCGTTCTCTCTAGATTTCCGTTGATTATCGTTGATCTTTCGACTGAACTGTCTCTACATATTCTATTGTCTGGTTTGCGTAGATGTTTCTAGTTAACGTAACATGCTCTAACATGTTTGGACTAACAGGCCATGTTCCGCGCGAGTGTCCTCATCGCTTTTTCTCTCCTTGCCTTCGTGTCCGGCCAGCAGGTCGGTACGCAGCAGGCTGAAAATCACCCAACACTCTCGTCGCAACACTGCACCAAAAGCGGTGGCTGCACCACTGCGCAAACATCGGTTGTACTCGATTCTAACTGGCGTTGGCTGCACACAACCAGCGGCTACACGAACTGCTATACCGGCAATCAGTGGGATACCTCTCTTTGCCCCGATCCCACTACTTGCGCACAAAACTGCGCCCTCGACGGCGCGGACTACTCTGGCACCTACGGCATTTCGTCTTCTGGAGATGCTCTCACCCTCAAGTTCGTGACGGGAAGCAATGTCGGTTCTCGTGTGTATCTGCTCCAGGACGACAGCACGTACCAGCTTTTCAAATTGAAGAATCAGGAGTTCACGTTTGACGTTGACATGTCGAACTTACCTTGTGGTCTCAACGGTGCTGTATATCTCGTTCAGATGGATGCAGACGGCGGGACATCGAAGTTCCCAACTAACAAGGCTGGAGCCAAGTACGGCACCGGCTACTGCGACTCGCAGTGTCCTCATGATATCAAATTCATCAACGGCGAGGTACGTGCTAATCGTTTCACATTCCAGTCCTCGAACTCGTTTTACTGTGGTGCTAGGCTAACATCCTTGGCTGGAATGGAACGTCCACCAACTCCGGCACTGGCCAGTATGGCACGTGCTGCAGCGAAATGGACATCTGGGAAGCCAACTCCAACGCCGCTGCGTACACACCCCACGTTTGCGACGCCGACGGACAAACTCGGTGCTCGGGCACCCAGTGTGGTGACGGTGACAACCGTTACGGTGGCATCTGCGACAAGGACGGCTGCGACTTCAACTCATTCCGTATGGGTGACCAGACCTTCCTCGGCAATGGCCTTACCGTTGATACTTCCCGCAAGTTCACCATCGTTACTCAGTTCGTTACCGCCGACAACACCACTTCTGGTGCCCTCACCGAGATCCGTCGTCTGTACGTCCAGGACGGAACGGTAATCCAGAACTCCAACGTGAACATTGCCGGCATCGACCCAGTCAACTCCATCAGCGACGATTTCTGTGCCCAACAAAAGCAGGTGTTCGGTGACGAAAACTACTTCGCCACTCTCGGCGGTCTGGAAAAGATGGGCGACGCGTTGGACGCTGGTATGGTGCTGGCGCTCTCAGTGTGGGACGACTACGCTGCACAGATGTTGTGGTTGGACAGCAGCTACCCGACCGACAAGGATCCATCTCTTCCTGGTGTCACGCGTGGACCCTGCCCGGCGGACTCTGGTGTTCCAGCCGACGTCGAATCGCAGTCTCCTAATGCCTCCGTAGTCTACTCGAACATCCGCTACGGTGATCTTGACTCCACCTACAGCACGACGGGTTCTGGCGGCGGCGGAGGAGGCGGAAGCACCACGACCGCCTCGAGTCCTGGCGGTACACCCACTGGTGGTGCTGGTACCGTCGCTCAGTGGGGACAGTGTGGCGGCATTGGCTATAGCGGACCTACTGTCTGCGCCTCGCCATATACTTGCCACCAGCTCAATGACTGTGAGTCTTTTTGATAAGTTACTTTCAATCCGAGACTCATCGTTTCTCCAACAGACTACTCTCAATGCTACTGATTGCATGCGACGCGGTAGTCTGTATTTGTTCGTATACTCTCGTGATCGTCGTTGTATTTGTATACTGGATCTGTCAGTCTCGAAATAGTCGCGCAGCTCCAAGTTGTATTAGTATCGCCCCGCGTAACGTCCTGAATATAGTGTGCTTGACGTTCATGGCAACTGATGTGAGAGGATGTCAGCGTGGTCTCTCGCCGTTCTCCATGCGTGCCCTATCGAGACATCGCCCTGACCGCTGTGTCGAACCGGTTCTGCATGAAATCTATGTTGAATTTTATCGTGTATGCCATTAGGAACGCGACTTATGAAGATGAACAGAAAGCAGAGTCCGCAGATAGAAAGTAACATCCCGATCGATCGTATCATAACACAGTGTATACCGCTATATAAACCCAAAATCCGACATGATATAACGCTACATACATCCAGAAGCAAAGAATGGTCCTACAAATGTCCAGAATACTCACTCTGAGCAGCCATTGCCCTCAGAGGTGAACGTATTAGCGAACACCTTAATCCTGCCTCTTCCTGAACATGACCTTCGCAGTCGGGTTGGGCACTAACGCACTAGCGACCCAAAGAGGTTCGGGCACTACGCCCTCGTTCTCCAACTTGACATCATAAGTCGTCACTACGTGCGCGAGCATGGCCTTGAGCTCATTGGCAGCGAAGAAACGTCCTGGGCTACACGACAACGAGTATCCAAATGCATTAGAGGGTGAATCCAGCGAAAAACGGATAAATAATGACGCACCAAGCATGTTTCCCATGACCAAATGGTATATACTCTGAACTGGTCGAGACCATCTGATGCTTGGTGCCCTCTCCGTCCTCACTTCGCATCTCGGCAAATCGCCAAGGGTTAAAGACTTCAGGGTTCTCGTAATACTCTTCATCGTAATGCGTAGGCATAGCTGCGGCTGAGACGAATTCACCCTTAGGGATGAATGTACCGTCGGAGAAGGTAAAGTCGCGGAGGGCACGTCGTGTTATGCTGACTGTAAAGATAAGTGTCAGAACATATCCACAACATGAGGAAGAGGAAATGGGATGTACTGGCTCCTAAACCATGGTATCGTTGAGACTCTTTCAAGAAACTGTCCACCTTACGCATCTTCCCCATAGCAGCTTTGGTCCACCCTTCGGCTTTGACGATGCTCTCCACTTCTTCACGCATTGGAAGGATGTACTCCGGGTTGGCGGCAAGTCGGTATAGGGCATGAGTAAAGCTCTACGCCATATTATGAGAAAAACTATTAGGGAAAGGAATAGAACTAATGACGGACGGACCATGGACGAAGTATGGATTGCAGCGAAATTAACTGTGAGAATTCGGAGAACGAGAGCTCGAACTTCTCGTTCTTCACCTTTTGCTTCGTCCATGAACCAACTAAGCATATCGTTCTGACATAGGATGTGAGTTATCGCCGGAAAAAAACAATTTCGTTTGAACGGACAGGCTTATCAGGGTAGTCTGAACCATACTCTTCCATTGCTTGGTATCGTTGACGAATGATAGGTTCAAGGTGCTTCATACCACGATCAATGCTACTGGGCACATTCGTGAAGATTCGTGCAGCGAGTCTGCGAACAAAGTTTGAACAACGGACGGAAATGTGATATATTCGTACTTACGGGCGGACGAAGGTAGGGAGCAGGTTAAGAATCATGGCACCCTTGACAACGTCCACCGTGAATTGAATGTTCAGTTTACGATAGTCGAGATCGCGACCTGGTACACCGTATTCGGAATGTCAAACAAAACTTGAAGATTAACTTTCGCTTACACTTCGGCAGCCCAACAAAGATCCTATTACTAGTTCGACAGACAATCTGCATGACAGTTTCTAAAGCGGGAACAGAGATCCAATCTTGAAAGCATTGTGATGAACGTCAGGTGCTACACTTGTATGACAAGTTTACATACCGTCGCTAAGAGGAATGGCCTCAGTGAAGGCCGCCACGATTTCGTCGCGCACATCAGGGAACAGAGCTGCCAAGTTCCTGGTGAGATTAGACCTAACGATGCCGATATGGTAACCATTGTGATGGATGGCTGGGCCTAATGTATAGTCTACTTGGAGCGACTGCAGTTAGGACGGAGAATTCGTAGGTTAATAATATAAGCTCGATCAGTCGATATGACGCACCTCTCGCGTAGCTTCTTCAAAGCTGAGGGTGTCATCCGGAGCTTTGCGCAACTCCTCGATAAGCTTTGGTCCAGTCACAATGACCATCCAGCGGAAGACCTCTGGAATCTTGAATGCTCGACCTTTGTACTGCGCAGCCGTTCGTTAGCATCTCAAGAACTGCCCCGAGAATATCGGAAAGAGGATGACTAGGGCACACCTTGTCGTATCCTTCCTGTATCATCTCTCGACTATGTGTGAAATACTTGAATACGCCATAAAAGGATAGGATCGGCGCAGTGGGAGTGACGGCAGGTATATCTGGAAGCTGGATAAAAGTTAGACAAAAAGGTATTGTCGGCAGGGCTTGACGTACGCTGGACCTTGAAGGCTTTAGCCACCTCAGCACATAGACTAAGGTGGCGAGCGCGACCAAGCCATATGTTACGACGTTGCCTTCCATCTCACTGCTAGTTGTCGAAGGTGATAAATGTGGCGAAGGCAGGGTGAAAGATCCTCCTTGGGCGGCCAGGAACTGAGTGTGGGACGCTCGAGCACATGGCGGTTATAATACATACAACGGAACGAGTTTCCCCGGTCGATATATATAACACCGCGCCTGGTGCTTGCACTCATCCGACCAAGATCCAGCTTTTAGGTTGACCAACTACTACGTCTGTCTAGTAAACGTCAAGATGCAATTTCCCAATCAATGCTCATTGATCGTATGGCGATAGCGTCCAAGTTTCGCAGGTGGACATGTCCCCAGGTGATGCGGAGATATCTTCAATTGCAACGAGCAACATGTTTCTTTTGACCGAAGAGAGGTCTTATCGGGCTTGAGAAGGCTAAGCAGCGTCTCGCTGATTTCTGTGATCATCTGTATGGCCTGTCTTTTGACGGCTGTGACTTGATCTTTCTTCAACAGTGATCCTTCCCACCGCGATATAACTTCGATGCTGCTATGCTAAATGTATAAGTAGAGTCAATCGTCAGTCTTTAATCACCTTCTATTCCCCGTAGAGATGGGACTGCAAGTTCGATATACCATTCCTTCCGACCAGCAGGGCCCGTTGGATCTAAATGTCTCATTGGCTGCTGTCTCTATGACATGTATCAGTTATGGTATGGTTCATCACTTCTATCTGGCGAGCAGAGCACCCTGAATCTTGTATTGAACCGGACAGGCACGCAGGCTATCTTATGCTTCCAAACTCTCCGACGCCTCTGGGTCCGGAAACCGAGTACTCATTTTATCAAATTTCTTTTCTGTTATACCGTATTTCTGGGAATGATCAATACCATATGGGTCGTCACCGCTCCTTTCAGCATCCAGGCTACAGCAGCATGGTGGGAAGGCTGCTCTCCCCTAATAAACTTTCGTCCCGGACGCGGTGTCTTTCAATGTTCGACGGAACATCTGCAAGAAAAGCAACGATTGGCTACACTTCTTGACACAATATCAGTAGTAGCATATATTGTGTGCACATTCTGCGTAGACGCCTTACTGGTGAGTCCGGCATATTATATCGACAATTTCATGCTCATCTTTCGATGGTAGATATGGCGTTGCAGGCATTTTTGGGAAATCACCTTCTCTAGATACGCGAACCAAGTCGTGATTCTACCTCTGATGATGCTCATTGGTGCACTGGGTATCGAAATTTCCATATCGCATCATTTTCTTTGCTGACATCGACATTTTATTCAGTCTCTAGCATGTTTTTCTTTCCAGAAACCGCCCGGCCACTGAACAATATATACTTGACCATCTTACTGTCCAATAACATTCTTCTGACGTCACTCATCATCGCCCGGCTGACATACTGCAAACGGAATATCCAGAAGCTGTTCGATGAGGCTCACACTGGACATTACACGTTCATCTCCGCGATGTTCGTAGAGTCAGCCGCCTTCAACGCTGTTAGCTCGATCCTCATGATCGCGACAATTTTGGCGAAGAATGATACGTTCCAAATCTGGTATGCCATCGATCCTGCCATTCAGGTGAATCATACGCATCATGCGAGTTAACCTATGCTTGTTGCTCACGACTTCCTGAATCACTTGAATTAGGCGTGCTCCAGCTACTTTATCATATATAGAGGGCTACAGGGCATTCGAGGAAGCTGGAGTGACGATCCACTCACGCGTGAGATGTCATCCGTTGTCTTCGTCGAACCGGAGCTTTCTAGGCGGACTGATCAGGCTTCCGCTGTGGATCGGACAGATCATACGGAAACTAGGTCGAGCGATCACACAGGGGTGAGTATTCAGGATGTCGGACTGAAAGGCTCAGACGAAGTGTGCGGTAATCCTGGAAGCATTGTTTCACACTATCAAGTATAATTCCAATAAATCTATTCTGGTCGCCTCCACGATGGCGATCTTGCAGCGACTGTCAAGTAATTGAATGGAATGGAGGCATTTGTTTGAAGGTCGTCTCTTTCTGCGTCTTTGTTGCATTGGCCACTTAAATATTTGGACCATATGGTCACGTTACCAGTGGGCCAAGACGGCCACCATGTGAAGGTTTGCCTTTGTTATCTTTCAACTTGAACTCTCTACTGATTACCGAATCTTTCTCTCTCCTATTGAAAAGTCAAATATTTTTTCACCCAGCAACAACTGCGCGGATTCGATAACCATGGTTGTCGTCACATTTCCGACCCAGTTTCTCCAGAAATATCTTCAGTTTTCGAGGAACAATATTTCTGCTACTAGAAAGACTTTCCCAGATGACATCCTAATCAAGATCCTTGACTTCACATGGCGCGACAAGCACGATCTCTGTTCATTTTCCCTGGTCTGCGGATCGTGGTTCACTGTGGCTCATCCTTACATGTACCGGCGCGTCACAATTGAATCCGACGAGGATCTAAGCCAACTCGAGCAGCTTCTCGGTCAAAACACCGTACCGCTTCAGTCCTGGATTCGCGAGCTAGTCCTCATTGTTTCTCCTTCACGGGACGAATGGATATTTAATTCCGAATTCTCAACCAAGCTCCCTGCTTTGCATGATATTCAACTACATACTACGTCTGGACAAATGCTCCCCGATCTTCGTGAATGGGCGACGAATGCTGGTCTTCCGCATCTTCAGAACTTGCATACTCTTAGGCTCAATCAACTAGCACGTGGTGGATTAACTGTCGCTGAGCTATCCGACCTTGTCTGCCTCTTACCGCGGCTTCGCCACCTCAAAGTCAGTATTCAAACTTTCCATCAGGTCGAAGAAGGTGCATATATTCCTCCAGAACCAACCTTCCTTTCGGACTTGGAGTCTGTCCATATAACACTCACTTGGCTGGTCAACGACGATCAAGCGTCCGTTTGGCCACCCATTGAGTTCCTCCAATGGATGGCAAGACCGTCGAATCTGAAAATTCCGAGACTACTCAAGCTTTCTGGCGAGATGTTCTGCGATCATCCGTTCATGGATGCAGCAAATAGCCTTATCATTGATCCAGCTAGTGCCACTGTCGTTCTCAACATCGGCTACACAATGCATGGGGCTCGGACGACTGATATCATCGATACCAATGGTAAATCATGACTCTTTCCGAATCATTTTTGATTCTGAAATGCCACCCATTTTTAGTTCGTGTGCAATTGAGGAATGAAGACGGACGCAGCGTCGCGTTCGTGCAATGCTTCACACGCAACGATCCATTGGATATGTTGATCTTGTTCAAACACCATAGCAGAGTGGAAACCATCTTTCTCACTGCAATGTTTGAAGGAGATTCAACTTGTTCGCTGTTGATGGATCTGGATAGGTTTTTTGCATCCGATAGTAGGTTCCCTCGGCTGAAGAGGGTATATATGTTCCCGGAACGCAGAGACAAGGGAACATATGCTAAAATGGAGAAGACGATGGTGAAGTGCAGTGCTAGAGGTCTTGTAGATGATGGGATGAAGATACAGTGCAAACCAGACGAATTACAACCGGATGCTGCTAATCACGGCGGGCTAGGGTTGCATAAGTACTACTAGAAATATCTCAATCAAGCATGGTTTGAATGTAACTCCGTACTTCTCTCCTTGCTTTCACGCCCCGCATCATCAGGTAATGGTGGGTACACATTTTCCATCGCGACTCCCCAGTGAATCTGCAGTACCTTACGGCGGGCGCAACTCTTGAATAGGTCAGCAAATATCTGTGCATGTTGTCTTTCGAAATGCTCATGCGCCTGTGGACGGATAATGACCTGGCGTAATCGAGGATAGCGTTCTTCAACAGCAAAGTGTTCATCAACTTGTGACCACATATCTTTATTTGACAATGTAGTGAAGAGCTCGATGACCACGCTTTCGACTAGTTCGGGGGATTCCATTTGAGAGAGATGACGATAGGCACAGTAGAGGCGGGAAAACACTAATTGGGCCATGTATTTCCCTGATGATTGATCGTGTTGTGCGCAAACTAATGAACGAGAGACTCAAGACTGCTCGATCATTGCATTGATACAAAGTTACTTACAGTAAGGTGGATATTGGTCCGGATGATAGACACGCGACTGAGACAACCATCCATATGTGGATCTTTTGTCTAGGAATGCGACCTCCGCATGGCATTTGCGCCGCTTTTGAAGCCATAACTGATAAGCTCGCAAGAGTTGATCAGAGAAGAGTTCAGGAGCGAAGTCGACATTCAAAGAGGTTGGAGAAGACGACAGAATACAACGGAATAAAGGAAATGGGTCGCCCTCCATGTGACCGAAGCAGAGCGAGGTGAGCTTCAATGATGCCGAAGGGAACTTGTCACTGGGTCTACTTCCGAGAAATACTCCACCTATTCCAAAATGGGTTAGACAAGGAAAATATTGGAGGAGGGAGCAGATAAATGTGGGTGTCACAGTGTATCCACGATACTGAATCACGAGGATGGAAAGAGCTGGTAGTCATATTGGATGGAACTCAGGGATTCCCGAACCGGGACGGACGGAAGCGAAAGGCAAAATTCCCCTGCAGGAGAGGACACGTAAAGATGCAAGTTTGCAGAGCAGAGAGGAAAGACTGTATTGAACAATCGCTCCTGTCGATAGAGTGAGAATCAGGTTCTGCAACCACCAAGTGATCCCGGGTATATTTTTTAACCATTGTTCAAGTTCATCCAATTCTGCCGTAAATAGAAGGCTGATGGTGCGATACATATGTGGCCATGCAGCATCGAGCCACAGAGAACTGACGAGGGCACAAGACGACAAGGTATGCTTGTCACCTTGCAGATGCTGCAGGATAGCCGAGATAACATCGTAGGGCATCGCTGGGACGTTAGCGCTTCCAAGATCCGTATCCGGGGCAGAGGAGTATGAAGACCCCAGGGGCTTGTTTTGGTACGGCTCTGAGGATGCCAAGTGCATTGTGACACGCCTATAGTGATCTTGGTTCCGCTGTATTCGTTGAGATTCAAAGGATCATGTTACTGTAACAACTGAGAATGTTCAAAGACGTACTTGGTTATGGGAAACTAAGCTTTGATATTCCCTACACGTTCGAATATGCAGAGCTCAAGTGCATGTCGCCCAACTGTAGTTGGCACCGAAGGCGGGTTCGCTTCAGAACGCCGAAGAGATACCTGCTGGAAGAACGAATGATAGAAACGGCAGAAACGCTCTGAGGGTATTGCATTAATTAACATACATTTACACGCAGACTTTTAAGTTTCAAAATTTCAAGATTCAAGATGTCCGTCGAAATGCGACGGCCAAGTCATGGACAAAGTACTTGGGAGAGCGGCGGCCCGATGTTCCCGTGCTATGTAAGTACTGTTCTGTTAATGGCATCACTTTACTTTCTCTCTAGACTACTACAGTACTATTTACGCCAATTAGAATCCTCAAATGACTCTAGTCTCTGTATCGCAAATGCACGTCCTCCCGGCCGGTGTGTATGCTTTCGGATGAATGCCTTCAGATTTGAGGCTATACAGTGAACATCATTGACGGATTACCGCCGACTGCCTGGGGTGGCTGATATTCACTATGATGAGGTCTACAGTGGGATATGCAATTGATAACTGCCCCATTGCTGCTCCAAGCCGTCGCTCACAGCTTACGGCTTTCCCATGTTCTCCGACTTTATTGAACGGTTATCTTTTACCATGAAGCTCATTTCCAGATATTCAATTCCCGTGCTCGCTGAAGAGAAGACTGCCTTCAATCTGAAGGTATCATTAGCTGCTGTATCGGTAACATGTGTTTGCTACGGTACGGATCCGTCATCCATAATATGCCTTCGAGGTTGCTGACGCACGTCCCTCCTTCTTAGGAATGCAATTCGTCCTATGTATCATTTGTCTACGACGTCTTTGGATTCATACGCCTCGAACACCCTTCGTCCGTTTCTTATTCTGCTATACACTCTTCCTCGGAATAGTGAATACTGTCTGGATGGTCACTGCACCATCCAGTCTTCAACTCTATGCAATCGAGTGGTTGCAGGACTGTCGGCCCGTGTCAGGCGTGATACCGCCCGACTCTTGCCCGTCGGAGTTGCTCAACTCTTACAAGATGGACACCTGGCTCGTCGACACGACATCTGTCGTGTCATACGTTGCATGTACATTGAGCGCTGACGCCTTGTTGGTAAGAGAGCCTGATTCTTCACGGCGGCTAAGCGTTGGAAATAATCCTGTGCAGCTCTGGCGTTGCAGACAGATTTGGATATCCACAATGTCTCCTTACGCAAATTCCATCTTGATTGTACCCTGTTTGCTGCTCCTGGGCTCCACAGGTAGGTGAAATATCTGCAGTCCGACGAATCTATCTATTCTAATTTCATTTCTTAGCATCCAGCGTATACTTCTTTCCTGAAGCATTTCAACTGCTGAACTATATCTACCTAGCCATATCTCTGTCGCTCAACATTCTCTTGACCTGGCTTATAATAGGCCGACTCACCTTCTGCAAGCGAAGAGTGCGAAAGGTATTTGGAGATGCAAAAGTCAAGCACTACTCCTTCGTCTCTGCGATGTTCATCGAGTCCGCTGCTTCCAATGCCATCGTATCCGTTCTGATGATCGCAACAGCAGCGGCAAACAATGCACTGTTCCAGATTTGTTATGCTCTCAGTCCAACAGTTCAGGGGCGTATATCTTACATCGTATATGTCTGTCTTAGCTCACGCGTTATGTTTCTACAGGCCTGCGCTAACTATTTTATTATATATCGTGGATTGAGGGGCATTCAGGCAAGTTGGGGCGATTCTTCGCTCTCTGAGCAGATGACGTCTATCGAATTTGCTCGTCCAAACAATTCAAACATGGAGTCATCCCCTGACTTGAAAAGGTCTATCTCTGCTCCTCCCAGCTTTCATACCGCGCAGGATATTCTGGTTGCAGAATCCAACAACCCCGATGAGAGAAATAGTGGAGACAAGTGTGACACAGTTGCACCAAATGTCATTCCAGTTTGAAGAAAAATACATTGGGATATTGGCCAAAGGAAATATAAGCATCCATCGGAAACCTGTTGGGAAGAGAGATAATAGGATTGGTGCCAACGTAGTTGCCTCTCTGCGCCTCATCTGCACGAGTCGCAGAGGGTCTCTTGCCGCGCTGTGCTTTATAATGCATGATCCCTACCTAAACGGGCTTCGGGAGATTAGTGATCATCAGCTTACTTCGAGCTGCAACTCATTTGATACTCGACACCGGTGTCCATAGCACAAAACAGGGGAGTAGAGAAACATCCACACGTGAGTATAGAAGGAACTTAGAGTTATCTACACACAGCTGCTCAGTCTCGCCGCTTCCGGAATAAAACCTTCCCTGTCCTATTAGGCACCAGAGATTGAGCGATCCAACTGGGCGGAGGAATTTCTCCGTCTTTCTCCAATTTGACGTCGTAGGTAGTCACCACATGTGCAAGCATACCCTTGAGTTCGTTCGCAGCGAAGAAACGTCCCGGGCTACAGAGTCGACAACGATCAATCATTTACGCCACACACAGGTTCCAGTTACTTGGACACATACCAAGCATGCTTCCCATGTCCGAACGTGATGTATTCCGTATTCGTCGAGACCAGTTGATGTTTCAACTCCTCGCCTTCACCGCTTCTCTTCTCGGCGAATCGCCACGGGTTGAACATCTCGGGGTTTTCGTAGAACTCTTCATCATGATGTATAGGCATCATCGCCGCTGAGACGAATGTTCCTTTAGGGATGAACGTTCCGTCGGAGAAGGTGAAATCTTGAACGGCAAGACGAGTAATTGAGACTACGAGGTACTGGTTGAATGATTGTAACGTTGACAGAGGTGAGAAGGCACGTACCACTACCGAGTCCGTCACATCGTTGAGACTCCTTGAGGAAACTGTCAACTTTGTGCATCTTCTGTAGAGCGTTCTTTGTCCATCCTTCTTCTTTGACAACCTGTTCAACTTCCTCGCGCAAGGTAAGGGTCCATTCTGGGTTGGAAGCTAGGCGATAGAGTGCGTGCGTGAAACTCTACAAAGATGGGAGGTGTTGTTGGCATTGAAACGTGATGAGGTCAAAGCGAATCAGGAAAGACCCACGTTAGATGAAGTATGAATAGCGCCAAAATTAATTGAGAGGATTCGGAGAACGAGCTCTCTAGCACCCGTCTCTACACCTTCCGCTTCGTCGATAAGCCAGCTCAACATGTCATTCTGTATCACATTAATTGGAGGTAATCATGTCAGTTTAAAAGTCAAACCAATGTCGAGTTGAACGTACAGGTTTGCCCTCATAGTCATGTCCATATTCTTCGACCATTCTGTATCGTTCTTTAATAACAGGTCCAAGGTGTTTAACGCCTCGTTCTATGCTCTTGGGCACACTTGTGAGTAGCCTCCCCACGATTCTTAAAATATACTATTAGATGCAATGGACAGAAGGCTAATGGAGATGGTGAGAACGTACGGTCGGAGGAAAGCAGGAACCATATTAAGCATGATACCGGTAGTGACGGCATCGATGGTAAACTTGATGTTCAAATCGACGTAGTCTGGGTTACGACCTAAGTATGAAGCGACTGATGCTCAGAGCCATTATCACAGGGTAGCTGATAGGAAGCATACAGGTAGGGAGTCCGACAAAGATCCTGTTGCTCGTCCTAGACACGATCGTCATCAGGGTCTCAAGCGCAGGGACGGCAATCCAATCTATGTCGGTCTAATGAGCAACTAGGACATCAGTGAATTCAAGACTTCATCAACATACCATCACTAGGAGGAATAGCATCATTAAATGCCGCCATTAGTTCTTCTCGAACACCTGAGAATAGAACGACCAGATTCCTGGTTAAGTTCGAGCGAATGAGTGGGATATGATAGGGATTGCCCATGATTGCTGGACCAAATGTCCAATCCATCGAGATTTGCTATGGGCAAGAAGTGTATATATGTTAAGCAGAGGTTCGCGGAATGGAGCAATATAACGGAACGGTGGGTACCTCAATAACCGCGTCTTTGAAACTGAGCATCTCGTCAGGCGCTTTACGCAGCTCGTCCACTAGTTTAGGTCCAGTAACGATGACATGCCAGCGGAAGAGCTCTGGGACCTTGAAAGCGCGACCTTTGTACTGAGGTCGAGGATGAAGTTGTTTAAATCCCATTTAACAGAACGTGTGACGTGCCTTATGGTAACCTTCTAAAATCAACTCCTTATTGTGCGTCAAATTCTTGATTGAACCCCAGAAGGACAAAATTGGTGTCGTTGGTGTCACTGCAGGGATGTCTGGCAACTGGTGGCAAATCAAAACGAACTTCGAAGCCATCAGGAATAAAGTCGACATACGCTCGATTTAGGAGGCATCAACCATCTGAAGAGATAGGCGACTGTGGCGAATGCCAACAATCCGTACGCCAGCATGCCAGACTCCATAGTGATCAACCAGGCTTTAGAGTTAGATGCGAATACAAGTAGAGAACGTGTGGTCCACCAGTTAAGTTATATGAGGACACTCGTCCAGCGGAAGAACGAGACCGAAAAGAGTCAGCAGGATTGGTGAAAGAAGAAGAGACGGCGCGTAAATTGGAACAGCCTGAGAGAAATGAAACGTGTGTTGCATACCCCACCCGCCAAGATCGATAGTCGTCCGAGGATATTGATCAATGATTCCACCTTTTTAGTAACCGAAAGTAACCATAAGTAGCCGTAAAACATAGCAGGAGGGCCAACCAAATCGCCTTGGCTGCTAAAGCAAAAATTATGAACGAACAAGACATCATCATTATGAAGCCCTGCGAGTCTAAGCATCCTAAATAGTTCGTGATGAATCAGAAGTGTTGCATTTGTGAGAGGATTCGCATGGCTTGAGACAACGTTGACACACGGAACGATCATGACCAGTATAGGAGCTTCTCAGCGCAGCTTTGAGAAAATCATTCAACCATTGCTATTGCAATGGTGTATTTGTTCAACGTCAACTGTTGCGTTGAAAGGAAAGAGCCTGCAGAAAGAAAAAGACAGTCTACTTTCTCGGGGAGCCGCGGCGGGCGGCCGGTCTCTTCCGACTCACTGATTTCCTCTTCCTCATCGCCATCGTCGATGATTGATGTTCAACGCTCAGCCACCGATGATAAGGATACATAGAGGCTCATAGTCCATGGCATACAGAAAACGCGTTGTTATTAATACTCGAAGCTAGCATCTTGCCAGAGCCAGCCACGGTGAGTGTTCAAACGTTCATACTTTGTGGATCTCTCAGACCTGTCCTGATTGACGCTTGCCGTCAAGAATGCACCTATTACTTAGTTGCTGCGCGAGCTTTCCAAAGGTGTTGTTTCAGCAGTAGCCTTTCAGAGACTAATGTGTCTAGCGTAATACTTGCTAATCCCAGGCCTTCCGGGCGAGATCAGGTGGAAATGGACTTCCAGCTACTCCTCATGTCGATCTGAATTTCTTTTACGGGGGCGGACGACTCCAGAAGTGACTCAATTTCATGGTATTGTATCCGCACTTACGGTTTATTTCCGATCTTTCTAGCCAGTCATCATGGTCTTGGTACCAATCTCAGTTCCTTCGTTTTCCGGCAGCATTGTAGCAGAAGTGTCCGAACTCTTATGCGACGACAAAGACACTCTGAACGGTGTATGCATCAGAAGTCATTCAGGATTCAACTGCTCGCTAGCACCTCTTTTACTGCATGTCCATCGAGTTTGAGTGCTTTATCGAGAGCACGTCTATGAAACTCAGATACTAGGCTTGTGCTGGTCTAACGATAATGGCTCGGGGACTTCGCTATTCTATGCATATTGTTCAGGCTTCCTTGTCAGAATCTAGTATCTGGCGTCATGTCCAGTCCTCTAAACAAGGTGCTTCGCTCTAATCTTGAATATTTTACTGTGCTCCAGATCAGATTGGGGTCTTGACTTTTTTGATTAGTGGTGAAGTCTACGACTTGCTTTTCGTTCCACCTCTTCACTTCTTACTGCACCAATCATTACCCGTACAGATCGCAACGTTGTCTCACCTGCCTTTGACCATACTTAGCTTGGGCTCTTTGATATTCGCGCGCAATACTGACGCGTACCTGCGTCTTCCTTGAAAAGGTCTGACTAACTTCAGCTCGCAGGTCAGCAAGTAAAGGCCGCCCAGAATGTTCGTTGTTCGGTGGACATGAGGTGGTTAGTGTGCAAGGACCCGCATGCAATTGCAAATTGCTGATTCAGTTACATTGTCCTATCGATTCTTTGACCTGGTTTTCAACCGGATTTTGGCCAGAAACGCCACCGGCGTTGAACGCGGTGACAGTGGATCGTGACTTTAAAACGTCGCGTTTTGCTGGCCAATTCGAACCACCACCTTCATACCTGCCACCGCTAGCAAGAACGTCCCTCAATCATGCTGCCGACAACCACATTATCCCCTCAAATTCCCTACGATGTATTGATCCAGATATGCGAGCAACTTGGAAATGACAAAAAGACTCTAAAATCGTTGTCGACAACCGCGTCATTTTATCGGTCCCCAGCGCAGCGATCTCTCTTTCGTCGAATTGACATTGGCTCTTCACGGTATCTCCGTGGATTTGAAAGAACTGTCAAGTCCAAATCTACATCCATTGGTTCGTTTGTCCGAGAGTTGGTTCTCGTCGGCCTAAAGCCTGGAGACCCGTGGCTCGAGGACTTCGTCACCCTTGGTAACGTCCTCGATCAGGTCCGCACCGTCGAGCTTTCGATAGCAGATATGCTTACCATTATGCCGAAACTTGGAGACTGGGTCTCGCAGCATGTTGTTGGGCACTTCCCTAGACTTGGCACGATGAAGATCACGACTCCAAATCTTCTTCCGACATCTCAAATCTGCGATCTCCTCTCCGCGTTCCCCCAGCTGAAGCATCTACATGTCTCTGCCGGCTTGTTGTCCGACGACTCCTATCCGGCATTTACCTCGAAATTCACACACAATCTCAAGTCTCTATCTCTCAAGGGTTACAATGCCAAAGAATCGAAGGACGACCCTTTGCACCAACTTGAATGGATCATGAAGCATTCGAAAAACCATGGACTGCAAAATGTCACCTTTGATCTCTTCGATGTCGACATGCGGCTCTGCTCGAAAGTCGCCAACATCTGTGTTGTCAACCCCCAGAAGACCAGGATTATTTTGGATGCTCGTTCTTCAACTGCACCCATCTTTCAGACCGGCGGTACGTTTCCTAGCCATTGTTCCCTCAGCACGTTCTCACTTTGTTCCTGTTTCGTCACCAGGTGTCTCAAGGTGTAATAGGACCATACGTCTGTGCCTCCTCGACCGGCACTGTATCTTAGGTACTCTATTGAAGCTCTCTTACCCCGAATGTGTTGAACAAATCTTCGTGGAGCAACGTTATAGACCTGGCCAGGATGACCTGCTTCGGACTCTAGATGAGTACCTGACGAGTAGACAGGCACTATTTCCTAGGTTGGCCAAGGTCGTCGTCCTGCCAAGATGCAATACGCAAGAGAATAAGAAGGCATTGGCTGAATCTTTGGTTGGTTGCGCAGAACGGGGATTACTGGTCGTCACTGAAGGGGTCTACAGTGGACCTGTCATTTGGAAGAAGAGAATGATGTGATGTGTTCATTGTCTCTGTAGTCTTCATAGTTTACGTGGTCAACTTCGCCTCATTGTATGGCTGCTTCAATGTACCTTCGTTTAATGTCTTCTGTCCAAGTACTGCATGCTGCTTGCGTGTTCCAACATTTCCCTGAGCTATGCCTGGAACTATGTCCTGGAATGTCAGTCAGTATATTGAGCGCACTGACTGACCGCTTTACATCATTATTCGTCATTGACCAGAGCCCTGAAAATTCTTTGTACTATGCATTACGTATAGTTCGAAGACACTGTCATACCACCACAGGTATTCTCTTAGACGACAACGTATTGCGCGGAATACATTTACGTACATAAGTTGATTCTGGAAAGTACAGATATATGAGAATTGAACTACCTTCAGCGTATACACGAGATGTTTAGAGAACAGGATAGGTGTCGTCCATACCCGTAAACAGACCTTCGAGGTACCTCGTTCATAGTGCGATCGAAGGGCCAACGAAGGTCATGATACGGGGGATCTCGCATATCCGCGTAAAGGGTCGGATATGTTATCCAAGAAGTACTTGAATGACGCTTTCTTCGCTTCCATTGCCTAAGAAAGGTTCATACATATGCATCCATAAGCTTATATCTGTGTCGGAAGGAGACGACGTACCGGAACATCATCCTTTTCGACTAAGCGAATGAATTCGTCATGCTCCGTTTCCAGCTACTTGCATATTTAGAACCGTATCGGCAGGAATGGAATACTTTTGATTTCACCTTCATGAACAAGCGGAACAGCAGTTGGGAATCTTGACGGAATCGCTCAATGCCATCAGCTATCTCATTCATATCTGCAGGAAGGTTGATTAGTCTCGCGTTGTCAGACACGAGACTGTTTAGTTCTCGTTCTAGCTCGCGTTTCCTGTTCGTCTCGCGAGGAAGGAGCAAACGTTGTTCAGCTCTCAGTTGACGGGAGCTAAGTCGATTGAGAGTAAACTTGAGAACGGCCCAGGTGAATACCTTTCATGAGCGAGAGACGGGTTATTTGAGAAAGAAATGAACGAGAGAAATGAATGAACTTACAATGCTGCAGGAGATTGCGCTGATAATATGGAAATAATGAAAGAAGGCGAATATTCCCAGCCCGCTTGCGGCAATGCCAAGTAATATGGTCCAAACAAGGTCGCCATTTCTATTGTGATACTGAGTATGCATTCGCCAGATTCAAGATACGTGCTTACGTCGCAAAGCGGGCTTGTTGCCGAAGATGTTCTTCTATCCGATATCGCAATTGTCTCATTTGTTCCTTTTGCTGTAAGTTTCTGTGATTTATACTCTTCCTCAAGCCTCGTGAATATTCTCTTAGGACGTGTACAAATGTTCGCAGGGACTGATGATGTTGACTGCTTTCAATTCGACGGGCATGGGCCGACTAGCAGAAAACCGACATATGACAAGGTAAGCATGTATTTCGAGAGTAAGGGAACATACATCGCGGCCATCCCGGAGGCATTCGAGTTTCTCGTTACTCGATGAATCTGAGCATAGAGAGAAAATGAGGATGTTGCGCCAGTCTTTAGGGGTGCCGAGTCAGTGATTGACACACATTGATGCACAATATATTTACTGTCAATGACGCCACACATCGTACCAGCTACGCGTCGAGAATCCCACAAGAGATCTGTGAACACCTGCAGCATCCAAGTACGAGGTCAGTCGACGCGAGAGGCCCCCGCAAGCCCACAAACCTTGATATGTTGTTCCAACCGGGAAGCGGATGGCGTCTCCAGGAGACGTGACAAAAACTGATAGTTGCTCAACAGTTGCCGGCGAAGGGTGTTTCCTGTAGTGTTTAAACGCTGTATATAGGTACCTGGGCATCAGTATCCACCATACTATTAACATCTCGCAGGGCTCAAATGCTGATCGTACCTGCACGTATAAAGAGTCATCAGTGGACGAGGGTCTCATTGACATCGCTAATCCGTTCAGCTTCCACGATGAGTGATACTTGAGCATTCACCAATGGGTACCTCAATTAAAGCAACGAACGCGTACTATCGGCGTAGGTTGACATAAGGTTTGCCCGGCGGCATGTTAGCTGGATTAGGTGCATCTACCGGCCGAAAGTGACACTCGCGGAAGAAGCTCGGTGTGGAACCATAGATACCGTGGAATGGAACCTGGCAAGCCCTTGCAAGTCCCTCATCTATCTCTCCTTTATAATACACGCTGATCATACACTTGAATCTTGATTCCGAGCCTACTGCAAGTACTACCGTGAATTTGCCTTCAGTCATGGACCAGAACGCAGATGTTAAACGAAGGTGAAGAGTGTCTTCAAGACACTCTTCATCTTCGTGATAACATTTCGAGCACAACCGGTACAGATAGTACGACCCTATGAAATTGTGTTGTAAAATTTGTACTTGACGATCGTAAACAGCTCAGAGAACAAGCTTAATTCCTCGTGCAATGGATATACGTAACATTGGTCCAGAACTGCAGCCAGCGAAGACCCCAATGCTAGAAAACGCGATAAACACTCTTTCATCTCATCCACGCCAGGCAGCGGGACCAGCTGCGGAACAGTACCATTCGATTGGTATCCTTGCGCAAGCAGTGAAGGAACAAGATACTCACGAGCTTGGTATCCAGTGAAGTTGGCCGGCAAGCTATAGATGTTGATCATGATACCGGGCTCGTACTGCAAGTGCACAAAAGGGAGTTGGAATTCGGACGAATGTAGAGATACGCAGAGTTACGTACACCAGTGTAGACACCCGGAATGGAGACGAGAGGTGCGGGAGAACCGCTGCCGCCATTGGCGACGTTGACCTGGGCACAGGCAATGTAGAATTGAGCTCCGCCGTAGTTGGTAGCAGAGTGAAGGGCAATCTGTACGCCGTTCCCTTCAGAAAAACTCTGCCCGTCTACAGATCGATAGAAAGCAACATACGTGCTCTCCTCGAATGAGGTACTGTCCACTGGGAAGACTCTTCGGGATGGTGAATGTGAATTGTTGCATACCTACAAGCACAAAGGTCAGACTACACCAGGAAACTCCAAAACAATAATGCACATACTCGCAGACGGGAAGGTCAACTGTCTGTTCGCATAGGTAGGACCCAACTCCCAGACCTTGAACCAGGTCTTACCCGTTGCCGCCTGTGCAGAGTTGGCCGCTGGGTCAGCCCTCGACATGTAGACGGAATAGTACTGAAATCTTGGTGTCAGTGCAGTTGAAGGACGGTCAGACAAATAAGACGACATACGCCTGGATGGTAGATCGCTTGGTTCTATTAACTTTCAATTCAGATGGTTCTGATACCTATGGTTCTTTCAGATGACGTACCGCTGAAGAGGCTGTAAGTCATGGTGAACTATATCAGAGGCGACAAGACCTACCTTGGAAACCAACAGTGTCTCCTGCAGAGACGGTCGCAGTGCTGGTGCTCGCAGCGGTGTTTTGCATGTCGAGCTCGTAGCAGCGGAACTCCGGATCGTTCACGTTGGTGACCTAGCGCCCCATTGTCAGCATATAGAAGTATAAATTACCACCTACGAGCTTACTGGGCCATTGGAATAATGATTCTCGGTCATACGGTTGTATTGCCAGTCCTAAGAGACAAACATAAGTCATCAAGGGAAACTTCCAGCCAAAAGATAAGTTGAGCATACTGCGCTGACGGCTCCTGAATACAGTGCTCAATCAGTAAGCTTCCGAACGCTTCGCCAGAGAATGATATCGTACCATTGTGAACGAAGCCTGGGAAGGTGTCTGAAGGGAGAGATCAGTCACGAAAATCATTACAATAGGTGGACACATACAGTGTCCCGAAACGAGTGAGACCACCGCGAGTAAAACAGCGAAAGCCTTCATGTTGAGTGCTGCACAAGTAATTGAGATGACTTGAGCTGCCCAGACCCGCGTTGATGCTACTTATACCGGCGTATTGCATTAATAATAATATGGAGAGTTCAGAATCCGGGGAACATGGGGAAATAGGCGATGGAACAACCGAAGTTCATGCCAGAACTCTCTTGCTGATTGATGGGTCCCGAGGAACATCAGTGGAGCTCGACGCAACACCTCCACCTGAGACAATTATGCATTATAAGAAGAATGTAAACAGACCGGAGTGATACAGGTCGGAACGGGATAGGACTGAGATAGAGTCTTGTGGTCTAGCTTGACAATCGTGTTCGTCAGCCAAGCCATTCAAGAAGCAACTTGATCGGAGTTGGTAAAAGCTCGAAGAGACCGAACTACAACCGGTAAGGAGCCACCTGCTCAAGGGAAGGGGATCCGAATGCAAAGACATTCAATGGGACGGAGAAAAAGTTGCAGATTGAACCCGAACAATAACCGAATCACCTATCCGTCCCGGAATGAGGCTATGATGTGAGGGGTTCGCATGACAGGATATGGTAGAAAACCAAGACGAACCTTACTGAAAGGTGTTTTCTCCAGGAAACAAGGACGTCTGTATCGGGCATTTAGAAGATCAGCGAGAGGGTCTAGAATAGTGTATGCGAAGGAAAGTCAGTTTTCAATGCCTAGGTGGTTGCGATTGGATATAATGAACTGAGAAACGTCAGGGTGGATTCGACGTGGGCACTTTGGCTAAGTATCAGAGGTCCTTCACAAAATCTTGGTGTCTACCTCAAGACGACACAATCGTCAGCAATGTGAGAAAGAAATGAGAGACAATGTTAAGACTTTATGTATCAAGTTCCATTCCCGATGAACGATACCAGTACACTTCGCATTCTTGAAGTTAACCTTCGAGTTCCAAAGGACGATCAGTACCCGAGAATCGAGGATACTTGAACGATATAGACAAGGGTCAAGTAGCAGTGATATGTTTTGTTTTTGATATCAACATGCATAGTCTCAGTCAACAAATAGCTGCATGTAAAAACATTATTATGGGTCGACTAGCAGGACTCGACTAGCAGGACTCGAAACAGTTCAAGATGAGGAAAGAAGTCAAGAGTCTGAAGCGCCTATCGCGGCAAACGTCTGCCGGTCTCTTCTGAGTCGAAACTGAGTACTGAAGTACCGAAGCTTGAAGCTTGAAGCTCGAACGTCTTTTGCAAGAAAATCACGTTATACAAGTCTACAAATACATCACAAGTTTCTAGGTCTCTTATCTGAGTAACTATAACCACCTCTTCCACCTCCTCTCGACGGTCCACCTCTCCTCCCATACCCGCCACTCCCACTATTCTCCCTTTTTTGATTCGCACTATTCCTGGTGGATGCACCACCCCTTCCTGCCGGAGCACGAGTATGGGCCTCGCGCCTCTGCTCGTAAGGTCCACCACGAGCCTGGCTATGTCCTCTACCACGAGTCGGAGGACGCGAATCACCACCTACCGAGCGTTCGTAGACAGTCTCAACCCGTTTCTCCTCACGATACCTGTACACCTCGGGTTCTCGACCTCGAGGATTTACATCCATATTCACGTCTCCCGCACTTGTAGTTGCATCCCGAGTGACGTTTCCCGGTCCAGGCACCCAAAGGCTCTGCCTCACCTCTTCTTCCCTCTCCCATACTTGACGTTGTAACGGTTGGTCCTCCCGATCCCAAACCATAAGTTCGCTTTTGCGTTCTTCATAGCTGATTATCGAAGTCTCGACTTTGTTGGGAGGTATGACGATGGTACAGAAATCCCATGCTGCGATGGCTTTGATTCCGTTACGTGGTCTCCAGGTCTCTTCTGCTTGTCGTTCAATCTCAGTAATGCATTCTCGGCGGAAACGCTCCCAGCCGGTCTGTGGGCGGCCAGTCGCAGGGGCCGGAAACCTGTACGATGATTGTACAAAGTGAGCGAATGAGAGGGAGTAAGTTTGTTATAAGTGGTACATACCGAGCGCCAATGTGATTCAGTACAAGCCGTTCAGCACCAATTTGTCGCGCGAACGTTCCTGCCATAGAAGGTGTACTGTGACCTTTCTCGATAGCTTTCGTCTCCACGCTCTCTGCGGTACGGTTCTTCCCTGTCCTACGGTTTGGATCGATATGTGTTGGAATGAATGAATCAGTCGCTTCGTGGACTAAGAGGGAGACACGAGGAAGGGATAGACCAGATGATGAAGGCTCAATCGTCCCGTCGTCGGAGGGAAGGGAAGGTGGAGTATTAACTAGAGGTATGATGCCAGCAGCGTCACTTGTATCGCCCAAAATGACAAGATTTCGGCCTGCAGGCATTGGTCGTCCTTCTTCGAATTCGGTTTTCGGAGGACCAATAACTTCACGGACGACATAACCGATGCAAGGATCTCGGTGCATAATCGGACCTGCATCTATGGCAACCTTCACACGTCCCCCTCCATATCGAACTGATTCCAAACAGATATTTCGCCAGAATCCGTCCGCGTCACAGGGTAGGTCTTGACCAGGAAGCTCACTTTCATGAAGGGTGTCATCGGGATAGGAAGAGCGTGCAGAGGCAGAGGGGCTTTCTCCTGGAAGAAGAAGCTCGTGTACGCAGTATTTATCTTGTGAACGAGTATGTGTAAGAGTTAAGATTGTTCGAATGAAGTTTCGCATCCCGCGTGGCCCAAAGATCTCCACTTTCGGAATAATCGGTTCAGGAGGGTCTGGCATATCTGGAGTGCTTGCTTTTGGCTTTTGTATTCCAAGAACATTTCGAAGCGTGGTTATGATGCCCATCGTATGGTCAGCTAAACGAATGCGTCAGAGTGTAGCACCTTACACCGAAAACGGTTCAAAAACACACCATGCATATGGGTTACAAAGATCTTGTTTATCCTCCCTATACGCAGATACCTTTGGTCACCGAATCGATAAGGCTGTTGTGCAAACTGGCGAACGGTTCCCTCGGCACAGTCAACCACTATAATGCGAGCAACACGCCGTATGAGTATTCAGTAGTCTGGAACCACCACAAACGAGCCAAGATTGGAGACCGTACGTACTCACTCCATAAAGATCCATCCCCCAACGCATCCACAACGAGACTTGAACAATTCCGAGTCTCGGTGGGACCACCACCGCTGGTAGTCCCGAGGAAAGTCACGACCATATCATGCATGGCGTTTTTGTCAAGGGTCCGTCTTGGAATGAATCCGCGGGTTGGCCTTTGCTTCTCGGTTGCAACGGGGGGAGAACGTGGAGAATACGATGCAGAAGACCAAACGAGGCGGGATAAAGAGGGTGCGGGGTAAAGTCGCAAGCGACGAGGAGGTCGGACGAGAGAAGAGACTGGGCACTTCGAGAGCGAAATCTTGACGAGACTGCGTTTTAAAGTACTTTTGACCGTAGAAAGAGCAGGTGGATCTTAAGATAAGCCTTTAAAGTTCGTGGATGACTTGAGCGTTGAGATATTGACAGCTTGAAAAAGGCTCGGGGTCATAAGTAGGCTGTAATAGGAAGATTAGATTAGATGGGACGTCCTGATTAGATCATAGAACGCGCCAAACTTGAAAACTCGAACTTGGAACTCACGAGTCACCACCACCAGTTCACGTTGCTCCCTATCTTTCACGTGTAGTATACATGCACAGAGAGCTTTCTTCTGCGTGAAGCTTTGCCACTATGCAGTCAAATTAGAACATTTTTTTTGCTTGAAGCCCTTGCTATACGCTCTCCTGTTTTCTGGCTTGCTCTGCTGAAGCTTGCTTAGAACGAGTTCGCCTGCCTCTACTCTGCCTTAGGGAGACTAGCCTGAGGCATTGTGTAGTCTTCTTCTATCTCAGTGACATTCCTATTGCTTAGTTTTAACTCCAATCTTGCCCTGCTCTGCTGGTGGTAATCGTACATATCGTCCTCGATAAAGTAATAACCTTTGGACTTGACGATGGGGTTACATATGCAGATTGTCGATTGTATATTGGTGAGTAGCCGTGGTTTTGGCCTTATACTTGGTGCTGTAAGAACAAAATTCGAGACATTTTGATCTCCAATGATTGTGCAAAAGCTCTCCTCTTGCGACCCAAGTAGTTAGTGACCCAGTATTTAGCGTCAACGTCTTTCCGTGTCGAGCTATACACTCGTCCTTGTGTTTAGATCAATTACTTATGCAGGCACCGATCACCCCTGCGCGAAGGAAAGCCATTGTGACCGAGGCTCCTTGAATTTGCCATGTCGCTCCTTTGACCGGAAGTCCAGCAGAAGATTTTTTCTTTATTCCACGTTTTCGTCAAAATAAGTGCATCACCACGTATAGGCTGACCTTGAGACGTTGTTTTACAGGATTCATTATCGTCACCACGAGGTTGCGAAGGATACCGTCTCTGCTTTCAGTACATGCGAATGTGGGCTTGGTTCTCCATCCGGTGCACTACGGATACCAAACGATGGAAGATATGGCGGGCCCGGGTATGCCTTGTCCTGTTGGAATTACTTCATGGATTCTCGGGCTGTTCAATAGTGTGCGCAGGGGGCTCTGGATTCAGTTGTCGCTGCTTACTTGATGGCCTTGTTAACGATGCCTGGGGGCCCTGATATGTCTACGCTCCGTACTTGTCATGACACTTGCGTAATCAGCTGGGGTTTTCGCTACACCGCACTAGGCATGTTTGTGGACGTCAACAGGAATCAACACCCCGATCACACCTGCCGAATAAGGAATCTGGGCCACTCCCTCGTTCTAAAAAAGGCAAAAAGCAATCCATCACTTTTGGGCAGCAATCAACGAGTGGCTCACCGGCCAATTGGCTGCAATCCCTACAATATTTAAGCAGGCGACTGTAGAGCCATGGAGGACCCACCTTCTTACCTCCCTGAACCCTACAGAGGCCCTTCCGACCCATTTTCCACCCCTCCCGAAGTACTTTCGCCCTCCCCCACCCATATTCCCCGCTATGCCAGCCATCCGCCATCGTGAGACACGACTTCCGAATCCGGCGAACGGGAATGGCCACACGGCCGGTGTCCCAGTTGATGTACGTGATCAACCTCTCCTTATAACTGCGAACAAAACACTCAACATGGCTTTTCGCTATAGCCCCATCCTAAGGGTCACGCTTACGAGTGCCCCATATGCCACAGTACCTACACAAAGCAGAAGAAAATGCGCAAGCATATCCGAGCTGAACACACCATACAGCTCCCTTCAGGGTATGTCCATCGCAACCTCGAACGCTTCCACGAATACTCAATTCACTTCCTGTCTTTAGGGGGTTTCAATGTCCGTTCCCCCATTGCCCTGAACGGTTTGTGAAGAAAGACAGACAAAGGTGTCATTGGCACTTCGATACTCAGTGAGTTCGGCCGACAAAGCCCTATCGTGTTTTAACCATTGTCTCCATCCAAATAGCTTAACGATCTGGTGGGACTGTCACGAAACTGTTCCCCATCCCACCGACCCCGGACGAAGGATGGAATGCAAATTTAGGAGTCTCCACTGTGCAAGTGTTACTCATCATAAACACCAAGCACATGTAGAGGCAGAGCACGATGCGTGGGTTCCGAAACGAACTGGCAGAGCTGTTACAAAGGAAAGGCAGATCGCAATGGGAACTTATAAGGCTCCGAAGAGGGTATCAAAGAGATCACGTCTCCGCGCAGAGTCCGAAGAATCGACAGCATCATCTTCCCAATCATCCTCCACATTGCTATCCTCTGTGTCGACCTCTTCGCTGTCAGCGTTTACTGAAGACATCCAGGAGCGTGTTCCCTCAGCCATTGTGGATAGTTTCCAGGAGACTCTCGCATACGACGACAGCGACAGATATCCTTCATTCCCTTCCACTCCCAACGTTCTTCTCGACACCCCCGTCCCATTTAAGTTTGGATACACACATGTTCTGGATTGTGTGGATCAATTCGATTCCTTGAACGCCCTCGAGGACTACTTTGCATTCATGCAGTCACTGACTGCGGATTCACCTTGTAGAATCCCTTCATCAGAGGAGTCCATTTTCTCGCAGCCTGTTCCTCCATCGTTTGCCGACAATCCTTCGGCGTACTTCCATGCTCCAAATATCTTGCAGCCGTTCACCTCGTTTGCGTACCCCAATGAGGTTTATGATTCTGCCCAATCGTCATTCTCAGGCTTCCGCTCGCTCGGTTTCGCGATGGTCGACGCACCCTATGGAAGGTCGTAGAGATCTCATCTGGTATCATTATCTCGGAATCTCTTCTGCCTTCTCGTCTTCTACACATATCTACTTCCATCTCATCCTATTTCTCTTCGTCATCACTCTCAATATCTCCTTTCTCTTCCCCTGGAGTCTCATTTCTCTAGCATTGTCTTTCCGACTTCACTTCCATCGAACTCTTCACATTATTTCTATCATGTATCTATAGCTACGATTTACCGAAAGTTCTCCTTCTTGACTTCGTCCTCTTAGAGCCCTTTTTTCTCGATTCTATTTCGTATTGATTTTCCGGTCCAAGGATAGGAATATAATTTGGAATGACTGTTTGTTGAATATCTCGTGATAGAACCTAAGTTCGAGTGCACAGTAATAGTAAGACCTGTGACAGTCCTTCCATCCGTCGAAAGTCCTTTGGTTTGGTAGAAATAGGTCCCAATATTCAATACTCGGTCTCAAGTTCTGCTATCAGATGAAGGGAATTCACGAATTGCGCTTTTGTTTTGTTTTAATCCATCTACTCAACGCCTTAAGAAACAATTGTCTCCCAAGAGTATGCTGGAGGTTAGAAAATAGCACGGCGAACACCGGCGTGTACTTCGGTGAGGAACGATACGTATCTAATTGCAGTTTGGGTGCAGTTTGTCGGCAGTCTATATCTACATCAGCGAATTCGACTCACCCTTGGTGAAATAGCGGCTGAGCTTCATGAGTGGATTCCATACAGATGCGCGGCATTCTCGATCGCGAATCGGACGTGATCAGTCGAGGACAAGGAAAGATATTAGCTTACTAGAATTTGACAACTGCTACTTCATTTAGCATCCAAGCCCAGGGGTAGGAGTAGGCATAGAGAATATCAGCATGTAGTACGACGTCTAGACATGTTATCATCTTTGGAGGCATCAGCTTGCCTGATGGGAATCCAATAATGTCATTATTCCGTTGAGGTGACGTTTGCAGACCACTATCAAGACGGCGGGGGGAAACATTCAAAAGGAATACGTTATGACCAATCTTCAGCTCGAGAAACAGAGACAACCGACGTCAAGAAAATTGAAGTTCAAGCAGAATTGGGGGGGGGACTCGGAGTTCTAACGTTAATGATATTATTCCTGCTTATAACACTTACAGTAAGTTAGCTCCGTTGTAGGTTGCAAAAGCTGGGTAGTAACTTAACTTAATAGATAATCCAAACTCCGATCGATCGCCGATGTGAATAAATAAAGTATTCCGACCTTGATTACGACGCAATGCTTCTCTACCGTGGCTTTCAGCAGTTCCTCTCCACATGTGCCCCAGTAGAGAGAAAAGATGAGATCTTTCAAACACCCCGATTCGGAGCAAGCTATCTTGGACTTTCTCGGTATGCCAACGTGACATATTGAATCAACGATTGATATACGTACAAAATTCGCATTGCAGACCCTGAGGAGCGAGACGTCTACCACCGCACGAAAGACAGGTTTGAAGGAACATTCTTCATCGAGACGTTCCATCTCAAAAATATCACGGAGAAGGAGACCCTGACCATCCACCGTGACCGAATCGTTAATGGAAAGGCTCATTATCTTATATTTTTTGGCCCTCTCCGTCCCATCGACAAACTTGGCAAGGCGTACGATGTATGGCTAGACACAACACCAGACGAGGAGGCCATATACTATAAATGCGGCTCCGGGGGCTGGGCTCACTGGGAAGTTGCTGCAGATGTATCATTTCCGGGCACTGAACGAGAACCCAGACATCTGATGTTCTTGCCAACTAGACGATTCTCTATCGTCGGTTGGTTTGTCATGCCCGCCCATCATCACATTGCGAGGATCGTCTTGAATAAGAATGATATGGTGAGGTTGGCATACTTAAGCTTAACAGGTATGCATTCCCTTATATTGACCAATATAGTTTCGCTTGATGTTGCCTTTATCTCAGTTCGGCATGGTTTCACTGTGTTTTGCAAAAATTTTCCACCGCCATTATGGTCTTCTCTTGGTCAGACTCAACTCAAACGCCTCCGCTCTCTTAAACACTAAATAATATGTGACACAGACCAGCAGTTGAATCGTATGCGCAACGACGACAACTTGCTGCGATATGTCAAATTGGCCTTGCACAATATCTCCAAATCTGAGTGAGTCCTTCCACTTCGTTTCTGGCTCCGACGTCGCTCAGAATTGTATTGATGCATCAGCATCAAGACCAAAGTGCAGTCTGTGCAGATGAATGCTTTCCCTCTTGAAATGCGATTCGCAGTCAAGGCTTGGACAGACGGCCGTCAACTGCATGAGGCCGACCATGAAACTGGATATAGCCTCTTGGTAATCAACCGTCCTGGTCAACAGAGGATGAATCTTGCCAGATTTCGGCGCGGTAGGGGGAAACCTTGGGACAGCTCGTTTTCAATGCTGTACACATGCACGCTGGATCGTCGTATTCGGCTTGAGGTGTGGTGCAATGTTCTATGGCTTGTCTTGAATTCGCCGTTTGATGTGACCTGCACGTAGTATTCCTTTATTTCAGGTGCAAACAATCAGTCAGCAATACTTCATTTGTTTCCCTCCATGTATTATAAACTTGACGGTAGGTTGCGGTTTTTTTTCCGAGCACGAATTTAATTATTCACTATATTTCCCGCAGGAAAAGCCGTACATATCATGATCAAATTTGAGACCACAGATTCTTCTTCGGCAAAAGGGAAAGGTCTACGTTCATTCTTTGAAGATCTCTTGCCGTTCTTGCTTTTGAGCCATGTTTCAAAGAGGTCCGGTTCATCGATTCTCGACAATCTTCATTTCGTTAACTTCCCTGACGAACTTCGTAGATTTTGCCTAGAGCCTCTATGGAACACGATGTATCGAAGTGCAGCAGACACCCAACGCAAATCCTCACATCTTGCCAGCGTCCAGGAGAAGCGTCTGAACGATGAACTTGAACCACAAGAACACAATGACGAAGAAGACTCACCCAGACCATTCGGTAACCGAGTAAACAAATTGCACAGCGATTCCGAGTATGTGCCATCAGACGAAGATGACAGCACACCTAGCTCGCAGCGTAGGAAACGGTATCCTCTTCGTCATTTTAAAGCGATTGTCATGGACAGCGATTCAGGCTCCTGTGGGTTGATCCTTGGAGCGGCTTGTTGGTATACTCACTAATTCAAGACCTTTCAGATTCCGGTGACAATCGCGACGAGATTGCATCTAGTCGAGGACAAAGAAATACACCTACTCAAGACAATCCTCGCGCAAGTTCCCACACTCCAACACCATCAAACACAAGCTCTACTCGACCAAGCTTAAGCGTAATACGAGCCCTAAAATCCAGGTCATCTGCTTCCAAGACAAATCTAGCCAAACAGGCTACCCAAGAGAACGACAAGGACCAATCCAACCGCAATCACCAAGGTCCAGATGAGTCTCTTAAAAGCTTAGGCGGTCAAGCAACACTTGGTGTCTCAAGTCATGCACGCAGTGAACCACTGGTGGCCGAAGTAGCAAAGCTAAACGATGATAGGGAGCATAATGATGAAACCAGTGAAGGTAAAATACGAGGCGATGATGTGGGGCCGGCCTATGATCTTACAATGGAGAATCAACGCCCCGTCGACGGGGATGCGCAATTGCCAAGTTTGGATGTTGATCGAAAACCAAATGTCCAGGAACTGGATGAATGTCACTTGTTATCCGCTGTATCTCTCCAAGGAGCAGGGAGTATCGATCAGCCTATCGTCATTGACGACGATGAAGATTTGAGGCCTCTTTCCACAGGTTTGGGGGGCCCTCTCGTTGTAAATACCGCGGGGTCGGCTCCCTCGGTAGGCGGCGCGTTGGGTTATATAGCACGCAGTCCACTGGTCGACGATTCTATGCATGTCGAGCCTACTCCTGACGCACGGCCGGAAACAATCGTTGAAAGCAACCAAGACCCTTTGACAATAGCCAGCTTTTTGGTCAATTCCTCTGACCTCGAAACCAGTGTTCAATCAAACGGGCCAGACATTACAAACAGTGATGCTCCCAAAGGTTTGATTATAGCATGCGGGTCTTCTTCTGGCTCTGTCAAAACCGAAGACTTGACTGAAGATAACTCGGGGGGGGGGGGGGGGTGGCACGGCTCGTGCCAGCTCGTCGCGTTGAGGTTGATACGTCACTTGAGGATACACATAGCTCAAGGCCTGACAAACGTCAGCTTGTATCGTCGAACTCAGGGGAAGGCAATGATGACGTTGAAGACATCAGACCTCCAAAGCGGTCTCGGCCATCCCCCCTTCAGCAGCCTCCCCCGAAATCAGGCACCTCTGAAATGACTCGTAAAGATTTTCTGATTGCGATCTACCTCGAAGACGAACGATTTGATATACAGAAATCAAGGTTTCTACGTCATTCGGAGTCGTTCTCGCGGGTTTTCACACTCGACCATGGCGTTGATATAGGAGCATCTACGCCAGTGGGACCTTGGAAGTTACTCTCGGAAGATTCTGTCCGTATAACTGGGGTCTCTGCTGCGGATTTCAGGAGTCTTCTAGAGGCTTTGGATGATATCTAGTAAGTTGATCTTATTTCACCGGAGCCTGCCGTTCTGATTTTCTGTAGCGATTTCATGTTCGACACGCCTGCATTTCCCAAGCTTGCATCCATCCTTCGAGCATCCACAGTGCTTGGTTTTACGAAAGTGACGAGATTCGTCGTGAATTGCCTGGAGCATATGTGGCCGTCAGATTTGTCCCGCCTTTCTCACACTCGAATACCCTATGCGATCGAAACAATCGAGATAGCTAGAAAGAACGATATACCACAAATTCGCAAGCGAGCCTTCTACGAGGTCATCAAAGCCGCATACCACGCGTCCATTCAAGATGACAGCTTCGGTAACATGCTGTCCGACAAGGATCGTCTACTGGTTTATAGAGCTCAGGCAATCTTCCAGAAGGAGTGGATGATGATTGCTAAGGCCGCGCCCCACACACAGTGCGATAAGACTCAGTCAGCCGGGAGCTCAAGCTGTTGTGCACAACGAGACATCCGAGTTCAACACTGGTCCGTGCTGGTTACGGAATCACCTGTTTATGACGAAGGGGTGAAGGATATTTTCTATGGTCTTGATCGTCTGTCGTCTTTGGATTGGTCCACCCAAGGATGGTGCACAGTGTGTACCGAGGATTGGAGAAGAGTCCTAGAGCAGAAAAGGATGACGCTTTGGTCTGATTTGGACAGATATGTTCAGCAAGGATAACTTGTTATGTTTTACCCCTTGACTGTAGTGACCGTGGAGAAAAGACACCGACCCGTTCAAGGTTGCGTCTGAGGTTCTCAAGTTAACCTAGGCTTCTCTCCGTTGTTCCTACAAGGCAGCTTCAATCTCTTATGGAACACATAAGTTAAACATGGGGGTTATGAACGAATGAAAGAGAGGGCACTGAGTAAGGGGACAAGCTGACTTGAGGTTCATCACGATCCTTGTCTGTGACTCGGAGCTGCTCTTCACGAGTGTTTTCTGGAATATCCTCCATGGAGTTGTCCATCCCATTTCTGACGTTCTCGTGGAGAGCCGTTTTGAATAATTGAGGTACCAGCCGAAACAAAGAGGCTGAGTGTCATGAGTGTTGTTCGAACCTGTGCCAACTCGTGTAAGTTACTGTAATTTCGGTACTTTTTGTGTCCGTTTGAAAATGCAATTTGACATGTTCTTTCAGTCTTTATGAAAGCCAAATGAACATTATATAGCGTATAAATGCGTGATGATACATCAAGGACCATTGGAGGTTAACGTTGCGTAGGTGCGTTATAAGACATCGAAAGAACATTGCACAGACATTGAAAGCAAGCGTAATAATTGCGTGGAGAGCAGGAATAGAACAGTGACAAAGACAGCCGATTATAGGACGAATGAGGTATCGAATGATGGAGCACACCGATAGGGTAAGAATGGTAAGGGTAATATTTGTCCAATGAAAAAAACGAAGCACTGAAATGAACCGGAGTACAGATGAAAGTTCCGGGAATCGAGAACGAAAACGAGTGACGTATTCATCAGTATGACAACTGAACGAGACAGAAATGCATCCCGACATGTGCAGGCAAGTTCAATCCACTAGTCGTCTCGCGGCTAGCAGATCTCGAAGTTCCGCGATGCATTCATTACATCTAGCATGAACTTCCTTGGCGTTCTCCAGCAGCGGACGAATATTCTCTGGAGTCATCGCCAACGAGATGTTCATCCCTTCCGACGGAGACATCGAAGGCGGTAATGCACCGCCCTGTAGTTCCGGACTGTGCCCATGCCCTTGGGAGAGCCAAGTCTGAGGAGGAGCGGAACGAACTGAACCTGTCAGCCCTGCATTCCGTTTTCCTCGAGAAGGTGGGCGCCTGGGACTGGGACTAGGAGCGCCAGAGCCACGGCTCTTCGGTCTTGAAGACGAAGCTGACGTTTGCCGAGATTGTCGCTCGGGAGGATGAGCGTCACTGTGCTCCTGAACGTCGGAAAGCTTGATTGAGCGAGCTTGAGGTGCTTGACTGTGTGCTGAAATGGGAGATCGTAACGAGGCTTGATTATTAGAAGACGACGTCTTCTGGGGAGATTCCCCGCCGCCACCCCAAATGGATGATTGACTGGCATTTGGAGTCCGTCGAGCCTGCTGTAACATGGCATAGGGTGACTTTCCTTTCTTCCCTCTGACAGTCGAAGCACCCTCAGCACCTGAACCAAAGATCGCCCGAGAAGCTAACTCGAGATCAGACGCGCTATCCACTTGGTCCCAACCATCTTCAGCATCTTCCGCTGTCGTGTTGCTACTTCCATGACCTGAACTGCTCGGAGGGCAAGAAGGGACATCCTCAGCGGACAACTGCAATTCACGTATTCCTGACTGAGGGCTCGGTTTAGCACTCACGTTATTTGAGTTATCTGCTAGGCCTGACGACGAAGATCCCGTCTTGTGTTTCTGACCTAAACGAAAGATAGACGCGAGCGACGGTCGTCGAGGAGATGACTTATGGCTGAGTGAAGTTGGTCCTGTAGTAGCATAGGGCGAGTTTGGATGGTACTCTCGATCCCGGAGGGACTTCATGCTCTCAGGACCCGTACTCGTCTTTGCTCTTCTCCGCTGTATAAGTGACTGTGGTCTCGGTCCTTTCCCAGGTTTGACAGTTGGCAAGTTCAATGATGAATCCGTACTGGCAGAGACACTAGTTGAACTCTGTGCAATACTCAACGGCGGCGGCGTATGTGCTGGTCTTCCATTTTGAAGAATCGGCAGCTGCTGTTCGGTATGACTCTTCTTCAGAGACCTGAGCATGTCTCTAAGGCCTCGCATACCAAAATGACTTCGCCGTTTCTTCATCGGTGAAGAGGATCGTGTACCTGAGGCCGATCCAAGTTGGGAAGACTCTTCGCTTGGAAGGGTGATAGAACTGCTCATCGCATCTCCCCATTTCCAATGCCTATTCACATCTTCCTCGGGTATGTCCATATACATGGACGAGTCTGACGTGATCATTCCGCGAAGGAGAAACAACTGTCTCGTACTGAGATCTGACCTTCCCGTTGAAGCTCTCCAATGTGACGGGTTCGGAGGACTAGCCAATGGAGGCGCCATACTGTTCGAATGGATGGTAGAGCTGCTAGTCGAAGATGGGATGCCGATATCTGGTCGTGGTTCGTCACCGGCAAGCGTAATAGCTCGATCCCGACTCCCCCGAGGCGTACCCATGTTCGCGTTGCCTGGGGGAGAAGTAGAGCCGGAAACTGCAGGAGTGCCACCACCTAATTCAATAAGCAACTCGGCACATTCCCAGCTAATGCGATATTTTGACTGAATAGAATTATACTGAGAGGCAAGCTGCCTATGACTCGATGCAGCGTTCATCGCATTCGCGGAGGTTTGTGGATTTGTATTAGACCGAGCGCGTGAAGACGGTCGGGGAAGGTTAAAGAGCGTAGGTGAAAGTGCACGAGGTGGAGGAGTCGGGTCTGGCGGAGCCGTGCTAAGGAGTAAAGCCTGCACTTCAGTCACAAGCGAAGTATATGTTGACTGCAGCTGCTTCAGCTCTAGCCAACGCAAGTCAAATCAACATAAAGTCGTAGTGTGACAAAGAAAGCAAAAAGAAAGGACTTACGTTCAACACTTGTTGCGAATTCCCTAACCATCCCCAAATCCCTCCTCAGCCCCACCTGGGCTTGGCTAATCCTCGCAGGGATCTTCAAATCGCCTAACGAGTTCCGCCTGGGTACAAACCCACTAATCACCTCTTTCTCTTTCGGAGGTAGTGCCGATCGGCCCAGGGAAGCAGTTTGTTGAGGGGATCCGGGAGCTTTGGGACGGGACGGAGAGGGTAAGGGTGTTGGAGAGGCCTCATCAGAGGACAATAACGAGTCGATCCCTCGGACTGAAGCTATGGGCTCGGAATGGGAGGATTGTAACGTTGTAGGTGATATGCGTGCAGGTGAAGGTGGTTGTAACTCAATCGGAGGAAGCAAGACACCTTCCACGCTCGGACGTGACTGATCCATACTGGGTCTCGTACGCGTTGAAGGACGAGGAGTCGCATCGTCACCCCGGTCTGGTGGAAGGGCTGGTAGGACTGGTACAGCAGGAGTCGAAGCCGAAGATGTAGAAGTTCGAGGTCGAGTCCTCTCTCCGGATCGTTTCTCCTGCGCCGGCTCAGACATGCTTGGGGCGCTACTCTTTGTCCGTTTATGCTTTGTTGTAATACTGATCCTTCGTATACCACCCATGAACCCTCTACTTCCATAACCCTCCTCCTCGATCCTAGTCTTGGCAAGATCGTCCACACTAGCAGACGCAGATCGATGTTTCGACGATGAACGACTTCGTCGGCTCTGATGATTCTCACTTGCATGCCTTGATGACGTCGGTCTCGACTTCCGCATATCTGACGAGGATGGTGGGATTTGCATACTCGTTGGCCGTCTAGGTGTCCCGAACACGATGGTAGCCCCACTATCATGGTGTGTATGGCCATTCTGCATCATCACATCCAAGTCCTCAGGCAAATCAGCGTGTTTCGCTTTACGTCTGGATGGCGTTACAGGATCACCGGGTGCCATTCCAAGTAGCTTATCCACGCTCTTCTCATGCTTCAACGGCGTGGACGGCCCCGGCGGCGATTCTGCGCCGCCACCACCATGCCGAAAAAACCAGCGCGAAGACGTGGATGGTGGCGACCCTGGCACAGAGGATCCTTGCGGTGTTTCCTGCAATGCAACCTCAGAAGGTTCGGTGCTCACGCGCTTTCGGCGTGCTGCCCCAAGCCTCTTGCCTACAGAGCCAATTCGGGACACCAGTGACCCTCGAGTAGATGAAGTTGTCTCCACTATGGGGGCATCAGCATTGATGGGCACTTGAATCGGCTGGGTGTGTTCCCGTGGCGGAGTTACTGGTCTTGCTGCCAGCTCAACGCGGTCGTCTAACTCGTATATGTTATCATCTACACGTGGTGGACGCGATTTCTTCCTTAACCGTCTCCTTTCGCGTTCCCTGTGAATCGGCGGGCTTGGTGGAAGCGCGCCAAATGAGCTGCCAGAACGCGTCGGACGGAGAGGTAGGTGTGCTGTAGATGAATAAGTCACTGACTCGGACACGGGGACACTAAATACACTTGTTGTTGGGGATCGTGGAAATGGAGCTGGCTCCTCTGGGTGAAAGGTCGGAATAGGTGGTACGGGTGGTGGAGGCGTATCACCCGGAAACAAGGGCGCGCGTCTGCTGCGGGAGGTGACGGTACGGTCCTCCTCGCGATCTCCAAATCCAAACTCGCCATCATCTGAGGACGAGGACGACCAGCGAGCGGACTTGCCAGAAGGCGAATCCACTTTGGGCTCGAATTCATCATCCCAGTTCTCTACACTCTGCCTCATGCGCGATCGCCGTGAACGAGGAGAAGTGTTGTGCGGGGGCGATCCTGTCTTGTCTTGAAAGTCATCATCCCAGTTCTCTGTCTGTACTTGGGGTCGCTTGGTGGGCGTCGAAGGACCTGGCTCGGCCCAGTGTGTGAGGGTATTGGTGCGGTCCTTTGACAAGGGCGTGTGCCTGCGCGTAAGCGAATCGTCCCAGTCTTCGTTCTGCTGGGTGCTTGTCGTAGAGCGTCGTGTGGGACCGTTACTGTCCTGTTGGAATTCAAAGTCATCGTCCCAGTTCTCGGTGGAATCTAACCGCACGTCAGTCTCCGTTTGACGAGAGAGAACAGGCTAACGCTAACCTGGTGTAGCATCGTCGCGCAGAACGGCCATACAGCCGTTGTAATTAGCGTAGGAGAGGATTGGAGGTCGTGGTGGTCAGTGGCAAAGAGCAAGCTCGAAGACAACCCAAGCCAGGTCAACCTCTTCCCCGCGCGTCCAAGTTCGGTTTGCTTCCGTACCGTCCTTCCAAGCGATCCCAAGCGCTCACTCTGCTTCACCGCGTCCTTGCCGGCCACTCTCAAGTAACTCGCTTCGTCATGAAGGGTGGTACAGTGGCCTCTGGGACACATAAAGCACTGTGAAGCTGCCCATTGCATATCAGCTTTGCCCAGGGGCGCTCGCCTAAGCTCTCACAACGCTTGAAAGTCGATAGGTTCGTTATTTTCTAAATACTCAGGCGGAATGCGGGAGCCAAACTGACAACGCAGCGTTATTCACAATTTGCGGAAGGACAGCACTGTCTAGTGACAGAAGGGCATCCCCCTCCTTCCACTTTTCCTTCTACTCTTCCTTCCAATCCAAAACATACCGCGTTATCATTTTGTCGGATCGTAGCTTTGTCCAATCCTTGCTACGTGGCCTGATGAGTTCGTTGATGCAGACGGCCTCAGTGCTTCCTCGACTCAACTAGGAAGCTAGTATTTATTCGATCCTTTTTGACTTCGGCAAGGAGGGAGAGTTCCTGCGATTGCGACACGATGGTCGGGCCATCTTGGCATCCAGCAGCTTCAAACAAGTGACTCCCAGATCTAGAACGATTACTCAATCAACCAGATATGTCTTCGAATGTTCATCGAAATGGTTGTGGAATCTACCCCGTCAACCAGCCCGATTTTACATAGCACATCCTCCTACAAAATTACACTGTTGGTGTCTTCAGGAGAAATTAGGACCGGACTAAGACGTCGTGCTGAGAGTCTGCATCGGCCATGAACAATATTCTCCAACGAATCCGAGGATGTGCATTTTGCAGGCTTGTTCTCAAGTTCGTTGCTAATTGACTATCACCTGGAAAAGACGAACTAGAGAAGCTTTGGGTTCCACCGTCTTCGCAATCTACGGACAATTCGTTCCTTTTCGTTAAATCGTACTCAGACATGTAGCTCTAACTCTTTATCTTTTACGTCATCCTACAAGGAGTATACACCTTGGCACGATGAATGTGGACACTATCCCAGATCCTTACGTCCTACCCACGACAAAATATGTAACCAGGTTTTTCGAAGTTAGAACCTGTATTACTGTACACGCAAAGACCGAGACCAACGAAACCAATAAACCAAAATGAGACTGGCAATCAAAAGCAGAAGCTCTAGAAATACAAAATGTAGAAGAGGAACTGTCGATACAGTGAGGATATAGATGCATGATAAAATGGTGTGAATAAAGATACGATGCAGGTGAAAGGTCCGAAAGATAATGTCAGTGAGATGAGACGGGGACGGAGAGATAGAGACCAAAGAGCAATAAGATGAGATGAGCGGGGAGGAGATCGACAGTGCTCAGAAGTGAGGGAAAGAGTCTATGCAAGATGCAGCACATCTAGAACCCTCCAAAGGGTGCTTCGGGAAATGCAAAACCGAGGTCGGACGGGAAAGTTGGCGGGAACGGCTGAGGTTCATGATAGCCAGAACTGGGATAATCAATCGCAGAGAAAATCAGCGAGGGATCGGATTCTTGAAAGCACGCAGAGGGATCATTGCCGAACGGTGGTGTCACAGGTTGCGACCACAGGGACTCGTCCTGGAGGGCATTGTAGGGAGCGTCTCCAGCGTGGGGCTGTATATACGATAGGTACTCTTCGAGTGTCTGGACAGGATCGTCTTGCTCGACAAGGTTGGGCGCAGGCGCAAATGTGAACTCGATTGGGTCGGGTGCATCAACATGGAGATACGAAGTCGACGATGTCGGAACGTATCCCTCGCTGTCATCGTAAGCAGGAGACCACTGGACACTTTTCACGACGGCTGAGGGGATGTCTGTCCAGATGTCTTCGGTAGAAGAAGCAGACGCACAGGAGCTTGTCCAGGTGGAAGTTTCGGAAGAAGAAGACATTATCGATTCTTCAGACTCGGCGCGACGAAGCTTCTTGTTGGGCTTCTTATTCGGAGCTGTGTGAAGGCCTAGCTTCCTTTTCTTCGTGATAGCTCTTCCCGTATCTTTTGGAGACCAAGTCCCCGGATGCTCCCGGTGTTTATGACGGTTGAGGGACTTAGGGTGGGCACTTGCCCATGTACATTTCACCATCTTGTTTGGATCTGAGGGATCAGGGATATATTGGTCGCATATCTCGTCTTTAATGCCAAAACTTTGAAGCATCAAGGGTAATGGTCAATACAACAGACACAACAGATCTCGACGAGTTAAGTGAGACTCACTGATTTTTGTAATGGATAAGGCACGTTGTTTGTGAGGTGAAGGTCTCGCCACATTTTGGCTCTGGGCAGACAAACTCCCTATCAGAAGAAATTAGATTGAGCACCAATGGCGGAGACCTTCGAAACAGACATACTTTGACTCTAGCTGTTTCTTATGCTCACTCCGGATATGGGTCATCAAATCTCTTGATGTTGCATGAGGAAGGTGGCAAACAGAGCATACACGGGTGTAATCGCATGTGCCGGGCTGAAATGAGCATAGACATCAACGTCATATTCACGATACTGGCCCACTAGTGAGAAGGTCACCACATACCTTGGATTCTGGCCCCGCAGGAGTAGGAGCCGCGTGGCACGGGTGGCTGGCCGCATTGGGAAGTCGTGTCTCACGAGTGCGTACGGGTGGCATAGCGGGGAATATGGGTTGTGGAGGGCGAAAGTACTTCGGGAGGGGTGAAAGAGGGGTCGGGAGGGCCTCTGTAGGGTTCAGGGAGGTGAGAAGATGGGTCCTCCATGGCTCTATGGTGGCCTGCTTAAATATCGTAGGGATTACAGCCAATTGGCAGGTGAGCCACTCCTTGATTGCTACCCAAATGCGGACGACGGTTTGGCGGATTGCTTCGCCAAGCCCTAGCCGTTTTTGGAAGGAGGAGTGGCTCAGGACAATGCCGGGTGGCGTGGTGAGCCACTCCCTGCCTGCCGAGTGGCTCAGATTCCTGAGAGGGCATGGCGGTAGCCTTTTCGAGTAGGTATGATCGAAGCTTGCCACTCCTGTGGACACCCCGATGACGCCGAAGGATGGTATACAGTCGGAGGTCGACAGAGAGTCACCTAAGTCCCGCAGCGTTAGAGAGACAGAATTCAGGCAAATGAATGGCGTCAATGCATGAAAGTACGGAGTGATTCCTTAGCAAAATTTCGACTGTACAATTTAAGGCGGCACGACCATTTACGACGTGCAGGGTATCGAGCAGAAATCTGCGTTCATCCCGAATTCAATGCTGTGACTACAAATCGTGAATAGACAAATAGAATCAGTTCGTTTGGCGGAACACACCTTTGGCAGCCTGATCAAGTAAAGTAGAAGAATATTCAAAGTACAGTCCTCAGGTATATCGGTGCAGACACTGGACATTAGAGTACATCCAGGTGTGGCAAGGTATCTTCGTTAGTAATGAGAGATCGGTAAGGGACCAAGTTCTACGATCCGTTCGTGAAGCACTTATCACCTATGAATCAAAGTTCGTTAAGATGGAGGGGATAAATAACAAGGCAGCAATTGCGCGAGGATTCCAGTATCTTGAAGTCAGAGTATGTGACAACTTGCCCAGTGAAAACCACAGAACCAGAAGTGGCCATCGGAGTTGATTTCAGGGTGATGAATGGAATAATTGTCTCCCTCTGTAGTGGCTGAATCCGAGGCCAGATGCAGGACTTTGAGGCAATGACTCAGGCGGTCATATACGAATACCTGGCTTCAGGTCTGTTGAACCGCCTACGAAGAAGAAAAGACGAGACTAGGAGCAAAAGAAAATGATAACGGTAATCATGTAGTAGAAAGGACTGCATGAGGGGGAAGGTGAGTGTATTAGATAGTTATTCAAACACCGAAGACGTTACACACCAGCGACACGCCCCGATTCTTCCTTGATCACTTGAATTCACTCTATTTCATCGGAACACGTAGCTCTGAGCAACGGCATGGCCATAAGACGAAGAGACGAAGGTGCAGATTGTCTAAAGCGAGGAATTTGCTCGAATTCGGTGCCTGAAAAAAACACAGGTTGAAAAGATAATCGAGCTTGGACAGACAAGCGACAGAACACGGCCTGGATTCAACGACTGGTGTACATGCATCACAAAATAGCAGGAGGAGTACCGACTTAACGTTTCCCTAGATAATATACAGGTAACAGAGACAGGAAGCAGACTCCACGTCGGGTTGGCCAACAGGACCCCAGCGTTTCTGCGATCGATCTTCCCGCCTGCGAATTCTGAGCTCCCGCTTCAGGGTTGTGTAACATGCTACATTCGTACTGGATTCTCTAAGCGATCTGCGGAATGTTGATATCCTTATGACAAATGTCTTGAGCCAGCAGTAGCGAAAGGACCACCTGGATGACAACATCAAGTTCGACGTTATAAGGCATCGAGCGATCCGCCAGCGTTTGGCAGATGGTATACAATAAACGGCAGTACATACAAGATACGAGCTCGAGTTCATGTATTCTTGTCAGTGTTTTCAGCCAACCCTTTGGCATCCGTTCATCTCATCGTTTGAGGGTCGTGTTACGAGTGATCCGCGGCAACTATCGTGACTGCTAGTCAGAGTCGCGGTCATACTGGTCTCAGCGTCTTCACGGTGACGACTGCTGTCAGGCGAAGGAGGGTTTTCCGGGTGGCACATTTGCGTTGACAACCGCCATCGTGATTGTATGTCACATAAAGCAAGCTTACTTTATCGTTATCTAGCCCATTATATCAAGGACTCTTCTTCTTCGCTTCCATCCGTCAGGGCGAGTATGGAATCCAAACGATTCCAAAATGCCTCTCGTTTTCTCCCCCACATGTCTTGCTTTGCAGAGGCACACATCATGCAATATCCACCCTGCAGCCAATCAAGCTGCCCAAGGCGTTTCAGTCCTTCTAGAGGATCAAGAAGTCCATCCAGAAGGATGCCCGATTGTATGACAGTAGTTTCCCAGTGGTTATAACGTGCAGATAACGGAAGACAAGATTGCCTTGCTTTCGGAATGGTTTCATCCGTGGTATTGTCCTTCAACGCGCAATTACGAGGGCTGAAGATTACGTTCGCCGGATTTGCAGTGGCCTCTATCCAGTTACGCTGCAACATCTCCCGAGCGCGAAGAAGTCGGGAGATATCCTCGCCACGTATGGGACTTCGTACTTCGAAAACTTCAGGATCTTCGAATCCCTCGACATCGTCCAACTCTAGCCCAAACGAGGAGGTCCGTAGCAATTCATATAGAGCACGCTTGCGTATAACAGGAAGGTTGCATGTTTTTGCCAAGTGTACCGCTTTTATAGCGTTGGGAAGCTTGGTGGAAGAAAGGCTCTCGAGGTCAGGAGACCAAAGGTTGCTGATGGATCGTCTCGCAAAGGCCGCTGCTTTCTCAAATCCTAAAATCGAGCAGGCTTGCAGTATCGAGGCTAGGATCTGGAATGGAGGTGTTTCAAATCCGTATGGGCTACCGGGGGGGATAGATAAGCACAGCACACACGAATGCTAGTGAGAAGGACTTACAATGCCTCATCCATTGCCCTAATGACTTCCGCGAAGTCCGTGGCCTTGATTCCGGTAGAGTTAATAGAGATAACAGGACATCGCTCTACAAAGTCCACCACAGAAGATTTCGTGTCCATGCGTTCCGAATCTTCCAGTTCGAGGTCCCTTTCTGCAAACAGGCAACTAAGCAATGGAGATTCCTTCTCAAGCTTTGAGCGGTGTAACCGGAAAAGTATATTTTCAACTTCAATCACAACGCTACCGTCGGGATACCAGAAATCGCGATGACGTTTACGGTTCAACTTCTCCAAAATCGAAGGCGGGCCTTCTAAGCGTGGACGTTTGGTGGGTCGTCCCGGAAGCTCGTCTACATCTTGAATTGTAGAAGATCTCTCCCGTGGCGGGTCGACAAGTGACATAGTCACGGCATCAGGTACAGTGATGCCGGGGATCGCGACCCTCGTACCTAAGTTAGGTTTTGAAGTTACGTCAATGCGTCGAAATTGCCTCTATGTGAATAACACGAACTTTCCGAATCAGCAGCCGATGCCTCAGAAATAGTAGTCCATCCTGTCTTCTTTTCAGGTCCGCTGGATACACTGGCTTCCCTCCTCTTTGCTTTTCTGCTGTTTCTGCCAGACATGATGGAGACAATGATGGCAGTGAGTTGCAGAGTCAAGATGGCTGCCCACTTGCCGATCTGCCCTGTGATATCAATTCTTATCATACAAGATCATCTCATCTATCCAACCCTAACCACCCTTCTCAAACACTTTCTTTCTCACCTTCCTGTCCTATCATGCCCTCCTCTACTACAACACCTTCTGTATAATATTATGTATCATATGTGACATCTTCCAGAATGAGATCATCCTCAAAGTAAGACCAGCTTCTGAAATAAACCAACTATTTCCCATCCTCGACTCACCTTTACTCCTCACCTAACCAACTGAATCTGCATGCAGGTTTCATCCATCCCATATTCAGTCCAAGTAATAAAAGCTGTTGGAATATGGATGAAGCGGCGAGCGTCGCTGTGTGCAAGGAACGAGAGGAGCGGGACGGAGTCCCGCATACTTGGCGTATTTTCGTATATAAGTAGTTTATTTATCTTTGTACGTACCTTATCCGTTTGCCTCAGAGCTCTACGAGGTCAAACGTACCGACTCGCTTTCCTCCCTCGCGACGTGTATTTCAATAAAAGCTACTACATCTCCAAGCAGGTCGATGCTGAACCTTAGTCGCGTAATATTTGTATGAGTAACTAAGTCAAGTTTGAGCAAAGTGGTAGACACTAAACGGGGTAGTAGGGTGCTCGATGCCTAATGGAAAATTGGGCGTCTAAATCGCTTTGAAGCTTCGGTGCAAACGTTCAAATGCAAGTAAACTTCAAGTTGTCCTCTCGTGTCTCTCCGTGTCTATGCATCTTTTGCTGCCTCGAGTTCTGTTCTAGCATTGTTCATCATAATCCGTCACTGAATATCCCCTTATTGTTCGGTGATACTGACGTTATGCGGCGGTGTCTTTAGTCTCTATCTCCACGGGCCGCTTTGATTGTTTTTGTCAAGGTTTGACATGGCATTCAATTCGCAAAGCCTGTTAAGGATCAATCGACTCCTTGGGCCTTATAGACAAATTCATCAGAAGTGGTTGCGTAACAACCATAAGTCTCCCATCGCCTCGAGGTGACTAATGATTCTTCGAACAGAACATATGACCGTCCAGAGGCTGAATCTTCCTGAGGTGTGGCGTAGGGGTATAAATCCGTTCGGTGCTCTTTTATCGTCCTCCTCCCTGGAGTCCTCCTTGTACCACACTTCTTTATCATTCTCCTTTACTGCGACGCCACCTCTCGTTCATTTCATTCTACACATTAAAGTGTGATGATGGCAGAGTTAAACGTGCTTTTGACTGCAGCCCAATTCTTCTACTCTCAAGTGCAGAAGGCAAAGTTGAACACAGAAGAGTGTCGGCTGTTGGCTTCTCATTTGCTCGACATACATAAGCTTATCAGCTCGCAATGCAAGAACAATCTGTCTCCGGAGTTGTCACATCATCTGACCGGCCTGGCAGGGTACATCGTCCAAATTCTTTCGCTCAACTTAGCTTACGATCTATTTCAGGTATATATCCGAGCTCACCAACACCCTCGAAAGCTTAAGGGGCAAGTCGTGGCTTAAGCGGTTTTTCTGGGCCGATGATGTCTCTCAGCGCGTCAGGTTAGCTTATCGGCGTATAGACAATACATTGAAACTCTTGGAGGTGTGTAACTCAGCTTAATTTTCGTGGCTTCACTGATTGTCTCGCCTTAGCTTACCTCCAGATTGAGGACGCCACAATTGCTGCATCAGAATGAAAAGGCACGCGTGGCTGACAATCTGCAAATCCGTGCTACTCTGGAAAAGCGTTTGGAAGATAGCGACGCTGTTCTGAAGGTACATATACACGGTCACAATTTGTAATCTCTCACTCAGACTCCATCCGATGCAGCTTTTGGGAGTACGAACGAATGAGATTCCAGAAGCCAAGATAATTCTTCAAAAGGTATTTCAGTCGCGTTTACCCGAAGTGTTATATTAGAGGCATTCTGACTATCGATTTAGCTTATACAACGATTACCCAAGTCTCCCGAGAAGCGTTTCTTCGAGCAGGGTTTATACGCCTTACAGAGTTGCTCAGGACATTTCGACTTGGAAGATGTTGACGAATTCTCAATCACGTCTCTTGAAGTACTCCGTTCATCCAAGCATCTCGGGACTGGAGGATTCGGTGTAGTATCCTTAGGCAGGTTATACGGAATGAAGCTCGTTGCCATCAAGGAGCTCGATGGCGTACCTGAACAAGTTAGTCTCCATATGTTTACTTTTGTGTAGCAATAACGTATTCCATGCACAATAGATCGTACGGCAGGAAATCAAGACATGGAAGAGGCTGAAGCATCCTCACATTGTAGAGTTCTTCGGTGCTGCGCCTTTCGCTTCTCCACCATTCATTGTTTGTGACTACATGGCAAATGGTGACGCAATGGGATACATCAAACGGAATCCCGGGATTGATCGGACAAAGTTGGTGAGTAATGTTCGCCGTTGCAACGTAACGAGTTTTCACATATTTGCAGCTACACGATGCATCTGTTGGGCTGGTGTACATTCACAATCAGTATGTAATCCATGGGGATCTAAAGGCGGTGAGGATTCCTCTTGCTATTGACTTACTCGCCAATTCACATCGTGGTTAGTCCAACATCCTAATAGATGATGAAGGGCGTGCTCGAATCTCTGATTTTGGCTTGTCGGTTGTTCGATCTCACACGTCACAGTTCAGGCAGACATCGAAACGTCCAGGACCCTTATACGGAACGGCGCCATGGATGGCCCCTGAACTGCTAAGAGGAGAACGGCTTTCCATCGCATCTGACGTCTATGGTTTTGCCATGACGATGTACGAAGTATGGCTCATCCAAACCCCTCAATCTTGCTACGTCTACTTAGCCATCTTTCCGTACAGATATACTCGGAAACACCACCCTTTGCAAGTATCGCTGGCGATCCCAGATTACTCATGGCCTCCGTAGTGAATGAACGAAATCGCCCGTCGAGGCCCGAACCGTCTCCTGGGAAGACCCCTCTACATGATGAGGTCTGGCATGTCATGGTAAGAGCTTGGAGTCATGAGCCACAGGCTCGTCCTAAGGTATCGGACATTGCTTCTATTCTTGCAAGGCGGAATGGAAACTCTTCTCAACATGTACTCACTGGCATTTCCCCGGATCCCAACAAGCCACCTCCACCAAAATCTCGAGTTAATGAGCAGAGGCATCACCGTCGAGCCGAGTCTATTCAAGTACCGATACCAGCAATCATCGGTGTACCGATAGAGAACGTGAATGGTCACTACACTGAGAATGCACCCTCGTCTTCCAATGCTTCCCATTCCAGCAGGTTGAACGAAACGACTCATCCCAACCCCAGCCGAAATGGACCATCTCGACCTGATACGGGGAATTACTTTCTCGGCGGCTGGCAGGATCCTAGCAAGTCCACTCTTCATCTGCCACAACAACCCTCTACGCCTGCACTGATCAATCAACCTTCTCAATCACCTTTGCCTTCTAATAGCAGCAGTACAACCAGGTTTCAGAAGCCGCCAAGGCTAACGCGCCCGCATGAGAGACTGTATGATTACTTCCGTCGGTGGACCGACACCTGGGATATGTCTGTCCTTGGTTCTGCTTTCCAATCCACTTTGCCAGACTCCATGGTTAACGAAGTCGCGCTGACAGTGTGGACGATGCAGATGTATAAGCGCAGATTACGGCACCTTGTCAACGAGAGACTTGACGACGTGATTGAAGTCTTTACTGTCCCTCCACATTTTACCTCGAAGATCAACAACATCTTGTCTGGAACAGCTCGACAAACTGGAGAAAGGCAGGGGCTTTCGGCTGCTGCTAAGATCTTGGGCGACCTCTGGGCTGTTATCAGGCACAGCCAGAAGGCGGAACCAAAGACCATTCTCATTATAGGACCGCATTGGCAGCAGAAGGGACGATGGCTTGTGCACAAGTTTGTATTGTCTATTTTAATTGGTCTCCCTCACTAATTTAAATAAAATGATATCAGGGTATCGATGGTTGAGGGCAATATCTGTTCTTACGAGACTGTAAATAACGAGTCGCCTCCGACGGCCAACGTGAGCCATCCCTTTTCTGAACATAGTGGATCCCCATTTAATTCTCTTCACAGGAGCTACCGTCTGGTTGGTGGGCCATTATCCGCACTTTGTGGCCTCACGTTCGTCCTCGACCCAGTGATTCAAATCGAACGATCTACAGGTCCAATCAGCCAATGCACGAGAGCTCACTCTCTGCAGCGGCTATCTGGAGAAACCTGTTACAGGAATGGCGACCTGATCGTGAAGCCGACCTACATGAGATACGCTCTTCAACTCGAAGGGAGGTCGAGTGTTTGTTGGCATCTCGATTTCACCCGGAGTATGCAATCTCAACGTGACAAGACTGAGTCACTGTTATGTCGTCTTCTTGGTCTTGGACTCTTGCGATGCTCTTTATCTTCTATCTATTCTGAAACAAACTGTCTGAAGGGCTGTTTTGACGTTCTGATCTTGCGACTGCTGAGATTTGTAACTGTTATCCATGCCTGGCTTTCGCGTTCCCATTCCTGGGTAGTACTTTCCTCCGGCCATATCCGTTTTTCAGCTTCAGCTTTTCCTCATGTAAACCTTTGTTCTCCCAGCAAATTGCTATACCTTGAACTCCAAACTAAATATATGGAATGTTATCTGGTGTTACACTCTGTAGTAAACGACCAACGATCCACTAACTGAGCTATCTACTTCTCCCTGCACTTGCTCGCGCCAGGGGATGATTCCCGAACTGGCTCAAGTTGCCCATCTCAATTCCATGCCTGCTCATATCCTTTGCATACGCTAATGCATTCAGCTCGTACAACTTTGCATCCTTCTCCGACAAGCCCTTCTGCCCATCCTCGTACTGGCTCAAGAACTCCTCAAGGAACAAAGCATGCATAGCAGCTTGACTCGTACTAGCCGCTGTATGAGGTCGGAATCCTGCAACTGCGTCACCCAGAAGGACAACACGACCTTCAAGGAATACGGCACGAGAGCTTATACTGTCTGTGATGGCTTGAATGAAGGGATAGTCGGTCTTCTCAACCGCTTCGCAAAACGAGGGTGGTAAGACGTCCCGAGCCTTCTGCAGTTGTTTCTCTAAAACTTCGGGGCGAATCTTGGGTGCACGAAGGATGTACTGATGGAGGTTTCCCTCGGTGTCAGTCATGGTTTCCTTCCAATGTTCGCTGTCATGAGGGATATTATTGTACCAGACCCAGTTGAGTTTACGATTACCGCGTTCGACGGAGCCGTTCTCGCCGGGAACGAGGTATGAGAGGATTTGCAAGGCTGGAGAATGGTGGAATGTAAACTTCTCCACTAGAGCCTCCTGAGTAGCCGGTGAGAGTTTGGACTCTAATACAGTGCCACGCCAGGCAACATAGCCTGCGTATGTACGCTGGCTCTCTTTCCCGCAGAGCTGGTAATGCAAGGAACCACCAGAACCATCTGATACTATGACCATATCGGCCTCGATTGTGTCGGGAGTTCCGTCCGGATTGACATAATGAGCTGTTATGACCTTGTTCGAAGGGTCCGGAGAAGTCTCGAGTCGAGTTACACCACACCCGTGTCTATATTCGCCCCAGTGCTCTTCCTTCGGTGGGTTGGGTACATTTGCACTCTTCATCCCATCGAAGTTCGCTCTGAGAATATGATAGAGTGCGTCCCAACTGGTCATTCGCTGAGGATAATCCGAACGAGAGATCACATTTCCTGCTCTGTCCAGATAATGACGATATGGGCTATCGACCCACCAAGGGGTGCGAGTGAGGTCATGCTTCAGCATGAATACGTAGTTTTCGCCCCCGACAACGATACCTGCCCCTTGGTCATGAAGGAGTTGTGTTGGTGAGCGTTCGAGAATGGTGATTCTATGTCCAAGACGTTTGAGAGCAACTCCTGCCATAAGGCCCCCTATGGAGCCTCCGACAACAACAATTCGCATCATCTTAAGACTGAGACTGAGAGTTAGGGATGAAGTTTTGTAGATAGTGGGAGTACTCAACTCGTCAGGAAGATCTGCGAAATTCAGCTGTGGGCAGTTATGATCGATCGACGTTAGAGGCTGAGGACAAGTGGTTGTCAGACGTTGTGTCGACTTGGACCAGAAGTTGAGATAGGTAGGAAATTGGACGTTGGGCAGGCCGGTGAGGAATGCAGTTAGTAGGGCAGAGAGGGAGAGCAACCAAATGGTAGTCCCCAGCATACCCAACGAACGGGGCCGGTGTCTTACGGGCTCATGTATATAGCTCGGTAAATATCAAATGCTGCTCTCCTCCGAGAAGATCGGAGTCGGTTCGGACAGCATTCGAAACAATACATTCCACCACAGAAAGCGAAGCTTATAATGTTACATGTATAGATGTTCCCTTGCAGTCTGCATCTATTTCCCACTCTGTAGGGGATTATGACTTTCTTACTTGGACGTAGCTTTGCCACCCAACTGAGCATACAGGCTATCGCTGCGTTCACCAAGGCGCTCCTTCTTGAAGTGGTTCGAGATGAGGAACGCGACGTCTATATACGTGTCATTCTAAATCCGACGGAATCGGCTTTCAGAGATGACGTCACTCACCGAGGGATTGCTCAAAGTTCAGTCGAGGATCACAGAAAGACTAAAACAAGCTGCGTTAGTCGCTTTCAATGGGCACTGCACATTTAGACTATGGTATACCTGGTAACGAAGACCGAGTTGCTCCTCGCTCAACTCCATGCTTCCTCCGAGACATTCAGTCACACTGAATCCCTCATCGTTGAATTCCCCAGTGAACTCCAGGCTTACACCACCCAGACGAGAATCGTTCTCAGAATGAATCCGGATACAAGAGGTGAGCTCGCTAATAATGGTCCCGAAGTTTCGGGTTTTGAGACCGCTCGAGGAAGTCAAGGTACTGCAGAAGGTATAAAGACCGATTCCAGGGAGGCGGAGAATGAAGCCGCTCACTTTCCGTGCATAGGATCACAGATCCAGATGACGGGGTGTCCGCTTTTCTGGACCGCAGCGATGTGGCCGGCGAGGACGTTTTCGATCTAATAACCAAGATTGAGTTTTAAGTGACACTCAGATGGGTAGAGACATTACCTTGCCAGCCCCATAGCGCGTAATGAGCGTTACACGCCCACTTTCCTTGTCAGGGTTCACAACTATCCGCCAATAGATTCAATCAGCAAGCTTTGTAACAGTGAGAAGAGAAGGATACTGACTGTCTAGAAGCCTAACGAGCTCCTCGTCCTTCATACTGGGTCCGACCTTGATTCCAATAGGGTTTCGGATCCCCCTGAAGTACTCGACATGAGCACCGTCCAGTTGACGCGTTCGATCACCAATCCAAAGGAAATGAGCGGAGGTATTGTAATACGCCTCTGGAACGTTGGGCCCAGATCTAGTTCTCGAGCGGGATGATGGCGAAGGAGAGCGAGAGGTGGAGGTCGAAGATGGAGAACGAAGTGATTCGGGCAGTGGGAACTTTCGGGTGAGAGCTTCTTCGTATTCCAACATGAGACCTTCATGACTGGTGTAGAAATCGACTTCGCCCAATGCTCCGCGTCCGCCGCCCTTCTCGTATGGGGTGCTTTCTTGCCAGAATCCGATTCTACGGGTGAAGCCCAGGGCATCACCTAGGCCTTCTGAGATCCGTTCGAACTCGGCCCTATTACAGACAGCAATCAGCACGATCAAGACGGAAGTGAGACGAGAGTCCGAACTCAGGGTCCTCGAATAAGCGTCACCATGACGGAGTACGGACGGTCAAAAGATGATTGAAACGGTACTTACCGCAAAGCAGGTGATCGGACGTGTGAAAGAGACCAGGACCGTGGGTGGTTCAGAGACGCAAAGTTGGAGGTGAGCAAAGCTCGGATGTGATTCAACGTTGTCGTCGAGTGGAAATATGCACTACAAATCGTTAGAAGCGTGTCGGAAAGAAATATAAGTAGCTCTGTACCTTAGGAGTCGCTCTGGATTGGGAGTACGATCGTTCGGGTCGAGACCATTCACATTGTCTCCTCTAAATATATTATTAGTGGTTGAGTACCCGTCTTGTATATGTGCGCCAACAACAAAACCCGCGAATAATGGATTTCAGGCACGTACCGGAAACTTGGAACCTCCCCGTCACCGATCTTCTCAGTAGGGCTACTCCTGGGTTTGGCATATTGACCTGCAATACGACCGATACGGACCTGTGTCATGTCATAACGTCAGATCGGCGATTGAATACCTGACACACAAGAATAACAAAGAAGCCTCGCGGATCAGAACAAGGGCGGGATGAGGGGTTACAAAGATGGAAGGATGGAAAGATGGAAAGATGGAAAGATTTAGACATACAATGGGAAGCCGGGCGCCCCAAATGAGGATCAGCGAGAAGGAAAGAATGAGACCGATCTTTGCCGAGATGTTTTCCTGTTGATCGAAAATACATCTAGGATTAGTCCTCGACCGGTATTACAGTAAAAGACGTACGTGAGTACAGGCGTCGAAACTCTCTGCGCAGTCTCCAGCATGGAGGAGGAATGCCTCATTACGCTGAACGAGGCTGAGTTGATGACGAAGCCGCTCGATCTGCGTAACATTGGAGTTAGTTGGCGGTTGGCTTGCTTGACCGAGACGATGTATACTTCGGAAGGAGTTACGAGAGGAGGCAGAGTGCGAATCTTGGAGAGGACTTTTGAAAGATGTTCACGGTCAGGGTAGGCCACATCCTGTAAAATAAACCGATCAAGCCTTGGCATGAACGAAACAGACTGCACTATACCTGTGCGGCATGCTTGTTCCTCCAGCTATCAGGTTTCCATTCATTAGACGACATGATTGCGGAGCGTATTCAAGAAAGGGTCGTCAGGATTCGAGTGTACTGTTAACTTGGTGAGATGTAGGTATTCAAGAGAGCGAATGTATCCAGGAGAACCTATGACAATTATATATACAGGGTCGGGGTTTGATCAGCATCAGTACCATCATCGGGAGGGAACACGCGACCGCACAAGAAGCACGTTCAAAGTATTTTTGCGGTGCGAGACGGTACTGGAAGGACGGAGCGCAGGCACAGCAGCCCGCGGTACTGTATCTTACAAATGAAGTGCAGGGATTTCGCAATGCCGATGTGGAGATGGGCGCAGGCAAGGCGCAGGAGAGACTAATAGCTAAAGTGAAAATAGCATCTAATCTTATCACTGTACTTCGATCGTCGCTGGCTCAAGAAGGCAACTGTCGTGGTTAGGCCCCGGACATCGCAGTCGAGACAAACGGCTGACAGAAGACCCTACTTTCAGATGAGTCGATATCGTTTCTCCGTCTGTTGTATCAAGTCGGGATACTTGATGTTCTCGATCTCAAGGACGTCCGAGATTTTTGCGGTGTCATCACGCGGTCGTACTACAACAAAAAAGGATGGAGACTACCCTAAGCGACTATTATACAAGCAGTGAAAGAGCGGAGAAAACAGCAAAGAAACAAGGATAGGATTCCGAATACAACAAACGAAAAGTCATGTCGAACGATCGTGACATAACATTAAATGGCGCATTAAGGCGACTTTCGTAAAGATAAATCAGCATAGATGACGCGAACAATAGCAATTCTCGACCTCCATTGAATATCGTACACAAGAAAATATATGATGCATGAGACTCAGACTTTCTGCTCATCTGATTGCGTTGACGTAGTGTCTTGAGCCTCGTGTGCGATTTCTATGAAAATCGTAATCAAACCGCGGGAAAGCAAGCTATGAATTAGGTACTACTGACCTTTCTCTTGCCTCGCAATACCGGCCTGTCGTTGCTCCTGCTGAACGGAACCAAAGATGATATCCATCTCTTCCAGACTGCGACCTTTTGTTTCAGGAATAAGACTAATAGAGTAATTAGAATGTGTTCGGAATACAAAGGGTTCAAAATCACTTACAGAGAGAATATACCCATTCCTGCGATGTTGATCGTAGCAAACATGAGGAAAAGTTTGTATCCGAGATCGGTCACTAAGGTTGGGGTGATCTTGGAGAGGACGAAATCTAAATGAAAGGATTGCATGTGAGACGATTCAAGGAGCTCAGAGTGCGGTGACTTACTGAAGAGCCACTGTGACGCGCTAGCAGTAGCCAGACCCAAGTGTCGTGTACGTGTGTTGAAAATATCAGACACGTAAACCCAAGGAAGAGGGCCCCAGCCCATAGAATAGAAGCAAACATAGATGTACAACATGGCTGCCATGGCCTTGGATGCAGCAGGTGGCGTCGGCGGGGCGATGGCCGGTGGAGGATGAGTTTTCAGGATCGCGCCGACGATGAAGAAGAGGGTACCCATGCCTATGGCAGAGATAAAGAGGGACAGCTTACGGCCCAGAGACTCGACCAGGAAGAAGACGAAGAGGGCAGTCGCAACGACTTTCACGATGCCGTAAATACCAGAAGCGAGCAGGGAGTTTGAGGTACCCTCATATCCTATCTACACAACGTATCCGGTGTAAGGCATGCCTAATTTGGATGAAGTACAATATGATCACTCACCGACTTGAAAATCTGAGGAGCGTAGTAGTTGACTGAGTTCTGGCCGCTGAATTGCTGCAGAATGAAGATAACGATGGCGATGACAAATCGAATTGCATTGCCCTTGCCGAAAAAGGCTTCTTTCAAACCCAAACCACGTCGTGCTTCGCGTTCTTCCTCAACGGCGGCTTCAATCTCGGCCATCTCGTGACGGACACATGGGTCATCTGGAGGAAGACGGCGATAATAGGCCAAATTTTTGGTCGCAGCCTCATAACGACCTTTGGAGGCAAGCCAACGAGGCGATTCCCTGATCGTGAGGAGTCCGAAAGCCATGATGCCAGCCGGCACAAGCTGGAAACCCAAAGGTATCCGCCACACTGCGAAACCAGTCTTAATATGAAGGCTGACTCCCACTGTTCTCAGCAAATAACGTTAGCTTTGCGATCAGTGCAGGGACATCAGAGACGGCGAACTCACGGTTGATAAAGTATGAGAGCATGACACCGACGGCAACCATAATCTGGAAGACACCGGTAATCCTACCACGGACTTCCTTTGGAGAACTCTCTGAGACGAAAGCTGGCGCAACAGCAGAGATGGCGCCGATACCGACGCCGGCAATGACACGACCGGCGTAGATGTAACCAATTCCTCGAGAGCCGCCTGCAACTGTTTGCAAAATCTTCATGGAGAGTCAGATGAGGTCTGGTGACTGATAGAGCTGATGATCAAACTTACGGCTCCAACAGAGAAAATGATGGAGAACAAGAGGAGCGTTAGTCTCCGACCAATTGCGGACGAAATGGGGGCAGAACCAAGGGCGCCGAAGAAAGCGCCTGCTTGAAGCACGGAGACGACGTTGGAGTTAATGTCGTTGGCTTTCTTGGTATCGATCTTGCCATCGGCACCGATGATACCAAAGTGTTCCTGGAAGTATGGCTGCGTGACCACACCTCCACCGATCCCACTATCGATGCGTGTTAGAGTTGACAGTATATAATGAACAAGCACGTACGTATCGTAACCGAACAAGACGATACCCCAGTACGCAATAAACGCGAGCCCTAAGTAGAAATTGAGTGGCTGAAAAAGGCAATCCACGGTGAAAATACTGACAGTAAACTCTGATGTTCTGGAATCTGGACAGCGCGAGGGTAGGCATGACGGACTGCTCGATGACCTTGATGAGCAGAGGGGACAAAGCAAGAGTCAGCGCCTTGGACTTAGAAGATGTTTTTCGGATTTTATAGTGAGCACATGCATTCCCATCCATCTGTCACGGTCCGCAACTAGATCCAGATTGCACCGAAGCCTGACCTCCATCCTACGTTCCTGGTCGGCCCGGCCGGTCCTATTCTTAGTCCTTAAACCACCTTCCCCACACTTCCCCGCATTAATGTTTTTGAATCATACTTGGCTATTTGTCTCTCCATGGAACCTACAACTGAGCAGATAAATAGCTGGAAGCAATCCGAAGTGGATGAGCAGATCAACGTGTTTCATCATTGTACCCACGCTACTGCGAAAAAATATTCGGCTCTTGCTCAGAAGCAAATTCAGTGTACGAATGTGAAATCAAGTATATATCACTTACGTTTCGTTGGCTTGTTGGTTCAACACATGGGCCCTTCACATATTTTGGCCATGGCAACAAGCCCTTTGACAGATGTTTCACAACTAGCCCAACAGCGAGAAACCTCCGCGTCGCCGTCGGCCGCTAGTCTAGTGGCGACAGATCATACTGCAGTACGACGGTCCGGAGCAACTCATGGTGCCGAAGCATTGAAAGGATGTACTGAACAAGATGCCAAATTCAGCGAGAATGCTGCCCCTGAATGTGTACCGGAACTTAGATCCCGATGACGCTCCTCCGAGGCCAAGAAAACAGCACGACGCAGTGCTATATGGGCGCAGGATAGCGTATACAGAGAGATGACCGAGTTCAGTCAAGGGCAGAAGACATTATAAAAGCTCCAGATCTGAAGGAGACTGCAATATACCAACCCAATGTCGAACGAAACAGCCGTGACCGGTCGGCAGCGAAACGCTCGTTACATAGCGAGCGGCACAACTTGATTCATTGGACACCTGGATGCCATTAATGTCACGAGAAATGTCAATTGTAGTTCTCCGTCAAGTCCAACCATCGGAGTGAAAAGTCGGCTGCAAATGTACTCAATAAAGGTTCAGCGTAGATATGAACGGATGTCTGCATCTATATAAACATGGGTGGAAGAACCAAAAGGAGGAAGTAGACATCTCACCAGATTGCTCAACCACTGGTACATCATTCAAGATACAGGGGTTGAATGGTACGGTAAGTATCCGTTTTTGCATACACACATATATGTCGTTTAGAATCGAAGCCATGGCATACAGGCACAATCACGTTGAGCAGATGAGGCTTTTAAGGATTTTCGAAGTGTCGTTCGCCGTGTGGATGCTCTGAAGAGTGGAAGAAATGAAAAGTGCAACCGATCGAGCAATATATTACTGGACAATCGACGATCTTTGATCGAGGATTTGATACGCGATCTGAAGGTACTTCCTCAGGGTTCCAAAAACTTCTTGTCTCTTGCCACATCCAATCTCCTGTCGACTCGTCATCTTCAGAGTCTCCAGAAAAGCTCAGTTATTCTTCAAATCGGGTGTAGTTATGTCAGCTCACGTTCTCATGTCATATGCCCCACTCATGCTCTATCAACGCAGCTGCGAAACAGTCGTTCAAGCTATCAACCGTGCTGTTAGCCAGCCATGGGCGCATCCTCGATGGAAAAGGTCATGCGACTACCTGAACTACTCGCGTACATTATTGAAATCTTGCGGAAGGACCGAGCTGCGTTGTTGGCATGCTCACTGACGTGCTCGACGTGGCATGCCGCAAGTCGACCATACATATACTATTCTATCTCACTCGACTCATATGCAAAATGCACGAAGCTTCAAATCCTCATAGACGAACTCCCTATTATCGGACGCTGGGTACGGAAACTCAAGATTGTAGGTCACTACAACGATCTCGGTTGGATTCCGACGTTCCCTCTGGTGCTTTGTGACCAGTTACGTCGTCTACACACTATCACGTTCCAGAACGTCCGTTTTTCACAGCTCTACCTCGATCCTGAATGGGTTACTGCTTCGGGCTTTGCCTACTTCAGACGTCTTCGGACGCTGAAGTTTCTGGATGGATGTCAACTCAAGGATCCAGAGCTTCGCTCGATCATTTGTTCAGTCCGGAATCTGCGTAACCTTACTCTCGACGGAGTTATCCTTCGAGCTGCCCCACAGGAGTCCTTTAGCCAGCTCTTTACTCCCAACGTGACGAGCGTCCGCATTGGTTTGTTTTGCGATTTAGCGAACAATGGCTTTGATACATGGTTGACGAATGCTGGTTCCTCACACCACATTCGCTCGCTTGTCCTTCAAGTACCTGCCTTTGGGTCCAGTATGGATTGGCGGGCGTTCGGCCCTGCACTCGAATCGTTGGCCATATATGATTCTCAGAGTATTCTCCGTCACTATACATTCTTCTCGGGTGAGTCTGCCGCAGTCCGGATTGAACCGACGTTGAATAGAATATCTAGCATTCGATGTATCTCCTTGCAGATGTCTGCGCCGACTTGCGGTAACCGACTTTCATTGCAAGGCGGGGACAATCGATTTGCTGAAGAGACTTCCTTCCCCACAAATCCTGACCCATTTTAAGTTCTCATCGCTATTTCATGGAAAGATAGAAGGGCGGCGGTATGACACGTATCAAGAACTCGACTGTTTACTTTCGTCTTCGACGTTCTCGAGCTTGGAGCGCTTTTATTGTGTCTATAGTCGCTTGGTGAAACGTGGACGGGAGGATCGCATTGTCGAGAGGCTGGCTACACTATTCCCTAGGCTCGTGGCTCGTGGGGTGATGCGGGTACACTTCGTGGTTGAGTCTGAGCTCCCACCGATGTTCGATGACCATGGTAGTCGAATCCCCCAAGGTCGTGACTCTACGATCGGGGCTGCCATTCAAAAGGGCGACGAGTTGGGGTATCTTGAAGATTTTGTCCCCACGCTCAACCTCACTCAAGCTGTCTAATTATATATATACCTTTTCCGCATTTCTGCGGTGGGTTCACATTAGATCCTGTAGACACTGCTTTCATTTATACGATCGGCGATCTTATCTAACCTCAATCTAATCTAATCTACCGAATGCACTTTTTCCTCGAGTCAAATCTTGGGAAGTCCTGTACTCGTCTTCACTCCTTCACCATGACCGTCCTCACTCACCGCACCATCAGAGGTAGGAATATTTTGGATCGTCCGTAAACCGTATCTTATGATTTTGCAGATGGCTGGTTTCGCGAGATCTCCTCTCAATGGCCTGGACAGGCTATGACTTTGAAAGTCAGGAAGATCCTGCATGTCGAGCAATCTCTCTACCAAGATGTTTTGGTCTTTGAGTCTGAGACTTATGGAAATGTACTCGTCCTGGATGGGGTTATTCAGGTCACTGAGCGTGATGAGTTTTCGTACGTCGATCACGTCGATCTGTTCGTTTGACTTGTTTTGACGGTTTGATATAGTTATCAAGAGATGATTGCCCATCTTCCTCTTGCGAGTCACCCGAACCCTAAGAAGGTCCTTGTCATTGGTGGTGGTGACGGCGGTGTCGTCCGTGAGGTTCTTAAGCACGAGACCGTAGAGCAAGTCGTTCTCTGCGATATCGATGAAGTTGGTGCCCGAATTTCCAGCTTTCTTATGACGCTAACATTGTTCACTAGGCCGTCGTGCGCGTCTCCAAGCAATATCTCCCTCACATGTCCTCTCTTCTTAATGATCCCCGCGTCACCGTCTTTATCGGCGATGGCTTTAAGTTTCTCGCAGAAAACACGGCTACTTACGACGTGATCATCACTGACTCTTCAGACCCTGTCGGTCCCGCCGAGTCGCTCTTCCAAAAGCCCTACTTCGAGCTCCTTAACGGTGCTTTGGCTCCCGGCGGACACATCTCTACCCAGGCTGAATGCTTGTGGTTGCACCTACCATTGATTAAGGAGTTGAGGCAAACCACCAAGGGTATTTTCCCTGTTGCGGAATACGCTTTCACAACTATTCCTACCTATCCCAGTGGTCAGATTGGTTTTGTCGTCTGCTCAAAGGAGGCGGGACGGGACGTGAAGAAGGCCGTGCGCAAGGTGACTCCGACTAGGTACTATAATGAGAAGGTCCACGAGGCTGCATTCGTCCTTCCCGAGTTCGGACGTGCACTCGTCGAAGAGGGCAAGATCATCACCCCCCAGATTGGTCGTGCTCTTCAAGCGGAGAAGCCCGTTAAGAAGATTCTCTTGCTTGGTAGCGGATTCGTCGCAAAGCCCGCTGCTGAATACGTCCTCCGTGAGCCCGGAAACCGTCTGACTGTTGCTTGCCGCACACTTGAGAGCGCACAAACGTTCGTCGGTGACCTTCCGAACTCCACTGCCATCTCGCTCGACGTATCAAATGCTGCCGCTCTCGAAAAAGTCGTTGCCGAGCACGACCTTGTCATTTCTCTCATTCCTTATACTCATCATGCCGATGTCATCAAGGCTGCTATCAAGGGAAAGACTCACGTTGTTACGACTAGCTACGTTAACCCTCTGATGCGCGAGCTTGACGAGGAGGCGAAGAAGGCGGGCATCGTTGTTATGAACGAGATTGGTTTAGACCCTGGTATTGATCACTTGTATGCTGTCAAGACCATTGGCGACGTCCATGCCAAGGGTGGAAAGGTGAGCTTTAATACGGCGTTTTCAGAGTGCGCTTCTGATGAGTGTCGCGATAGGTCAAACACTTCCTTTCGTACTGCGGTGGTCTCCCCGCTCCTGAGTGCTCCAATAACCCTCTCGGCTACAAGTTCTCCTGGTCTTCCCGTGGGGTTCTCCTCGCCCTTCTCAACTCGGCATCCTATCTCACCAACGGACAGTTGCTCAACATCGACGGCAAGGACCTTATGGGCTACGCCAAGCCATACTTCATTTCTCCTGCTTATGCATTCGTCGCCTACCCCAACAGGAACTCGGTGCCATTCCGTGAGTGGTACAACATTCCGGAGGCGGAGACTGTTGTGCGTGGTACGTTGAGGTACCAAGGCTTCCCTGAGTTCATCAAGACGCTCGTGGAGCTTGGCTTCTTGAACCCGGAAGAGAAGTCATGGTTGAATGAAAACTTGACTTGGGCAGAAGTCACTCAGAAGGCCATCGGTGCCGAGGACACCAAGGAGAGGTACGTCCGAATATATCGTTATTGTAGTGATTTGCTGATAATCGGTCGTTTAGCACTCTGATTGCTCGCGTCAAGTCGCTTGTTACATTCCCTGACGAGTCCGAGGCCTCTCGTATTATCTATGGCTTGAGGTGGATCGGTCTCTTCTCTGAGGAGAAGATCAAGCCCCGCGGTGGCAACCTCTTGGATACCCTATGTGCGCGCCTTGAAGCGCTCATGCAGTACGAGGAGGGCGAGCGTGACCTTGTCATTCTGCAACACAAGTTTATCGTCGAATGGCAAGACGGCAAGGAGGTGTGTATTGATTGTTATGTGTATGAGGCTCCCGCTGATAATTTCTCTAGGATACCATCACGTCTACGCTCGAGGCTTATGGCAACCCTCTTGGATTCTCTGCCATGGCGACCACTGTTGGTGTTCCCTGCGGTATTGCTGTCCAGCTCGTTCTCGATGGTGTTATCAAGACTCCTGGTGTTTTGGCACCATACTCTCAGGAGCTCTGCGACCCCATCCGTGAGGCTCTCGAGAGCGAGGGGATCGGTATGGTTGAGCGAGTGTTGTAAAAAAAAATCTGGTATTTTCTAGATAAAAATGTATCTACACTGATCTGTACGGTCCAACTCATAGATGTATCGTTTCCAAATTGAAGTACAAGAATGGGCGCCTTTCCGCATTTGTCGATCAAAGCGCGTCTGTGATTGGCTGGTTAGTTTGTGGAGCGATCTACTTACGTTGGAAAGCACAGCAGGTACGCAGAGATCCACTCGGGAGCAACCCACTCGAGACCTGCTATTCCGTCACTCCCCCTCAGAGTGGATCCGCCTGCAGTATATATACCATGCTCGTCCTTCCGCGCTCTTTTTTTCTCACCTTTCATTTCACCACAATACCATGGATAAATCTACCTCTGTTCTCGCCGCTCTCGACGCTGGCAAGTTCCCTTCTCAGCAGCAGATCAACTCTTTCATCGACTGGCTGCTTAACTCCGCTTTGACCCAGATCGAGCCTACACCCGATGGTGGAGAGCTCAGCGAGCAGGGAAAGGTCCTTGTTCAGGACGTACGCCATCTTTTGAATGCCTATAAGCTCCTCGGAGATCACAAGAATGGTACGTCATAGTCTCCTGTCGTTCTGCGAACCCGTATTCACTTGAAATCTCTGCAGGCGATAACCTCATCCAAGAGGCGCTCTGGCACCTCTCCCAAGCCGACGTCTCCTCAACCTCCGTCAAAGGCGAGGCCGACACAGACCAGGCCTCAAAAGATGCGCGTGCTCTTGCTCATTCTCTCAGGACCATCCTTACGATCGTTTGGACCAACTTCTCTTCCGAGTCCGGTTCCGTCTTTCACGACTTTGCCTCTTTCATGCGTCTCGCGGTCGCAGATGCTGCCGAGTATGTCTCCAAGAGTGCAGGAAGCACTGCAGAGGGCCTGAGGGAAATTGACTCTGAGATTGAGCAGGGTGACCGCAACGAGTTCGGCATTCGCAGGTCTTCTGACGAGGATGATCCTCAACAGAAGGATCCCAAGGTCAAGTTTGAAAACGCTATGGATACAGCAAAGGTTGCTGGCTCCAAGGTCATTGGCGCTGGCCAGATTGCTGCTGCTGCATCTGAAGACCTTGCCAATCGTACAAGTTCCCGCATGCAGGAGGCATTCTACAAAGTGGGTTCTCCCATTCATCCATCACATTGGATTAATCCTGATTCTATAGCATTCGACTCAGATATGCGACCGCGCTCAGGAGAACGAGGAATATCATTCTGCCATTTCCACCCTCTTCAATATTCTCCACAAATGGGTTCACAAGTCTCTTGATACCGCCGGTGATGTCAACACCGATACATCTCTTGAATCATTCATCGACGACCCCACTGAAGAGAAGCATCTTATTGAGGGTATTCGCTCCATCCGTGCTTTCGTTGAGCGTCTTGCCGACGGCAAGTCTCTCGACGACTTCTTTGGTGCTCTTCGCATCTGTGGTGTAGACATCAAACAGGACGAACACCTCCGTGAGCTCTTCGATGAGCTCCTCGGTCATCTGCGCCGTAGTCTCGATGAGCCTGGATACGTCCGCTCGGACGAGGCGCAGAAGACTCGTGCGGACCTCAAGACCAAGTTCAAGTCTCTCTACGATGCTGACACTCCCGAGGGTCAGAAGTGGAGGGACGACTGGACAAAGTTGAAGGATGAGGCCAGCGAGTTCCAAAAGGTTTTGGATGCGGGAGAGGACTCCAAACGCGTTGCTCAAGCGCAGGCGAGACTCGGTGCTGATATCGAGAGCAGTTTGCTATCTGCTGCGAGCGTTGGTGCTCAGAGTGCTGTTGAGAATTTTCCGTGGCTGTGGCAAGATCTTTTCAATGCCTATCTTCCCCGCATTCTCAGCCTCATCAAGGATATTCCCATTCCAAGGTATGTTTATATGTATTAATGCTCTTCGTGACACTCTTTCTAATTGTCTCTGTAGAACCGAGTACAAAGATAATGATGTCGAGTTTGTTCTTGAGAATCTCGACATCTCGACCTTCAGTTTGCTCCCCGGCCACGCCTATATTCGCAATATTACTGATATCGACATCAAGGCGCCCTCTGCAGGTGAAACGACCACCTCAATTGGCTCACTCACTCGCGTATACGTCCAAGGCATGCAACTCGCCCTTCGCGAGGTTTCATTCTACTTCAAGGATAAGAACACCTCTGTGGGACCGAGCGAGTTCACAGGGCTTCTTGAGTTTACACTTTCACCTCAAGGCATCGACGTCGACACTGTCGTCCGTATGGTCCCTAACTCACCCGATGGTCTCAAAGAACGTGAACGTCGCAAGGGTTTCCTCGACATCGAACGCGTTGATGTCAAGCTCTCTGACGATATCGACATTAAGATCAAACAGTCCAATCACGCTATCCTCTCCACCGTCTTCCGCCCTGTGATCATCTCTCGTTTCCGTGAAGCCCTTCAAACTATTCTCGCCGATAATATCCGTGCAGCTCTTGAGTGGTCTGATGGCGTTGCTTGGGATATCGGCAACCGTGCTGAGGTTTTCGCTGATGCAGGGCTCAGTCGGGGACCTAGTCTTGTCGCTGGCTTCTGGAGCGAGCTCGGTCATCTGCAGAAGGGGGAGAGTGGACTCTTGAAGGGGTGGAAGGCTACTGGTACAGGCCTCATCAAGGAAGAAGGTAATGCGAAAGCCGGGGCAAAGTTCGCTATGGGTGCAGAACCTCAGGTTCTTTCGGGAGAGAAGAGGGGACCCATGGGTACTTTCAGCGAGCCGTTGGCGGACAAGGCCAATGGAAATGGTGGTCTGGCGGAGGGAACGCAGGATGCGGCGAAGGATGTTGCTGTACAGGCGAAGGCTAAGGTGCAGGAGGGTGTGCAGAAGGTCAGGTCATTCAAGCAGGCCGTTGTGGAGAAGTCGCAGCAGGAGCAACAGCAGCTGGGTTGGGAAAGTCCTGCTTTTGATATCTGAGTTGACGGTAATGGGCATCGTTGCGAAATGAAAGTACAATATCACTTCGTAGTTACCTTGTATAATATGCTGTCGGTCTAGCGATACCGTATATTCTTAATCAATGGTTTTGAGACGTTTGTTTTGTGTTCGTGCGAGATTCGTATTACCTGATGACTTGACGAGAATCGCCCATCGACAAGGAGCCCAGTATTCTTCAAAAGTATCGCCAAGCACGTCAAGGATTGTATCTTCACGTACCACACTAGTAAATCTATTGTGACCGGAAACACCATGAACGCGAGACCCAAGAGGAAAGTAGAGCAAGAGCGAAGCGACAAGATCGTGAGCGATGAATACATGGGTATCAAGGAGTCGGACGAAGCAGTAGACCTGGCCGGGGAAGGACTTATCCAAGGGTAGAGACCGTTCAGTAGGGAGGGATCAAAGAGTCTTGGCAAACCAGGTCTTAGTTTGCTCAAATGCTTGCTCGTAAGCTTCACAAATCTCTGGCAACGATAGGTCGGGGCGAGCGGCGAAACCATGCGCAGTTCCTGTAGCACGCGAGACAGATGAGTACTGCCAGATACCACTTGACGATAGCCACAACCTCACCTTTGTAGACCTTGAACTCGTAATCTTTGAACTCCGGCTTAACCTTTCGAGAAGCGAAGGCGCGTTCTGCTTCCTCGCGGATTTTCGCGTTGAAGGTTGAATCATCTAGTAACAGGAAACAAATGAGTCCATGTTACGCTTATAGCTGGAATGATAATATACCCTCTGCGCAGACCCAAGCCGTTGGAACCTAGAGAGTGGATGTGTATTAGATAATATTGAGCGAACACATGAATATTACCAGTACCTTGATAGCACGGATCTCCTCAATGGTGCATATCCCAGGATGGGCAATCACTAGGCTGTCGACAAGTGACCTGGAGCCGAGTCGAATGCCGGCAGAGCCACCAAAGCAATATCTTCACACAGATTCATATTTTGGAGAAGGACAGAGAAACTCAGGCTGAAACACATACCCGACGGCGCCGACTTTGTCATATTTCTTGTCATCCCTGATTTTGGCAATGAACTACGAAAACGATGCCACTCAGTGCATCGAAATACGCACACCCAAAATACGTACTGAGTCTATCTTGGGGTCAACTACAGATGCTCGGTTGGCAAAGAGACGATGAAGGCGGGGGAAAATCAACGCAATGAAGCGTAGCGTTCGGGTGAAGCCTATCGAATCTCCAGCTTTATGCGGAACGAGCGGATCTAATTCCTCCACCTTGAAAGGAGGACCTCCTGGACGAGACACCTGGTATAAAGCGAAAGTTTATAAACGCGAAAGCACGAGGACGAACCGGTAAAATAATCAGGGACCCAAACGTCACACTGCAACTCGTTCGAAAGCCTGTCCGCAAGGAGTTTACAATTCACCAGAGGAAGACCAAATATGTCTGTCAACAGGACCACTGCGCGACTCTTGTTCGGACCTTCATGGTAATAGGCACCGTCAATCATGGTGCCAGTGGTCTCCCCCTTCATAACATAGCCCTGGCCGCATTGCTCGCAACTCATGGTGGGCCGTTGGAGGTGTGAAGACGGTTGGTAACAAGAGTCCCGTGGGAGGAAGCGAGTAGGTGCATGGCGAATTTCCCGCGGATTTATACGCACGCACGATTGTCCGTGAGTACGTAGAGGGCATATGAGTTTGTCCCTTCAAGCACACTGACAGCTATGTTGCTTGCGTATCGAGACGGCAGGTACAGTAGATTGAAATGCATTTGATCTTGAGACACTGAAAGACAGACACCGCCAAAGCCGATCGGGATTTCGGACTTAGGCTAGTCCTCGAATACGCAGCGTTATCATACCTACTACTCGCGCGCTGGTACAGTGGCGGCCAAAAATACTGTCAGTGGTAGGCGCCGGCGCTTTTCTCACGCACCGGAAAAATTTGAGTAAAACTTTCGCTATAGTGACTATGTAGAACTTTGCAGCATAGTATGTAGTATACATGGTCAAAAAATGAGAGTGAAAAAAAATGAACTCAGAGAGATTTTTGAATAAGAGTGCAAAAAGGGTGTGGGAACTTACATCTCTGGTGAGGCATACCCTGACTTCAAGTCATGTTCTTTCCACGCATATGAAGCTTAGGTTAGGGGGGGAGAAACACACGAGCGAAGCGAGTGTCCGCAGAAAAGGAAGAGGAGCTGTCAGCGAAAGCAGACAACAGTGCTGGGGGATTCCCAACAACACCTGTTTCGCCTTTATACGGCTCATCAGGTCTGCTTAGTAACACAGGGATCGGAGAATTAGTCACCAAAGTCCGAAGAAATCGGTGATTAATCATCCAAACCAACTTCCCCGATGAGGCCGAAGGCCGAGATCGGGGAATGTGTCAGCCAAGAAGATCCGAAGATCCGCCGAAAGGCGACACACGTGCAAGAGAAGCCGGAAGCACCGCACCGAGAGCCGGGCGACCGGGGTAACCGAGATCACCAAGAACACCGAAGTGCCCGAGATGACCAAGGTGACCGAGAAGGCCGAGCGCCGACGGATAACCGAGAGAAAACACGTGACTTACTTAGGGTCCGGTTAGGGTTCGCAGTTAGGGTTCGGGGTTCGGGTTTGGCTTAGGTTAGTTAGGGTTATGGGGACTCTCGTCTGACCCTAGGGCTGGCGTAGGGTCAGGCGCCTAGGGCCCAGGGTTGGGCGGCTGTGGGCCAGGGTTGGGCGTCTGTGGGCCAGGGTTGGGCGGCTAGAGGGCAGGGTTGGGCGGCTAGGGGGCAGGGTTGGGCATCTGTGGGGCAGGGTCGGTGGTTGTGGGCAGGGGCATATGGACGTCGGTGGTGTGAGGCGAGCGTTCCGTCCAGGACGGAAAGAGAGAGCGGCAGACATGGGTGGGAGAAGCGCCGAAGAGATGGGTGCAGAGATTCCCTCCTGGACGGAATTCTGTGGAGATGGATGTAAATGCAGTGAGAACGGGATTCTGGTGGGGCTGGGTGCATGCATTCCGTCTTGGAGGGAATTCTGTGTGCATGAGGTTACTGTTTATTGGATGATGAGAATGCCGTTGATCTAAATTGACATGCGGCAGTTGCGAGTGAGAAAAAATGTGACGAAGATGGAATAGACCGAATGAAGGAAGGATGTGATGATGGGCGAGGAGATTAGCAGTGGAGTGTAAATGAGGTGAAGAGGATCTAGGCTAAACGTGAATGATGGAAGGGATATATTGGATGTATTCTAGGCTACATTGATGACGGCGTACGTGAAGAAGACTAGAGTATTTGAAGAAAGTGACGGCAGACAATATGTGAAGAGAAGGAGAGAAAAAGTATATAGATGAAGAGGGAATGAGAGGGAGGGCGTGTTCGCAGACTCTCGATCATGGAGACCTATTCTTGCTTCAAGCACGAGATCGACTGGTGGGAGAACGATTGGGTGCTGCGTGAGCGATTGGAGGTGAGTACTGAGAGATTGACCGAGTGGCGAGATGGGAAGATGACGAGATGAAAACAGAAGGGGGGGATCGAGATGATGGGGAGTATTGAGATGAAGAGGGGGGAGGGGTTTGTAGAGGCTGTGGGGCGACTGTGGATTGACGGTAAGTTTGAATGGATAGTTGGTTGAAGGGTTTGAAGAGAAGGACTGACGAGGAAGGAGTAGGGGCTGACGAGTGTATGGAGAATCTGCCTGTCATTCGATGGCGGGTGAATGGGTATGTGGAAGAAGGTGAGTTGTGTGTGCGGACGAGATGTGTATAGAATACTGATGAGTGAGAGTTTAGGGCCCTTCGAGAAGTGGACGGAGGAGAACATGTTGAAGCCGGCGCGACATGAGGAGGGATTGGAGGTTGGAGGCTGTAAGTACGATTGGGAATTATGAGCGGATGAATGGCGAGCTGACGACAGTGTGCAGTGGAGGACTGGTGCGCGATGAAGGTGCTGAAGTGGATGCTGTGGGATATGAAGGGGGAGATGAAGAAGTGTGAGGAGATGATAGAGGAGTTGGAGGATGGGGAGGTTGAGCCGGATTGCGTGGAGATCAGGCGGTTGGGATGGAAATGTCGATGGCGGTTGGAGATGTTGAGTATGATTACGCAGTTGGTGAGGGAGGAGACTCAGCGACTGGGGGAGAGTCGGCAGGGATTGGGGAGGTTCTTGAAGGCGTTGGTGAGGCGAAATGAGGAGGTGGTGAAGAGGGAGGGGGAGTGGCGGGAGACGTGGGCGGAGATGATGAGTGATTATGTGTGGGTGAAGGATAAGGAGGAGTGAACTATGGACATGCACTGTATGATAATATGATGTAGTGTATGTGCCATAAGAGACACTGATCGATTGCCTTAAAAGTGTGAAAGAATGAGAGTATTTGGTTGAGCGACTGGGAGCCGTTGACGACCATAGCATTCTGAGTTTTGCATATATGGGTAGATGAGAAAATGATTGTCGGTGCGCTGTTTCTGTCAGGAAACAGCGTGCCGATGAGCATTTTCTCATCTACCCATATAAGAAAGCTAGAGCGTTGTGGCCGTCAATGGCTCTTAGACACTTGAACACATATCTGATTGTTGCATACTTCTAGGGGAAAGATGCAGGGTCTCTTAAGAGCGATACATATATATTGCATTGAGTGTGAATGATACAAGAATGAATAACGAAATGTAAATAAATGTAACGAGGATAGGTGTCAGTGGAAAGATGGGTATAGAGTAGGTTGGATGAGAGGGAGAGGAGATTCCGTCCAAGAGGGAATGCGTGCACTGAAGAATGTGTGAGAGCGATTCATGAGTGCGAAGATTCCGTCCTGGACGGAGTGCGTGGAGCGAGATGGGCGGACCGATCAGGAAAGTGGTGATCATGTGATTGCAGAGCGGCGTGAAGAGCGCATTCCGTCCTGGACGGAATACAGGCGGGGACACATGGGCCTCGTGAAGAGACGCTGAATGGCTGGGTGCGCGCAATCCGTCCAGGATGGAATTTCTGTTCTGAGGCAAGCACACGATTAGCCACGCGATTTCCGCATGCGCGGTTCCTTCCAGGACGGAGATCAAGCTATATTGAGACTGTTACGTCGGGATGACATAAATGGAAGAATGGTTGGTGACTGGTGCAGTCGGTTAAGCTGGGAATGAGGTGTTTAGAGAGTAATGAGGTGAAGGAATTAGCCTGATATGGAGTGGGCGGGGCGCCATCGGATAGAATAGAAGATGGGTAATATGATTGCCTGCAGGGATAGTGGGCTTAGCGTGATCGGCATGGCGTGTTGAAATGAATGGCGGCCTCATGAATGATGGCAAAGTTTGCTTCTTATGACATGAGGCGGTGAGGGGATGATTTAAAAGGGCAGGGGTCTGACAGGATTCGATTTCCCCACATTCTCTATTGCTACTACTGCTGCTGAGACTGCTATCTAGAAATCGTAATCGACATGCCTTCGTTCACTGTCCCCTCCAGTCTGCTGGAGATGACGAGAGTCTTCCGGGAGATGAAACTGCCGGTGCCCGATGCGCCGTGGTCGTTCATCGTCTGGCAGAAGCATACGGGGTTCACTCGCGCTCCCTGGGCTGAAGATTGGCCGGACGACGAGAAGCATCCCTTCAAGTGGGACAAGACTGCTCGGGCGCAGGTGAAGGCGTTCGTGGATGCGTTCTGCTCGATGCCACTCGCCTCGAAGCGCCAGGAGTTCACGAAGACCTGGATGACGGACACTCATGCTACAGGCCGGGCGATGTGGACGGTAGCGATCAGAGCTGGGTTGAAGGCGTGGAAGATCAACGCCATCGTTGGAAAGGTGTTGAAGGAGAATGAGAGAGACCGGGCGTCGCTGCTTCGGCGTCATGGAGAACGAACGGTACGACTTACCTATTGTGACAAAAGGATGAAGGCTGACATTGGGTGATGTGCAGCTGCCAGACATGGGGGCGGCGATGTTGGACGACACTCGACAAGAGCTGGCTGAGGCATTGTGGGGTACCGACATCTGCACGAAGCAGTCGAACTACACGATCATGCATACGAGCGTCATTGGAGTTGCCAACATCATCCTGGCGGCGGCGTGGAACACGATGTCGAAGGCGGTCAATAAGGACGTGAAGGATTTGGAGGAGATCAAGGCGAAGGTGAAGATGTCATTTGGAGGTGAGTACACTTGGATGCTGTGGATTGGAGAGTGACTGATTACTTACGTGATTGTTACACAGAGCTGGATGCAGGGGAGGTGACGGCGGCGAAGTTGAAGCAGTACTTGAGGGACAGCTCGAAGCTGATGCGGCTGTACAAGATGTTCGGCGACGAGGCGGCTGAGAAGGAGTTGGAGGAGCAGCGGGAGCGATTGAGCCAGATTCGGGCGTGCTTGGGAGTGGATGAAGAGGGGAAGTCGACAGGAAGTGAGTGAGACCTGTGTGTAGAGCTGTTGGACTTGATGCTGACATTGTGAGATAGCTATGAGCAAGGCATTGCGGGAGGCGTTGTTGAGGCTGGCTGGGGACCACGACATCGCTGAGGTGGAGCGGGAGCTGGAGGTCCAGTTGGATGTTCTGGATGGAGAGGGGGCGGGAGTGCCGATGATGAATGTGGACGAGTCGGTGGTGATCGAATGGGAGTCGGGGACGGAGGACTACCAGGGCTGGAGCGAGAGGGACGTGCGGAATGCACTGGGCCTGGAGGAGGAGGGGTTCCCGTCCTTCAACGAATTCATCGACGAGAATGGGGTCAAGACACCATGGACGGATGCAGCGTGGTTCGCGCGTCCTTACGTCGAGGGCGAGAATGATGGTCGGGTGAAGTTGTCACCAAAGTGGCACCAGCTGATTGGGATCTTCAAGATGCTGAAGAATGCATTCGAGGGACGTCCGCTAATGTTGATGGATGAGGTTGGCCTTGGGAAGACGTTGCAGGTTATAGGGGTTATGGCGATGCTGGCGCACTACCGTTCCTTCTACGCCAAACGCAACGAGTATCCTGGGTGGTTTCGTAAGTGTGGATCTTTGTGTGTCCATTGGTCGGCGCTAATGTTTTGTGTATTGAATATGGATACAGGAGGCAAGACGTTTGCGGGGAACGCTGAGATCCCCGACCTGGGACATGTTCTGGTGGTGCCGTTCTCGTTGCGTGCGCAGGTAGAGAACGAGTGCCAACGGTACCTTAGGCGAGGGGCCTTCGACATCTTCATCTACGACGGGACGTTGAAGGGGCGACCGGAGTTCTGGACGAAGTTTTGGGACTTCTCGAAGCTCCCTCAGATTCGACGACTGGTCATTGCGACGGCGACGGTGAGTACATTCAAGGTGTGGTACTAGAGGATGAAGGCTGACAGGTTAGCAGGCTGTGAGTTCGGATGGCCGAGAGCTGGGCTTCAGTGGGAAGCAGCCGATGGGTCCGATCAATATCGTTGGAGCGAATCCGGCAGCGTTGATCTTCACAAAGCGGTTCCTGGTTGGGGCGTGGGACGAGATCCACCAGAACCGGAATATCAAGACGGCGTTCTTCGCGGCGAAGAAGCTGAGAGAGTGTTGCACGTTCTACATTGGGATGTCTGCGACTCCAGTGCAGACGAAGCCACAGGTGCGTGTTCAGCATTGATGTACTGAGCAAATGGAGGTAGCTGACTTGAGAAATATACGTGCAGGACCTGTGGCATGTAGCGTTGATCTTGGGTGTCCCAGGTTTCGACGGCGAAATGGAGTACAAGGACATGGGACGAGAAGTGAATCGCGCTGCTCGGAAGGATCGACAGCAACGTCGACTGGCAGAGGCGTTAGAAGCGGTGAAGAAATTCTCTCACGGAGAGGACGGGCAAGGTCAGTCGGAGCTGGCGCTGGTGAGTGGGAAGTGGATCATGGTGATGCGGAAGCAGTTCGCGGGAATGGTGGTTCGCCGGACGATCCACTCTGAGGACAACAACAAGAAACCGATTATTGGCCTGCCTCCCTACGAGCATCACAAGTTGCTGCTGGTGTTGCCTGCCGATGAGATGGAGAAGGTCGAGGCGATCATGGAAGGTGTGCAGAAGGAGGTCGAGAATGGGAAGAGTCTTCGGGCGTACGGGGAGGTGAGTAAAATGATTTCAATATCTGTTGCAGGTCGCTGTCCGTCCTGGACGGAACTGGGCGCACCGCAAGGTTGTCAATATCTTGCGGACGCAGGTATTCCGTCCAGGACGGAACAGCGGCAGAGAGGCATGGAGCGGGCTGTGAAAATGGTTGGGCGGGCAGTCTGTCCATCCAGGACGGAATGCTCGTCCCCAGCACATGCAAGCCGTAGACGCCCAATTCGTCAGAGTGCGCGCATTCCGTCCAGGAGTGAACACCTGGCTGCTCTCCCTGCTGGCATGACGAGGTCAAAGGGTTGTGTGTGCATTCCATCCTGGACGGATGAGTGACACTCGAACACATTGACTGACGTTGTGGGCCACTCAGCCAGAGTGTGTGCACGCATTCCGGCTTAGACGGAGTTTCTACACCAAACACCTACTGACACTCAATTCTTCAGCAATTTTATCTGGCGTTGCGTAGAGGCCTGACCCATCCTGACCTGCCCTCCATGGGCGGCACCCTGAAGTTCTCGACGATAGAGGAATTCAATGAGAATCCTTCGACAAAGCTGAGGTTCTTGGTGAGGATCTTGCAATGGCACCTTGAGGTGGACAATCGCTTGCCTCTTCTCGTCAACGAGCACGGTGAGCTCGTCAACCCTCAAGGACCTCCGGGAGTCTGCGTCAATGGTCTTCCCGACAAGATCATCGTCTACTCTGCCTTCATCGAGAACAACACGGTCATCTCCCAGGTAAGTCCTTTTCATTACATTCTTCGCATATTATGGGCTAATGGGGATTCTGCAGCTCTTCGACGCATTCGGTATCAAGCATTTGATGATCAATGGCTCACAGGCTCTGACGACAAGGACGGACACGATCAACAAGTTCCGCAGCGGTGAGCGTGATGACTCTCGTGTCATGCTCATTACGAAGGTTGGTGCGACTGGACTTAACATGGCTTTTGCCAACATCCTGGTCTGCCTGGTAAGTGGTTCTGTTGTTTATGTCTATCTCTACAAGTTGACCTATGATCTATCATTAATTTGCTTCACAGGACACCATGTGGTCGCAGCAAGAGGACAACCAACTGATCGGTCGAGTCTGGAGGCAACCGCAGCCCAAGACCGTCCACGTCTATTGTCTCATCGCACAAGGCACTCCCGACGTCTTCTTGAATGAGATCGCGTTCACGAAGGGGATGATGCTGGAGAGCTTCTCCTCTGCCAGCGAGAAGATGAAGGAGTGGTTCGATCCCCTTCGCGATGACGACATCAGCGACTTCCACAAGGATGGAGATGATGACACCGACATCAGCTCTACGACGTCGGGTTCTGTGGTGATGGTGACTGAGAAGTCTTCGACGCGTTCGTCGACTCGGACGAGGACAGTTGCAGCGACGACGACGGCACAATCGGAGGCTTCGACATCTGGATCAGCCAGTACTGCTCCTCCAGCTGAGGTGGACACAATCAACGTCCCACCAGCTCTGGCTGCTACCGCTGCTGCTGCTGCTGCTGCTGCTTCTGCTCCTGCATCTGCGTCTCCTGCTGCTGCTGTTGCTCCTCCTCTCGTTGACTCCACGTCAACGTCAACGTCAACGTCGAGAGCAGTGCTGACATCGACATCGACTGTCGTCCCCCGTGGTGTTTCACTGGCTCTCCCTCCTTCGGCTGCTTCTGCCCCCACTCGCGTCACTCAATCCGTGCCTCCCTCGACTCGTCCTGCTCCTCGTCCTCGGCGGCGAAGGCAACCCAAACCTGTCGCTGCAGCAGAACCACCTTCAGCTGCTGTCGAGCCCGACGTCTCTGCTCGTCGCACTCCCGCTCCCCCCCTCTCGCAGACTACGTCTCTGGAGCCAGAGACGACCACCGGTCCGAGCTCGGTCTCTCCCATCTTCGACGAGCTCACTCTCGATTCTGATGCACATGCATCTCGCACTGCCGCTGAAGCCTCTGGAGCTTCCGAGCCTGGTCCTTCTCCATCGCCTGAGCCCGAGTCTGAACCACCCCGCTCGTCGAAGGACGCAGCAGAAGATGTCGGTGGTGATCGCGTGGAGATGGACGTCGACCTGACAGGTGGGGCCTTCGACGACGAGGAGATGAACCAGGAGACGAGTGGTTATGAGCAGGATGCGGAACGCAACTCGGATGAGGACTCTTCGGAGGACTCCTCTTCTTCAGAGAATTCCTCAGAGGAAGAAGAGAAGCAGATGGATGTCGATCCCCCTGTCCTCCCTTTGCCACCTTCGTCTGCCCTGCCAGAACTCACGCCGTCGGTCGCCTCATCGCGTGCAGTGACTCCTGAGCCAACGGACAAGGCTCTGGGGAAACGTCCTGCCCCGAACTCCCCTCCCGTCGCCAGCTCGTCGAAGCGCACCAGGCAGCAGCCGCAGCCACCAAGGCGAATGCTCCCTCCGCGTCAGACCAAGTTCCGCACCGTCAACTATGCCCTCGACAACCTGCCTTCCAGTGACGATATCGGTGGAATGACCATGCATCGCAAGAAAGGCGACGATGACGAGTACAGGGAGTCCAGCGAGGAGGACATCGCTGTGCCGAAGAAGGGGCTGAGCATTAGCGGCAAGGGCGTCGGTGGAGGCAGACCCAAGCACTGAGCAGGTCTCTGGACTTCATCTTCGTCATCCCCATCTGCGTCGTCTTCGTCTTTGTCGTCTGCTGGACTGTCGGCTTGTCGCACCGCGTGTCTCTCTCGCCCCCGCTATATGGTAATGTTTTTTGGACTATCGTATCAGGACTGTTCTACCTGTCATTGGTAGATTTATCACTCGAACTTCCCCCCTCCCCGCTCCTCCCGAATTTGTTCGACTTTCTCGGACAATTGTGTTTTTTCTTGTTACGTATGGACTAGCGGTAGTGTTTGTTTCTCGCCTCCATTTCTGACTCATTTGTTTTTCTCTTCTCTCTACCTTTCCCTTATGAGACTCCATAAAAAAACTACTCTGGTTTCTGTTTTCCATTTTCCTGTTTCTGTTGTCTTCATTTCTTGGTGTTTTCTTGATCTTCTTTCACTTCCACTTCCAAATGGACAATGTAATGAGGTTAGTCTACATTGAATGTAGCCATTTGACTTTATGAATGCTGAATAGTGAGTGTGACATAAGTAATTGATGTCATGAGCACTGGACTGCATTGAATGACAGACAGGCCGTGAGTAAGGCTGAAGATTGTAGACACATGGTACACATGTATGGCTGAGTGTTGTATGCAGTAGGAATGTGGTCATGGTCACCGCTGAAGAATCTCCGTCCAGGACGGAACCATGGCGCCACCCTTACACGGGAAAGAGGCGGATAGACGCACTAATGCAGGAGTTCCGTCCTGGATGGAATGCATGCTGTGACATTCTGGATCGACGTCACGTCTGACTGGCGGGCAGAGATCCGTCCTGGACGGACTCTGCTGTTCCACCCAGTTGGCATCGTCGAAGTGACTGCAGCAGTCACAGCGTCAACATTCCGTCCATGATGGAATTGCTGCAGCAGCAAATGACCACGGTAATCATCGATCATGAATCTGTGGTGCACATTCCGTCTAGGACGGATAACACGCCCTGTATCATGTCTCGTGCTTCCATTATTATCACTTAGATACCACTCCTATGAAGGCACAGGCAGTGAGTACGGCACACATTCCGTCCTCGATGAAACATTCAGTCATATCAACTGCACTATGCTCATGATTCATTCTAGCTAACATGTGGCTATACAATCTAGGAAGGGGCACTTAAATGTGCATTCAGACATTCTCTTCATCTTCGACCTCGATGGGTGCAATGATCACATCCATGCTCGTCGCCACTGCAGGGTTGAGTCCAATCTGTGGGCAGGGAACACGCTCACCGTCCGCTGGGAATTGCCTGAACTTCGAGTCGAGTCGAGTCTGCCACATCCGGTCAGATCCCCCGTACGGCAGCCACAGCAGCTTGTGGAACTCCCTCTGCACCCTGTCGCGCACAATGCCCGCATTCCGTTCATTCAACTTGTCCATCAAGTTCAGCCACTCCTTGAAGTACACGCATTGGCGGAAGTTCTGCAAGGTGCGAGGCAGCTGAGCTCCCTTGGGAGGGAAGTACCGGTTGAACAACGTCACATCCCAGAATTCGGCATCGCACAACTTGACCTGGACAGGCGCTATCACGTTCGTCAGGTTGTTGCTCTTGAAGATCGCCGTCGTGGCATGGAGACGATTCTCCGCCGTCATCCGTAGATACCCGGGCAGATTGCCATTCTTCGGATTCGGTGCCTTCGACAAGACATCTGCCGGGAACTGTCGCCAGATACCCTGCAAGATGACATCGGGATTGCCGGGTTGAGCCACCTCATCGTCGCTATCATCGTCCAGGTGGTGCACGTGGATGTCAGGTCCCGGCATCGTTCGAGGTCGCTTCAGTGTCACTCCGCGATCTTGCAGTCGGAAGTTCTTCACCTCGCCGTCATTCGCCAAAGGACGAATGTCCTGCGTGATCGCTCGCTTGTTCGCCGTTCGATCTGCACGAGGTTGACGACGTCCACCCTGCGCCGCCATCGACCCAAACTCCATCTGAATGGCATTGACATCCTGGCGGTGATACATGAAGGACAACACCTGCTCCGCCGCCCTGGCTGAGTGGGGAAGTCGCGCCCAGTACTGGTCGAGCACAATCCCAGACAAGCTGTACAGGCCATTCCAGTGGGGGTTCGGAACCAACTCGCCCTCCTCGTCATCGGCTTCAGTCGGGAACCGGCGACAACAGGCACGCAGAAGGGCATCCTCGGCCGTGCCACTTCTCGGTCGCGAGCTCAGCGCATTCACCATGTACACCGCGATTGCTCCCAACGTCAGGCAGGCCGCATCACGTCGATACTCGTGGCGGCTCTCATTCTGCCACTCCACTAGCAAACGCAATGCCTTCAGCCGATACACTTTGAATCCCCTGCAGGCCAGCCCATCAGCTGTCTTGAACAATAACTAGGCTAAGTATTGCAGTAGATATGCACTCACCACCAGGTGTTCTTCTTGTACGCCACTATGCCGCTATCCAGGATGGATTGCGGCATGTCAGTCAAGGTAGCACGGCAACGCGTCAGTGGGACTCGGGCCTCCAGACGGGCAGATCCCTCTTGTCCCGGAGAATCCCCCTCCCCCATACAGCTCGTCCATACTTCCTCCATCTTCTCCATGGCGCCAATGAGCTTCCCGCACTTGCTTGGAAACAACTCCTCCCCATGGCGCTGTCGGAATATCCCCTTGTGCAGCTGATAGGTCACCGTCTTGTCCGTCGTGTAGCAGTTGATATACACACACTCAGTGCCGTGTTGATACCGCTTGTTCACCTCCACGCGAAACCCGCCAATCTCACTCAGCTGCGAGTTCAAGTCCACCTGGAACCGGTCACCCGTCGTCATCATCCTGTTCGCCTCCTCAGCATCCAACCCAGGCAGCACATGTCGCAGAATGGCACTGTGACCCATGGTCAGCCACTGCACCACCCGACGCGGCCTTTGGATCTCAATCCCCACATCAATCCACCACTTTTCCTCCTCAAGGTCTATCACATTGGCATCCACAAATGCCAACACATCATCCAGCGCCGCGAACGTATCCACCTCGTCGCGGGGATCATGCACAGAGCGAGACTTGGTTCCGCGCAGCTCATGCACAAAGTATGCATCCCGTCCAAATGCATACACTCCCAACTTATCCAGCAGCGTGTTCCCCAGAAGCTCGAGGCGGTGCCATGGGACATCCACGGATTGGAAGTGAAACTCACCTTGCGGCCCCCGGGCCAGCGTCATCGCAGTGTCGTACGACGGAGGCCAGTGACCCACATGCTCCGGAACGGCCTCCCTCACTGCCGGCAAAAGGCATCGCTCGTAGTAGACTTTCAGCTGCTCCTTCCCTATGCCCATCATCATCCCAGGCCCCTCCTGATACAGAGCCGGCAGGAACACCCGCGTCACATGCCGGTTGTCCACCTTTCCCAGTGCAAAGTTTGGGATCTTGTTCATCGGCACATACAGCTTGACCCTCTGCAGCATCCATGTCAGTATATCCATCATCCTCACATCAATACATCCACCACTCACCGTCGGGGAGAAGACATATCCCTGCACATGATTCCGTTTCTTCAGAGTCTCCGAGAATGGAGCTACTGGGAATACCGCCATCGCCTTCGTGAAAGGCAGTGTCTTCCCGTATCCAATGGCGGAATCGAAGTCTCGCATGATTATGCAGTCCTCCAATGTCGGCCTCTCCGCTGCCTGTGTCATATTCAGGACAAGCCTGATGTCCTCGTCATCCTCGTTCTTCGTGCGGGCGCACAGCACCAGGTTGAGGAACTTCTTCAGTTCATCGCGCGACCGGTCCTCTTCATCAGCAGGGACGGCATCCAAAGCTGCGCGAGCTGCTTCATAACGCTGAACCAGGTCCGCAAAAGAGACCTGGACATTGGGCAGGGGTTCATATGGCCAAGCGAGTGGCATGTCAGATTTCTGCTTCCAGATTCTCTACCCAACTCCATTCATCTCTGCCGCCTTTTAATACCCTCACCTCTTTCTTCAACGTCATACACCTGATAGGCTCATTATTCTCCTTTTCCTCATGTCTGCCGTATCTTCAACCTGATCTCCATCCTAATCCTAAACTCCGAAACCCTCATGCACCAGCCGTCCAGATCTCCCTCCTCATCCCTTTGCCACAATTTCTCCCGTGGCGAGACATTCTGCCGAATATTGAATCTCAATATCAGAGTAACTACGATCATGATCTTAAACTATGCTGTTATCACAACTAGTCACACTGACTGAAATAACAGCTATCTTCTGATGATGGCATATTGCACATTGTAGCATTACATATTAATTGGGGTTATAAATACAATTCTACATATCAAATGGGTTATAGTCAGACAGATGGAATATTTAATAACTTATCAGAGCACTACTCTGGTTTGTTCCTAGCCCTCTTACGAGGGGACTTATACCTATAAGTCCGCACAAGCCGGTGCACCGGCCAGTGCACCAGCTGGTGCCAGCCGGTCATGTGACTGCACCAGCTGGTGCCAGCCGGTCATGTGACTGCACCAGCTGGTGCCAGCCGGTGCACCAGCTGGTGTAGGCCGGTCATGTGACATAGGAAGCTGGAAAAGCGGCCATATTATGTCAGCATTTCCTTTTTGGGACATATATGAAAGTCATAGCCTCGCACTGCGGCTATTCGTATATTGTCTCAGAGTTATCGCGCGATAAGCGGTTAAGGCTGTAAATGCAAAATACTGAAAAAAACACGGTGCGATAGAAAATATGGCCATCACACAAATATGCAATTTTTATATACCGTCGGAAAGCTGCAGATGAGGAGAGCACAGATCTGCCTTCAGAATCTTTTTCCCATGCCTTATTCAATTGCCATTTTCGTCCAGGCGAATCATCGAGCAGGTCTGCAGGTCTCAGACAAGTGTCCAAGCTGAGATGCCTCCACTTCATGAAAGTTTGATGAGTCATACAAGTCTAGGCCTCTATCTATGACATCATCTATGATGTCACTTTGAAGGATCATAGGTCTAGATGCAAGCTCTAGTGGCCTGGACTGCTGGCGAGGTCATCTATGATGTCACTTTGATAGGCTTTTATTCTAGAGCTTTGGCCTAGATTATGTCTATGATGTCATCTGTTCCAGCCTTGGCCTGGACTCTTTGGCCTTGCACTGCCACACCTCAGCCTATATAAGAGGCCCCAGTTTTCCACCAAGTTCTTCTCCACTCTTCCTTCCCCCCCTCCCCCCCCACTATCTGTCTGTCACTCTGTCTCTGTCTTTGCACTTTTGACTGCTGTTACAACCTCTGCTGCTACCTCTATTGATCAGGCTATTTTGCAGGTAGGTTTGATAGTCTATTTTTCACTTTGAAACTTTCTATAACTTGATCTTTTTCTCCTTTTGTAGTCAAAACTCTTGCTCTACCTCATCCTCTGTAGCACAACTCTTGTTGTTGCACACTGTTAGCTGCTTCTTGTAGGCTACTTTGCTTTAAAGGTATGTTGTGTTATATCTCTTTGAGTTTTGAGCCATGTCTAACCTATGTTTGCATAGCTTGTAGCTTATTACTTAGCTTAGACTAACTGTTAGATAGTAGTTACTTGCTTGCTGTTCCCTCTCTTTGACATTCTGTGGGACTTGGCTGCCGGTCACCGGGGCTAAAGCTTCGCACCAGTGCAATATCGCGGTAACCCCGTTGAGCGCAGGGCGTTTTCCTGTTAGGGTTAGGTTAGGTTAGGTTAGGTTAGGTTAGGGTTAGGTTAGGTTAGGGTTAGGTTAGGGTTAGGGTTAGTTAGGGTTAGTTAGGGTTAGGTTAGGGTTAGGTTAGGGTTAGGTTAGGGTTAGGTTAGGTTAGGGTTAGGTTAGGGTTAGGTTAGGTTAGT